AGCCACCGGAGTCTACAATTTACTTTCCACCGAACCTTGTAATTATGCAATGAAAAAGCTCGTATTACATCTGCACTTATCGCGAATTCTGCTGCTTCGCCTTTAATCTTTATGTTTCTCGAATGAAATTTACAACTTTGCATCTCCAGACACATGAGGAAATGACCTCGATACGAATATTAAAAAGTGACGAGAGGATCTTCTTCAGGGGGAATATAGCGAGAAGAAGTCTTCTTACGTCTCTCTCTCGTATACCCTAAGGCAGTGGTGGCGAATCTTTTTCGAGCCTTTTATTGGGGTGCTGACGTGTCGAGCAATTTTTAAAAACGGGGAAAGTTTAATGAAAAATCAATCATTGCAGAATTGTACTTAGAGTGTTACTTTTGCAGAACTTTACTACTACGATTTCAGCATTTCATTTCGTATTTATGGACGCCTTGTATAAGAGAAAAGAAGAGGATCGCCTAAATCCTGTATACTGTATACTAATGTATACGATAAAGTAACTTAGATACGTACACACACACATCGATTTGATAAACCTCCGCCTTCAATGATCACTCCCCGCTCGATTTTGTTCCACGACGATCCGCCATCTCGTCGCGCATCGTTCCACGGTCGACGGTACGGTTTAACGAAGAAAACCGTTTGGAAAGTTTGAACACCTAGAAATTGTTTCACCGCGAAATTACACGATTCGCAAATATGAACGCGCCCGGGGGCGATGCGAAAGTTAAACAGTGGTCGGCCGCGGTTCCGCTGAAGACGCCGGATAACATTGTTTCCTCGCAGTACACGATGCAGAAGGTCTTTCTGCCATCTTACGAGAGGTAACGTCATCGTGTCCATATCCGTGGATCGGGAATTTAGTTCAGTGATCGCAGTAATCGCATAAAAAAAATTGTTCAATACGCTCGACGCGGTTCGTGATAACGACGATTGGCAATGGAGTAATATCAAAGTCGTGTGAGTACATAGTTCAGAATTATCTTTCAGGGATAAACGTCCTTGCATAGAACAACTGTTGACGAACGAGTACCAGCGGATTTGGTGGCAAGAGAAAGAAATATGGGACAAACGACACAACCGGAAGCCAACCACGAAGAAGTTATTGCAACGCATGGTGAGAAATAGAGTAGTGTTCTACTAAAATAAAGCCTTCTACTAAATAAGGAACAATTATTATGACCGTTGATGTAACGTTACAGGTCATCAAAAAGAAGGTATTCAAAGAAAACGTGCTGGAATTACCAAAGAAAAGTCGAAAACCAAGAAAACAAACGCAAACCGAGCCGAGAAAGGATGTCGACGTACCGAAAGAAGATAAAGCGGAAGGAACCTGTATCACGGAAACAACGGAGAAGAAAGGAGACAATAAAGTCGACGGGGCGGTGTAAACGTTCCTCGAATATATGTAGTATAGGCGATCGATCAAATTGGAAATGGATTCTATACTTTTGGAAATTGTATACCACGGAGGTTTGTAACTCAAGATTAATATCTACGAATTTCGGCGGCCTTCGAACTAGGTGGCCGCGGCGGCAACTTGTAATTTTCCTTTTCGACTTCCCCTCGCTTTTTAAAAATTTGTTTCATCCGAGAACGACCTAAAACAATTTTTGAATGTATGTACACATCTATATGTATTTTTATGGTAGCGTTTAAAACTGGGAAAATAAACGAGCTATTGCTGACCTTTCTCTCTCTCTCTCTCTCTCTCTCTCTCAATTAGATCGTAAAGAATTATGCAAGTCGTGAAATTTAGGTAGCTGCAATCGGGTAAACGATCACCGGGAAAAAAAGAAACAGAAAATGGCTTTTAGTTTTTACAACGGAAGCGCTTGGCAATAACCGTTGCCCATATCGAAGAAGAATTCTGCCTTTCTATCTCGAGACCAGCATTACGGAAACGAATCGCATTTAATCGAGATGTTTTATCAAATGGCCGATGTTTCGGAATCGTTTCAAATACAGGGTGTCTCGTTATCAATCTACAAACGAAATGATCCAATACGAACGCACCTGAGTACAAGAGGAATCGAGTTTGTAGAAAAGGTTGAAGACCCTGAAGTGACCTTCATTCGCCTGAAATAACTTTCAAGCGTTTACTCCATCGAACTAATTGAATAATGCATCACAGACGAACGAACAGTTATAAATTAGCACCGTCAGAGGTGAAAAGGTTCAAATTCGAACTATTGAATTCTTATAAGAAGTTTGTCGAACAAATACCGTTTAATCGATCATTTTTTACGCGAGACGTTATTTCCAGAAGTATAAATTTTCGGTTGACCACGATGGAAGTTATTCACACGGTCGATTCACTGGATTAAAATGGGACACCTTGTATGCATGTATATATCCATGGAGATTAATATCGCAGCATTAAAAATAATGCTTGTCTTCGCGATCGTAGTGCATAACTGATATTGGATACCCTGTCGAATGTTTATGTAATTTTGGATAACTATTTTCTTTCAACAATTACGAGAACTTTCTAATGCTATTACTCCACCAGCTTGTTATAGTATGATAAGATTACGCACGGTGGACACTGTACGTACGCATGTTACAGCTCGTCGAAAGACGAAAGTGGAAAATGCTGATGCAACGTGGAACGATAGTTGAGTTTGATTTCCAGCGTGCACCCAGGAATTTCTCATGGGGGTCGAGAATGTTACCCGAGTGTTTACCTCCAACGATTTGTTTCGTTATCGTTATTTTCGCTAGCCTTAACTGTTCATCTACTAACCCCGTCAAACCGGGTTGGCAGAATTATTAAACCGAATTCCGTTGAAATCGATGCGCGTACTTCGCATACTTTTGAGTTTTGTTCATATTTATAAGGAAATGGAATAGAATCAATGCTCACCTTCCTTCAACCGACCGGTGTTAACATCAAAGGCAGTTCAATCTTCGTTTTGAAGGCAACGAAACTGCCGTAAACGTTCGTTTAAAGTGCAGCCAATCATTTTAACGACTCCGGGAGGATAGCCACGAGACTACGCTAGTCAGTATGACGTCTTCCTTCGAGCGAAGTACTTCCGTTAAATCTGCTACAACCGATTGTACCTTCTTTTGTTAACGTGTTCTCTCTATACCATCTGGATTTGTGGTCATAAGTAACTTCCTTTCCTTTGAGATAGTGTATAATTAACGCTATCTTGATCTGTGAATGTTTATGTAGATTTATTTCTTTGTAAATTAACTTGTATCGATTTCTCGAATTTTATGAAGAGTTGTAGTGTTTCATGTTTTATTATGCTATAAACGCGTATACATTCGGAGTCTTATAACGATCCATCCATATTTTTTCGAAAAGATGCAATTTTTTACCTCGATGCCGAAAATTACTTGAAATTCGATCCATTCGTTTCGATATATGTATAATAAAAGATTATGTCGATATTTCATGCGTTGTCACTTCTTTCCTTTTTTACTTTATTTTTTTTAACGACAATATTTTTAAAGGGAAGGTCCAGAACTCGTTCAAGGCAAACAACATGCCTCTATATCTATCAATTAAGTACCCGATATTTCATCTGTAAAACAAGATGAAAGAACGACCGTTATTGCATCATAATCGATGCACTCTCGATGATATTTTGCGATCTTTGGGGACACTGCAAAAAATATGGCTTTAGTAATATGACCGAAAAAATGCCAATAAATTTGTCGGCGTAAAGAACAGAAAAATGCATCGTCCCGATAGCGATATAAAATTGTGGTTTTATTTTTGGTAACGAGGCGTTTATACACTCGAAATCCATTAGTGCATGGAGAAAAAAAATTTCTCGTATCTGTAGACAGATTAGAGGAGGCATTAAAACGCGGAACGATTTTCACAACATCGTTTCAGCAAAAATCGCGTACCGAACGGCGACGAAATTCAATCGCAGATCTACCAACTAATCATGGATCAACGAGATAACAGATCACGGATTTACAACTCTGCTTAAATGTTACCGATCTATCTTTGCTCGAGTTCCGGTTTGAAAAAACAGTAGAACTGCGTATACAACTTCATTCGATATCCTTCGGGTGTTGTGTTACACTCACGCTAGCCCATATTCCGTTTCTACCATTTCGTTGCAAAACTACCGAGGTGTTTCGTTACGTTGCCCTGCCCGCATTAAATAACACCTATCGACAACTGTTTCCTATAAATTCCTCCTGACACCAAATCAGGGAAAAGATCGATGTAAATAAACGTCCAATTACCCTGCACGCAACGTTAATCTCTTATTTACCAAATTGTTTTCTTAACTGCATGAATGTATAAGTGAGCCCTTATGTACTTATGAGATCCACCACGCACAAAAATTTGATATCGTTATTCTATCTGTTGTGTTTAAAAATTCGAACAACTAATGGTAATGCTCCGTTACCATTTTATTTGCAAATAGTCACGTATTAAAAAGGGACAATAAAGTTTCACATGATCACAAGTATAATAACAGTAGAATCATTACTGACATTCTACCTGGGTTCTTTGAACTTCTTGATTCACAAGAGGTTCATTTTATATGTACAATATCATTCGCAAACAAGTTAATCGAACGGAGTAAATATATTTAAATGTACGTACAATGCAGAAGGAACGAATGGTAAGTATAATACTGTAAACACTCACCAATTCATTTCTAATTCACTCTAAGAAGAAAAGAATACGTTAACTTTGAAAATCTACAAACGTTTAGATACACTACACAAACAGTACTTGTCAAAACTTAAGTTCGGGGCAGTACCTTGTGGGGGCAGTAGTGATGTCTTCCGGAGCCACCGGTAGATGTCTACAAGTGACAATCGATTCTCGCAAGCACTTCACTTCTAAAATTTAAATACCACAATTTGACTATTTCTATTTAAATAAATAACATTTTTTATTTCATTAGATATAATAACATTATCTAGAATGAAAGTCTTTGAAAGGGTATAAATGTCATTGAAATTAAAGAAATGATCACGATCAATCATTCTCTGCCAGTGCTGCCGCCTAACAGTAAAAGGACGTTATAATTCATCAACTCCATTTTATCTTGTCGAACCAGGCTTAGTTGTTACGTCCAACGCGTCACAGTTCGATAAAGTCAATTTTAATTCGTGAATATGTTTTAGAAGACCGCCTCCCACTTGGACTAATTGTGGTAATACAAAAAGAATGCACGGCGACGAAAGCTAAAGTGTAAAATTGTTTAAGCAATTTTTATTTTTTCCTCGGTATGTCAGAAGGCGAGGCTACAGCGTCGGAGAAGAAGCAGCAGCCATTTCAGCAACAGCCACAACTTGAAGGAGTAGGCCTGATGGCAAACATGGCATGGTCATATCCCTCGCCAAATATTCACAACATGTTTCCTCCATATTCGGGGTAATTTTCTTATTAAATATTTATTCGTGCCTGCGTTCTCTGTAAAATGGACGCAATGACTCATACAAAGATCGAAACAAAAATTTTGTAGGCGTATTCGAAATAACGTACTGTATATACCTATGCGTAATAATGCGTAATGCTGATGATTTCATTCAATTATTGACCTTGTATTTGCTTCCGATTCAATTTACGAGAACTTTACTTTAGTAGTAAATTATTTGAACTAAGAAATTCGGAATAAGATATAGTCAGTACAGTGAAATATATCGACGAGTTTAAAAAAATACTAGTTGACCTAATTTTAAACCAATAGAGGCAACACAAGTACCTGTCGACACTTGTGAGTGTGCATTTCTAATTTTAATGAACTATTTCAAACATTATTTTCCTCCTTCAAATATTTTCTTTGACTTAACGTTTTGTTCTTGTACAAAATAATTCCCAAATATAGTCGCTGTCACTATTAAATAACATCATTAAACATAATTGTATGTTTTTTGTTGCAGGCAATTGTATGGACCTGGATATCAAGGTGTACCTCATCAAGGGCAAATATTTAATTATTATCATACAATGATGCCTGGATATGGACAACCTTTTACTCCACAGCAGATGCAACAACAACAACAACAGCAGCAGCAGCATCAACAGCAACAACAACAGCAGCAGCAGCAACAACAACAACAACAACCGCAACAACAACAGCAGGGCAACAGTCAAGGCAAACAGCTTCATCAACAGCCACCTGTACCTGGGACACCAATGTCTTTGGAGGATGAATCCGATCTTCCTCCTCTTCCACCTGGACCACCACCATCTTTACCAACATCTCAACAGCACAACAATCAAGTACAACAAACTATGCAACCTCATCCAGGATACATGTATAACTCTTTTCCTTATGGTAGCTGGAATGGAATGCATGGTGATATGTCTCGTAAGTTTCTTTAAATAAAAGCCAGAATAATTACATTGTCTCTGGATATATAGTAATATACAGATTTTGGTTTCCAGAATACAATAACCAGATTCGTTTCAATGTGCAAAACAAGAAAAACGGTTTGGCATTTACTCCGTCCGGCAATAGTGGGGCTGCGAAGAAAAAACGTAAGCGGAACAAAAACTTAGCAGCTCAATTCAACAATAGCTTTCAGGGGAATAGTCCGACAACCACATTCGTTCCGGGTCCCAATTTGAAGACTGAACTACCACCCTTACCTCCTACACAACATGAAGTAGCAGCTCCTCCTCCACCAACCGAAGAATCCCCTGCTCCTACTACACCTGCTACTACTACCGTTAATACAACTCCTAGTGTTGGTACTCCAGCGATAGGTACCCCTTCTGTCGTGACAACCACCAGTCCAGTCGGAGATTGGCCTGACAGCCTGAAGAACTATGTAAATCGATGTTACGAGAAGTGCAAGACTGCAGTGGACAAGGATCAAGTTGAGATTATATTAAAGGGAAAGATTACACGCGCTGCGAACGATGGCTCGCTATGGGTGAAGGATTGGGACAAAGAACCTTTACCTAGCATCCACAGCGAACGTATGACGATGACGATAAAGCCTCAGAAACCAGCGTTAAAGTTGACTAATCTAGCTAATCTGCTGGTCACTGCACAGGGAGGCTTGCGCAAGCCAGGCCTCTCTACTTCTCTCGGGGCTCGGCTTGGTGCGCGTCTCTCTGTGAGTCACAAACGGTCGAGATCAAGGTCGAAGACTAGATCAAGGTCAAAGTCAAGATCGAGGTCGAGGTCGAGGTCAAGGTCGAGATCAAAGTCGAAATCGCGTTCGAATACACGTAGCCCACCGTCCCGAAAGTACAGGCGTAGTACATCGTCCTCGTCCAATGTTAGCGACCGGGAACACGATTACAAATCGTTAAAGACGAAAAAGTCCACTAAAAGCAAACAAAATCACAGCAGCAAGAAAACAAAGAAGACTAAACAGATGAAATCACATTTCTATTCAGAGTTTGGTTTAGCTACAGGCAACACTGAGGAGCTAGGATCCAAGGAGAAACTACAACAACGCGCTGCAAGATTTAACGATAGTATTTCCAGGACCGTCAGCAATGGTGTTAAAGATGATCCTACGGCAGAGTTTGATTTTACTGGTCTTCACATAGTTGGAACATGCAAGGATATAGAAAAACCGTATTTGCGGCTAACATCTGTAAGAATTAATTTTCCGTTAAATAATGTACGGTCAATATGTAGACGATATTAAAAAATGTATTGCTTATACATTAAAGGCTCCAGCTCCCTCTGCTGTACGACCGGTAAGTGTACTCCAAAATTCTTTGGCACATGTCAAGAAGCGCTGGGTGGCTGAACAAGACTATAGATATGCTTGTGATCAACTTAAATCCATTCGACAAGATCTTACCGTCCAAGGTATCAGGGATGCATTTACAGTTCACGTGTATGAAACACATGCCCGTGTAGCTCTAGAAAAAGGCGATCATGAAGAGTTCAATCAGTGTCAGACACAGTTAAGGATGCTATATCAAGATGTTGGCGGAGAGAACCGGTGTGAATTCATTGCATACCGAATACTGTATTATATTTTTACCAAGAATACTCAAGGTAACAGATTCATTTACAGATATTCCAGACGAGGTATAGTACATCTAATTTATCAGCATGTAACGATAATAGATATTAAGTACATACTATACCTCGTCTGCAAAAACAGTTGAGATTCGTCTGTAAAAACCTAAAATTAATTGTGAATTTTCTTTATTACAGATTTAACGACAATTTTAGCAGCTTTATCAAAAGAAGACAAACACGATGAGTGCATAAAGCATGCACTGAAAGTACGTTCAGCTTGGTGGCTGGGCAATTTCCATGCATTCTTTAAATTATACGCCGTCGCTCCAAGAATGGCAGCCTTCCTGATGGATTGGTTTGTCGCAAGAGAGCGCAAGAATGCATTGAAATGCATGTTAAAGTCGTACGTACTAGACCTTTTATTAGTCATAATTTATTTATATATTTTAACGGATTTCCAAACAGTATTCGACGATATTTTACAAACATTAATGTCTTTAATGAAAAACAATCTCCCTTTACAGATCGTATTCAAAAATGTTCATATTACATTATTTTAAAAGGACTAATATTGTATCATTTAGAGGCAATATTTCTTATCACCGAAGTAATTTATTTTGTTTGGATGCTAATGGTAGTTAGTTGCATAAATTATGTGAACTTATAAACTTCGTAGACACATAGATCGATAAGTTGACCGTATTTTTGCTAGCTATCAAATATATTTCCACACTTTCGCTGGAAATAGAATTACAATTGGTCATCGTTGAAAATTGTTGATTTGAATAAGGTATACAGGTGTACATCGTTACGCGGAGGGTGGAAGATTGAACATTTTTTTTGTCACTTATAATCATATATAGATTTCTGTTACAGGACATCGTAGCTGAAAAATAATTAGTTTTATATACATATACATCTAGTTGTTACTTATCATGATTATAATTACATGTTCTTATGTACACTTATTTAACACACATTTGTCTAATGATGCATTTCTTCTGCTGTTTAGCTACCGGCAAAATTTGGCGGTTGATTTCGTCGTAGCAGAATTGGCCTTTGAATCTTTGGACAAGTTTTATGAATTTGTCAATGAATTCGGGTTGGTTTATGCTGATCCTGAACAACAACTAATCGACTGCAAGACAAGCAGTGGTTCTCTAGGTGCTTGGTAAAGGCAACGTCAATCTCTAGTTTCTTGTGGAAGCCGCATAACAAATCAATTGGTCTCGTGCACACTCGTATGCACAAGTCCTCCATGTGTGTGCCCATATGCATGTGTTTTCTCCCAGTATATGCGTATATGTGATCACACACATGCATATGCATATGCATGTGCATATAACCATGGTACACACGTCACCCCGTTACGATGATTCTTCTCGCCTATTCTCTTTATGATCATCATTGCTCTTCGCGTTGATCGACATCAATTGGTCGAACAACAATTTTGTAAATGAAAATTCCCCCCCACAATGAGTTTGTACATACGTCTCAATCTCGGCCCACCGTGTACACGTGCATAGCCTCAAGCAAGGAATTTCGTGGGCTAGAAAATTGTACAAAGAATATAGGATGATTGGTTCCGGTCATCCGTAACTACCTCAATTCAAACTCGGTATGAAGCCGAGGCTCGTAGTGAATTACGGAAAAAAAAAACAAACAAAATAAGAAGGAAAACAACAAATCGTCTTTGGGGGAAAAAATCTCGTTGGGTCGAACTTCGAGTTCTTCGATAACAGCCAAGTCCCTCCCTTCGTTAATTGTTACATGTCCTTTGTTATCGTCTCTGATCAATCGTAACCGTCTTTCTTAAACGCTGTCCACAATGAAAACGGAATTTTTTAACCGCTTGCCAGTCCTTTCTACCTGATCGAAAAATGCTTCATGGTTACTTCAAAGCGGGGAGCTTCGAGATTCGAATGGATGTGCCAGGGAAAAGGAAGTGAACCCGTAGCAGTGATAATCGCGAGGAGTACTAAATGGAATTACTGCAATTGATTCGGACGTGAACGTATGGAGGAAGGAAGACCACCATCGAAGCTACGGACGAAACGCGGCGAAGAACTGCTTTATGGGAGATTGAGGGCTTGAAAGGCAACTGGCACACTTAATAGGCATATCGATGAAGAGGAAATTGAAGAATGCTGTGAAGGAGACCAACGGGTTATGCCTTTATTGTAAAAAAAAAAAAAAAAAAAAAAAAAAAAAAAAGGGAGTTAATGTGTACAAAAATCTACGTTTAAGAACTTTTAACCGGGACAGATCTATTGGTATCGAATTGCCATTCGTGAGTGATAAGTGATTTATTTTTATCTATTTAAGTGTTTTACCGCGGGACGTTTTCTTCCTCGATAATTCGTTATCAGTTCTCGGTTTCCGAGAACGTTCTCTAACGCATGAAGCACAGGGGTACAAGATCATAATTGAGAGGGAGAAGGGGACATTTTCATTGTACGATCGCATTCAAATATAGGTGTTGTGCATAATAAATTATTTAATTTTCGGAGATTATATTAATTTTTAATGCGTTACACTGGAACCTAACAGATTTACAGGGAATCTTTGTTGTAAATTGAAATAAAGTGTTTTATGTTATAATTAAACCTTCGTGACCTGAATACTGTAGCAAAATAATAGCTAAATTATTCTTATGTTCGTTAGAAATTGTATATTTATTAATTTAGTAATGTATTCATGATTGTTCGTAAAAAATTGTTGATCCAGTAGTATAATTACTTTTTTTTTTAGTCTTCATCCTAATTCAATGATATTCAAAATGAAATTTATATAATTACGAAAATGTTGGCAGTCAACGCGATAAAAGCAAAATCTTTGGTTCGACTCTCTCTCTCTCTTTTTCATAATGGACAACAAAATTGGAGAAAATAAGAAATACCGATATAATACAACACTTTTTCGAATTGTACCAAGCAACACAATACTACATTTGTTAATACTGCTTGGTACAAACTTCCTTAAGGGGACTCTTCCTTTCTTGTCTCATTCATTGTGCACAGATTGTTGATCAAATTGTGCGAAGTTACATTAGATCTGCTATTTAGATTCAATGTTATACAAATATTCAGGTTTAATATACTTCCTCTTTATATTTTACCTTCCTAAACCATACACATACATGTGTATGAATAAATCGCTACATCATCAAATGCATATAATAATAATTATAGATATTTCAAACATTCTTACAGAAGGATCAAGTTCGCTTCGATAGAATTTAACGAAATAAATAACAGAATACTGCCGTAACAAAAAAGACGAGGGCTCAGAATTGCGAATTCCGAATACACGATATACATTTTTTTTGTCATTATTCCCTTCGAACATGAATATTTATGAGGTAAACGCGCGATTCACTGTGTTCCTCGAGTTCTTGTGGATTTTTATAATACTTTCAAGAAAAGTTCACGTGAAAGACTAAAAAGATTGAATCACATAGAAATCGTTTGATTTATGTAAATCAGAATTATATGTACCGTCGCTATCTTTCAAAATCACCGTGCACCTATTAACCAATGCGCGAACAAAGACAATAACCACTACTCTTCCTATCCGAAACAACTGAACTCAATAGATTTATTGCAGTGTTAAGCAAGATTGTGACAAAATTGACCTGACTCTTGAACAAACGAGTTATAAGTCTTTCGTTCCCTACTACACAGCACTGATAAGACTCCTCGCTTTCAATTAAAAGGACTAATTTGATTGTTAAATCATCCACATCTGTGAGTTAAAATTTTGACGCTTCAAAGCGAAATATTTTATATACAGGTGTGTTTAAAAGACGGTCAACGTATATAATTCTTAGGGTGTGTATTGGCTGACATAATACAGTTATTACTAGATTACAGATGTTCACACATGTATACTTGCATATCAATTTAGAAAATACAATAAAAGAAAAACTTTAATGGCATCCCATAAAGTTTTTATTTTAAAGCACAACCTAATAAAATTCACAATAACAAAAACAAATTCATCGCTACTTTTCTAAATTGGTCTATAAAAATGTAAATTCGTAGAAACATCCGCAATCCAGTTATAACGTAGATATTAGTTAAAAGAAAAAAATATATAACGGTACAGTGAAACACAGTTCCACAAAGAAAATCTGGGTGACCCCGACACGTGAACAGCGATTTATACGGACAAGGACACGAAACTGTTATACTGGGTAATGTTGCGTTTCAGGATATCCGCACAAGGACCTAGAACTCTTTCGAACCTTGCCCTATCCAGTTTAACACATTTTAAAGGACCTCGAGCCACCACCGTCGCAGCCCTTGGCCTATCTAACAACAGTGCAATCTCACCTGTAACGAACAGTAGGTATTAAACTTTAAACTTTCTAACTGTATCGCAAAAGAATCACCGAATCGAAAAGCATCTTTACCAAAGTAATCAGACGGTCCCAAACGACCCACTTCCGCTGGTTCCTCGTTCTCCGAACGTTGCTGAAGGACTACAGCGGTACCCTCTACAATTATATAAAAATCCTCGCCCGGTTCACCCTGTCGAACTATCGTCTCGCCGTCGTCAAATGCCACCGGTTCCAAAGCATCGGCCACCGTCAGCCGTTCCCACTTGTCCAAAGATTCTAAACATAGAACGAGAATATATTATACAAGATGTCCGACGCGAACCTCACCCGTGACATATTTATAAGTAGAGGATCATCAGTGCGGTGTGTAGTATTTTTTGGCACACGTAGTCACGATTCACACCCACCTAAGATCGACACTCTGGAAAGAAATTCCTCGTACATCTTCCGTTTTCTTATCGTCGAGCCCATAAGGATTCTACGATAGGAATCTCTGTCGATACCCCACAACTTGACGTCCGTTTTCGCCCGAACGGTAGCCGCCCGTGGAGTCCCGTAAATCAACGCCAATTCGCCGAAACTTCCTCCTTCCCCGATAGTGGTGGCTAACTCGCCGTTCACGAAAATTTCAACTTCCCCCTGATCGATCACGTAGAAATTGTCTCCCTCGTCGCCTATCCAAGCGTAATAAAATTTCAGGTTAAATTAATTCTGTGTGTACGTGCATACCCCACCATCATTACCGGTACTTATTGGTTTGGCAAACTCTATTATACAGTATATGGTATCGTGTCACAAACACAGGACATTTAAGTAGCTCCTCTGAACTCACTCGACCTTTTATACTAGATGGAAATATGTAAATTAACTGTAGGACGCTTTAAAATAATCACCCTGCCGAATGATTGCCTCTCCGGGCAAGAACGTGACCGGGAACATGGCGTCGAATATGTCAGAGCGTTCGTTCTCGTCCAAATGAGCGAAAAGAACGTTCTTGGTAATTGCTTTGCTCAAGGCAGCCATCGTTTTGTAGTCCTTAGGCACGACCTTCTTGACATAGCTGGTGGCATCTTCCTCGGAGACCGGCTCCGCGGAGATGCCACCTCTGCGCCTTGGAACTTGAGGACCCTGCTGACCCGCCGGTATGTCTTCCGTGTCTTCCGGACTAGTCGCGATCTGTTGCTTGGCATCGTGAGCTTGCTCCTGAAATTATTATTGTTATAAGCGGGAGCAGCGCACTTCGTACAAAAATCAAGAATGAAAATTCAAAATCAATGAAGGACGCTATTAAGAACTTTCAAATGAAAAGTTAACTATCCCCTTCTTGAGCGTCGAGCTAATTTCACAAAGAATTTTCCAGCGAACCCTTTAAATACACTGTGCCGTTAAACTTATGAAACTTAACGCTCCACTCGCCTGCTGCACCATGTCGACACTATCCACCTAATCGTTTTGCAGACGCCACTAACCGCGGTCCCCTAGATCGATACCGTTCGTTTCTTTTTCAATTTATTTGTTTAAACAAAAACGAACGCGACAGCGTCAAGTGCTTCGATGGCGAGATATGATGCAGGCAAAGACGGTTTTATAAGTCAATTTTGTTTACACATGCGCGCGGAATATGTACTACGATGCCCTTCTTCCCCTAATGAAATCACATGCTTGTTTAAATTTCTAAACGTACAGGATGACACACAGGTATCGCGTAAAAATGGTGGGGGGGATCTCCCTTTAAACGCTGATTATCTTGACATAAAAATACTAAACAAATTCTAACATGTACCTTCGCGAAAAGGGACTGGAGGCACGAAAACCTCCAGTTCAGATACACCCCGTAGCAACTCCCATTGTTCGAAAAGTTCGATACTTCTTGAAAAAAATTATATAAGCCCCCACAGAGAAAATGTTACGCCAACGATATGCGTATAGGCGAAGAAGGTTGGCGAATAATGTCATGGATCACTTGGTGGTTTCATAGATGAACACGGTCTCGAAAATGTGTAGCACACGGTTTTGCAAAAAAACACCGAGGGAATCGCTGAATACACGTGTTTCGAAAAATTTTCGTTCTGTAATAATCATCTCACTCGTCACAGAGAGATGGTCTTGCGAAATTTCATCGACAAACAACACACGATCGCGAGATAAGTCATGCCAGGCTACTTTGGATCTCTTCTTGTATCGATTACTGTCCCTAACGGAGTTATACATATACTCAAGAGACTAATAATTCACAAAACGTATATATGTATATTGATACTCATTTGAAATATTTATTAATGAATTGGCAATGTTAACGACGTTTTTACGTTCAAATAATTCACGAGAGAACTCCAACAATGTACAACACATCTGTACCGAGTATTAGGAGTTTTGATGTAACAATTAAATTTCGCTGCTTAATCCTAGATTCAAAACAAACTGTACACACTTAACCTTGCACTCTGTATGCGCATATAGGGAAACGTTCGAATAAACACTATATCGTGACGAACGTTCGAACTACGCTCTAACAATAGCATCGAATTAAAAGGACAGTGTCAAGACTAGACGGTCAATGGTCTTAGCGCGTGGTAAAACAGTATTGTACCTATAACGCATTGTTTTGAAAGAAAAAAGAAACAGCAACAAAATTTGGTTGCATAACTTTCCTATCATCCACACGTCATTTAAAATATGTACTGACTGTTCCTTTCTCTAATACACACTGTGTTTCGAAACGCCACCAAGAGGCAAGCCGATTTTTAACTGGTATAATTAGTGTATCTTATCGGAATATATGATCCAGATCCACGATCGTACCTCGTTCATTATTTGTCCAAATATATTACTCAATATCGCACACGAATAATTTCACGTGGAAAATATATTTTTCGGCGACACTCACACACTAATTTCGAAAGCGGCCGGAAAAGCGTCCTATTGTACTGTGTCTCGAAAAAAGCACAAAAAGCGGAATTAGGCAACCACAAGAGACGCGGCGATGAGAAACGATCGTCGTCTCCGATCACGACGTCCGGCAGCGGCAGTTCGGAATTTTCTAAGGCCTCGCCAAATTCGATTAATGCCGACAACGATCTTTCACGACGCGCGCGGTTTCCCTCGGGTCAGTCTGACTGAAGTGCCAGAAGGTAAATGTAAACAGACCGCGCGAAAGCGCACCGTCCCAAAACTTTTCCTCGATCCACCAATCAAATCGACGAACGACTTAGCAGATGAAAACCGGACCAACGAGAGACGCGGACGTAACGTGCTTCCGACGTTGGTCGTTGAAATATACCGTCGTCGTGTGGCGCGACCCGTTTGTACATTTTTCGAGGACGAACGCGCGTTTACACACGACTTTCGGTCGCTGTTGGCTAAAGTTGCGCGCCTCGTTATATTTCGAGCATATTCTATATTTAGAGCATGCCCCTATACAGAGTGTTCATCGGCAACGGTATCCACGATTTCCGAGGTTCTCGCAATAATTTGAAAAAAGAATATGATCACAGCAACGACATTTAATTAAACCAGCGAATCTCCCTTCGTTACAGAAGAAGAATAACGAACGGGATAGAGTATACAACAACGTAAAAATAACCGCCGTGAATATAAAGTTACGACGAACATCCTTTATACTTGCGCATAACCCGACCCCCAACCCCTTTCTCCGTGCCCCTGATTTCGTGAGATCTAAAGTCCCCTTCGTGTGTGTTTGTCGTTCGCGGGGTTCACTAAGAAATGGAAAATGGTATCGACCATTCCCGCGCGATACAGTGGTGCACAATACATATGTATACATATAGACGGCAAGAAAGGGGGCACCTAAATGTCTAAGTTGGTTGTTTTCGAAGATAGGAAAATCTTATCAAGGTCGGTGCTGTACAGTTCGGATGAAAAATGAGAATGCAGCTGTCACCGAACAGACCACTACCGACAAGATTGATGAGCAAACTCGTTACCTGAATGAAATGTTTCGAATAACAAGTAACACGAAACAAATTTCATTCCGTTAATAGTAAAAACGAAACATTTTCCGTTCGAATTAGATACACACTACAAAAGCTTTTCGAGAAAAAAAACGAAGGTGCATCGTATAAATAACCATCGATTACAGATCATCAAATATAATAGGACTCGTTATTATAATTGTTAATTTTTCCAAAAATATTTTGTTGTAATACTTTGTATTAAACACACTGTACATGACAGCTGATAAATTTAAAGGAGAAACAGTGTAGTAAAGTTTTTACGATCGGTAACGTTGTGCCAAATCCCCACCACAGACCGCTTACTCCCACTTAAATGCTCTCAGATCGAATGTGTTTTAAATAAACGCATTTGCCGCCAAATTCTTAATAGGACATTAACTGTTGTAAATTTTTTAAATAAAATACAAAATAGAAAATTGGTAATATATTGCACTAGCGTATCTACGACCACACGTTTAACATATCCCGAATGACACTTCGAATTGAACATGACGTAAAACTTTCGAAGGATTATTCTCCCGTGTTAAAAATACTTTTGGAGCGTCGAATATTTGTTACAATGTTAAACATAGTGCGCACATTCAACACTAAATTCTCTCCCCGAATTAACTCTGGTTAAAGTGAAAAAAATGGATTAAATTTATGTAGAATAGTACATGAAATGTACAGGGATTCTCATTTAATGGCCTTATATATTTGTTAATAAATTAATTATCTAGGTAAACTGATTTATTTTTTACTTTTCAATAAAATCCTCTATCTCCTTTTAATAAACCTCAACCATTGCATGTTGCCATTGAAAGACTTTTTTGACATTACATGTCATTTTTTTCTCTTGTCATTCATTATTGCGAAAATTCAATATAGAAAATATTTCACTGATTCGAAATTTTGTAGAACTCTTATTACAGTAGACGAAATGTGTAAGTTAATTTATAAAAATTTATATTTGCATAACCATCCTCAATGCAGTTATGAGGTTCATTTTCAATGAGATATTCATAAGACTATCGTTAATCTTATTTTCTTTTTAGATTTGTATATTACATACAGAATGCAGTCTTCCATTACATGTATAATAAAATTTTAAATGAAACAAAACGTACTACTTATACTTGTCAAGCTCTGATATGATATTGATGTTTGTATTTAGCATGTCATTTATACGAAATGAATAAAATGTACATCATATTTAGATATATTAGTTAGCTGTATAATCTCTAAGAGATAGTATGACTCATGGAATGTCCCCATGCATTTGCAGTTTGCGAGCAAAAATTCAATAAGGAGGCAAAATGATATCTAGAGGTTATTTACAGACGTTGCGATTTAATACGTACCCGTTCTAGTTTCTGAAAGTATTCCCTCAAGAATGATATGGGGTTTTCAGGACGTCCCACGCACAGTTGCACTATACAGTCTTTTAAAACTTGTTGAATATTGTGTCTTTGCACGTATTCCTCGCACTCTCTTAAACTTTGCTCTTCCTCAAGATTCGCCGCCATATTGATGCACAACAGCAAATACCTTCTCAACGATTTCGCTCTCGACACGTATACTGGACGCGCTTTTTAGCGTTGACAACTCGATTCTTTAATGTAAACAATATTAGCACAATCGGGCGAGTCTTATTATGCATTTTTTGTGACACGTTTAGTAGTAAAGCACTGTACGAATTGAAGCTATAATTTAATAAAATCGTATCGCCATCGATATCTGTGCATCTACAGTTTGTGACAAAAGTTTTAGCCGAGTTAGATTTCATCGACTCACTTTTAAATTCGTATTACAGTCGGTGGTTTAAATTTTCGTTTAATAATTTTGAAAAACATATACTTTACAACAAAAATATTCACATCATGTTTATAATTCATCGACCCTTTTCTGTCTAAATAGTGAGATAGTTATATTTTTAAATGCAACAATGCCATTGGTATAAAGTTTTTGTTCTATAAATAATAATATTTGAGGCTTAAAATTGTTTCAAAATTTAAGAATATGGGTGCGTTTTAACGTACTGGAATATAACCTTGGACTCTGTATTTTTAATTTGCATCTCATATCTCACGAACAAACTACATATATATGTACATGGCCGTGGTAGATTACGCTAATTTCAAACCGCATGACTATCTTTTAAAATTATTCGCTGTTGTGCCTTAACAATTATAAAAAAATTACTAAATTTGTACACGATTATGTTAGCACACACGACCGTTATACAAGGGAATAGGCATTTTAAATAATATTTAAATTAGACTTTTTAACTTCTAACAATAATATATTTTAAAACATATTGTCAATGGGAGGATAGACATTATAACACATAAACTATATTTTAAAATATAAGATAAGAATGTTTTGTGTTCTTCTTTTACTTTTAGCAGTCAGCAATTCTGCAATCCCACATCAATCTAAAACTTTTATGAAACAATTTTTCTCTGGCATTTTGTGATAATCAAAGAGAAATGGGATTTCAGAATGACAGGTTGTTTTAAACTTAAAGCTTAGTATTTAGAAAATGTATGGCCATGTTCTCCTATTTACATCAATATTGCTGTATACCATAGAATGAATTGAAATATCTATTTACTTGTCATACGTTGTAGAATTCATTGAAATATTATAATGTTATGAATGTTTCACAAATTGTAAAAAAAATCTTTCATGATTTAGAAAATTGTGGTGATACCAATCTTCTTTATGATGCATGTTTTCAATGAAATAATTTTTATAATCTCTTTTATTAAATTATAAATTATAAAATGAATTCTTCAATGATTATGCTTTAAAAAAGAAATATTAATGTTGAACAACTACAAGTAGTATTATAATCAACTTCCGCAGATCAGTTTCACATTCTCTGGCTTATGTTACCTATACAATATAATTGTGCAGTTCTTCATAATAATCTAAATTTAACTATAGAATGCATGCGATGCATATGTATAATAGAAAACAGCAATGCTGTTATGGTATATTGTAACGTATCTTGCACTTAATAAATATAACACACAGTTACAATTGCTTTCTGGATGTACTGACTCGAGTCGGAATTACTTGTATGATCTTGGATACATTTTTTATTACGTTTGCAAATCTAACGAGTGGACGCTTATAAATAGTACTTCTCGGTTTGTATTTGCATACTGAACTATTTTGGCCCTTGCTAACAACATTATAATTTATAAAAACTCACCGCGATGCATCTGTAATTAAATTCAGTAGTGAGTTTTACTTGATCTTTCATCCGTATTATCTTATGTGTATGGTCATTTTCTAAACAATGAACATAAACAAAACATTGATTCGCATGAAATAGTATGAGACATTGTAATACAATGAAGTGATGCTTGTTTTCTAGAGTGCCTTTTAGTCATAATTAAATGACCATAGTATTCAAAATTCCGACCATGGTAACACTCTTAGAGTTTAGACTAGGAAAATTAATCAGTGAAAATTAATTGTAATTCCTACTGTATTATATATAATTGTATAGGCACTTTCTACGAGTAACTGGAGACCCTTAAAACGTGCAATGTAAATTAAACGTTTGTTAATCTCCTTAGGATTGAAAACTATTTCCACATAATTCACAAAAATAATATGTCTCTTCACAATAAATCATTAACTTGTGATATTAAATTATCAATCAATAATTAGAATGTATAGAGGTATGCATCTGTGAGCGCACACGGTTTTCATTACTTTCTGTGATGATTATGATAAAACTCCCGTAATACCTTAACGATAGAAATTGTGTATTATGATTATTACAATGTGCAATTCGTGTTCTAAACAGCGTTAATCGTGTTTCTTCACTCAATATACATTTATTGCTCTAAATATAATTGAAATCTGATAGATTAATTGCACAGAGTATGGTATTAGTTCTGAAAGTTACTTTGTGTAATTAGTAACGTTTGAACTTTTATAGAGAAAGAGAAGAATAGATTCTCGTAACGTAATAAAATATACTTTCGTGTATTAAAATTTGTAAAAACATGGTTAAAAAGCATAACTGATTCATAGGTATTATAATTTAGAATATACTTTTAACTTAACACTGTAAATACAAACAGGAATTTCTTTAGAAATGCACTGCTAATTTATATTAAAAAATATGAATTGTTAAAGAAATTTCTTATAATATCATTTATATGTTTGCTCCCAGCGATCTATTCCTCTTTGTTTATACATTAACAAATTAATCTTTTAAATGGATGGCCACCATGGTCTAATGATACTTATTGCTATTAGGTTTTTATTTCGCGATTTTTGTTTCATTGAATTAATACTGATACAAAATTAACATTAGACTAATATAATCTCGTATTTCTGTGTTAACATAAGATAAAATTTTCTAGTTAAATGTATAGTTGTTGGCATTGAATGCATAAAACTTGCTGTTCTAATGAACTATACAACTTCGGTGCATTTACAACTTGTTATTAATTACACCTTGTTCATGGTTTTTAAGGCACCAGATTAATATGAAAGGTAACTCAACACATGAATGTGTGAATCATTGCTTAAAGAAGATTGCCTCATCGTTGGAACTTAAAAATCATGAACGAGCGCATTGATAAGTTTCTAATTTTCGACTTAACGTTCCATTATTTTTTCATATAATAAATGTATATTTTTCATATGAAAAAAGAATATTTATATAAAACGATACGCTTTCAAAGTTAAAGCAGTTACGCTCTCACAGTCAGTTCGAAATATTGCAATGAAATATAAATCTTCTACCGATTTCTAATTCGTCAGTGTAAAAAAATAAATAGCAGTGCTTAATCAATAGCAAAGTACGTAACAGTATATACGTATATATACATAAATAAATTAACTTCTAGCAATTGGTATTACTATCTACTTAATAGTCCATCAGTATCCTTCAGAAATAAAACTGGAAGCATTAAAGTAAAAAATGTACATGTACAATCTTCCAGAAATTATAAAGATATTTCCTCGCGGGAATTGACTAGTATTTGACATGTGTTCGTTCTAGTTCATTAATCGTAAGTATTTCTGTACGTCTAGCTAATTATATAAATGTTGAACAGTGATCCGTCGTTTGCATAATTGGCGGTGATACTTACTTCGATCTTATGGAGTTGTTGACGTTAAAAAGGTGGGGTCTACCGCGGCGACTTTTGCGGTCAAAAATGCATGCATGCAGAACAGTAAATTCTGAAGCTGGGAGCATTCCAATTCCTACAAATAAAAAATGAAAATTAACCGTTGATGTCAATGTCTTTCATTCCACATTGGGTGCGATACCTTCGTCTCGATAGCAATACTATCAGGTTCCTGAAAATGTAACTTCAATCGACTCTTTCCGTCATCACTGGACCCTCTCAACTGAGAGAATTTATAACGCCATATGGCCTCTCCAATATCCTCGTAAGAAAGCGTGAACCCCTGAGTCCATTCTAAGGTTAATCCCGCGCTTCTTCCGTTACAAGTGACAGGAAATGTTTTACTCTGGCCAACAACACAACATTATGAATATTTAAAAATGAATGTCTACATTCCGAAAAAAAAAGATACGACACTAACTTTCAAATGTGTAACAGCTGAACACACTGCGGTGTGCCACGCTGCCTCAACTCTCAACAGTTCTTGTCTAGTTTCGACACTTAGATATCGCGGTGGTTTACCCGGACTTTGTGCTAGAAAGCAGTGTTGTCTTTCGTCCACGTTTTCAGATTCTCGCATCACACGAAACATCGTTTGGTAGACTTTAAACGTCAATGCACATCGTGACCAATCTCCTATGTTGCACTACAAAACAAAATGCAGCAATTTTAAAAATCTTGCAGAATTGTACAATACACTTATATCTTCGTTTACACTTACAGGAGGCGTTTCAAATAACAATAAATCGGGTCCTTTCAGGGCCAAAAATCTTGGCCTATAACTTTGCCACGGTTGATTACTATTGCTCACCGCTTCATTTACCCATCCCATGTACTCTATACGTTCACCCACCCCGAAATTGCGATTATACAGTTTCATCTAGAAATGATCATAGGTATCCCTTTTCACTATTCAATCTTATATAAGTAATAAATAACGAAACGGAAATTTTCTTCACCTGCAAATGCGTTAAGCCGGTAATATTATCGGTAATATATTTCAACCATTGACTTAGAATGGCACTATCATCGCAATGTATCACACCGGTGCGTGCGCCATTTAGTCCTCTTACTTCGAATGCGTTTCTTCTTAACTTGTCCGTTCCAAAAATGTATCTCGTCACGTACGCCATCATCAGTGGAACTGAAAATACGCGACATTCTGTTATTTTTAGTAATGTTATAACCCTTATATAAAGAAATAAAAATGAGAGCTTGAAAAAAATTATTGCAACCTGTTATAACATCCACCCATTTTTTACATTGCATCGAAGTGGCAGATGCGTTTGAACCTTGCCTACTGTGACCGCATCTAGGACTGCCACTCTGTCTATTGGGTGATAGCCATTCATCTTCTGAACCACCATTTGGTACATTATCCAGTTTCTCTTCTTTTTCTGAAAGTTATGTTCAGTAAATATTACAAAGAATTACAATATGTAAATATAACAATATTCGGATAAACAATTGTGTTTACCATTTTTTTGTAGAAATGGTTTGGCTGCTCGATAATGTTTCACTGTTAAAACAACTATATCACCAGCATTCCTCAAGATGTTTACAGCATCGTCGTGATTACATGCAGTTATATATTCTCCATTCACTGTATTGGAATCAAATATTCATCTTTAAAAGCAATTTCATGATCAATCAATTGATTTCACAATTTTTAGTTAAATCACTAGACCATCTGACAGCATGTGATCAACTATAATTTTCTTTAAGAGTGTGAATACAGGTTTCATAAAGTAATACTAATGGACAGAGAGCAGACTACCTCTGTTTTAAAGGAAAAAAACCAATATTGACAGATATGACAGAAATAGAACAAGCATTCAATGTAACTTCTATGGAAAGTAGATGTTCCATTTAGACTGTACATAAAGGAACCAACAGTAAGTGTACCAACTAATGTAAAGTGAATTTTATAAATAACAAACACACCTTTAATGATTGCATCTCCTACAAACAATTGGCCACACTGATCAGCAGCTTGGCCTTTATAAATTCTAGATATAAGAACAGGAAGTTTATGTTCAGCTCCTCCTTTTATACTTAATCCTAAGCCTCCAACTTTTTGTCTAGTAATTTGCACCATTCGTTCCTTAGCATCCAGTGGTGGCTTATTGTGATTCACTGCCTGCTAGAAATCAGGGTTATTCTTTAGAAACTATAAAATTCTTGTAGACACTATGGATATTCATACACTTCGAGCAAAATTCAAGAGATCAACTACAACATGGGTCATATGACTAATAGTAGTATGAGTAATATTGATTAGATATTCTTATTACATTTTCAAAAAGGTAAAATATAAAGAAAACTAAGAATAAAATTAAATTAAATTGTATTATCAATGAAGATGATATAATCAATTATATGTATGAAACTTATATAAGGGTATATATATCAAACATTACCTCTAAATCTTCTCTTTGAAGTTTCAAAACCTCCATAGACAATTGCAAACGCATTGGTATTGGTTTGCTTTTCCCATCGCTAACACTGACCATCCCAGTCCTTACCTTTTATAAAAATAATAAAAAATTCATATACTTTGTATTTCAAACAAACATTAAATTATATTTCTATCCTCTGCACCTTTTTAAGCAATTTGATAACAAAAAACACCATATAAATACAGTCAAAGATCAAAGTTATATCACTAATTTTATTTCCATGTCAAAACACCTCTGTATATTGATTAATTAACTGCATTGCTTCAATCTCTGCACATACATGCTGCATGCAATTATAAAGATATAGTTTGACAATGCCTTCAACATCGAAATAATTCTTATCAAACTTTCAATCGAAGAATATCAATTCTCTTATTTCACTCTGACGCTCGAACCATCGGAGAATTAAACTAAAACGCGTCCTCGGAACAATATAAAAAGACATAGTAACATGAAGTTCCAAAGTATTAATAATTCACTCATGAAAAGTCTATAAATTCTCTGTGACATAATTTCTCTCGCACTTATTCAATTACATTGACAAAGAATTTCCCGAAAATTTTAAACACGCGATCGTCGAGAAATACAAAATCATTAGGAGCAGCGCAATCACCTATACATACCATAGATTTATTCCGATGTTGACACTTTCAATGAAAATGATAAAATTTTCGACGACTTGTAAGAATCAACTGTACAATTGACGAAAACAATGAAGAAAAGAGACCGTTCTCACCTTCAACTTCTGGTCAATCTTCTCCTCGATCGGAGTGCTCATTTTTGTCGCGTTGATTCTCATTATTCAACCCGATTATGCGGTCCGCGGAAACAGCTCCCCGTATTGCTTGCCGGAAATCCCCGGAGCCGAGAGACTTTCGGTTCCCGTTGAGACCTCAGGTCGCATGTTACCTTCATACGAATCGTACGATTCGTACGACACGACTGCGGCGGCTGGTCCTCGAGCGACCGGAGTACAAGATCATAGTCACGGTCTGTCTTTTTTAAAAGAAAAAGAAGGAAGGGGAATTCACAGAGAGGCTTATGCTGGAATAGAAGCAGCGGCGTCACGCAATGTTTCACGGCGCAGCGGCACGTTTATTCGGAATCACCAGTCCTCGAGACCGTTGGACGTTGCATCCGAGACGGTTCGAAACGTTCCGAGTTCCGAGGGAAATGAAAAGCTTAAACCGGGACGCAGAAAAATTGGAGTGGGCTAAAAGTAGCTAAAAGCCCGCGGCCGAGACGCATCGATTTACAGAATACAACGCGCATCGCGATGCCACCTCGTTTCTTTACGTTCGCGGGAAACACGAATAGAATAGTTTCATCCCCTTTGGAACATGAATTATTAAGATGCTTTGAAAATTTTGTATATCTACTTTTCGTGTATACAGATCGTAATAGATCACACGATTTGTGAATTTGTGTATGTATTTATAGAATTTCGTTCATTATCTCGGATAGCAATGTAATTATTCTATGTTAAATCTATGAAATAGTCCTTTTTTGACGTTGAATGTTCATAAAAAAGTGTTATTATTTATACTCGTACACATATTTTCGGAGCATGCGCTTCGTATATCCTTTGACGATAGATGGTTTCTTATAGATATTTTTATGCAAATACTATACTCGACCTTGATGGATATGCGTTTTACATATTATAAACTCTCAAAAATTTATGGTAATCTATAAAGTAATTATTGAAAATATATAGAGCATAGCATATTTTATTACTTGTATAATTTTTACACAACATATTACATTTCTTTTAGCAGTTTTAAATAAATTATCTACAGACCTTATACAAAATACAAATTTCAATGATCTATACTTATAATATTCAATATTGTATGTTACATTAAATTAATTTTCCTATTAGAGTTACACAGCACAATTATTGATTTAATTTAAATCAATCTGAAGATTTATCATAATCATTCAATTATCATATTCATAAATGCATACTTGAACAAAAATAGGGAGACTTTACTCTCCTACTGAGAGTACATAAAAAAATAATCATATATTATTTTCTTTTACCATTTATAACATTCTAACTGCAAATTTCATTTATCATTCACCATTTATTTATATTAAAAAAAATACTTTATGACATTTGTACAATGATCGCAAGAATATGGTCAAGAAACTAATATTTTCCTATGCTAAATTTTTTCTAAGTTCACAAAGTTTCCTTTATACATATCTATGCAATCCTGTTAATTTGTTGCAAGAGAAATGTGCGAATCTTAATTTTAATTCAGAAATAGTACTCATTATACAAGTAAGTGTAGTTTCAAAAATAAATATCAAAATACATTTTAATACAAATTATTATTAAAACATGATCCGTTTAAAGAAATCGTAAGATGCGTTTATCACTCCCCAGCTAATAAACGATCTCATACAGTTCAATTGTACACCTTTATAAAATGAAACTAAACTTCTATTTCTTGCTATATATATTTCACGAGTAACAGTTATGAATTTTTCAAAGTTACCGCCTACCTTTGACTGCATATGTATCTTTATTACATTCATTGGATAAAATATGGTGCTTGTAAAGCCACCTATTAAAGCACCGTTAACAAAACTTGTTACCAACGACTCCTGGTTGCCCATTAATTCTTTTGACTGTTCTCTTAAAATAAAGAACATAAGATTAGAACAGCTATTCCTATATATAATTGGAACTAAACCACGGTAGCACTCCGATATACCATAATTCTTCAATAAATATTTAAATGCATGAGAAGTATTTTTAAATTTATCGTGGTATCTCCAATCTTGCAGTAGAGTTTGTACTCTCTCAAGTGGCATAAGTATAGCCTCTGCAGTGCCAGCAAAATGGGCAGCTAATATTCTAACTAACAAATCATTGTTTGTCAATACGTATAAACGCTTTTTGCATCCTTCATACATGCTAAACATTACACTAAGAGAAAGAGTTTTTTGGCAAAGGGGTGGTAAAATTCCACGGTATAACAATCGAATGCCTTCTTTGGATATTTGTTTCAAAGCAGTATTGGCTGGTATATCTTCTAAAATCTATAGAGTAGAGCAATTAGAAATTAGTCGTATTACGTATATTGTTCCATAATGTTTTCTACGTACCTGTCTAAATATAATCTTATTAATGGGAAAGGTAACAGAAACATTAATAACAGCAGCCCCCCAGCCACAAACAAATTCTTTAAAGTCATTACTGTTTAATGTTAACACTGATTTCAATGATACTTCCTGCGAAGTAACATTATTCATTTTAAAATTCTTTTAGAATAATTTATTCGATAATACTATAATTTAAAGCAACCAATCATGTTTATTTGTCTTCTAAATCATCCTCTCCAAATCGTTCAGATCAAATAAATCATTTACCTGTAACGATCAAAATATTATGTTCTCTATAAATTACACAGAAATGCATAAAGTGAATGATAATTATTTACAAACGAGAATTATGAACACAATGGTACGAAACAATATTATATATCATCTAAGTGGTATATCAATTGGTGTTAAACAAATTATGTGGGAAAAAAATTAATTTTTTATAGACTGAAATTAATTGCACTTAACGTGTTAATTATAGAAGGTGTATTTATTCAAACATATTTAACAAAACAATGTAAATCTCTCGAGGTAATCTACAAATTGTTGCATATGATAAACAATAATTAAATAAACAAATCTTAATACGTAAAATATTTTATCGTTTGTTGCATTACGTAAGTTGCATACAGTGAATACGTTACACGTTGCGAATATGATTATATGATACAATTGGATACAAAAGGTCGACTCACGATTGTACGATTCATGGCTTAACCCATATTGACCCATATTCTTCGTGTCACATATATTTCAGGGTCAGAGTCATTGTCGTGTGTTTCTCAATTTATTCGATTTCCACATTGTTTTATGAATGAATGAGAGCAATATCAAAGATTACACACAGTTCATAAAGATTTCAAAGATCTTTTCACAAACTCGGCTGAGAAGGGAGCCAATTAGAAGTTTCTTTTGGAGACTAATCAAAATTGGCGCATCCTTCGAAAAGAATATGTATCTTCATGTGTAATAGACACTCATAATACATACATAACTGTTTATTATGCAAGTTGATACTAGTCATCTCCGAAATGAGAGCTCTTACTTAACTTTCACATTCATCGATGCGTGACAACATCTAGAAAAGTCTAGCAAATTGCGATTTTACATATGCGTCGCATGTAGAGGTGTCAGATTACATATTAAAGATTATGTATGTATGTATTTATTGAAGACCCTAGGCTTTACTCAAGCCCATGGATCTAAATATTACAGGAATAATCAAATATGTACAGTAATTTTATATGTTAATGTTATAAATAAGAAGAAATTTTTGAATTAATTGTAATTCTTTCACGCGAGGTTTGACCAGAAACATATCAAGAGATAAAGGTAGTTGCCACCCACATCGTTTGAGGTTTCTAATTAATGTCGTTCGATGACGTTCTAATAGGGGGTATTAAAGATTAGCACAGACGATGTATGGGATATAGTACCAAGTGTCATCTCGTGACCAGATTATTATATTAATGTCAATACCCGACGATACCAATATAGCACATCGTATGTACATATGTTCAAATTATGTGTATCTGATGTCATTTGGCGGGAATAAACATGTGCAGTGCTCCAGTTTGAAGGACGAATGTAACAATAATTATGAATTATAAAACACGACGCCGAAAATATACATACAATTTAATTTAGTATACATTCAATGCTGGTAGTTTCTAGTGTTGATACATTTACTTTATATGTATGTAATGGAAAAAACAAGTGATGTCATCTACGACGCAATACCCAAGCTAATGGCCAATTAGTATAAGTCTCTTATCGCTAGATGGCGAAACCCTTGCACTCCTGCAGTCATCTGTCGGTAACATTTATTTAAAAATTTGAGCATTGTGTCACAGATAGCGTAACTAGCCAAATGATATGATTTCATAAAGCAAATAATTCTTGCCATTATTTGCACTGTATCTTATGACCAGAACGGCAGTCATTATTCGAGTTAGGATTATATTTAGTATAATTTATCTGCCCCCTATAGAATTGTATTGATACCTCTTTATTTTAAAAAATTTAGATTAATAAGCTATTGTAATTGTTCATTGAAAAGGAATACTAATAACTATTTTACGGCTATTTTAGGTCTGAGGCGTCTTTAAGCTGTCTTCAAGGCGTCATGTGCCATCTGAGAAGTGCCAAGCTCTAATTATAAAAGTCATCGAAACAATGCACAAACAATTGTTTTAAGCATCTACAGAGGAGAATCTATTTCAATACATACTATGAATACATAACAAGAAACACGAACGCATCTGTTTTACTTGTCGGTACAGTCAGGTACAATATGATACTGAATAAGCCTTCGAAAAACATGTACACAACTATATACAATCACTTCTAATGACATAAGTCATAAAGTAATTGCCAAAGGTTATTATAGTGTCTGATCACAATATATATGTGTGTGTAGACGTATACTTACTTAATTATATAAAAGACGCAACTTCCTCCGGTACCATTTATAAATTAGTTCAATTTTTCGCAACGATAGTATCTTTACAATTGATGAAGTGGGGCTAAAACCTTGTCCCAGTTTTGCGAATGCACCAAATCAGTTGCTACGTCTTACGCACGTTGAGTTTTAAACAGTGTAAACGCGGAAACGATCTCCTTTAATTTCATTCTGCCATCCTTATAAGTGTCTCAGGGTATTCGTGTCTTTATCAACGTCAAAATGCTTCGAGTTGCAAACTTGGTCGCTCCAAGACCTCGAAATTTGGTAAAGATCATCAACTCAAATATCAGGTGAGCCATTGTTTCTCGGTAATGCAACATTTTGAGCAGTAACTGTGACAACCTGTTGCAATTAACTCTTATCGATTAAGTACATATGGCTATATAGAGGTAACAGTTGTATATTTTATTCATGTACATATACATATAAGTATATGCACTTTTGTTGATCGTTATTCAAATTTGAAAAAAATTTGTATACATGTTTGTCAATTAGAACGTCAGATATTTGTGTTGACATTTGTCTATCAGTTAAGTGAACTTTGAACCAATATACACGGTGTCTCGCAATAACTGATATAATCAGGAAAGAGGTCATTTTATGTACAAAAATAGATCGAAAATACACAATAAAATTTGTTTTATGAAGCTTTGTCCTCGAAAAGATTAAAATTAAAAGTTTATTTGGTAGTGTATACTTCAGTTCATTATTTAATTAACTTGATATAAATTGTCATATTGTACCATTGTCTGTTTCTACTACAAGTAAAAATGACGAGTAATAGACAAACACATTACTTGATCATGTTTTAAAATCTAAAACATGAGTTTCATGTATTTGTAGATTCGATGTTTAAAAAAATTAAATTTCATAGAGAAAAGTATTATTTTGCAATATCAATTTGTTCTCGTACATAGAATGGCTTCCTCCTTGATTTTATCATTTCTTGTGGAACGCTCGGTATGTGCACGAATTTATTTTTTTTTTATTCATATACTTATATTTGTACATGTCTTTATTTACATCTTGTGTTGAAAATATATATATTGTAAATCTAAAATACAAGTTTAAAAAGATTTTTATTTTGGCATAAATTATTTAATTTCATTAATTATTATTCAAAGAATGTAAATTTAAAAGTTGTTGAGTTTGGGAATGAGCTTGCAAAATTATTATGTTTTACAGATGTTTAGCAACACAAGCAGCTGTGAAAAATGCATCAACTGAGAAAGCAGAGAAAAGTGCAGCTGCGAGGGAGTCTCACTCCTTTACCATGAATAGTTTCCGTGGCCAATTACAAACTAACCAAGTATTTCCTTTCCCAGAAACTTTAACAGAAGAGCAACTTGACACATTAAAACTTTTAGTTGATCCTATAGAAAAGTTTTATGAGGTAAAATAAAAAAAACTATTTTATTTGTTATTTATTGATACATGAAATTAACTTTCATTAACTACATCTCTCTAGGAAGTAAATGATCCAGTAAAAAATGATGAGAATGCATCCATAGATGATAACACTATGGCTGCAATGTGGGAGCTTGGAGCATTTTCTCTTCAGGTTCCACAAGAATATGGTGGTTTGGGATTAAGTAATTCTCAATATAGTAGATGTGTTGAAATTTGTGGGTATCATGATCTAGGTGTATCCATCATTCTTGGTGCACATCAAAGTATAGGATTTAAGGTATAGTTTTGTGCATAATAAGCTTTACAACTGGTGGTTATGTTATTTCAATATTTAAGAATATCTACTAATGTATGCTTTAAACACAGGGTATACTTTTGTTCGGTACACCAGAGCAAAAACAGAAGTATCTTCCAAGAGTCTGCAATAAAGAGCTTGCAGCGTTTTGTTTGACTGAACCGAGTTGCGGTTCGGATGCTGGTTCGATTCGTTCTCGAGCTATTAAGTCCGCGGATGGATCGTATTATGTATTAAATGGTAGCAAAATCTGGATATCAAACGGCGGTTTGGCAGACATAATGACCGTTTTCGCGCAAGTTCCTATGAAGGATCCGCGAACAGGGGAAACAAAGGACAAAGTCACTGCATTCATTGTTGAAAGATCGTTCGGTGGTGTAACAAATGGACCACCAGAAAGGAAGATGGGTATCAAATGTAGTAATACGGCTGAAGTATACTTTGAAGATGTTAAAATACCAGTAGAAAATGTTCTAAGCGAAGAAGGTCAAGGCTTCAAGGTATTGCTACAATTAATACTATAAAATGAGGGAGAAAGTATTTACATATTTTACGGTCTTTCTAGGTGGCAATGAGTATCTTAAATAATGGACGGTTCGGTATGGCGGCTGCGCTTTCGGGTACCATGCGTCATTGTATTAAAAAAGCCGTAGAGCACGCAACACAACGTGTGCAGTTTGGACGCACGTTAGATAACTATGGAGGTATTCAAGAAAAATTGGGCCGTATGGCAATGCTACAATACATCACTGAATCCCTTGCATATACGATTTGTGGCAATATGGATACAGGTAGTCAAGACTACCATTTAGAAGCTGCAATTTCTAAAGTACGATTCATTTAACGTGTTAATTGTATTATTTTACTATATCAGGCGTCTCATAACGTATCACGTGTTTTACAGTGTTTTGCATCAGAGTCCGCATGGTGGGTTTGCGACGAAGCTATTCAAATATTGGGTGGAATGGGATATATGAAAGACGCCGGTCTCGAACGTATTATGCGAGATTTACGTATTTTTAGAATTTTCGAGGGAACTAATGACATTCTCCGTCTCTTTGTCGCGCTTACTGGAATTCAGTACGCTGGAAGTCATTTGAAAGAATTGCAGAAAGCATTTAAAAATCCCACTGCTAACCTGGGACTGATTTTCGAAGAAGCAACAAAAAGAGCAACGCGAGCAATTGGATTAGCATCGGCACCCAGTCTTACACATTTAGTTCACCCAAGTCTGCAAGAAAGTGCTGCATTATGTACTAAGGTTTATATTTCTTTATAATGTTGATGTAAATGTGTCTGCAGCTTCTGTGTGTAAGCTTATATTTGTAGACATGGCTTACACCGGAAAGCTTTGTGCACCAGCAATTTAATTAATTATTACTAAATGATAATCACTCGTCTGTAGGGTATACAAGCTTTTGGTGAAAGCATAGAATCTAGTCTCATCAAATATGGGCGAGGAATTGTGGACGAGCAATTTATTTTGAACAGAATAGCGCAAGTAGCGTTTGATACGTATACTATGGCTGTTGTACTGAGCAGAGCAACAATGGCTGCTAAGAAAAATCTTCCAACTGCAGAACATGAGCTCCTTATGGCTCAGACTTGGTGTGCTGAAGTATGAATATGTTTTTGATAATTTTCAATTTTACTATCACTTACAGTACATTATTACTATCATTATATTAATACTTTTTGTTGATTTCATTGCAGGCATCCAATCGCGTGAATCAGAACTTAAGCGCAATTTCTTCTAGTAAACAGTTGGATGTATTTAATAAATTAAGCAAAATTTCGAAGAATATGTGCGATCATGGCGGATGTGTTCAACTAAATCCTCTAGGTTTTTAATTACGTATTATAATTATTATAATACTATAAACACCTAACGCATAAATTAAATCATGACACTGTATCATCTTGAATCTGAAACTCTTATGCGGTAGTTTCTTTTTCGAACACTTCAATAAGCAACTAGCAATGCAATTTGTAACATAATGTTGCGGGTATTATATAAATTTTTAATTATACATATATGTATAAAATATTTTTCGTACTTTTACACAAATTATTGTAAATAAAATTGTTATAAATAATATTATACACATGAAGACAGATGCTGTTTATTTTCCGTTAATCCTCACAGAATAATAAAATAAGTATTTTAAGTTGGGTAACATACACGGTATTTATGTAATTTTTATGTAATAAATTAAATTAAATCTAAATAGAAGAACCGTGTTCACTTACACATTTTTTTACCATACATTTAAAAATGTTATTTAACATTACTACTATTCTTTTTGTTTCCACTTAAGATTTTGGTATTAAATATAAGAAAACAAGTACCATAAATACTTTTACATTATAACTAATATTAATCTTCGATTACATTTTTCTAATTGCAATATATAAATGCAGAATTCAACAATATCACAACATTATGCAAAAGTAAGGATATACTTTCTAATCGTTTTACATCCGTCTATAACATGGAAGCACACAGAATATTTGTATAGCCATTGTATGATTGAACTTTTACAGCATCCATAGAAGACAGTAATAACATTAAATGTGGAATAAATTACATGCATAAACGTAGAATCGTGTAATTTATTATTTTGAAAGATACCTCTTAAGTTTGAGATTCAAACTATCATTTCTTGGAAGTTTTCAACAAAATGATAAAATTATTCATCACATTCGATGTATCGGTTTAGATAAAAGTAAACAAATAAAAATTCATTCGATGCCTCCCATACGATTTGAAATCTTCAACTTTGTAAAAGTAAATATCACTTAACGATATCTCACTGTTAATCATTTTTGAATCATACATTGGCAGTGTTTTGTTCCAATTTGTAACAGGATCAACTATAAAAACAATTTGATTCTCAAACTTCAAGCTGCTAAAATACTTAACGTGTATAATCGATACCATTCCAAGTAAATAAGATACGGTTGTTTGAAAACTACTTTGACCAGGTATGATTTTATTACCGAATGTCTGAGACACGAAATTGGAAAGAATCTACTGCCGCTGATAGATATAACCGTGATCCATAACTTTTTTTTTCAGAAAAATAGAACAGTGGATTATTTTTTTTCGTGCTTGTTACTCCAGGTATGCAATCCTATTTTTAAAAACATACAAGTTCCAATAGTACGAATTCACAATTCTTTTTCTATGTAATGTTACATCTTATGATCTAATAAGCCTTTAAGAGAATACTGGCAAATATATTATCACAAATAACGAGAAGTATTAGTCAAAGTTGTGTAAAAAAGTAATACAATAACACATGAGACGAGCGAGGAATAGTTGTATTGTTACTATAACAGAAGTTTTTGTGTACATTTTCACACTATTCTTAGTTTGTGTATATTGTAACCCTGATGCTCCTCTTTATGAAAATAAATCTTTATTAATTCAGTAATCAAACTGTTAGCACTTTAATGAGTTCTTTCACATTGTTTCATATCATGTAGGACCCATTTCAGCAGTAGACGATCATAAACATACGAGATTTTTTAAGGATTTCGAAACTTGGTTACATTACATGCAGATCAAAAATGGTAATTTTGTACTGGTGTACAGATATAATTATTACTCGAAAACAAGACCAAATGAAACAAACGTTATATGACTTTTTCTTCATTGTTCTTTTACATTCCTATATATCACTTGTATCACTGAAGTGAGTCTTACACACGTTATTAAACGTTCTGTTTATATATTCTTGTTAACCTGCCGACAATTTGCTTCCTGAGAATTTCGTCGTTATTATTTTATGATCCACCTATGTATAATGTACTTACTTATGATGACAATGGCGAAAATATAATTTCCTCTATATACATTTTCTCTTTTTTTTTTTAATACACAGAAAGAATTTCATGTTACATACTATCAGTAATGTAAGATACATAGCAAGTAAGAACATTACCTGTACTTTAATTAATACTTTCTGTACACGGAAATTATGGAACTGAAACTAGCTAAAATGTTCGGAATATGTATTGATCTCATACCTAAGTGAAATGTTGTTTTCGTTGCATGTGATTTATTTTACATAATTATGCTTCTGAAAACAGCAAATGTATTGAAATGATTAACAGTTTGTAATACTAATCCGAGTTATAACAATAAGAAGTGTGTGAATATAATCAATATACTTTTGAAATGAAAATGTTAGTACATGATAGTACATGCTATAAGGATAAAGGTTTCCAAGTACAAAATGGTAAGTGGTATAAGAAAATAATTAATTCAAACACGCTTATAATTTAAGTTTTAAAATGTGTGTTCTTCAGATGAATGACTACATATGATAGACTGTTAAACTAATTTCATAGGAAATGAATGGAATTTGTGAAATTTAAACATACACTGCAGGAACGAACAATACTTGAAATACGCATTTTTAAATTTTCATTTACTTCATATTTAGTAGTTAGAAAGACACGAATAAAATTTAAACTTTCACCAATATTACTGTGACAGTGTACGCATTATAACATTTATAACACACAAATATAATCGCAATGGAAATACAGACTGTAGCTTCCAAATTAAAATGGATACTTGAGTGCCAAGATATCTCTTTTGTACAATTCTACTTACAATATTTTAATGTTTTTTAAAAAGTGTAATACATTTTAGTAAATGTATAAACTATGTATTTATTTTGCAAAGGAAAGTACACATAAAGAGTTTAAAGTGTATACAAACTTTCCAGATATTTATCCACAAACTAGTTAATAAGATTTTGTATTTTCAATAAACAAAAAAAGGAAACATCTTACCATGGAAACATTTTAACTTTAATCATTTTATGAACAAACAATGATTTTGCATCACTAATTGCCACACATATACTTACAAGCTTATAGATTTTTTTTTTAATGATGCAGTATTACTACCTGGAGTAACTTATAAGAGTTAGGAAAGCTAACCCTGTGCTATAGACAGATTTTTAAATGTTTGTCCATTCCAAGCAACCGAGATACAGTAATGTTGCAATAACTGAGTTAAAAGTTCTCGTTCATCCAACATTTCTATATGCTCGATTCGACTACGATCAGATTGAGATAGTGAATCATAGACCTCTACCATGGTCCATGCATTAGAGCCTTCCCAATTATTTATCGTAAATCTGAAAAAATAAAACAATTTTGTAACGATGTCTTTGAGAATGTGCATCAACTCTAGGTATACACAAATGTATGTACCGTCTTTGTTGAGTTTCCAAAGATTCACAGTCGTCTACACCTGCTAATAAACACCCACGACTACGTAAGTTAGACAACATAACTTGTCCAAACTTATCTTTCATGTTCACTTGCTCATAATTAACAAAAATACTATTTGTAAATTTTCCAGCAAGCCATTTTAATAATGTAGAAGTTGCACTAGTGTCTATGTACACTAAGACACATTCTGCAAGGAACATGGTTGGTAGATTAAAATTAACTTCTGCTTGTGATAATTTATTAGTAAGTTCAGATATGTGCCGCAGATCCATTCCCACCAAGTGATAATTGGCAGCATGCAGATCTGTTGTTGAAAACCTAATTTCTCCATCTATAAAAATCAATGCGAGTAATAATAAACCTGAACTATATAAACAATGAAAATTGGATATTTAGATGTAACACTACACCTTCTGTATTCAACATATCTATCAACTGTTTGTGCTTTTTGATGTGGTAGCATTTTCTAGCAGTGATGTTTGGAAAATCAAGCTCTATAAAATTTACTGGACACTTTCCTGTCTCTTTGAGTCTCCAATAAAGTGTGTCGAATCCTGCACCCAAATTTATAATTTGGCCTTTCTCACCAGACAACTGTATCATGCAAATAAACCCAGAAATTAATATTTTTTGTGTACTATATTCTTACTGTACATAAATCAATCAAGTATACATCTGTAACATTTTTTTATGACTATATGTAATCTTTACTCTATAATTTAATCTTTACTATATCATAATCTCATAGTTTAATATTTCATGATTATACAGATTTAAACAAAAATGTGAGTTGGGAACTGAAATTTCTGCTAAATAATCTATAAAATTATTTTAAAAGGTGGATCAGTGTAATTGCTTTATTTAACCACTGGTGCATACTGTATCATTTTGTGTTGCATCAGATAGTGTTAATAATGCACCGATTATTGCAGAATTAATTATTAATTCCCGCGATATTTTTCAAAAATTATTCGACAATAATATCTAAGCAATCGGCGAGTTTCATTTTGAGACGACGTTCAGTAAGAGACTTTTATTACAATTACATTTGTGAATCATAATTTTCATGGAGAAAAATCCTGACAGTCGTATGTAAGTTCAACCTATATTGTTGCTCCACGATATAAAGGGGGGACCTCGGAAATTAGGACAGGGCCTCGGTCAGGTCAAGGTTTCCGGCACTGCACACGTCCTTTGCTACTCGCGGATCAGCTGTATCCCGGATTGTTTCTATCATGCTTTCTAGGTTATGCCAATTTCGATAACGGAATTAACGAGAATCGTACAGAATTAATCAAAAGACGCGTACCTTCAGAAATTTCTCGATGAACACCTCGATCCCTTTTACCCGTGCGTAATAACCGCGATTGATTTCGGGCGCTTTTCGTCCGGTTTGCTTCACGAAAAAGTTGATAAATGGATCGGGCCAGTAACCAAGTTGAACCGCGTATCTTTTACTTTCACTCGCGTCGTCGTTAGTGGCCTGTATGGCCTCATCGTCAGCCATATCTTTGATCATCACACCAATTCTGGTTCACTTCAGTTATGACAAATCATTATTAAGCGTTTTAATTCTTTAGTCAAGAACCGTACCTGCCCTAGCCACTCACGAGAGAAAATTTCCCCAAGCGACCATACTCAGTATCACTCAGTATGGTATACTGCTGACTGGGAGTGCTGGGAGTCCCAGCATGTATAAGTTATACTGGCCTCCACTCGCGGCGCAAGCTTTTGCGTCCGCTTTGCGGGTTGCCTAGAAGTAGGGGTATCCCCCATACCAAATCTACTTTTTAAACCATTTATTTCAAATCGCTAATTTTAAGAAAAATTTCAAGTGAAATTTGCCTGTGTCTATACTGAAAAGAATATTGAATTTAAATAATTTTATTTGAAGTTTTATCCATATTTTATGCTAATTATAAATCAGAATAAATATAGTTATTGTAATATTAAGTTGCTGTTTAAATTCTGCCCGTTACTTTTTCATTACATTAAAAGAATCTTATGTATCAGATAAATTATTGTTACAAATACATAATAATTAATTATTATTCAATTGAAGAATCCTTATTGTCACTGCTCTAATTATATTCACGAGAGAATATGATTTAAATATGTAAACTCAATTGAAAAAGGTAGCTTAATGTAACAGTGTATAAGTACATATAAATAAACTTTATTATGCTAAAGTATTTAATTTCCTATTTTTACAGATTAAAATAGATAAGTTTCAAGTGGGTAAGAAATAAAAGTAGCATATTTGATCGTAGCGATTGTATTCAAACAAATTCAACACCTCTGGCATCTCTTAAATAAGAACCTCGCGTGATGATGCATGTGTATATGTATACATATGTATAAATATATAAAGATACAAATTAATACATATAAAATGTATAAACTTCGTGTAAAATTAAAAAAATTTGTAACTAGTTTTTTATAACATTTCTTTCAGAATAACTCTACGAATTCTAACAGATATGTTCCGTGTTCTTTTTAACGAAATCGTGTATAAGTATGATCAATCACAGCTACTTGTATACATATATCATTAAATAAATTGAAGCTAATAAATGAGTGAAAAATTAGTCGAGACACGTATTAAAATAACATATTAATAAAATAATAATTACAGAGCACTATACCTAAATGGTATTAGTTTTACTCCAAAGATATACGTAAATATATGGACAGACTGGTACAGGAAAGACCTTCGCATTGGAAGGAATTAACATTGATCCAACTTTACATTAGCAAAGTAATTCATCTGCTGGCATGATTCCATGTTCGTTTAGCCACTTGTTTGACGAGTTATAATTACTAGAGGCCCAGGAATACACAGAGTTAGGTTTCTAGAACTCTATACTGAGGAATTACTTGTTTTTCTATCAGCTAACGATGATGGATCTAAAATAAGATTGCTTGAAGGCACATCGAAGAAAGACGCAGTGATTATTTATGGATTAAAAAGAAATGAGTATGTAATAAAAACGAAGTTTATCAAATTCTCCACAGGGGAATAGAAAAAAAAAACAGCGGCAACATTAATGAACGCTCAGTCCAGCCGATCTCATAGAGTATGTATTTTCAATAACTGTACACATGAAAGAAATCACCATTAATGGAGAAGTTTCAAAGATGGGTGAACTAAATTTGGTGGATCTAGCATCTCAAAAAAATATTGGAGGGTCTGGTGCTGTTGACAGAAGAGCAAAAGAAGCTAGTACTGTTAATCAATCTTTGTTAACCCTTGGAAGAAATATACGTGAATATATAATTGGGGGAGGGGCGGTTAAAATATAAAAAAGCTTTTATTTAGTATCGACACTTAATTAAAAAGGACACATTATATAAAATATGTATAAATTACGAAGCAAAACATAAAACTGGAATATAATGCTGCTTAAAAATTCGAAAACATTCAAACATCAAAAAACTGTGGGTAATATAATTCGAGGGATACTGAAAGTATAAAAATTAGGAGACTAGCAAGTATCACCTTTTATTACTTTCTTGTTTTTATGGCTCGTAATTTTGAAACCTTAGAGTATTTCTCATTAGTATTGTCAGTTCTTGTTTTGTAATTACTATTCTACGTCGGACTTTTTAACGACTGGCTTTGTGGTTGCAGCTTTTGCTTTTCTTTTAGGTGGAACTGGTACATCAGAAGTACTGGATGATGGGTTTTCAGGAACGATTGTCGTATCAGTATCATGAGTTTGCGCTGATTTTGTACCCTTTTTAACAACCTTCACAGTCTTTTTTTGTTTACCAGCAGAACTACTTTCTTCCGTGCCATCATCGAGTCCTTCTTCTGTCTTTGCTTTAGGCTTTTTTGCAACCTTTTTCACTACCTTCTTTACAACTTTCTTTCCATTATTATCACCCTCTGCAGTTTCTGGAGGTTCTCCTTCTGACATAGATTTCTCTAGAGATTTCTTTACAGTTTTTTTTACTACTTTCTCCTTTTCCTGTGACGGAGATTCTTGAAGACTTTTTGATGGTTGGTTCAATTCTTTCACTCTTGATGGCCTAACTGGATTTTCAACTGATGGAGGTGTTTTAGTTATATCGCATTCTAAAGGAGTTTTGGATGATTCCTCTTTTGTTGTGGGACTTTCAGTTTCTTTGGTTTCTTGTACCGATTCTGGCATTTGTTGCAAATTTTCAAGCGTGCATGTTTCTGGGGTTCTTGTATCAACTGTAATACTTGAGGATGACAATGCAAGTGATTCTACAGTCTGACGTTCTTCTACGGGAGATGAAATTTGTAAAGCTCCTATTGCCTTTATAAATAATTCACTCGATTCTTCAAAAGTGTCAATACTTTCCTCGGGTCTAACGGTATCTGGAGTTAATCCCTTATCTTGAATGGGTTCCAATGTTGATGCAGAACCATTTATTTGAAGTTTTCTTTCTGACTCCGGGAAAGCTTCAGAACAGGGTATATTAGATTCATGAACAGGTATTATTGTCGAAGAAAGAATTTCTTGAGACATCGTTTCAGAATCTGACACAGACTCTTTGGGTTCTACTTGAAGAACAGATTCTGCAACTTGTATTGGTACAGGGCTGACTGTAAGAACTTCTGATGCAGTTGAAAATACTTTTGCATGTTTTTCATCTGTAATATCAAATTGCTTTATTTGCTCTGTATCTACAGCAACTTCAAGATTTGTTAAATTACTTGGAAACTCTTCTGTCGAGGTAACCAAGCTTACATTATCTTTGTTAGATAACACCTCGACTTTTTGTTCTTCAATAGAAGAAGGTGGAACTGAATCTTGTGGTGCTATAGATTCAGATGTCTCTCGTGGGATTTCTTTTAATAGTGAACTTGTACCAAGTTGTTCTACAACTTTTTCAGGTGCTTGCGTTTCAAGTTGCATAAAAGAAGCGACTACAACAGTGTCAACGCATTCACTTTTTAATCCTGTTGAAGATTTTTCGGAAATATCTTTTGCTGTTTCTTGCAATGCTGTTTGTTCTTTTTCATTTTTTGCAGCTGTAGTCGTGATTTCAATAACGTGTTCACTCTTCTCAGATAACTTAGATTCTGTGCTACCATTGTCTGTTACAGGAACATTTGTAAGTAGAGATTGTTCTTCAGTAGGACTGGTTGCTGCTTGAGCTAAGTAAAAAAAATAATAACATTGTACATACGGAAACATAATAATACATACACATACAGTTCGATACGTTCCTTGCTACGTAACTGTTCTACATACGTTTTAATAAGTATATTAATTATGATTAACTTTTATAGCAAGGTACGTACGAATCAAAATATATAATTAAAAATAGATCGTGTACTAAAGTTATGTATACGAAGTTGATAGTGTACACAGAAATAAAACTGTTTCCTTCACATTGTTTTCTATATATGTACAATTATCTGAAGAAATTTGCTACTTCTACTGAGAAAAATATAATGATCGTGATTGATATTATTACTACAGAAGTGCTCTTATTAAATGCTATTTGATAAAACTAACTAAGAATATACCATGAATGCTTTGTGTTAACATAAAACATAAAGTCAGCAGATTTTAGCTTGTTATGTAAGCGTGAAAATAATGCATTATGACATTAATATGAACAAACATATCATGCATGATGATTGTAAATGTATCTAACTTTCCTGCAGCGTAGTATTTGTACCCAAGCAATGAACAGTCAAAATTTAATTATATTGCAGCATGTATAAGCAAACTACACGAATATGGTCGTAAATGATGCTATTAATGCATTACTTATAGATGTGTTATTAATTTCACTCGATAATTATTACTAACAATAAATTCTTGCATTAGCATTGATTAAAGATGAATAGATACACAGCTGGTATGATCTATGTTTGGAATTCAATTTTACAATTATTATACAACACCATAATTGAACATTTACATACTTCTACAGTTTTATAAACATATATCTAATGTTAAGATATCATGAATGAAAAATAAATTACATGATTCACTATAAAATGATGTAAACCTGATGATATGAACATCAACATGTAGTGTGTCTTGTTTTAGATATATGTAATTCGTAAGTGTTTTTAAATTATTGAGAAATGTGACAATAAAAATCGCGATTGTGGTGATGTGAGTTCTCAAAATATTTACCCCATTAAAGCAAAATGACAATACAAGACGTAGCAATGCTATGGCGCCAGGATCTGTTAGTTGCTGTCCTCCGTTCCTGTTTTAAACACTTAAACTTGATAAACTGTATAGAAAAGATATATTTTTCACTTTTTTAAATTATATATAAAATTGTCCAATATATTATTAACTATTTTGTAACTATAATTTATATTCAACTTTAATAACAAAAAAAAAACAAACTTCAACTGAACATATCAATTTGAATAACACATGCTGTAGTAAAATAAGATAAAAAGAAAATCGTAAAGCGAATTCAAGAAAACAGTTAATGGCTTTACACTATGAGCACTTTGATTCTCAGCTTCTTACATATTTTTCAACATAGCTCAAAATTTTCGTTTGGTGGATTTATTTTTACGTCTTCTTCCTTCAATACGCAGTCATAATTGCCGCGTGAACACATTTAAAAATATATATATAGAAACGAATTATATAATTTAAAATCACTTTGTATTGAAACAAAACGTACCAGTTCTCTTATCCACCTCATCTCTTGCTTCAGTAGATTGAGTAGATTCAACAACCTCAGTAGATTCAGTAGGTTCAACAACTCCGATAGATTTAGTAGGTTCAATAACTTCAGTAGATTCAGTACATTCAGTAGACTTGGCAGTCTCATCAGATGCAGCAGTTTTTGTGGGCTTTTGAATTTCCTACGAATTAAATTCCACGCGTGTTGATGCATACATTGTACTCGTGCTTTTACTTACAACAATTCATTAATAAAATAATCACCTTAGGGGGAGAGGGTAATCGTGTCGGTGCAAGGGAGAGCGTTTGGCAGATTTTCTTCCAAATATTGTCAAAGCTATCACGACCCATATAATCAATGTGTCCCTGCTCCCAGCTTTGTTTTCGCATATGTTCTTCTAGGGCAATTTGTTCGGCGCTTCTGGGTTCACCCAATGTGATTTGAGCCAAGGCACCAGCGAGACCAGCCTATAAGAATAAAGAAGAATACTTTGCTCTTTAAGATTTTTTCACGTCAATGAACTTGACAAAAAAAATAAATACAACAATCAAACTAGAACGTAGAACACACTTGTAGAGAGTATATTAACAAGTTACCTTACATGACCGCCATACATAATCATTACAATATACATACAAATGTGGGTATCATAAATACATAGAAAAATAACACACACAAAACTAGCGTGAATTAGTACGATAATAATAACAACAATAAATCGTGTTAAAAATTCCAAGTCGTGAACTTCTTTTCTACAAATACTAAAGCAAAATATTGTTACTCATTTTCGTTGATATATCTATAGGATATGTAATGTTGAAGGATCTAATATATAAAAAAAAATAACTGCACTGAAACTGCAAGTAATGTCCCAAAGACTACTAAAATACAATACGAATCGTACATTCAAATAATATAAATAAAACATCCAAAGACATGTTTATTATAGAAGATTTATAAAAGGAAAATGTATAAATTTTTTCTTAACTTTAATGCAATCTACAGAAGAATGTGGGAACAATTACTTACATCTGAACTGTCTTCCGTTTTGTGTGGGTCAGATTGCGTTGCTACATTGTGGATATCTGTACAAGGTTTGGAATCAGGAGGAGGGCTAGTAGATATCAGTGAATTAGTCCGTACGTCTGTAATGTTTACATTATCACCTTGGTCAGCGCTTTGTTTAGCAGACAGATCATTATGATGAGCTATATTGATTTCTTTAGGCTGTTCATGATTAACTTTATCATTCGTGTGTTCTTCCCACTTATGATGAGTTTGGTTGTCTTGCTGATAATGTTGAGTAGTTTGTCGACTAGTTACATTATCGTACGTTTGATGATGCTGACTTTGCATATGATCAACAAAATGTTCATTGTGTCGATATGGTTTTGGTTCTTCTGGTAATTGTCTGTTGTTGTCAGAAAAATGATTATGAGCATGTCGATGTTCAACATGATCCGGTTGTTTTGTTTCTTGTGGAAATGATCTATGATCGATATTGCAAGAATGTTGATAAGCACGATGATAATCAACATGTTGATGTTGTCTCGTTTCTTCCGGGACTGTAACGTTACCGCAAGAATGTTGATGAGTGTCTTGATGATCAGCATTATAATGCTTATGAGATTCATCTGAATGCTGATTTTGCGTACTATGTACAGATACAGAACTTTCGACACTGTGATGATTCTGCCAATAATCAGAATGAACGTTCGCGGTGGATGTATTTTCCGAATGGAAAAATGAATGCTGTTGTTGCTTATGCTCACTGATGTATTGATTAGATTGTTCTTGATTATGATGGTGTTGAATATACGAAGGGGAAGAATTATATTCGTTATAGTGTTGCTTATGAAACGCCTCCCTATTATTATGTTCTAGCGGTGATTCATAACGAGTCTGGTGAATAGGTTTTACAAAATTAAATGTGTCACTTAATACAGTTACAGGTGAAGGTCTGTCAATTGTGGGATAATACTGTTGAATTTCGTTATTGTTTTCTTGCATATGGATAACTGGATCATGTTGTGCACAATAATTTTCCCATGGATCTTTAAATTCTGAGAAGTCTGGCGGTTCTATATAAATGTCGTTCTGTGGTTTGTCTTGTATGTCTGTGTAAACGGGAGGACTTTGCGGAACAGAGGACCGATAAGGTGCAGGAGAAAATTCGTGCCAAATTGGTGCCAATGTGCTGGTGGCCTATGCAAGCATCATGCCAAAACAGAAAAATGCACATTCAGTTGGTTAGTAGAAAACTAATATAACAGTGTCCATTTTTCTTAGGTCAGTATTGTTATTCAGGGAATATTTTCTCTATGGTATCGTGATAAACTCATCGATACATATGTATATATATGTATATATGTATATATACTACTGAATGGCATTTTTTAACTCTGTTATTAAAAGTACTTTGTAACTTTCGAGTATATCGCTGTTTCTTTCGTTACAACAATTTTTTTAAGTAAAAATACCAAACACAGAGTTAAACAGACAAGATTGTCTATTAATTTACAAACACTTGTAAATTACAAATCTACACGTTACAAACATGTCGAAGTCAAGGAAAAAAATGGACACTGATCTACAAAAAAAAAGTATTACAAAAAGATTAAGTTCAAAGTATACTGACAGCTATAACACTTTGGAAATTTCTTGAATATTTGGAATAGAAATTTATAAAGTATCACTCATTTCACTTTGTCTATTACTATCAAATACCGAAGATTGTGCTACAAAGAAAAAACCAAGAACGTACCTTAAATGCCACAAAAAACAAGTCAAGTCAGAAGATGCCACTCGAATAATAAATAATTGTAAGCAATATTATTTTCCGTAATTCTCAAATACATTTTTCGTAATATTCGTACTTCTGAATGTATGTATACATTATAGATTATAGGCATATGTATACCTACAGTCAATTATTTCATCAAGCATGTTTGTATGTAATAATGCGTGATTGTGATCGTGACATATACTATCTGTGCTAATTATCGAAATGTTAAGGAATATATCTCACACTGTGAATGGCACACTAATAAGAGCAATAAAAGCATACGACCTTACCTTCTGTTCTAATTACGTTTAAATCTAATAACTTAAAAATGCTTTTCGTTTCATTCAATGAGTTGATATCTTACAGGCTAATATAACGTATAATAAATAAGAGAAAATATACAATGTTATATATTTTGTTTAAAAAAACCATTATATTTGCAGAATTTTTGTGTCGCACTCATAATTAGTTGAACAACTAAAAACTCATTGTTATATGTTTCTTCCCATACGATTCATTGAACTTACCATAACGGGGGACAAGTGAGGATGGACTTTATCACAAAATATGTTCCACCACAATTGTAACAGTGGTTGCAAATGAGCCGACTCCATTGGTGGTTGAACAATACCAGTTAAAGTATCGAAATACTGTAACCAAGGTTTGGTGATACCAATGAAATGAATTATCCTAACATCATCTCCGAACCTGGGCAAGTAACAGTATATCTAAAATTACTTTATTTTCTATACGCGTAATTGCCGAGATTATGTTCTGAAATTTATAACGTGACAATGTTCTAGTTCTAAAAGAATCCGATTTCTTACTGTTTGAACGCAGGAAGATACGAATACACAGCAGTGGAACACATGTTATAGATGAATGGTAGATGTTTCGAAATATCCTTGTGGGCCCAGTCGCTGAAGTACATGTTCAACAGGCCCTGATCACCGCCGTCGAACGAGCCTTTGGCAGCGGCGAACGCGGTGATCGAAGCAAAGGTTTGTTGCGACGGTTTGTACACAAATACGCCAGAATTAAAGCAATCGGGCCAGCCCACGTCGGGAGCAGCGGATAACTCCTCCCTTTCGAATAACTCATCACAGTTTCTGACGACCTAAAACGTTTGTATCGACAAATCATTAATCGAGAAACACCAGTTTCGATTGGGTTGATGCACAAGTAATGGGAACTCTGAAGACGGGTCATATTGCCGGAGTGATACGCTCCGCTACACAACGCATAATGGTGTGACGGTGGTGAAATTCCCATTAATTTACGCGTCAACCCAACAAGATAGTCGACAGAGTATCTCCGTTAACCGTCCTCAACACTTACAAGTGTGTCCGCGTCAAGGAATACGCATTTATCGTATTGAGACAGTCTCCAACAATGAAGTTTCGTAAATGTAATGCCCAATTCTGGTCTAGCTAACAATGCCAAATTAGCCTCATCTTTTGAATCGAGTACATTCACTTCCATTACCACCGAGAAAACCGCCGACAACTTCTCCCTATCGCAAACGAGAAACACAGATTAGATTTCCTGTAGGTATGTTTTCGTCTAATTACACTTCGAAAAATATTTGTAATCGGGCGCCAAACCTCATTACTTCGGTTACTCCCGGAGTAACCAAGACGGCCAATTCATGTTTGGTACCAACACGACGCAGAGAGTGTGCCAGTACTAACGCTCCCAAGGAATAGGCATCGTTGGTAGCCAGTGTAACCCAGGCATATCCTGTAATTCATACAATTTCACTGATTGACTTTTAAAAAAAAATTGCAAATTTACAAATGATATTTTGTCAATTTTTAAAAGGTTCACGAAAATTATTTAATTGCCCGACATTCTATCATCACGCATGTTTATAAATCGCATCCATACATACCCCTCGTTACTCGATAACACTAGACTATACATTGTATCAGCCGTGCGTATTAATTGATAAGATGTCGCATGCAAGTGAAATTCACTCTTCGCATACATTCACAACATCGATCTTCTGTATTGTATTGTCTTCGCTATTACATCATCAACGCCAGCCGAGGAAGGAATGCATTTTTCTGTGGGTATATAAGTAGCTCCGTATAGATAACACTCTGAACTCTGCCGGTGCCATTGACTCCGCTTCGACGCTTATCGTATTAACGATTACGTAAATCCAAAGACAATTTAACAATTAGCTAACATCGACAGAAAAAGGTTCGAAATAATTTGTCGAAAAATCGAGCCATTCTTTCTGGAGTTTTTAAAAATCGACGAAAGCTAAGAATCTTTTATTGGCTAATTTCATAATTGTATTAACTGATTGGAAGAATGAAAACGAGCGCTCGAAGGTCGATTCAAGGTCAAAAATTTTATCCATCGAAAATACTAATTTTGCACGAAGCATGAAACAGTTCCAAAGAAATTACCAACAAAAAAAAATAGGAATTCGAATGAATTTCAGATCAATTCGTGTTTGTTTTATTCATTTCGAAAGACTGATCCCGATGAAAATAGAAGCTGGATCTCTAGATCCAAGTGCACGCGGACCACGATGCGACGTTGTTTCATGCGGGCGTAGAAATTCATCGTGGTTTTATTTATAAACGCTTCCTATTTCTAATTCGCGAATGTCATCGGTGAAATCGCAACGTCAAACCGAGGCCAGAATCCACGAGTAATTTGGCTCTAGTTTTCCAGGATAAAATTCTATTTTTAGTCGATTATCTATATTCACCAGCGGGCTCTGTCCACCAGATAGTATGTAATCGTTAAAAACATCAACAATCTCAGCGGCGAAAAAAAGAAAAAGAAAAAGAAGAGACTAATTTTTTTTTCAGGCTCTGTATAAATGATAATTGCGGTTATCGTCCCCGTCGAGTTAACCTAAGTTCTATCACGCGAGTCGAAAAGTATTCTTTAAATTATATTGGTCGCCTGGTCGACCTCGTTTTCTTCGACGTATTACATTTTTTTCGGGGAACTATTTTACCAATACTACACAGATAACCGTGACAGTGGTAGATAACACAGAGACCGAGATAGGAACGATTAAGTTCGTTGTTTCATATTCTATCCGTACCGATATCAATAGAATTATTCAACCCTTTTGGGCCGAGACATCGTGCAGAGATTTATTTCAAAGATTAATATTATTATCTCATTCTATAATCAGAATTCTTATCTTAATTCCAACAGAATCTTATTCAAGCTTCTACATTCACGTGCGTTTTTTTTTGTATTTGAACAATCTTCCGCGTCCTTTGCACGGGACTCTATTTACACAGCAAAACATGTAAATAAGGATTTACCCTAAAACTGAATAAAATACCAACATTCCTTTCCGTCGAAATAATTTCTCTGCTGCCTCTACTGTCTACTACGCACATACATACATTCGTATACACTAGTTTTACGAAATGCGGTGTAATTGGGTCGCGTATGTAACAATCCTAGACTTAATCCCATGTACATAGTCTCGAGCCTTGAAAATGTACCGTTCACGTTTCTGGAATGGTTGCGTTCTACGTATCGACATTGAATGGGATATTAAGTTTCGTCGCGTTAGGTGCACCAGTGTGCAACGGGTGATTCTTGCCGCTCGCGACAAGGCTCCGGGTATGGGCCGACCGGCATGAATCACTTGGGCGGTGCGTGCATACAGAGTATGTGAAACGGAATCAGGCCCGGTGTATACTGTGTAAATAGGCTGGCTCATTTCACGCTTCTCGCAGTCTCTTCTAATTATTACAGCATAAACACGCATCTTTAATTTGTCCACTTCACTCGAATACGAAGAACTGTAACGCTTACAAGGAGAACATGAAAACGAGCCTTCATCCTCTTATCGGATCCCTACAGGTCTAGCACAAGCAAATGTTTGGAGCACTTTTCGATCTTTACAAAATCTTCTTTACTAAACGATATTCATACTTTGATTATAATTTTCATTTCACGTCGCAGTCAAGGTTCGATTCTTTTTCGACACAATTTCGAAATTCATTCACGTGAAAAAGGACAAAATTTCGTTCAGGTGATAATACAACGAATAAGGGACCACGTTCTTTCGGTTCGATAATAGCTCAACTCGACTTAATCCATCCTGGATTTAATTTCGGGACCGCGCGCGCACGTAAACGTTCGCAATCATCCCGAGTCCGCTATCAGCAGACAAGTTTATCAATGTGTTCGATGCCTGACGAAACTGTAGATTTCCGGTTGAGGTTCAAAGACTGCTCTCGGAACGTTATGTCACAGCGTATAATTTCATCGAACTATACCGGTAAATTGGACGCCCTGATTCGATGAGAAAGTATATGTAAAAATGAACGAAGAGCATCGAACCATTTCCTGAGGTCTGATTTCGAATACGTTCGATCTGACGTCGCCACGTGACTTCGTGGCTTAACCGACCAATTAGACTGACGAGGAATCCGAGCGTCTAATTTGTACGCGCTGATAGTGTCAGTTTACATCGTCTTTGCATCGAACCCTGACAGGAATCGCTTCTAATCAATCCTGACATCTCCTCGATAACATTGTAATAGAGACACGCAGTGAAACTATTCGATCGGTATCGTGTTGTAATCTTTCGAGTGCCCATTTAAAATGGACAAACACAGTGTGTGTACGACATTGTTATTAAGGCTGTTTTATCTGGTTACAGTGTCTGTCGGGGTAAGTACATACATACATATGGACTACGGGGGAGGGAGGATGCATCAAAGACGGTTGGGTAAAATTAAATGCAACGAATGCAAAAGAAACACGGCCGTGAGTCACGGCTATAGAAAGAACGGATGGGAGCAGCAGCCCGGGGAAAAGAATAGATGCAAGGTAAAAGCTCGGATTTCTGCTACCGGTCTTCTCCACCGGAACACACGACTCACAAGTGTTCAGTCATGTCGATCCTGAACGTAGAATGTATCGACACCACGATACGTTCTATACATATGATATCTCCGGTGAATTCCGAAACTCTTCTTCGTCTTGTATCTCTCTCTTCTACTCGCGGATCGTCTCGTATTTACAAGTATCAGGAATAATCACGAAATCGGTTCGGTGTATAAGTATTCTAATATTTCCAGAAACACGATGTCCCAATTACAACTTACACGTGCAGGTCGAATGTCTCTATGTCTACGATAACTCAGGCCACGATAACGACCATCTAAAGCCGAGGATCACCGTATGTACCGTGGCCAGAGATATTTCGTCCGATTCGCGGATTTGTTTACTTCGAAAATCGCGGTTTTGCGATCAAACGTCGCCGGTTCCGAAATGTTGGCACACGAAAGCTGTTTCGCGTGACAAAGTACAGGGTAGAGTGGCCGTAAATTGTATGACACCAGTAGTTATTCGCCTCTTTGTTGACTAGCGTACTAGCTAGATCGAAATTTAATGCACTTTTCCGAATAAGGAAAGATAACGTTTCTTCTGGATTCGAAAAACCTACTCTCCAAGAACATTTATGACACAATTTGTGCTTCTGTGTTGCAAAAATGTAATTGTTGCATTGAAAAGGGAGAAGGGCACTTTGAGCCCCTAGTGTAGATTACTAGACATGTTCTCGTATTGTACACAAGTTCGTAACATAGAAGTAGAAGGGAAAACGAAAATATTCGACATTTAAAAGCATGTTTGCCGAGCGACTTACAGCCCCTGTGTATAATTTTGCGGGGCGCGTCAAAGAAGAGGGAAAGAAAATAGTAAAACATCTATCTCCGGGTATGAGAAACGCGGCGCTCGGCTTCGCTCGTATATTGTAACACGCAGGAGGCAGACGAAACCCGAGAGGCCAGAGGTGCCGTTGTGCCACACAGGTTTATATTTATACAGACCGTCCAGCTTATAATAGCAACCGAGCCTAGCGTTTGTACATACAAAATGCATTCATATACTCTTGCGTTAGGTCAAGCACTTGTCGCCCAAGTCTGACGAGATTTCCTTGTGCGATCCCGCGCCTACACGTATCGTCTACGAATTGACACTTTCTCCTCGTATGCCTCTAGAGATCGCGTGCACAACCCATCCGCCACCCCTCTGTCTTTACAGCCATATGAAGACGATAGGAACTCCCAAATGATTCGGGGAGACAGAGCTCGTTACTTGACATTTAATTCGGACTTTCTGTCAGAAAAGACAATTGAAAACGAAATACAAAACTACTGAAAATATACATTGGACTTCGAAACGTCGAAACAGGAAATTTCGGTATCGAATACGTTCCTCCAGGTCCGAGACCTGTTCAAGCCGAGGTCACTGAGGCTACACGTTTGAATATTAACACGTGGTCTATTCCAATGTTTATGCTGTCTCTGGCAAGGTCGAAATCTATTTTCCAACGAAACGGAAGCTATGTAGTTCAAGATTTCTGGCGTTACTTATTTTTTCCGAATCGTGTCGAATTTTATGAACAATTGCCAAATTTACGGTAGACATGCATTGGAGATCTCGTTCTACAAGTTAACATCTTGGCTACAGGGGACGTGCTGTAGTCGAGATATTCAAGAACGATCTCCAATCCCATTTGTTAGCGAATGAAGATCGATTCGCTTGTAACGCGATCCACAATTAGTCGTTCCGTACCTATTCCGGGACGATCGTGGTACGACGACGACGACAACAACGACAACAGAGGCCAATAAAAAGAACAGCTGCGTTCTCAAGTTTAATTAGAAATCCGGGTTCTATAAGGAGAGCCGCGTTCACAGCCGTGCTTCTCGCTCGTCTAGACGAACATCGCAAACTAGAATTCCCCGGGGGTCTTGCTCAGACGAAGGTCAAGACTGAACTTATATAAAAATAGTACTCGGGTATATCCGCAGTCAATCGAGGTACAATGAACTTAACAATGCCGAGCTTCTGTCTAACGTAACATTAATTCGACTGCTACCCCGCGGATAGACATTTTATTCAGCGGAGTCGACTCGCCGAATATACGCAACCGTACTGTCATATCCGGTTGCCGCATGCAAATAACTGTCGTCCATTTTCTAAACTCATTCGTTCTTCCGCTGGGTATTCTATTATACACCGTACGGATTTATTCGGTGTTTATCTTGGAACGGACGATGGACCTGGCCCAAAAGTTTCAGATCACTCATAATATCTACAATTTGGAAAAGAACAAAGAATCGTGAGTTACTTCAAATTCATTTGAGGAATGTAACGAGGATCAGAAAGAGAAAACATGACAAAGTATTTGATACTTGTACAAGATACCCACTTATTTTTCTGACCCCATAATTATTTTGAGCAGTCTATACAACACGACTTGATATTTAATACAGATACCATTTACCATTTTCTTTTAGCCATGTGTATTAACACATGTATAAAAAGGTAAGAAATCCATTTCATTTTTCCAGCAGAATAAATAATCCAAAATTTCTGGGCGCCAGTGCATGGCCTTCCTCGTCTACACTCCGTACCATTATCTGAAATACGATGATTACAGCACGAAAAAAAGGAGAGCAACAAGTAGAATTACTTCACAAACATCGAATTTCTTATTTATGCCATTTCGTAAAGTGTCGATGCCCGATGGCGTATCGTTCCTGTTACATCATCGCCTCGTGTCGATCAATAAACATATATTAATATCATCGAAAGTGCGTTAATTTCCGATTAGTGGAATCTTTAATTAATTAACATCAATTAAGAGTAATTAGTCAAAAAGTAGTGACATGTAGACCAGAGATGTTTATACAAATTCGAATTTTTATTTTGTCTCATATTTTATCTAACTACATTATAAATGCACAAATGTCCTCCAAAACTAACGGTAGACCGTTTCTATTTTCATTTTGTTTTCTTTTCCGAGGTACATATATCGGGTCTTGCAACTGAGAGAAGGCGGAGGACGAGTGCGAGAAATTTTTGACGAAGAGGCGATTTTGCCGCACGTGTAAAATAAATATAGAGAGATAGACGGGGTTTGGCAAAGAGCCGCAATTTCTCCCCCAGACGGCTAAGAATAAACGGTAGAAATACCGCCGACAGTTATCTTATTTTATGCAGAAGGAATCTCGCGTCCAATAAAAAAAGAAGACGGGAAATACCTGTCTACGTTTAAGTCAACGTACTTAATTCCTTAATTAACTAAATCTCCAGCGCACAGAATAAAATATGCATGGACTTTTAATTCTATCCTTCAAGTATTCGAGTTTTCTAGAACCTCAAAACACATAAAACATAAAAGAAACCGTGTTTTCGTTTAACATATTCTTCGTTATTTTAATTCATATAGTATATCAAAGTTTTAAACATGGCCGTTCGGTTACGCTCTTGAAAATATAATCCTTCGCTTTTAATATTACTTCCCCTTGAAAAAAGATAAGTGAAAATCTTCCGAAACTTATAATTCTATTAATCACTTTCAATAAGATTAACTCCCACGTGCGAAACGTTGAAAGTGTGTACAACATTTAACTGGCACCAAGTTTTTTCGAAAAAGTAAAAAAAAATGACTCACGCATGCGCTTCAGGGGGATAGCACGAAACCGAGCGCGAATCGAGAAGTTCTTAGCGAAATAAATTAAAACAAAATGCATGTGCTTCGAAGATCGATGAAAAAGTATTAAGTTACGAGGAATTAACCGTTCCTTAGGCAGAGTCAAGAATCACGTGGACCCGACAGAATAAAAATCTACGCATTAAGAGGTTATTGCTCGTTGTCTATGGGAGATATAAATCGTATGAAGGTCATTGGGTCAAGACCGGTTACCGGCGACGTTATCACACACCCCAAATGAACTCTCAATGAACGTAACCTTCAGGCCGAAACGTGTTAAGTGGGTGAAGATAGCTGAAAATATGTACGATGGAAGGTTCGTGGACTTACCACTCATGGTTAGAGAGAAACTGTTTCTTTTACGATGGACCGATTCTACAACACACTTAACACTCGCCGATGCCCGCACAACTGACAAAAAGTCGTACGCACTTCATCAGCGCTACAACACGAGTGACGACTCGAGGCTCTCCTTCCACGCCGCGGCGCTATCCCCACCTTTCGCCCCACGTCGCTCAAACTAGATTATCGACTGAAGGTTGTGCAGGCCCTACCACAAACAAAACAAACGCAATAGACTTCATAACAAAAGATGTTTTTACTCCCGCATACTTATTATATATTCCATATTCTAATTTTTTTTTACTGGAAGATTAGCAATTTCTAAAACATACATATGAACTTTCACTTGACAAATACCGGATCTATTCTGACCGATTTCTGTTTACTATCAACTTTAAAATACACAGAGTGCCCCTCTTATATCTTTATCACCTACATATTTTCTTCATCGCATAGTGTCGGAAACACTACTAACGAAAATAAATTTTCAAATAGAACACGAACAGTTCGTACCAATATAAGTAAGAAATATAATTTATAGAATGTCTGTCGATGTTGACGACACGGTTATGGAGTATACCACACATTTAGCTGAAAAAGCAGATATTATAGATAATCAAAGTTTGGCTCCTAATACATACACGCGGCACGACACGTGTTAAATAAAATCTGTTGTATAAAAAAAATATCCAATCGATGGTTTATCGAGATGCACAAATCCGTATCAATCCGTATACGAACTGGAAGTTGCATCGAACAGGCGCAGTGGAACAAACGAATAATACATGCGCGCGAATTTTCCAGCCGTTCGCGACACCTGTCGCGAAAACACTGCGGCAGGTGATGCGTCGTTTCAGTTCCGGACGTTCCTCGATGGCAAACAAACATGCATCGTGTAGCGAGAGATAACACGGCAGCGGTCGAAATTACGGCGAAACATTCGCTCGCGCGCTATTGTTCTAATTCCGGGCTGGCCCATCTAATCCCGTAAAATGTAGCTAACCGTTCAGCCGAAGTCAGTGCACCGGCACCCGTAGAAACTCACATATGAGATCAGTTCTCATCCCCATCTCCAGCACGTTGACGTTTCACTGAGGAGTGGCGCGCGAAAAGATGGCCAGCTCACCGACCAGCATCGAAAATCAAATAGACAGTTTTCTTGAACAGTTTAAACGCAGTGCCTCCCGTGCCATGGAAGAATCTCACAGGTCCAGCTACAATGCTTGCAGTAGTAGTATCAGTCATAGTCGGAGTGGGAACCTGGATCTCGAGATCCTGGAAGCTGGTGAGTTTCCGCTGGAACTTTCTTACGGTGTATCCTAATCAACACATTTAAATTTTCACCGCCTTCCGCTACTCTTCCTATCCCCTTCCTTTTTGGGCGGATATCCAGGCGTTTTTCTATCGTTGTTGATTGATTTTTCGGGCGTTCCCGAACATTTTGGTGCACTCGTTTCCTCACGATATCAGTGATTCGATAGGTTTACACACTTGGCAACAATTTTACTGTATTTACAACATTAGTACAATCATACGCATCAAACTTTCATCTAGTCAAAATTTCATTGTGCTTTAAAATTTCAATAACACATGTGTCGCCCTTGTCATAATAATGTGCGAATATACATATTTACAGTGGCCTATACTAGCATTATTCATTATAGACCAAGAGATACATATTGTTTAGGCAATTCTTTTAAATACCGATTATGTGCCTGTGTTATTTATTTTTAATTCTACTCCAGAATTTCTATCATTAAGAAAAACAGAAAATATTTTATACGAATAACTTATTGGCACATCAATACGACGAAGTAAAGCTTAAATGATATAGTAAGATTATATAAATTGCAAGCAAATTACGTTAGTGTACGTGAATGACAAAATCGTGATCGAGTAAAATTAAATTCGTTTCGATTTAATCGTGCAGTTTTGAGAGTGACACGCTGCAGGTCACGTGCAGTTACCCGTCTTTGAGAATCGAGTCTTCTGTGATTGGTTATTCCGTTTTGTCGTTGCCTCTATCGTGGAGCGGCATTATGGCGATGTAGCTCGGTTATGTTACGATAGAGGTCGTCGCCCGTTGCCGTGAGTGCTCATGCTGTTGAATTGTAAAACGGCAGGGTTGCGAGATGCATTTAGTAGCCTCGCAAAAGAAATACCATTTCTAACCGTATCGTTGTTAATCACGCTAACACGGGTCGCGTGGTTGATTCGCGGTTCTTGGATCGTTACGTGAAGTGATATACGTCCCAGAGTTAACGAAGCATTAGAGTATATAGGGATTAATCGCAAACCCTGGCCGCAATGGTCGAACGTAAAACAGACGCCGGTATCACCATGAGATTCTGTTAAGTTTACGTACGCGACGAATTAACTCGTTCTACTGCGTCAATAATGATATAGTCTTGTGACATCGATCAAACCAAATTGATACGCGTCAGTTTTACTGTTAATACCGCGTGACATTTTTCATCGTATTAACAATTGACTGTGAGATAACAACAAAAACGATGATTCTTCGACGAAAGTCCGCGCACGGGTGCAATTGCCCTTGTCACCAACACTGCTCCACCAAATGTGCAGGTTTGAATTACACGCGTTTCTTTTATCATTCTGTCTTGTGCCTTAATGCAATAGCAATGAACGTGAACACAGAACACTGAGATTAGAAACGCAAACACGAAAGCGATCCTTGTAGTCTCGTTCTCACGAGTTTGTTGCAACTATAAACAGGTTATTGATTTATAGATGCATCTCGTTTGTTTACAGTTTACATGATAGCTGTTGCAGGTATACGTGTCATAGATAATCGATACCCTAATTAATTTGTTGTTTTTATATAAACGTTTATTTTATAGTAAACTAAAGTGTTTTTATACACACGGTGTATAAATAGAAGGTACATGCCTATTTATACATATAACACACGTACACTTCTACTACATGTTTTTAAGTCCTTGTTCGTATCATTACGCGTATTCATGTTAGGATGTTTGCACAATTATGCATTAATAAACAACGGAATTTGCTTAAGTGCTGGCTGACAGTAAAGTGCGTTACTTTTGAAGCATTTAGCATATTTATCGCAATGTTCGTGCTGCATGCGTCTTAGTCCACTTAGAGTAAACGTTTATGCAATTCGTTTCGATAATATTATTTAAGGTTTGTTATGCGCGATGTTATACAACGGTGTATTGGCTTCTGATATACAGGGTGTTTCTAAAATAACAAAACTTTACAAGCGTATCCTGTTAACCGTATTGATGAAAAGGTATATTAGGGAGCACCACTGTATGCATCTTTAAACTTAGGGGGGTATCCCTCCTTACTGCTATGCACAGTGGTGCTCAACAAATCTTTCCTGATTTTGTATCAGTTTTTTCATCACATTCGTGTTCTCGGATTTTAGCTGGTCAAGAATAATTTTGCAATAGTGATCGAAGAGAAAGTGATTACTACTTTCTTCGTCATTCGTTTTAAGTTAGTCGATTGGCTACTATTTATGTCAACTTTGTACTTATACAAAATTTTACATGCATGCATATGCCTCGTACATGTTCAGCAAACTTTAAATGGGAGTTACTTACTTCTTAATTATTTTGACAAGCCAAAACTTGTAAACTCAAATACAGTTCTTAATTATAAATTGAGAGACGCTGCTGTGAGTTGAAAAATAGTAGTGCGGTGTAGGGGAATATGTATATTCACTATGTTAGGCAGTGCTGTCTACGGGTGGGGTCTTCTTTGTTCTTTACAAACATCATTCTAAAAACAAACTGAGAGTACTGTCCATCAAATACAGACCCACACTCTAATTCTTATCGTATGTAAGTGTTTAGGTAAGGTTGATTACATCATATCCAAGCAACTTTATACACGCTTAATAGTTGATTCGAATTTTTCCGCGAGGATGTTACTTTTGACATGAGGAAACCATAAAACGTAAATATATTCACAGATTTTTATGATATTTTCATCAAAACTATTGATAGAATAAGCGAGTAAATTGTGGGGGAACGTTTTAGGAACATCCTGTATATTCATTCGAGTGCAACGTGGAGATCGTCCCGTGTATACGGGATTGAAGCTGTTATCCCCTCCACGCAGTACTGTAAAGTACGTTCGCCATATCATTGAGCGTGGTACTTTATAATATCAGCCGGTGTGTTGAGATTCACGAGAAATTATATCGCGAGAATACATAATCGCAAATGCAGTATCTTTTGAAAGACGCTGTAATCGACTTCGCGAAGATAATCAGGAAGTTAAGCCGAGAAAAGGTAAGTACAGTTTGACTTGCCACGTACCATAAAGATCAAAGTTGGAAAGCCATTCGTGGGAATAGCGATTCTCAACCTTGTTGATGTAGAATCCATTGTTTTTCTTGTCGTTTTTATTAAAAAAATTGTCAAATAAGTACATCTATCGATACATTCATTGCAATTCATTCGGTGAATACCTTTCATGTTACTCGCGACACATTTTCTTTAAAGAAAATTTCACAGTTATTGCCGACATATAAGTGACATTGTAATCAGCTGATCGTTTGTTTACAATGTTTTAGTTCGAGTTTTTTTTTATCCTTTGTGTTTTATAAAAACGTAGTACGTCTGTTTAATTTTAGTGAACTTTATATGTTTTCGTTAGTATGCTCTTCTATCATTGACATATTGATGTTTAGCAGAATATATAGAAAGTGTTAGAAAATACATCATTCTGTAATATTTGGCGGAGCATGGATACTGATTCGTGTAAGAAGAATGGAATGCAAGTGCAAGCAAAAATTGAATTACAACAGACTTTGTGTGATAAAAATGGTAAATCACAAGTATCAGACTGTCAATATATAATCCATGACAAATTGACATATAAACAAACAAAAGAAGAGGTAAGTGATGAATATTCAACGTAAATCTTATGAAAAAGAATATGTTAACTTAATGTTAAAGTTTGTATTATATACAAAGATTAAAACATTCTAGGTAGTACATATGGATGAAACAAATATTTCTCCAAAACCAAAGAAGACTGTGTCAAAACTTAAAGTGAAGAAATCTAAACCAGAAGGAGAGTCAAGTTACGATCCCACCAAGTTAGAGGACAGCCCTGCACAAGTTTCAGAGCGATTCAAAAGAGGATGTGAATGTCAGGATGATCAGTGTTTCAAAGGACTAAATCCTGAGACAGTGTATAGACATAGGCTAAATATTGCAGAATTAACTAAGGCTGAACATGACATGTATTTAATGGGTGTTACGATGGCATGCTTGACAAATCCATATGAAACAGCAAGACATACAGAACGGCGTAGATTACGCGCGCAATACGTTTATCAGGGCCGTAGAGTTTGTTTAGATGCTTTTTTATATTTGGAAAACTGTACACATTATCAAATAAAAAGAATTAGGAAACATATAATGACTCATGGCGTTACACCACGAGTTCATGGGAATCACGGGAAGATTCCGCATAATACATTCTCCTTAGACATTTATAAAATAGCTACAGAGTTCTTAAAAAATTTTATCGAACTACAAGAAGCAAAACAGAAAACTAAAGTTGCAAAAAACGCACCGTTACATTTACCGTCTGATATTACGCGTAAAGTAGTGTATGATATGTACATACAGTATTGTAGAAAAATGTCACCTAATATAAAAATAATGGGGTATTCTACCTTCAGTAGATTTATGAAAGTTCAATTTCCACAAGTGAAGTTTGCAAAGTTAGAGTTTCTAGTTAGAAATCAAAGTATGCAAAGTCAGGGGTGTAGTAAAATAGATTTGGAGAAGGATCTGACTGATGAGAGACCATCTAATTCAGCAGACTTAATAACAGAGGATGGTGCCTTATTACCTTTATTAATTGCCAGTGAAACAGGACAAAGTGATACTTATTTTTTGACGCCCGTCAGCAAATTGCAAGATGGTATGAGTTATCATATAACTGCAAATGGGTTTCTATCCAATAAACCAGCATTACCGATTGCTTTGACTAAAGTCAACGTTGTTTAAGAAACAAATACTTTTATATTTATTATTTAAATATATTTAAGAAAATAATATATGTAAAATATATTTATATATACATAGAAAATAAATATGTACGTGATATTTTAAACATTATTGTCGATGTTAAAGAAATAATTTATACGATAAAACCGAAGGATTTTGGTTTATGCAATGAAAATATGAATACACTTGTAGATTCTATGAGTCTTGCAATATCATATAATTATTTTCAAAAACAGCAGCATATTTTTTTAAATGTATTATTTTTATGAACTTTGTGCTTTCTCGTATAGTAATTTATGTAAATCATAGGCACAAAAGACATATTTATAATTTTGTATTGTGTTTCAACCATAGTCAAACAAAAGTATTTCCTTGTTACTTCCTAAATGTTTAAGGAGGCTATTGATATGAATTTTTTTTATTAAATAAAAAAAGCAGTATCGACTGTATGAAAGCAGAAAATCTGAAAGTATTTAATAATATATAATAACATCATTATATTATTGGAGTAGGTTAAAATGATCTTTAGCTTCTTTTAGTATTGTTTATGCACATTCATGCTTTGCTTTAGTACAAAATGTACTAATAGAAATGGAAATATACATACAACATGCTATAGCTATTTAATAAAATTATATTGCAAAATGTTTTATTCTGCTGAATAGATTCATATGTATAAAGTAATTTTTTATAAATATTAAGCTTACAATGTGTGATTATATTATGTTAATATTTAATTTTATAAAATACAAATGTGTAATAAATAAAATATATGAAGGAAATACTCTGCATTTTTTCAATTTAAAAATTGTTTTTTTTCCTCATATTATATTAACCATATAACGGTTAAGCTTCATAATAAATGCAAAGATCATTCCTTATAATAGTCGAATTCCAAACATGTAAATCAAGGATCTGAGGAATCCTTAATACAGTGTTTCTCAAATCACTTATACAATAAAATAAATGGTTTCATATGAGTATATTATTATTAGTTTAAATTGGAGTACAATTAAACCAACTTACAAATAGTTCATGAAAATTTTATATATTAAAACAAGATAAATATATATATATATATAGAAGTATATGATTTTCTTTTAATTTTATATATTTTGTACATGTTACTTGGTATCACAATGTATTCTTTTATATTGTGCATGTTTTGAGTACAAATATAAAGGGTTAAACTATCCTGTTATTTATAAAATAGTCTGCCCTTTAAGCAGTAAATTGGATTCCTGACTTGTTGATTTTGTGTTTGAGAGCCTCTTGTTTTACAGTTACAACAGAAATGCTGCAGATATAGCAGGGAACTGTTTCAGTTAGTAGGAGTCAGCAAGGTCATTTCAGTGCACTCTGAGGTCTTATATTTATATACAGTAAACATTGCATAAGTAAACGTCAATACAAATTATAATATTGTGAAACAGTTTCCTGCTTTAAGTAATTTCTTTGAACAGTTGCACATTGTTAGAGTTACATTCATTAAAAGAAGCTTATAATATGTACTCGATACATTTTATAATATTAAAGATTAATAACACATAAATTGATAATTACACCATTCGTGGTATATAATTTAAATATGAAAAATTGTAAATATTGTAAGCACAAGTGATATAAAGTGTAATATCTTAAGTGTTTAATGTTGCACAAGTTTATGTTATCTATGGATTTCAACAGTATGAGATCTAACTAATGGAATTCAATTAGATTTATATTTTGCAGAAGATGTAGAGAGTATGACTGGTGAGATTGAAAATGGAGATTTGGCGATTCGAGATGTTGCTGACCTTCTCCAATCACAGTATGCTATTATAGCAGGTAGTTAAAACGAAGAGCAATTAATATCATTACAATGTGATCTTAAGTCAGTGATTTCTGTTTTTAATTACATATTATATATACGTTTATAGGAGGAAAAACGCGAGAAGGTTGTCCTATAATTACTTTTCCTGATAATGGTAATTTTCATAACTTATCTGACTTGGATTATCAACGTCTCATGCTGTATCTTACTTCTGTGCCAACGTGAGTTTCAATTTTCATAATTTTATTACTATGATCTAGAAAACTTACATATATAAAAGGATCATTTATAATTTTTAGATTACAAGAAGCTGATCTTGGTTTTCATTTAATAATAGATAGAAGAAACGATAAGTGGAATTCTGTAAAAACAGTGTTATTAAAGATCTCTGTAAGTATAATATAGCCGGTTTCTGTGGATATTCTTGCAATTATGAAATTAAACATGTTGATGTAACTCTCTTATGTTTAGGGTTTTTTTCCTGGACTAGTCCACATAGCATATGTTCTACGTCCAGCTGGATTTTTGCAAAAAGCTATCTCTGAAGTCACTAATAAATTTTTTCGGGAGGACTTTAAATTTAGAGTTATATTTTTAGCAAATATTACAGAACTTCATGAGTTTATGGATAAAGACCAGCTGACTGAGCAACTTGGCGGTACTTTACCATATTGCCATCATACTTGGATACAAAACAGAATTGTAAGGCTGTAGAAGATAACAAAAAACAGTTTCAAAAACGTTTGGTATTATATTTCTTTTTACACTTTCAGAGTTTAGAAAAATTTTCATCAATGACACAAGACGTGTCTCTCGCACTGGACTCTTTTACACGGCGCCTAGCCGAAATTGAATTTCCTAACAATACTGTTGCAACCACATCTCTACTGTCTCAGCAACAAGTTGAGTATAATGAATTAAAAGAAGAAATCCTTAGTGCTGCGAGACATGGTGAAGCGCTGTTGGATAGTGTAAGACAATTAACTGGCAAGGGAACAGCTGATAGACTAGGAAATGTTGCGGCAATAGAAAGGTGCAATACTTACTAATAATCATTGCAATTATTTTAATAATAAACCAATATATATTTTCCGTTGATGCAATTGGAGGAATGTCAAAATTTATCGTTTACCTGTAGATTGCTTGTTCAACTGGAAGAAACAGAACGTACTTTCGACTTGTTTTGGTCGCATCATAGTTCTCGTTTGAGACACTGCCTAGCTTTGAGACAATTCGAAGCTGACTTTAGAGAATTACAAGCAACATTGGACCAACATTTAAAGACCATAGAAGACATGATGGAAGTGGGAGAAACCCAAGCACGAGTTGAACAACTGCTATGCGACACATCAGCATTTCAAAAAATATGTAGAGTATGTACCTTTATGTTATACATTGTTGCATCATTGTATATTATTTAACAAAACATTTGTTCAAAATTACTATGCCGAGCAACAGAAGTACAGAAAAATAATATTTCCGCCTTACTAGAACTTTTCATGACCATCTGAGGATAGCATTCATATGCTATGTATTTAGTATACGTTAAAAAGATCATCACCGCGTTATAGTCACTGTAATATGTATCACCTACAATCTTATGCAATTAATGAAACTATACAATGAAAAAAACGAAAGTGATACAGTACTAATGGTTTTAAGTTTGAGAATGTTCACGACGCACTTAAAGCAGCAAAGTGTAATGTCCAAACCGGATTCAGTTTTGTATATCTCATTTAACTAAATTACAATTGTAAATTATTATAATAAAATCTTAATAGTATCGTATGTTTAACTAATGAACAACAGCATATGAAAAAATTCTGGTTTGGACAGATTTGTAAGCAGTCACATATACATATAATGCACATCATGCACAAATGTTACTTTGCACCGCTTTCCTCATTTTGTCGATAGTCCTATTTGTTGCATACCATGTGGATTTGGGTCTTGGTAAGCAATCCACTCAACAAAATACATATATTTCGTAATAGATTTACATTTTTAAACACAGTGATAATAATTTAGTATTTCAAAGTTTACATCCTGTGTTTACTATATCTTGAGATATATTCAAATAAAAGAAAAGTATTACTTTTAGTAATTTTTGTATGGGTTTGTGAATTAAATCTCTATAATATTGTCTCATTAGATGCGTATACATGTATGCTTTACATACGAAGAAATATTCATTCAAAAGCAAAGGAAATAGGGATTTAATTCATGCCTTTGTACTGGCATGATGGATCTTTGAGAATGAATATCATTGTAATTTCTCACTTTGCACTGCACGTAAGATAGTATTCCTTTTTTTTTTTCAAATACTTTTTTAGATGAATAATGAACATTTGATGAAAACATCAATGACTGTTTGTAGTTTTCTCGTTAATGTTTACTTTGACCTTTGCTAAACATGAATAAAATCACATACATTTATAGGGAGATATAGAACGAGCAGAGGAGGTGATATCAGCTGGCCAGCAACTATTGTCTGGAAGGCATCAGTGCCCTACAGATGTCGTAGAGCCTAAGTGTGTGGAATTACAGAGAATCTGTACCATTCTAAGTCAAAGATTGGAAAGGCGATTACACATGTTGACTAAGTGTAGAGAACTTATGGAACGAATAGATAAGGTGACTACTCGTTTATGTTACGACCAAGTTATAAAAAGTAATTTCTTCGAAATTATGATTTATACATCCATTGCTATACGGTAAATCACAGGCAAACACGTGGTGTACACGTGGAATCGAGTTATTAGCATCACAGAATAACACAACACCGCCTGACCAAGCGCTTCAAGAGTTACAAGAGTTAATAGAAGCCGCGGAAGAATTCCATCATCCAAGATGTATTTTCCAAGATTCTGTAATGCCAGAAACTAAGGCTCTCATTACCCAAGTAATATTTATTCTACATAGTACGATTTAATGCGATGTAAATGTAAAGCATTTTAATTTCTGAAATTATTTTATTAGGTTTTACAAAGAATAGAAGATGTGTCCTTAATGTGTGATAAAAGAATAATGACGTTGAAACAACAACTAATTAAACCAACAAGGCCGGTTCAGACTGTAACCCCCGAACCTGTTAAGCCAATGCAATCACTGCCTCAAATAGTGAAGCCTGGAAGAATTCTAAAGAAAGCTAATACAATGCCAAAGGTAAATAATTACTTCATTCAATCAATATAGACAGCATTATTATGGACTATTTGGAATTTGCCGTAGATGGAGATGAGCCCCATCGAAGGAGAGTCTTCATCGCCGGAAAATGAATCTAAAGACGTGGAAGCTTTACGCTTAAAACGGGGTCACGTTTTGGCAGAACTTGTCGAAACTGAACGAATCTATGTTGCTGAGTTAGGTTCTATAATCAAAGGGTACAAAATGGAATTAACAAACGAAACGATGGCTCACTTAATACCGGCAGCATTAATAGGCAAAGGAGATATCTTATTTGGTAACTTAGAGGATATTTACATTTTTCATGGGGAAACATTTTTAAGAGATTTAGAGAATTGTATTTCCAATACGGAACTTGTTGCGTTATGTTTTGTACAAAGGGTAAGTTGTACAATTATAATGTCGAATAATTACGAAAAATATGCTTACGCAATAAATTTCCATCTTTCAGCGTGAAGTATTCTTCAGATTGTATAGTTACTATTGTCAGAATATTCCAAGATCGGAAAGATTACGAGAACAAATACAGAATGAACCACAGTTTCTTGTGACGTGTCAGCAAAGACTTGGCCATAAGTTACCCCTTGCTGCATACCTTCTGAAACCTGTACAACGTATAACGAAATACCAATTGTTATTGAAAGATCTCTTGAAATACAGCGATGAACCATCGTGTTGCACTGAACTACAAGAAGCCTTGGATTGCATGCTTGTTGTATTAAAATGCGTTAACGATAGCATGCATCAGACAGCAATTACTGGGTTTGGTGTAAGTATAATCTGACGTTTTACTATTATTAATCGACGATGTTACAAACAATACATTATTATATCTAGGGAGATCTAAATGCACAAGGTGAGCTCTTGTTACAAGGCTCTTTTAGCGTATGGAGTAGCAGTAAGCGAGAAAGACTTCTCAGGTTAAAACCATCTCAGCGCCATATTTTCTTGTACGAGAAGGCTCTTATATTTTGTAAGCACAGTAAGCCACAAGCTCATAATAAAGCTACATACCATTTCAAAAGATATCTGAAGGTAAACTTTTCCTTTATACATTCATTACAACTCATTTATGTTAGTAAACTATGTAAATAAATTTTTACTAGATGTCGCAAATTGGACTGACAGAATCCGTCAAGGGTGATGCAAGACGGTTTGAAATTTGGCTTCAAGGTAGAGCTGAAGTTCATACGATTCAAGCATCCACTATTGAGGTAAAACAGTCCTGGGTGCGTCAAATTAAAGGCGTTCTAATGTCTCAGTTGGCTGAACTTAAGGGAAAACAGAATTCAGCTCTAGGAAAGACTAATCACAAGTATAATACAATCATTTCTATGTATGTAATTTGATGTGGTAAACTATGGTATAATAATTAATTATACCGTATACACAATTTTTATAGACCGCTACGACAGACAATTTCATGGGAAGCTCAGGGTAGTGTGTCTGGGTCTCTACGCACTCTTTCGATGGATGGTAGCAGTGTCATATCACACATTACTGACGTCTCGCAGTCAACAGAAGACGACGTTGCATGGAGTTCAGAGAATAGTAACACCGATGATGAAGACGCTTTCAGTGAAAACGCTGGTCCAGCTCCCGTAAGTCTCTTTCCTTTAAATGTTTAGCTTACTCTAGAGAGCATCAATAGAGATACCTTTAAACCCTTAAATTTGAATCACATCTCCAAAAATACAGAAGTTTATGTAAATAGAATCTCATTACTAGACTGCAGATGTTTATGCAGATACAAACTTTCATGGACTAATTTTAGGAAATTGGAATTGAACAAAAATTTCATCACTTTATAAATGAAACAGTCATTCGTGTCTAATATAAATGCATAAAATCCGCAGTCTACTCATTACCTTCGGAACATTGTACCTCTATCTGTGCTCGCTAGTATAGTTTAGTCCATTAGTTAGGCAAAGTTAACGTCGTATCCCAAATTATATCCAATTAGGGTGGCAGATACGTAGCATTAGCTGATTATTGTGCAGTTGGCCAGTCAGAAGTGACTATGCGCGAGGGGGACAATCTAGAACTTCTTAAGGTCGGTTGTGCTGGTTGGTGGTTTGTAAAATTAATAGGTACCGGAATAGAAGGATGGGCACCTGCGGCTTACCTGGAACCGATCAATCGGAAAACATCGCGCAGCTCTCAGTCTGTCAACAGCCAAGAGACTATATGAAACAGGCGTCTAACACACTAGGTTTTCCTGGTGTGTTAGGTTTCTACGTATCTGATTGAAGAGTATCGATTGTTATAGTATTAAAAATGCATATGGAGGCTTTTGTAATATAAAGGGTATGTGGAGGAGGAGACTTTGCAAATTTTGGATAAGAAATCAACCAGTAAATTATTACACACTATATTAAAATTTCTTATTCTGTACACGATATAACATAGCAATATTCGCTTGATTAATGTGATTAATCAATGTGCGGTTATAATAACATGTAACTTTTTAAAGTTGAAATTACATTGAAGATGAATTTAAAGAAAGAATCTGGAAATCCTTTTTGAGTAGGATTGCAGGGATTAGGTACAAGTTGGTATAGGCATCTGGTCACGTAAAGTGCATTCCAAAGGGTTTGTCGGTGAAAGTACTCTATGGGATAGAATACAATGTGCATTTATGATATAAATATACTATTTATTAGATTTATTCTTGCAGAAGGAATAGTATTTATAGAATTGTACAAAACGAGTTTCGATAGCGTATTTAAAATCATGTGCACGCGTATTCGCAGTTACGTGGTCTAAGATTGCTACAGGTTATACGGATTTGTATGTAACGTCACGTATTATAATACTGACACAGAAATGACTACAATGAAATACAATCATTCATAGTACTCAGTTATTACATTCATAAAACTTAGCATGGGATTAGAAACTATGAAATTTACCTGCATTACTTACATTTGGCCGTATGCAAATATTCCAAAGTTCATATATCTAATCTAAGACTTGAGATCATTTTGGTTAGTGTTATCTGTTAGCAATGTTTTTAATACTTTTTTTATATAGTAAAAACTTGTGCACAGTTACGAAATAAAATCGATCTAATCTTTTTTATATTCATATCATTTAGACGCGTATTTGTTTACTTGTATAAATAATAGAATACTCTTGATATCTTGAAAAAGAATTTCGAATATTTGCAAACTATCGGAAATTAGTTAAAGAATTATGGAAATTAGCATTTGCCGATCAAATCTTTATTTGATACTTTTGTAAATGAACGGTAAAAAAACGTTAGTAGATATACCTTGTTATATCAGACTAGCTAAAATAGAGACCATATTGTTAATAAGTCTTTGCGACCAAACAGCTTAATATTAGCGCTATTTTAGCAAATAATGAATAACTTATTTAAATAATATTTAAATCAAGAGAAAGAAAACAATTGAAAAGACATAAGTAACATATACACAAGTTTTTTAGAAGATACAACATTAACACCAAGCATTCTGCAATATTTAACACCGATTGTAAAAAACATTAGGAAGAAAAAATTTAGTGAACAAAGCAATTTCGATTTTAGCAAAGCTAATAATCTACCGATATATGAAGTATTGAATAATAATTAAAACGTGTATAATAATGTAATTTGTACTAAAAGTTTATATGAATGGAGAAAGAATTAAGAAATTGTTAAGGATTAACATTTTCTTTTGTAGGTACATACACAGAGTGCAATAATTGTGTTTACTTTACAATTCGAAATCATGAATATATCATTGCATAATTTATATTGCTTATGCAAATGTTATTTAAGTGTAATTTATATATTATTTATACATAGCAAAATTCTATTGTGATTATAAGATACATGTATTGAGTACAAATAATTTATTTTAATACTACGAACATTATTCAAATAAATTCATGTTATAATGATTAAACTTGAATATCATAATAAATGCATCCGCGTAATTTAAATATATACAATTTATAAACATTTCGTTAATGTTTATTTAAAAGGTGATGTGAATTTTTGACCAAAGAAAACATTCTACTTTTCTTTGGTGAGACAAGAAGCTAAAGAAATTATTAATTTATGATTGTATTGTTTATACTAATATTCCACTTAATTTGTCATTTTTATCCACTTCCACGCCGTCCTGATATTAACTAGGTATAGGATTTAATCAGTCAAGCTGCATTATTATTTTATATTTAACACTTAATTTATATATACATTGTTTAATTCGTTTCAAAAGTATTGCAGAGATTTTTGAGTATTTGAATACAGCACTATTGAATGATAATAAAAATTGAATATTTGTTATGCATTTACAGAGATAATTTTAAACTGTATTCGATCGAATATCCTTCTCGTAAAAAGAGAAATTGTAATTATACTTTACAATCATTGACATATGATACCATTATACATTTTATCATACATTTAATTTTAAATTTTCAATGAGTTCTTTTTATTGTTTTCCCGTTGAAACACGTGTCTAGTATAATTAAGCGAATACAGGAGCGTTCAAGTGTTTAGAATCTTTTGTAGACAATGTTCTATTAACATATAGACAATAAATATACGCCCATTGTGGAATAATTCTATTTCGAACTTATTTCGAGCATAGTAATAATTTTTGACATGAATAAAACAATGTTAACAAACTTCCTTCTAGAATATTAATAAACAGCAAACTTTTACAGAGCGAACGTTCGTCCTGTACAATATTAATAGAATTACAGTATAAGACAATTCGAAATACTAGCTTTGTTTAACATACTGAAGTATACATTAATTTATTAACACAATTATAGTTACACCATCGACTGCAAAGTTTTGAGGAAGGGTTCCTTTTGTTGTTCCTTTATAGCGAATTTAATAAAATTTATTTTTACATGTATAAGGATAATGTGGACGCTAAAGTTTTCTGTATTTATACGATATTGAGAGAGAAATTTTTGAAACTTTTTTAACGAAGGAGAAACAGACGACAGGATATTGTTCAAAATGTAGTCTTCTGTTGATTCAGATTGTGTTAAGCGTATTTGTAAAAAAAATTGCATTTTAATTAATTTCGCGATAATTACGTTTAATTTAGTAAATACACGAGTCAGTAGTCTTTAATTATTGATTAGGACATTGCAATATGCTAAAAATATCGTACGCTGTACGATTACTATTGTATTTTGTTCCGTATATTTCATGTATATTTGTAAAAATCATGTAATAAGATGAAAAATACACAAGAATTATATAAACGATATATTACTAAAATGTCCTTTCTGATTGATTCATTCACTTCTATTATAAAATTAGTTCGTAAACAAATTTTTATAATGTTTGTATATATGGAAGAATTAATCGTTACATTCAACGAATTGTATTTGTAAAATTCAAATTTAAAGTTTTGATAGGTATCGATTCGAATCGATAGTAATTTAAAAAACGAACGATAGATGAGGCAAGCGTTGCACGCACAACAACGAAAACCACTATGTGCTGCACAGTGTTGCATTATTACGGAAGATTCGGAGGGAATTAATGGTGCTCAATAATCAGACGGTGTGCAAGAGTGATATGTTCTCTTGATAGTGAACTTTGACATTAGCAATTTTCGCGAAGGTTGCATTTTACAATTTTCATTGAAAGAAATAACGTCAAGTTAAATATGGCTCCACGAACAGAAGCAGTACCTAAGGAAACTGTGGAACTACCGAACGAAGCACCAAGTAGAGGAATTAATGCGGTTTTATTGGGACCACCTGGTAGTGGCAAGGGCACACAGGTAAAATTTTCTTTCATTTAACAAGTGTTCCCCATTCAGTCATGAAAATATCTTAAATCGTTTCTCACGTGTTTTAATTTCCGTGGTTTTCTGAGACCTTATGGAAATTTTGTAATAAAAGGTTCATAATTTTCTAGGCCCCATTATTAAAGCAACGGTATTGCGTGTGTCACCTGTCCACAGGTGATATGCTCAGAGCAGAGATTGAGGCAGGATCTGCAATGGGAGCAGAAATTAAAAAGATAATGGATGAAGGTAAATTGGTCAGCGATGATCTTGTAGTCAACATGATCCATCATAATTTGGACAAACCTGAATGCAAGCGTGGTTTCTTATTGGATGGTTTTCCAAGAAGTGTTCCCCAGGCTCAAAAAGTATGTTAACAAATGAAGTGTAATATTTATAGTTTAATTTATTTTATCTAATTAATTTCTTAATCAGATTCTTAACAATATTTTAGTAAACCAATGGCATTATCATTGGTGATAATCACTGTATTTTTGTTTGATTTGAGGTGACCACTTGACCTTGAAATGACATTGAGATAGAAAAAAAACAACCTTACAAACATTGTATTATATATTAGTTAAATCATTATATCCAACTAATATAAAACATGTATTTCATAAATTTTTGAATAGCTTGATGATATGCTGAAGAAAAGGAAAACCAAATTGGATGCTGTGATAGAATTTGGAATTGATGATAATTTGTTGATAAACAGAATCACAGGTCGTTTAATACACCCTGCTAGTGGTAGATCATACCATGAAGAATTTGCTCCTCCTAAGGTTCCTATGAAGGATGATGTAAGTAATGAATACATCTAATAAATAATAATATTTAAATATCATTAAATGTGTAGTGAAATTTCTTCTTAATAGATCACTGGAGAGCCATTAATTAAACGATCTGATGACAATGCACAAGCATTGAAGAAACGCTTAACAACATATCATACACAAACTCAACCCTTGGTTGATTATTATGCTTTACAAGGGATTCATTACTATGTTAATGCAGCTCAATCGAGTAAAAATGTTTTCAAGGACATCGATCGTATTTTTTTAAGAACAATGAAGCAAGATGAAAAGAAAAGTTTCTTTAGTCGATTCTTTTAAGATATCTAATAAAATTGTTCCAGATCATTTTTCTCTTGTAAACAAAAGGGTAACCTGTAGTTAGCGGGAAATGTTCTACTATAGTGTTATGGTATTTAGAAAGAGTATAGGGTTTTAGGTGTACAATTTTCAATTCACAAGTAATTCACCTATTTAGGGGCGCATAATCGACACAATCTGTATTTTTCCATTAAGAAGTGTACAGTATTTCTAACAAAGTATGGAAAAAACGAAGCACAATGCGAACGTTACTGCATCAACTTAGTTGCAAATGGCATTGTAAGTTTTGAGAAGAAAGTATTGTAAGCCGTAAGCTAATAAGTTAAATGCACACATTTTATCAGCGTATTGAATACAATAATGCGACATATAAATGAGTAACTTATATGATATAATGAATGTATTTGTATATAATGGATAACGGGATACATATTTCTTTGATTATTGCTATATAGAGCATATTTTTTGTATTCATTTCTATTTTATTACCCTGATCTAGACAATTTTTTAAAACGTATATATCATTTTTTGCATAGAATATACACGTTATTTCTTAGATTTTGTTGTTCTAATTAGTAACTTATTCCTACATACACTGTCGAGAAACGTTGAACAGTTCTTTACGCACATATATAAACTTTTATAATATTTTCATTTGTTCGATTTTTATTTATGTGGAGAAGTATTTATATAAAAATAACATACATTTTAAATATTGCACTATCAATGCACTGAACATATTACTAAGTCCATGTGCACTCAAAAGCAAGTAATTTTATAAATGGCTATAAACGAACTGCAATGTAGATCGAAATCTCTATTTTCCATAAATGAAAGTGACACAAAATATATATTCTGGTACAATATTTCTGCCTATACATGTTGTATCATAATCCAATTGTAAATATTTTACAGAGAGAAATGAATGTATATCTGGATAAAATAAAATTTCTAGTATACCATAAAGAATTCCATTTAATTCTTACTTCACTTTGTAAATTCAGATAATATGTTATCAATAGACTGTGGAATTTGTACATACAACTATAAGTAGAATAGATGAAACTACAAAACGGAATAGAATAGGGTCTTCAAAATAATTTTGATAGAGAAAGTGAAATTCCATTTAATTCTCACTTCTTGGGATTAGATTATAAAATTGTATATTTACATAAACGTTCTCGATCTACTTACTTTTTCGCGGCATGTGAAACGCTTGCATATTTCCATTCCTAACTGTTCAAGATGCGCGGCAAGCACGCTGAGGGCGCCGGGTAAGCTTGACGCGCGTGCGCCTTGATTGGCAATTGTTCGCGAGTGTTCGCGAGTTTCGTCAGAAAGCAGGGTCCGTAGAATAAATAAGTTTTTTCCGGTCGTCGAGTGGACAGGGACAAAGGTAGAACCGAGGAGAGGGAGGATCGTTTGGATTTCTCAGTCGGAAAACTGTGTTTTCTTGGTTGGTGTGGGCCGGCGGCCGAGTGATGCACGCATATGTCTAGGCTCGGAGGGACTCAGGTTCTGGCCACAGCACAGGTGAAAAGGACGGCCGGCGATCACGCAGCGTTGTTAAGCTACGGTGCTGCGAAGCGCAGCAAGCTGTCCGCGGTTGCGGTCACGGAGATCAAAGAGATCGAGAACATGACGGATACGGCCGCGGCGACGACCGACACTCAGAAGAGGGCGAATTTCTCGGCGTTGACCGTTGGGAATCCGAACGGCGTGAACAAGATCTCACCGAGCCTGGCGAGCGTGAAGACTGGCACTGCCAGAAAGCTCGTTATCAAAAACTTCAAAAGTAAGCGACACCATGGGACTACCTAACCTCAAAGTCAGCTGGTGCTGACTCGCGAAGATTCATTCTGTAATATCATTTATTTTCTGGCAATATGCCGGCTGGGATTGCGACATTCACTTCAAAATACGTCTTCATTCGTTTTTACATGCTCGCTCAGCCAAGGATAAATTCATTCCCGATGATATAATAATACGAAACTGACATAACCTAACCTGACGCCCCATGAAAACTTAACATGGATAAACGTCTTTAACACGCATTATTACCCCTCTTTTTCGTTACGGTTTCCAGAACTTTCACGTTTTCATCGATTGCGCAATTGATTTATGATATCTGCTTGCACGGATTCGCATCGTGGTTTTCTGAAGTTAATGCAAAATAAAGTATGAATTAAACAGTGTTTCTGTAATGATTACTAAATGGATGCATAGGCTTTATAGTTCCTTTTCATTTTTTAAACAAAACACAAGTGTATTCAAATTCCTCCTGTAATTGTTCTGTTCTTAATGTTTGTCTGTTTATTTACTATTAGACTATGGATCTTACATGTGCATGATACACAATTATCCAGTAACATGGAGAGTTTCATGAGATTCTTGTTTTATCTAAGACTTCATAGACCTCCTAATAGAATAAACAAAATTCTGTTTGATTGTAGCTTTTGTGAATTAATTCACAATTCTATATTTACCTAAACATCCATAATCTATTATGATACAATGGAATATATAGAACATATGTTCATTCAAATTTAAGCTGAACATCTAAGCAATCTATACCAATAAAATTACAATGAATAGAAATAACAGAGTATTTAAAGGCATAGGTAGACATAAAGATGTTGACATTGTGGCATATGATATTTGCTAGTTTATAGATGTTGGCAATGGAGTCAAAATTGATCAGATTAGTTCTGTATTATTTACAATCACCTTGGTATTAATGTTCATGGGTTTAAAAATAAGATTTATAAAAATATGGCAATGAATGGATGCTAATATTGTAAATTTTCTTTGCAGATAAGCCAAAATTACCAGAAAACTATCAAGAACAAACATGGGAGAAATTGCAAGAAGCTGTAATTGCCATACAGACCAGCAAAAGTATTCGTTATTCATTAGAGGAACTGTACCAAGCAGTTGAAAATATGTGTAATCACAAAATGGCATCTACTTTATATACAAAACTGACAAGGCTAACAGAAGTTCATGTTCAGGCAAACATAGAACAGTTCTTGGCAGAATCCATGGACAGGCATATATTCCTGAAAAAGATGAACGAATGTTGGCAGTCGCATTGTAGGCAAATGATTATGATTAGGAGTATTTTTCTATATCTGGATAGAACATATGTATTACAGAATCCAAGTATTTTGTCCATTTGGTAAGCGGTTTTTGTCTCTGCTCGCGAATAAACGCCTCGTTGATGTTTTTTGCTCATTGAAAATGTAATTTTAGGGATATGGGATTACATTTGTTTAGAGTATATATTGTTCTTAACAATCTGGTTCAGACACGTACGGTTGAAGGATTACTTATGCTCATAGAAAAAGAGCGACAAGGTGATACGGTGGACAGAACGCTTCTTAAGTCATTACTACGAATGTTATCGGATCTACAAATTTACCAAGATGCCTTTGAAACCAAGTAGGAATTTATCGAAAGTATAATGTAATTAGTTGTTAAAATAGGCCATTTTATTGAATTTTTCTCTTTATAGATTCCTGGTAGCTACAGAAAGACTGTATGCTGCAGAAGGACAAAGACTAATGAATGAACATGATGTCCCAGAGTACTTAGCGCATGTGGACAAACGACTTCAGGAGGAAAATGAACGTTTGTTACACTATCTTGATGCATCTACAAAGTAAATACCTTGATAATAATATTATGAATGGTTTGTAGTACTTTTTGTATAAAACACTGGTGATTTAATGTTACAGATGGTCGTTAATTCATACAGTGGAGAAACAATTGTTGTCTGAGCATATTACCAGCATTTTACAGAAAGGATTAAGTGGTTTGTTGGATGAGAATAGAATTAGCGATTTATCTTTACTTTATAATTTATATAGTCGTGTTAAGAATGGCCTTGTAGAACTTTGTTTGAGTTTCAATTCTTATATAAAGGTACGCACTATACGTGTATTCAATGAGTTCTTTAATAAGTTTGTGTATTCACAAAATTGAAATTACGATTCTGCTCGTATTTTTTTTACAGAAGAAGGGTAAAACCATAGTTATAGATCCAGAGAAAGATAAGACGATGGTTCAAGAGCTATTGGACTTCAAGGACAAAATGGACAATATAGTTAACACATGTTTTCATAGAAACGAGAAATTTGCGAATAGTTTAAAGGAGGCGTTTGAAGCGTTCGTTAACCAACGAACAAATAAACCGGCTGAATTAATAGGTAACTTGTAATAATAGACAACTATTATAACTACTTAACGTAATACGTATATTTTTAATTACAGCTAAGTTTGTTGACTGCAAGTTGCGCGCGGGTAACAAAGAAGCGACAGAAGAAGAGTTAGAAAGATTATTAGATAAGATTATGGTACTGTTTAGATTTATACACGGGAAAGATGTATTTGAGGCTTTTTATAAAAAAGACTTGGCTAAGCGGTTGTTGGTGGGTAAATCAGCTTCCGTCGACGCTGAAAAGTCTATGCTGTCCAAATTGAAGCAGGAAATTAAACAGGTACCTATAAATTGTAGATTTATTTCTCAATATATGAATCTCTCGGAAGTCAAATTAATTAACTCCATGAAATAAAAACATAGAAAGTCGTTAGTATTATGGACATTAATACAAGTTCAGGAATTTATAGAAAATCAAATTTAGATTCTGAGAGATTCGTATGTAAAAAACTTTCCCTGATTGTTAAACATTAAAATATTTTGTTTCTCGATCAGTATGCAGGAAATTTGCAAAATGAATTGTCTGCTAGTAATTTGGATTTGACTGTTTCGATACTTACAATGGGTTACTGGCCAACATACCCTGTGATGGAAGTAACATTACCGCCGGAGATGGTTCAGTATCAAGATGTATTTAACAAATTTTACTTGGGAAAACATAGTGGTAGAAAATTACAGTGGCAACCTACTTTGGGGCATTGTGTACTAAAAGCTTGGTTTAATCAGGTATTCATTAATGTTCAGTGAGAACTATTTAAAGTATCTCAATGCGAACTTATTGAAAACACTGCATATTATTTCATCTCCGTTCGACAACAGGGTAACAAGGAGTTTCAAGTATCACTGTTTCAAGCATTAGTGTTAATTATGTTCAACGATTCGGACAATTTGTCGCTAGAGGATATAAAAGCGGCGACAAACATAGAGGATGGTGAACTTAGAAGAACTTTGCAATCCTTAGCTTGTGGAAAGGCCAGAGTGTTAAAAAAGAACCCAAGAGGAAGAGATGTAGCGGACAATGATAGATTTGTGTTCAATGCGGATTTCACGAACAAATTATTCAGAATTAAAATAAATCAAATTCAAATGAAAGAAACGGTAATTCGTGTTCCCTTAAATATTAATATATTATATTTTAAGTAATTGGTTCGTGGTAAATGATTTGTTGTCTCCTCTTCAGAACGAAGAACAGAAAGCTACGGAAGAAAGAGTCTATCAGGATAGACAGTATCAAATAGATGCAGCTATTGTTAGAATTATGAAAATGAGGAAGACACTCACGCACAATTTGTTGATTAGTGAACTATACAATCAACTAAAGTTCCCTGTGAAAGTATGTAGTGAATGTAAAGTACAGTATAGATTCATTCTCGTGCGTTAAATGGAATCTAATCATTGTAATTATGTAATAACGACAAAAATATTCTCTTTCAGCCTGCTGATTTGAAAAAACGAATCGAATCTCTCATAGATAGGGACTATATGGAGCGAGACAAAGATAATGCAAATGAGTACAACTATGTTGCGTAACCTGAACCAAATGCCAAAGTCATTGCAGACTGGGTTGACGCTATGTTTCGTAGCAAAGGGAACCAATTCATTTTGGTGTTTGTCTATTGTGAATGTGACATACTGAAGAGCAAAGAACTCGTAACTGACTGACTGTGAACGTAACATTGCAGCGTGTGGTCAGTTGATACTAAAAAGAAAAAAGAAATACTTAGAGTGGACCTTATTGTTTTGGTTTTTGTAGTGCGTAATGGACACTGGACAATTAAGACCCGTTATAAACAGTGCTCTACTGTTGTTATTCTTGTGTTGTTTCTGGATTTCGCTAAAAAGGACCATGTGCAAAAATGTCTAACGATACAGCATTTAAAAACAAATATATATATATATATATATATATAGATCATCAATTTTTTATGCAAAACAGTTTTTCACAGCATATTAAAAATTTAAGATGATAATGTAGTATGGATATCCTAAGAATAAGAATGCAATGTATTGTTTGACTGAAAGTGAACAAAAGCGCATTATTTATGGCGAATATAAGATAGTGTATTGTGGACATTGAACTTGGCACAATGAAATCATTTTCAACGAGAAAACATATTACATAATTTAAAATGATATTCTAATATATAAAAGAAATCTAATTCCTTGCAGAAGTTGAGAAAGATATCGTCGAAGAGAAACGTCAAACATAAACAGTATGTGCTCACTAAAAAAGATGAAAGCCACGAGGTTCGATGAATCTTATTGAAAATACAATATGTATTTCTGTAACAAGTTTTTGTACATTACCTTATAATACAGAGTCTATAAATAAGAGACAGATATTGTACAAATGTCATCCGTTTTTGTCAAAACAATAGTAAAGCAATACATGTAAATTTAACTTTAACATAATATGAAACACTTTCTGAATTTTATCTACTCTGTTTAAGACTATATTGTATACATGTTAGTTTACCATAAAATGGATAAAATTGTATAGAAACTTTCCTTCAATACATTGTAATAAAACTATACGTCAAGAATTACATTAGAAGTGTTTCATATTATAGTGTAATGAAAATACTCTGCCATTGACTTAAAATTAAATAATTAAGAACATAAGTAATGTCACACTTATTTAACTACTTTTTGCATATCTATTGGGCATATTCTAGTTCACTTGAAGTACAAGTTTATAAAAAATGTATGTATCTTATATATCTCTATATAACTATTAAACCGTGTGTTTTGGCTAATTGTGATTTTGCTTTGTATGTATTATAGAGTACTGAAGCGAATTGCAATTGTACTACTTTTAAAAATTCTATTTAAATTATAAAATAAATTTTTTAAATTTACATTTTAACCTTGCAATGACTCTGGATATGCGTATATACAACTGTAATTTAAATTACACATTTTCTTTTTCAATAGAATTATGATCTTGAATAATTGAAACCTACATACACACTGTGAAGAACTTAACAAACGGTAATACATTTACAACTTTCAGTTAATAGTTACATTGTCTTGAGTGATTCTGTATTACTAGGTCTTTTACAAATGGTTGTACAAGAAATAACTTATAGTTCATGTAAATGCTGTGTAAAATTATATAACTCGAGACTTATCATAAAACACCGAAGTGAAGATTAATTTTAATATGCCGTAATTATGCAGGATGTCTTCAAATAATTTTTAGTGTAATCTAAAAACGGAGACAAGACACTATTGTAAAAAAATGTCCAGTGCTTTTTTGTGAATACAAAACATCTTAGTTATATGCCATCAAATATCTAAGGAAATGAAAGCTAAAAAAAATCCATAAGCAAGAATTGCAGCATAATGTAGAAGTCGATTGTTATTAAAAAAAAGTATACATGTACTATTAATGCTACTGATAAGATTTGTAGATGGAGCATCCATTGGCTTGTTCGGTCGTTTTATGTCAGTGTAATTATTGAATAGCTTATTAATGAAATTTTGTATAAACACACGAAGAAAATGTTGATAAACCATTAGCCAATTTTAATGGAAGCCCCGACGGAAAGTTTTAATACAAATTAGAACCACCTTAAACGCAGTACATGGTAAGTTCATGCTAGAAGTCATTTCATAGTGAATGCAGGACAAAATAATAATGGTAGTATTCTATCATATTACTTCATTTCATTTTTGTAAAAAATCAAATAGGTAGCAAGCTTCTTTCGCCACTTAGAAATAAAATGATGAATCGCTTCCAGAAATAAAAATAAATCGATAGTTATTAATCTTCACATAAATTACCTTATACTGCGTTTGCTCTGTATTACACTGAAAAACTTATTTTTGTGTAATCATTCATAGATTTATCAAGATTGTAAATAAGGTAAGGTTTCCGTACTTGTAATAAAATATGACATAAAATCTTAAGTTTATCTTTCGTTCGTCACGGATCGATTAGAATTATTTACATTTTATTTACAAAATACGTACTTCGTCATAATATTATTTATGTTTTTGTGATTAAAAATTCGAGTACCAATGACTGTACAATATTCATATAGAGACATTTCTACTTCCGTCTTTGTTTTATAAATTTTTTGTTATAAAATTTATTGGTCTATTGTATTCTTATAAAAATGTACTTGTTCGGTTCTCATATCAATCTCGTTCAGTAAAGACTTCGCAAAATTGCTGGCGCTGGCTTCCTTATCCAGAAAATCAGACACCAATATAGAAGAGGGCTTACCACCTCCATGTGCCAAACATTCTTTCCGATATCGGTCACCAGCAGTACGATTGAAAGGATCTGCTTGGAAATAAGTTTGCCATATCCAAGATGCGATTGCACGAGAAATTAAGTAAGCATAGTACTTTGCACCGTATCCAACTAAGTGAGAAAATCTTAAATGCCATGCCTACAATGACGATGATATAAATAAATGACACGAGCCTTATTATTATTCGATTAAAAAGTTAGATACGCACTGTATTTTCAACATAGGGAAGTCCAAAGTATTTCTCTTGTATTTCTTTTAAAATCGCAATAGACGATTTTTCCAACTTTCCACTGTGATATACTTGATCCAACATACTATAACACACTTGATTTTGTAACTCAGAAGCGCAGAATATATTCTTGGAGACGTGTAACTTTTCTAATAAAGTGTTCGGTATTTGTTCGAGAGTTTGAAAGTGTCTTGCGAACGTGGAGACAACCTGAACGTATATTGGATTATTAAAAAGTTATGAAATGTGGAATTTCTTCATTTGTATTGATAACAATAACTCACTCTTGGATCGCTTGCAAAGTATTCCATCAATATACTTGGAACCTCTGCGAAATCTGTACTACATCTGGTACCAGTTACATGCTGATACTGTGTTCTGCCTAACATAGAATGTAATGCATGGCCCATTTCATGAAATAAGTTTTCTACAGAAGCAGGACTTAATAAGCATGGATTAGACCATTTCGGTGGTGGTAATGATAACATTAATACTGCTATAGGATTCTAAAAAAAAAAAATTCATGTAAAAATGAAAACATTCTGAAATGAATTCTTTGCATTATAAATATCTTATACTTGATAAGTTCCATCGGCTAATTGTCTTCCTCCTCTAATAGTAAAATGGCAGTCTTGATTAGGTTTTCCTTCTCTCTCAAAGAAATCACAGTATATACAGCCCAGCACTATTTCGTTCTCATCTATCACTGTAATTTTCTGTATATTATTGGCCCAAACTTCGCCCGATAAGGCTGGCATAGATTCCAATCGAATACCATACAGTGCTTGAGTTAAAATGTTTATTCCGTCCATACAGGCACCGAGAGAAAAATATGGAGTAAACTCAGTACTTGACATGTTTAACCAAGTTTTTTTCGCTTTTGCCATGAAATAAGGAGTGTCCCATGGCATTATGTCCTGAATAAGAAAAACAACAGTTCAATCGAACAACTACGAAACTTCGTAAGGTAGCATTCAGGTAAATTTGTGAACCTGTTTTGTAATAGTCTCCGCATCTTTCATTCGTTGCATCTGTTGGAAATCTTGTGCCGCTTTGAGTTTCAGATTATCGTTTAGAATATTAAGAAAATCATATATTACTTCTGGCGTCTCTACCGTACTTCCCTTCACAGCTCTAAAAAATGTTCATTTAGGTGCGAATATAGGCAATAAATATTCTTGATTTATTAATTTATTAATCAGTATTTCAAATCTACCTATGAGCATACGACGGAAATCCGCATAATCTAGCCAACTCATGCCTGGAGTTCAGAAGTTCTTGCAAGAGATATTCTTGCTCCTTGTCTGGATATAAGAATATACGATATGCTGTTTCTCTAACCAGATTGTTAGAAGAATCTACATAAAGCCCTTGCACTATTATCTGATTATCCTTCATTGTAAAACTGTGAAATGTATTTAACAAAGTTCAATACCTTCCAAATTCTGTATCTTGCAAAATGTTTTAGTAAGAGAATGCTAGCTACTCAAATGTTATTCTAAAAATTTGATTCTACTACTTACTGTTCCCTTACACCAGGAGGAAGAATGCCAACTTCCACAGTTCGTGGATTGCCTGCACCTGCCATGAATTTTTGACCTACCTATACCATAAAAATGGAATATACTTATTACACAGAACTGTACTATTACACATAATAAGTGCTAATACATGTACTATTTACTCTTCAGTCTAATTCAACATTTGAATAATTTTCATATGTACAATGGACCTTTGACTATCCTATTGTTTTAATATTTATTAAAAGTACAACTGAAGGTGTCAAAGCTTAAAAGGTATTCTGAATTTTTGAGTAATAAGATATATGAAAATCAACTACATACATACTTGTAATATATAATCATTCAACTGTACAACTGTTTCCCTTTTCGATTCGGGTAAGTGTATACCACACTGTTCAAAATCAAAAAGGAATAATTTAGCCACATGGTTGTCCACAAAAGATGTTTCTTGAACATCTCCATCAGTTACAACATGCCGTAATGCATTGTATAGCTCACGATGAGTATTTAACCTGAATTTTAGATATAGGTTTCTGATTACGTTTCTAACTACTAACAAGGGAATCTCAGTAAGCCAAAATTACGATTTTTTTTTAATTTTGTAGGCGACAAACAAACCTGTGGTTTAAAAAGGAATTGTAATTTTTAGATTACCTAATTTCCTTGTAAGATAAATCTGTATCTTTCAACACTTCAATAAGGAATATCTACTTTTCTACTATACCACTGATAAATATACAAGCATCTTCTGCAGCTCTGACAAAATGTTTATCCGGATGTGCAACTCTGATAAACTCTGCTAGATCTGCAACCTTGCACAGTGTGTCAGACATATCATCAAAAATTTCTACCATCTTACGTTTTCTGTTTGGACTGGTAGCCTCTGTTATTAAGGTATCTGTTTGAGACATTGCTTGCTCTTTTAAAATATGAAATCCATCTGGTGTTTTCAATTCTGATATACCAAATAATCCCTATAAGACATTTAAAAGTTTTTCAGTAGTCATTAGTGTTTGCTTTATATTTATTTTATTTAATAAGCAACCGAACTTACAGTTTCTTTTTTGGACAGGTCAAAATCATATTTGTCTTTGGCAATAGAATTAAATGCTGTTGCAAGAGGGGACCATGTGTTAACACTCCTGTGCTTCATAACATGTCTCAAAATCTGTTTTTTCAGTATGTGCATCATTTTTCATATAGCATTAAATTGATTTTACCGGAAAAATAATAATATTCATTCAGAAGTCTGAAAAGAATTGGATCATTTTAAAATGCGTGTACCATCACAATAACAAACAATATCCTGTGAAACATTTCATGATTAAAAGTGATTGTAAGTAAATATTTGATTTGCCTACTATACAGGAACCCATAAAAAATTATATTTGCACAAACGTTCGCGGTGTAATTACGAATGCTTCAAAACTGTTTCGAATATTTCTGTATACGAATACGAATTAGTACAATTAAAAACGATATTTCGACATTCACAGTGGTTGAAACGACACAGTGTCAGAGAGATTCGATGAAATAGCGTTCAATTTCGATTATAATAAAAATGAAACGCTATTTATTACAATTTAAAACGTATGTTATTAGTGTGCCGATAGGTTATACATACCACACGAGTGTTCGTCCACGTCCACCTCTGACAGTCTGAGACTGTCTCAGACGGTCTTGGCGATCGTGATTCTATTTTCGACGGTGCGATGGCATCACTGTGATTTTAACCGCAGTCCACGGCTACGGTTACTGTCAGCCTTTCGTTCAGATCAGTTTAAATGGATTGAGAGCAAAATTGGAAGTAAAAAATGAACAAGACGGTCGTCGTCGGGACACTCGGGACAGCTCTTTCCTCCTAACCAAGACATTACAACTGGAGCCTCTGTTCGGCCGACAAATTTTAAAGTTTCGGTCAAGCATGATTTGCCTGTAAAGTTATTCATCGTGGATTTCAACAAACTCGAACAGGCTTCGGAGGTTATTCATCGTACGCAAATGGTAAGGATTTATTTCATCAGTTAAATGATCTCGTATTATTTCGTTCGAATTTTGAAAGACAATTCTTGTGCTCACGGAGCTTACGCGTGACAATGCGTTACGGAGTGGAAGGGGTACCGATATCTATACAAGGATATGTCGCGTACCATCACCCACATATTATCAACATCTCATACTTTCTACGATAAGCGGCGCAGTTGAAGCGAAAAGCAATAATTATTCTCTGATTACATTATTTTTCAACGGACGTGAAAAAAAGAATAGAATATCGTTTCTGTTATTAAAGGTTTCAATGAGAAAAAGTACCTATAGTAATTTCTTAAGCATTGATTAAACTTATGTCTTATATCGTATCCATAATGTACAGGGAAAGATAAGAAAATAACTGCTCCTGTGTCTGTTATAGTCTGATTCTGTGATCAGTGGGAATTTATTCGCTGCTGCTAAACAATTAGCAGAAAGTGAAATCCAACTGTTAAAAGTTATAGAGAATTCAAAGCAAGTGGATAATAAGAATATTATAAGTACAATGTCAACTAAGAGAAGTGCCAAAAAGTCTGGGAAAACATCTAATGTAAGTATAAGTGTCAAGAATGATTGTATCAGTAATGTTAAGTGAATTTAACTGTTATCCTCTCTATTAGGTTCGTCCATCAGCAGCTCTGATAGCAGCTAAAAGAGAGGCAGTACAGAGACAACTGTTACAGGGGAAAGAATCTAATAATGTGTTTGTACAGGATATATATCAAAAAGCTATAGATTCTTACAATGTAAAGAGAAAAGAGACAGGTCTGGTGTTTGATCGGTCTATGGAAGAACATAAGTGTCTTTGGGACCCAAACTATCCAGAATGTCCTGCTAGATTGACTAGTATTCTGCAAAGATGTGAGGAACTAGGTTTAATAAGTAGATGCAAGTTCATTGCATCGAGAGAAGCTACAGAAAATGAAATACTTGGAAAGCATAGTCAAAAAATACTTGATATTTTAAAGGCCACCAGTGAATGTACAGATGTAGATAATTTAGAATTGTTGTCATCCAAATATGATGCAATTTATGTACATCCTGTATGTGAATATTTATAGATCATGAAATAAATTTCAATACTAGGTTTGGTGCATACACAATGTCTGTTCCATTGGTTTGTATATTCAATTACACTATCATGAATGAAAATTATTAACAATAGTCACCTTTTGTGCGTTAACTGGGAGCCGGATATAATTTTATTTTAATTAATAAAATTTGTTCGAAAGTCAGTAGAATATCGTGTACCGCTAAAAAGACTCGACATCGTATGCACCATCCTAAATAGCGTATTTTTTTTATATTAAATTGTTTAACATTTTTTCTAGTCTACCTACAAATTATCTCTGTTAGCTGTGGGCTCAACGATAAATCTAGTGGAAAGTGTATGCAAAGGAGAAGTTCAAAATGGAATGGCTATTATAAGGTATTTGAATTGTGTTACTCCGGTTTGAAAATGAAATTAATGTCACTTGTTTCAGGCCACCTGGACATCATGCAATGAAATCAGAATATTGTGGATACTGTTTCTTTAATAACGTTGCAATTGCTGCAGAGGAAGCTTTGAGCAATAATTGGGCTAATAAAATTTTAATTATTGATTGGGATGTGCATCATGGACAAGCAACTCAGCAAATGTTTTATAACGATCCACGGTATGGTGTTTAAATTCTACAGTTAACTCAGATTGTTTTATCAGACTGTCTGGCACGAGTAAATTTTTTACAGCGTTATTTATTTTTCCATTCATCGCTACGAGAATGGCATGTTCTGGCCGAATCTGAGAGAATCAGATTTTCACTTTGTTGGGGATGATTTAGGCCAAGGGTACAATTTTAATGTACCGCTTAATAAAGTTGGTATGACAAATGCTGATTATTTGGCCATATTCCAGCAAGTTCTGTTACCATTGGCATACGAGGTAAATAGCATTTTGCAGTAACACGGTTGATTATACGAGTAATAGACTCGCTCTACTAATTTACAAATGTTCATGTAAATCAATGTAAAATAGATTACTTTAACCCTTGTAGTTTCAACCAGATCTTGTAATAGTGTCAGCTGGTTATGATGCAGCCTTGGGCTGTGCAGAGGTAAATGAGTACCATTTATTAATGTATTTTTTATCCTAGTTTAATCCAGATTTTGTCATTGTTTCGTCTGGGTATGATTCCGCATTTGGAGACGAAAAGGTTAACGATTTTTATTTTTAGTACTAATGTAATCGTTTAATTTGATTTTTCATTTTCATGGAATTACACATATTTAAATTCTAATTTATCTTTTGTCGTATTAAGGGTGAGATGTTGGTTACCCCTGCATTTTATGCTCATTTAGTATCATCTTTAATGAGCTTGGCATCTGGAAAAGTTGCTGTTGTATTAGAGGTTTGAAAAGAACTTTAAGTACGCTTTTAATTGTCTAAATATTTTGTGTATATTGAAGTTTTTCTTATAGGGTGGTTATTACATAAAATCGTTAGCTGAAAGTGCAGCATTGACCCTGCGTGCTTTATTGGGTGAACCGTGTCCCAAGTTGGAAGACCTTGAATTGCCTTCATTAAGGTGAGATTGTAATATAAATATGTATTGTATAATAAACTGATTTATATATGTATCCTATTATTTCAGTATACGCGATTCAATATTAAATACAATTTATTCACACCGACCATATTGGAAATGTTATCAATATCAAGATATGTACAGTATTAATAGTACAAGTAATAAGGAACCAAGTATTAATCAGCATTTACCTGTAGTTACATTCAAGTAAGAAATTTACGAATTATTAATAATAATTTAATCACTACACGTAATTGCGTGCAATTATTTAATTCCAGAGGAACTGAGGATCGACCAGACAAATATGAAACTTCTAATTGTTATTTGGTTCATAGTAAAGAAGTTCTGGAGATGCTTGACACGAAATTCAACGCTCTTGTACAATGTAAGGTTCTTATATTTTATTAGTTACAACTTAAAATTTATAACAAAAAGAAATTATTTCTTCTTTAGTTACCAATTTATCTAAAGTACCAAACAAGGTGTGCATTGTTTATGATGAAAGAATGTTAAAGCATTCTGATATAAGCGATGATACTCATCCAGAAAAACCAAATCGTATTAGCGGTATTTACAAAAGGTTCAAAGAATATAACATTCTCGATCGATGCTACGTGCAACAAGTATGCTCATATATTATGGAACAAAACATATTAGCGTACAGTTTCACTTTAAATATCGCTAATGATTGTTTAATTAAAGGGACGAAGTGCAACTATGGAAGAATTATTGTTGGCTCACTCAAAAGATCATATAGACAGGATAAAAGGCACTGCAAGTTTAAGAGCTAAAGAATTAAAAAAATTAGCCACAACTTTCAATTCCGTGTATTTGCATCCTGAAACTTGGACAAGTGCCTGTGTATCTACTGGATCATTGTTACAAGTAGTTGATAGCGTATTAAAGGGGGAAAGTCAGTCTGGTGTTGCTATTGTAAGGCCTCCTGGACATCACGCGGGAGAGGATATGCTGTGTGGCTTTTGTATTTTTAATAATATTGCTGTTGCAGCCAAATATGCAATAGAATGCCATCATTTGAAAAAGTAATAACGATTTAATTTAGATGGTTTCAACATATTTCTATCACAAAGTATTTGTATACTGCAATTTTTAGAGTATTAATAGTGGACTGGGATGTGCACCATGGTAATGGAACTCAATCTATATTCGAAGAAGATCCAAGAGTTCTCTATATGTCTGTTCATAGATACGACAACGGTAGTTTCTTCCCAAATTCAAAAAATGCCAATTATACCTATGTTGGCTCAGGAGCAGGAGAAGGTTTTAATGTTAATATACCATGGAATAAAGTTAGTTTTCGCGAAACATTACACGCAACAATTACTTATAAATTGAAACGAAAAATAATGTATTTTGTTTGTATGGGTAATATGTAGAAAGGAATGGGTGACGCTGAATACATAGCAGCATTCCAACAAGTGGTAATGCCAATTGCCTATCAGTATAATCCAGAACTAATTTTAGTTTCTGCGGGTTTCGATGCCTGTATTGGAGACCCTCTTGGAGGTATACAAATGAATTACATAAATATTTATATTATAGATTCAGTTGAATCTTTTTTATTTTATTCCAGGGTGTCTTGTAAGCCCGGAGATGTACGGACATTTAACAAGCTGGTTATCATCGTTAGCAAATGGTCGATTAATTCTCAGCCTCGAGGGAGGATACAATATCAATTCAATTTCACATGCAATGGCAATCTGTACTAAGACTTTACTCGGTGATCCTCTGCCGATGTTAGAAAGCGGTCTAATTCCATGTACCAGTGCCATTCATTCCATAAACAACGCTTTAAAGACGCAGAAGCAATATTGGTCGAATTTAATATTTAATGTTTCTTTACCGAGAGAAAACGTGCTACCCAAGGCTACATTAAAACACGTGAAATCAAGCGAACAAGTGAAAACAGAAAATAAGCCTTCTAAGCAATCCGAATCTAAGATAGCATTGGAAGAAATTGAAAGTGAAAAATTGGAGTTGAAACTTTCAATTGATAAAAATTTCATGACAGACGAAGAGATTGTGAAATTACAAAACGAGGTTGAAAACATTAAGATAAAGAATTCGTCGCAAGACAATGCTGTAAAACTTATCGAAAATACGTATAATAAATCGATGAACGTGCAGAGTTCTGGTGCTAGTGAGGATAAAGGTACGATGCATCAGAAGTGTGTATCACAAAGAAGAAATAATCACTCTTTTTCTGTTTTTCAGTCTTTGAATGCGTTAGGCAGTGCGTGAATCAGCCTGGAAAGGAGGTATTTTCTAACAAAAACAATGACAATTCCAATCCAGGTGGTAGTGGTGAACAAAATGAAGGAGCGATCGGTCGAGTCGGTGCAGCTACAAATTTATACGACTACCTTTCTCAAAATTTGCAAGTAATTATTGCAACCCTTAAGAATATCGCAGGTTATATAGATATAGACTCTTTCTGTGGACCGAAACATTCGAATGTAATTATGTTTTTTTTATAATTTTATAGTCGTTGATAGCTGGGGAAATGTTCGCCGTAGTACCTTTGAGAGAGTGTCCACACCTTGACAGTGTCAGGGATGTGCCAAATTCAGGAATCGATGTACATTTGCCCTGTACAGAATGCGCCAACACTGTTGAAAATTGGATCTGTCTGCAGTGTTACACTGTACATTGTGCACGTACCGTTAATCAGCATGGTTTGTTACATGCCGAGGAATTGGACCACCCGTTGGCGTTAAGTTTCAGTGACTTGTCAGTTTGGTGTTACAGATGTGAGGCGTACATTGATAATCCGGTAAGCTATGATTTTATTTAATATACAAGATGTAACAGAAATGCAAGTACTCGTTGATTTAAGAAATTTAGAATAATTTTATAATTAAAAATTATTATTTACAATTGTCACATTATCTTTCAGCGATTATTTGCAGCGCGTAATGCGGCTCATCAAAGCAAATTTAACGACGAATTGCCGTGGACATACAATGAGAATTAAAGTGCAAACATGCAGTGATAAATTGATCATAATACTGTATGTATTTTCTAACATTTAAAATTGATTTATAAAATAGAAATATTATGAAATAATGAAGTCTTGACGAGCTCCAGATTTTTACATAGTTAGTTTTCAGAACTCATGGAGTAGCAACTGTAGCATTAGTCGATAAAGTCACTAGTACAAGAATAATCATAAGAATATCTCTTTTTATCTCCATGAGTAAATAACAAATAGTAAATATGTATAAACTTCTTTAGTTTTCAGATAATCAAATTACTTGTAATTTAAATTTAAGTTTATATAAGATTTCTGTTATTTAACAGCGTACTTTACTAAACTGAAGATAGGAAATTTAAAGAACTTTACATTCTATTTTTCTATGTAGGGTAATAATTACTACGCCAATGATAAAGCAAAACATTAACGACGTTATAGAGCAAGAAACAGTGTCCATAAATAGTTTCAATTTTACAAAATTACACAGTCCTTGATTATTTTTAACAACTTTGTAGATCTCAAAAAGTTCATAACTGTATAAGAGGAATTCTTTTAAAATCGAAATATTCTGAGATTATATTATATATTCTGTTACTGTAACACATGTAACAGTTCTGTCAGTAGCCTGAAAGTAAGCCCGTATAACTTACTTTTATCTTGTACAAATAAATAACCAAATTAAAATTGTACATTTTTCTGTTTATTATGCGTTACATATTCTATTCGTATTAACAGTAATTCAAATTGCTGAAACGCATCGAATACGTTATTCATAATTTCAGTAAAGAATTTCACTGAAATGTTGTTCATATTTGCTAAATGCAAAACATTATTAGAAATCCTTAAAAATGGTAATTTCTCGACTGTAACGTGTGGATGAAACCTATTTACAATATGATAGTTAAATAGATTTGTGTTATTTTGAATAGAAATAAATTCTTCCATGCCAGTGGCAGGAAGACCATAATATAATCTATAAGGTACCCTCTTGGTAACATATTTCTGTTCACATTCACGAAGTTTTAATGCAATAGTCTTACACACATCACGTATGGGTCTAGACCCCTGTTCATACAGATGAAAATCTTGAACTAATTTATATTTGTGGTTTCCACTACTCACATACGTTCTTTTAGTGTTTCTTAAATGTAAGACTGCAGTTGGTAAAGAATAAGTATGCGATGTAAATAGATGTATATGAGTTAATTCTGGTTTTGCTTTTAATTCAGTAGCCACATGAGATGTCAAAGGTAGAACTCCACCTTGATGGACAAAACCATAAAAGAATGCCAATGCAATATTGCATACGAACCACAACACTTGTAATTTAGTGAGTTTCTTTTTTCTTTTTAAATTACCAGTGTGTACATTGTTCTCAGCGATTCGTGCAATAGTATCGGTACCTGATATTTGACTCATATTCGGTGCATACAAAAAAACCAAAGGCAGCACTATTGGTATTATAAATCGAGGCTCTTGATGTGGAAAAATTGATAACATCAAGATAGGTATAATAAAAGATGCAGTCATCAGACCGACGACACTTTGTATACGTGGTAACTCCAACCAACGAGCTTTCAAGCCACTGCAAGCAATTATTTCTCGTTAAAAATTGTATTCTTTTAACATAACGTAAAAGAACATTAATAAATTAATCACCTGCGTAACATTTTCCCAAACGTAAGAAGACCAATAACCCCAAGAACATTGAATAGAAGCGGTACATTTACTATGAAATGTAAATAATGAGGATGCAATCCATGATTCTGTAGGTTCTTTTTGTTCATGTTGTACTTGAGGAAATTTAACGGTGTCACCACAAAATTATTAATGCTAATATCAAGACTACCTATCTCTGCCATTGTTAAATAGCCGAAATAAAAGCTGTCGACTAAAATAAAAAAGATAGCCGTAGGTACTCCGCATGCCACAAAAGTGAATATTCGTACGTGAAAATCTACGAAACCTACGCTACGCGAGCCTAGACCTCTTTGCAACCAAAAGAAGATGGGGGCAAAGGCAAACGCAATGAACGTTGGCCTATTAAATATACCGATTACAGTAATTGTTGCAATTTTAAAACAGTGATTCAAAGAATGCGGGGGTAGCGATGCTTTCAGCTTATAATATTTCACTCTCTCTACTCCAGTTTGAGCTTTGTTATATTTGTCTGAAAGATAATCGCTTTGAACGACTACCTGAAACGAGAAATGTCCTTCGCATTATTTCTTTTTACCATGCCCGTGTAACAGACGTGTGTCTGCACTTTCACTCCTAATTGATAGAATGGTACAATTTAATACATTCTTCCAATTAGAAATGTAACAATGCCTAACGTCTTCCCTACATCTCTCTATTTAAAATAACATATTTGTACCTTTTCCGAATATGCCATACAGTATGATGCATAGTACAATAATAGTGCTGTTAATACTAATTCAACAGCATTTGATAATGTGTGAGTTGCATAAACAAGCATGACATAGGAACTGGCATAAGCGATCAGTCTTATTTTGTAATTTTGTCCGTACATGTAGCATATTTTGTATAGGCAATAGTCCGATATGAAGGACAATCCACACATCAATAAACGTGGGAACAATACAAGAAAGTATGGTGTTTTTAACGGCATGCCAAAGTAGAAGAGTGTATACTGTGAAACTCTTGTCAAGATCGAGTACGGTATACCAACGGTAATTTGCGGTATTAAAACGGTTCTCAAGGGAAATGTAGAATTAAATTCCCATGGTTTGTGAACATCAATATCAAAATAATCCCCTGTAAGATTAAAATATTTCTATGTATCTTATAACTGCTTTGGTGTGATCACTATGACAATGGCAGTTAACACTTCGCGGACGATGAACCTATACGCGCTTTCATTTAACGTAAACGGTCGGCATTGCCGATGATTTCTATCGCTACCACAGTAGCATATTGGGCATAGCTTTAAGGTGCACTGTCCGCAAAGGGTTAATTATGAAATTTAAGTAAAATAATGGAGTAACTATAATTATTGTTTAGAGAATATATTTCAAAATATATTATAAGCGATAAATAGTTCCTATTAATGACTAATGTCAACTCACCAGAAATAACTTCGATGGACTGAAAATACTCGTCAGGATGAATATATCCTGTCTGTGGGATTAACGTTAGAATGATTCTCAAAGCAGCCAGAAACCAATACGGGCCAATCTTCCTACTTATTGGAATAGCAGGCTTGTATTCGTCTATTGACCTTCGATATTCAGTTTTCGAGCTCATTTTCACGTGCGAGTAATTTGAATAACAGAAAAATAGGACCGGTCTTCTGTCAAATCTGTCAAGTGAGGTTATGGAAACCGTTAGAGGTGTGTTTGTCCACTAAATTGATCATTTCTCCGGATTCTTGCAAGCTGATGCGACTCGAGGTTGAATCAAACGATTTTTTCGGTCATGATGCACGTGTCTTGTCACAATATTTAACTTGAAACAAAATATTACGCGGATAAAAAGTAAATAATGTGACACTACGTTGAACGCGAGAAACACTCAATTTTAACAGCTGATACCACAGACGAGAATTACGAGAAATTCATTGAAACCATTTTGTAACAAATGAGGTATTATGGACATGTGTGTTAACTTCTTTACCAACAACCATCAATCGATATTTTAATACGAACGAGGCATAAGAATAGACTTACCATCTTATGGGACTTGGTGTCCAAGGAATCTGGAGTACCAGCACTTTGAAAAGCCTGTGCTTATAACGGCCTCTACGTTATAAGAACGGTTAATTCGGGAATTATATTCGACCCAACTCTAGCTTAGCTAACCAAACTTCTACAATATCGCCACGTCTGAGTTTTCTTTATTTCCTCAATGAAGAAAAGCTTGTACATATATATTATTTGATTGCTAATATCTGTCAGATATTTTATAAGTATTCCACCTTTGTCAAATTGGCGGGAAACATTTACTACTAACAACAGAAGATCAATGATATATGAGTATGTATCCTGAAATCGAATTTCATAACACTGTGTATCTCGCGTGAAGCGTCACTTAGAGGGATTAGAAGACGAAAGGAAAGAGTTTGCGTTAATTAAATCGACACGAACTGATAACGATAGAAAATATAATCGTACGCGTCTATGAGATTAATTCGCGTATAGTTTACTGATTTAGCTTATTCTATACGCGTATGAAGCATGTATTAGATCGACGATGATAGAAAATCCCTCTAAGGAATGTTTTCAATTAATGTTTTCGTCCACTGTGACTTTTATTGTTCTCATTTAGCGATCGTTAAAAAAATCTTAATCGATGGATTTGTTTGCGTTTCTTACACCGCAGGAGGAGAGTCAAAACGGAACTAGAAAGACAATAAAATGATACGTAGAATTTCGGAGACGTGTGTACTAGCACGCGTTTGCGGATTTTGTAAGATATAGTGCTGAATGTTTATTACAAATGACATAAGAGAGCAAAAGCGGGCGAGAGGGCGGTTTTTTTTCATTTTACGCGTAAATGTGAGTACGCGCATGCCCGATATCGATTGCTAATCACTATGGTTACGCCTCGGTATAGGAGGCACGACGGCGACAACGACGGACGGTGACAGCGATCACCCTCGTATTCGTTTCACGGTGAGTCTCGAACGAAAGACTGAATGGCGGAATACGGTGTGCGGTAAAGAAGCAAGGATGGATGACGGTACACAGTGATATGGAAGTGGACTAACGTTCGAAATGACAAGTGGAGGAGACAACGGAACCAAGCAAGAAACGTTATGGTGTAGACTGTAAAAACTCAACATTTAAGAAACAATTCCGGGGTTTTTCGTGTGCCATACCTGTTCTCGCTCGCTGAAAGGGTTGAGCCTAGAAGAAGCACCACCGAACAAAAACAGATCGAGAGAGAGAGTGGAAAGGAGAGATCAAGTAAGGTGTAGATATTAAGGGAGTGTGTGTGTGTGTGTGTGTGTGTGTGAGAGAGAGAGATAGAGGATGAGAAATCGGGGGGGGGGTCGAAAAGGATAGAAATAGATAGAAAACGGTAGGGGGATGAAGTGAAAAAAGGAGAGCGATAGTAAGAATGAGATCGAGGGACCGAGAGATACAAGGGATTAAGAAATGATAAATTAGAGGGGAAAAAATGGCGTAAGAACGACAAAAAAATAAAAGAATTCGTAAGAGTGGCAGATATGAAGCGAGTGAAAGAGGGCCACGGAGAGGGAGGGAGGAATAGAAAACGCATAGAGGGCTGTTCAGAGTAACATGGAGCGCATCGCGGGCGCAGCAAGAGAGAGGATATTGACATTTTCGGTCGAGGGGCGCGCATTCGTAGAAGAAGGGGCGGGGGGTGGGTAACGGGGCAGTTGCCTCTTTTGCTCGATCCTGCAGTATCCATGGCTACGTCGTCCGCGAGGATTTCGCGCGAAATACCGGAAATTTTGGGCACATAATATCTGTCAGAATCGAGGATACTATGGGGTTGTGTGCGCGCGCGCGCGTGTGTATGTGTGCGTGTGTGTGAAAGTGGTTTGGATATTTCGTTAATTCTCGAACGATAAAGGAGAGAATCGCGCTCGGGAATTATTTACTTTCGGACGAAGGGTGGATACCATGATCCCACCCCTCTACTACTACGAGCACAGTTGCCCATCCCTTCTTCGGCTACCTCGCTAACCCCTTCTCCGCATCCACGATTATCTTGCTCTCCTCTTACCTCCTCGTCTCCGCTTTTTTTCCCTCCATCTCTCTCCCCTCTACTCTGTATTTTTTTCCCATCGTGTTCCTCTGTGTGTGTGTGTGTGTGTGTTGATCTTTGATTCTGTACCCACCCTACCTTTTATCGTGTTATCGCGCGCACGACACCTCACGAAAACGAAAACTGTCGTCACGACCTCGAAAAGTAGGTACTCTCGGGAGGAGACGTTCTTTTGCCGTGATTCGAGACATCGTCACCCTTCTGATTTAGGGTGAGTTTTTAATCTTGTAACCGAGGCGGTTAAACGTGTGTGAAACGTGTGCAAGCGAGTGGAAAAGAAGTAAGGATGAGAGGAGCGATGGGTTGTGTGCACGTACACGATGTATGCTTGTGCTTGTGTGTGTGTGTGTGTGTATAAGAGAGAATGGTGGGGGTAGATGGAGGGAGAGAAAGTGGAAGGGAAACAGAAGAAAAGTATGCGAAGGTGTTCGTCGTCGAAGGGCAAAGAATCAAACATTGAACGCGTAAGGAAAGTGGCCGAGCAGGCATAAGGGAGGGTGTGAAGAATCAACGAAAGAATTTCAATAAAGGAGGGGTGTTTGTCGAGTTTCTTCGGTTAAAAGGTGGGCAGAACGGGCTAGGGGCGTTGATTGAGCGGTGGATAGGCGGGTGGTGCATCCTGCCTGGCGCAGTGTTTACTCGAACGCCAGGGTGAGGTACCTCTGCCTAGGCGGAGCCGGGTTTTTTTCGTTTTTACGAGACAGATTGTCGTTAGAATAATATCGTTTCATTATTTGTCGATCATGGAACGATGCGTCGGATTACATAAAAGGGGTCAGAGGTTTTGGAAGTTGTTCCAAATCTCGTTACCAGTGACCAAAATGTAAAATATGGTTCCATTATTCAGGAGAGGGAACGTCCCAGTTTTTATTGTTATTTTTCTTGTGACGTGCCAATTTCATGTAGCGAAAAAGCCAATGGAAGTCGAGTGTTGTGGATACGTGTTAATAATCGTCATTTTGTCAGTAATTTGTCATTTGGAAGGGTAGTGGGAACTTCAGGGTGCGAAGAAGATCGAGTTTACAGAACTGGCTTATTTGGTGATTTTATCGTTACTTTCGACATTAGCGTATACGATATAATTATTTAGGGATGAATACTTGATACCTCGAAACCAAGGAAATTACGATCGTTGCCGAAGAGTCGTCACAGACCGGTTCAGTAACCGTTCCGCGGCGCCACCCCTATTATTATCCGTGACACATCCACGCAATGCCCTGTTCCGCTTCATTGACCTCACTAATGTCTCTGATATCGTGTCACGCTGGAATTACTTTTCTTTTCTGATACTGGAATCATATCCGTGTCTGATTGACAGATTTCGAGATCTTATGCAATGTTCGCAAATAAGTACGCAACCGTTTAGATCAATGTTTTTACTGGTTAGTTATCGTACACTTTGATTCTTTAAACCGTTCTATATTCATATAAAAAATCTGAAATCTTCTTGAAAGAACGAAAATTTTCAATCCCTTTTTACAGTCGAATTCACATAATGGAATGAAAATTATATCCACGAATAATGTTGTTCAGATGAATGAATGGACGTAATAAACAGTAATGAATGAATAAAAATGATAAATTATATTCGAGCTTGCAATGCGAAGAACAAGTTCTCGCGACCGTAGCGTCAGTGTCGGCGTATACGTTCAGCTCTACTACTAGTAGACGTGGAAGAATCGAGTTTCAGACCTCTTATGCTGTGTCAGTTTAGGTCACGACAATTTCTACTTCTGTTCTGGATGAGAGAGAATCGGAAAACATGCGTGAACAACGAATTGTAAATTAATATAATGAAATTGTTGTATTTTCAGCGATCATGCCAGGGACAAGCTGATGACTTTTCGAATATCTGCAATGATGTGACAATAAAGATATCTCCTCCTGTATCTTCTTCGAATCACGGGAGATTCTCCCTGCAAACATATACAGAAAATACACAGTGCTTCCCGTAACAAAACTATAAAACAAGGCGAGGTTAACAAACCAAAAAAAAAAAAAAGACAAAGTGATTCTATCCACCGATAGAATCGGTGCTTAATGAAAACGGTGCCAAAAGTCGATAGACAAGCCAATTAAAGTGAATTTTCACGTAGCCATCACACCACATTTCCGACGAATATCGGTAACGACTGAGTAATGAAAAAAAGCGATTGAAAAAAGGAAGAAAGAAAGATCGGTCGGAGGCATACAACACCGCACCATTTCGATTTTGAATTGAAACATACATAAAAAAAAGGGAAAAGGGAAACAGCAGCAGTAGGCCTGACAAAAACACAAGAAGACTGAGTGCTTATTAAAGTAAAGTATTATAAATGCAAACTGTTTGGTGAGAGCACGGATTTAAAGGGGAGAGAAGTGTGTTGGTCACAGGTGGGGCGAAGAAGTAAAAAAAAGAATAGAATGGGCAATAAGCTGTCTTGTAGTTGCGCTCCCCTGATCAGAAAGGCGTACCGTTACGAAGACTCCCCATGGCAGACAGCAGCTAGGGGCGGAATGGGCGGCGGCGTAGGTCGCAGGGGTGACACTGGCCACTTGCTCAGGTGCGGAAGCTTAAGAGAAAGGAAGAGGTGCGCATACCATACCATTCAACCACTCCATTCGACTACATAATTATCAGTTTCTATTTTTGAGAAAAAACCTCACTTCTCTTCTCGTCTTTCTCTCTCTATCTCTATTTTTCGCTCTATCTATCTGTCGTATACACTTATATTGAATGCATTGTAATATTTTCCTCAGGTAAAGCATAAATCATTTGTAATTTTCTTTTATTTTAGTATCCTCTTTCGTAACGATCGATCACAGTCGACTCTTTAAATGTCCATTACTCTTTCGTCTTTGTTGCCCAGGAATTTAGATTACTCATACGTAATAGTATGATATGCATACATTCTTTTAAAAAATACGTAGAAATATAACCTACATATCCACATACATATATAATTCATAGGTACATATGTTCGTAAATTCCTTTTCATGCTCAAGTGAAAGTAATAAAATCAGTATGCGTACATACGAATGGAAAAGTCATTTGTGCAATGTACTGCTACATTAGACGATTAGTCGAAGATATCGATTGTTCTTCTTTTTGAACACGATACACCACGTCTATTGTATATGTTACATAATAGAATAATCAGACAAACAACTGAAGTATTGTAGTATGATAACGTGTTTGTCATTAGTTTCGAAGGCACCATGGAGTTCTTCTTGTCTCTTTTTTCTTAACTCTTATTTCTCTTTCTATTTGTTTGTTTGATTGTTTTTTACTTTGTGATTTTTCTGCGGCTCGAGCATTTGAACCCTCTGACCTCACCTGCAATACACACATACACAAACTCACACCACACTATACGCATACAGAGAACAACCTTGTATTTACATTCATCTACGAGTTTGGTCAAGTCACTTTCTCTTCCTTTCTCTCTCTTCCTTTCTTTCTTTCTCTTTTTTCTGTGTCTCTTTCTATTCTGACTTTATTTTCTAACGTAGTGTTATCCTGTTTTATCAATTTCTGGTCTTTCTATGTTCATTTATCGTTTTTATAGTCGTTTAAGCTAACATTTCATGTAGTCCATCGAAAACGTTATGAACAGACGATAGGTGTAGATTTCTGAATGAACACTCGATGCTTGTATGGAGATTCGATATGGCGTTCTTCTTAGGCGTTTTGGTACCAGGAGCAGTTGTTTCGTCCTTTACGAACTTGAACTAAAATTTATGTATTCAGAAAGTAATTCGAGTTTATACTGATTTCGGGACTATCGCTGTTTTATACTGCACAAACATCATTTAACGTTACAAAGCTGCAATACTGTTCACTTTGATTTTTTACGCTTCCGCCCTAGAAATTGCGTTTGACTTATGCATGGTTCCGTAATTTCTTTGCTGTATACTAGTCAAACCAGTGTAAGAACTATGGAACAGATGCATGCTTCCATGTACAAAATCCTGTGAGAAACATCAGTCAACTTGGTCGAAGGGAAATAAATGTTTGTGTTCTATTTCCGCACAGTATACAGTAATGGGATACATTTAGAATATTTTAGAGCATAGAATGGCTCGCTGTAAATTAATATGAAAATACGATTGTATTTTATGATAAGATAACTACTGTATGTTGTGCACCAACAAAGGAACAACGAGGACAGAAGGAAAAAAGAGAACCAGCACCATGGATTGTTGATTATCTTGACGAGAAACAACATTCGAACATTTCCTCTCTTACTCGTGCTACATTTTAATAACCTTTTCCTGCTAGTTTTCTCTTCGATTATTAATCTATTCGGATATGTGAATACTCGAAACTCTAGTCTCTCTAGCCACCAACGATTCAGCAATGAGATTTTTGTAGGTTGTGGGCCGAAGTGTTCCACGTAAGCGCCAGCGGGGCAGGAACTGTAAAATGGCAGCAGGTCTCGGAAGATTTAGTTCCTGTAAATATTACTTGCATTCAAGATTCGCCGGAATGCGTCTTCCATATCACCGCGTACAATAGTCAAGTCGACAAAATATTAGACGTGCGACTGGTTCAACCAGGTAAGAGTGCGACTCTCTCGTCTAGAACGAATAAAACAATGAAGAAATGAGACACGTTTGCTCATGATTGCATATTATTCACGTTGTCGTTGTTTCGTTCTGTTTAAGGGACACGAATCGGACAGGCGTCAGAATGCTTCGTTTACTGGAAGGACACGATGACTAACGATACATGGGGATTGAATTTTACCTCCCCTATAGATGCTAAACAATTCAGAGAATGTTGCGTAAGTTTACAGCACACAAACCATTTCGTATCAGATTCATTGGAAAGCTTGGTCGTTCTCTTTCTGTATTGCTCTTGTAACGCTACGATGGTAGAAAAGACGTGAATACGGTAAAGGTGCGTCCCCATTGCAGTGGCTGGCATTTTCAGTAGAGATATCAGTAGTAGTAGCTTCAGATTATACATATAGTCTTGCCAAATACAGTGACTCACACATACTTCCGAAATAACAATTAAGTGTTGAAACTTTTATGCAATTTCTGTTTATACAATTCTTCTTCTTATTACTTTTATCATCCTTTTGTAATAAATTATTATCAATTTTGGGATAAAATACGCATTTTGGTAAATAATTTGGTCAAATAGAAGTGACTGGTTTTCGTGAAGAAACTTCTGAGTCACTGTAAATTGGGAGGCTTGTGTACGTTTTCTGTATTATGTTTATGCAATTCTGCATACAACAAGGATAATATTATTTATATTGCACTTGTGAAAGGAGAACGACAGAACTTTTCCAATCGTTCATGCTCAAAGTATCTTTCTGACGGACCGGTTCGCAAAGGGGCCAGGATGGTTCTGATTTGAAACGATCGAGAGCGCCCGTAATGGGCTACCACACGAGTATGGGGATCGCGAAAATCGATTCAGTAGGACTCGAATCATTCACCGTCATTAGTTAATTTTTCATACAGTCACCGTCGTTCAAGATTTCAAGGAAAGAGTCCTCTTCTTACTCATTGAAGCTCGAACCACCGAACAAGCAGAAGATCAAACCGCGAAGAAAGCCTCTGTCGACGCCTGGCTCGCCAAGCAGATCCAGAGAGCCGCAATGCACTTGCATGACCCCGGAACAATTCGCCAGACTACGAAATCAAGAAGCCAGATATCGGAGTTTCTGCGGTACGATATCAATACTCGTTGTCACGTGCCCCTTGTTACGTAATTTCACGTAGCCGTTAATCGGACAGGAATCGTACATATAGAACATTTTCTTTCCACTCGAAAGATTTCAACCCCACGTTGTCAATAAATGCGTGTATCACGAGACACGATTATGTTGTATGCAGGCTGGTTTCGAAAGTTATATATAAGCGAGCATGAGGCGACACTTTGACTGCCATGTCACCCAAATACGGGTGACACGTACGTTGCAAAGAGCCGTGAATTATTTAAATACCGTTACAAATATTTTGCGTGGAATTAATATTGCAATATAATTGAAAACAAGACCAATAGCCACTGTTAACTAAACGCAAATATTTTCGACGATTTATGACTTAAAAAAAAACAAAATAAACGTATGTCTGACTGTGTGGGTCCTTTTTCACTGCGACAATTACGCGCTAATCTGAAAGGCGTGTATTCGTCGTGGTAGGTACTATGTAGAAAGGGAATGCAATGAACAGACATGCTAACCAAATCCCACTCAATTGCACGCGTATCCAGCAGATTTTCAATTTTGATTTTCTCGAAAATGAAGACTGAAATGAACAAATTTTATTCTATATTTTTTATTCTTGTATTCTTCCGAAAAATCACTTCATGCTCGTTTGTACATAACTTCCGGAGGCACTCTGTATAATACAGACTGTGCTTTAAATATGTCGTGTAACAATTTAATTAAAATTCTTTTGGTATTCGTGTGGTTCGCGTGCAGATACTTCTACTCTTCCACGTACCATGGCACGATCCACGGAAATGGAAATGACACCGGGTCGGGAGAAGATCACAGCAGCAACGTCTAGCGCGTCCCTATACGATAACGTTAACAACACGAGCGCAACACCGGGGAAAACATCGAAAGTGAGCGGTGACTCGACGAAACAGAAGGAGAAACAGAACGAAACGTGTCAGACGACACCGAAGACGGCAAACGTTGGAATCGAAACGGTCACGGTTGGGTCACAGGCAAGTTTCGAAACTGTTCGATCAATCTATGAATGCACAGAAACTATATTGTCAGTTCCACGATGTCATGGGACTGGCTGACAGTAGGCAGGTCTTAGTTTTACTCTTGCCGATTGCGCGTGAAAGAGAGATTAGCTGGGAATACGTATACATATAATGTTAACACATTCGTAACCGGCAACATAATCCAACGTCATTTTAAAATCTTTTGCTGAGTACCGGTAACGTAGTTCTACGTAATCTCAAAATCTTAAATTTTTGTTAGGTTAGACATTCTCTATATAATGTGTTAAATTACAAATGGTATGTCCCAGTAGAGACTAGACGGATAAATCAGCCATCGATGTAGGAACTCGCTGAAATGTATAAACGATCCTGTTAAATCGATGCTCTTGCAATTACAGCGACTCACAAATTTGTTCACGAAAGGTTGTCATATTTATTTGACTAAAACAGGTAGGCAAACTGCGAATTTTATTTCAAAATTAAGAAATATACATCACAAAAGGACAATAAAAGTAAAAGTAACGAGGATATATAAAAAAGGAATTACATCAAGATCTTAATTATTATTTCTAAACTGTGTGAACGAATGTGAGTCACTGTATTTCACTGTTGATCCCACTAATTACGTGTAATTGATGTAATTGCATTCGATTGCAGATCGACAGCCCGGAGGAGAAAGGTACCATGGCCTCGCCGAAGAAATCACAGAAACAAAATCAAGACACATCTACTGAACAGAATGGCACCGAGATGCTAAAGTCGGAAGGCACTCAGGCGGGCGGTACATTGCAAAACAGATCGTCACGAAAGGAACAATTGCATCATACGAAATCGGCCGACTACACGGATCTCGAGATACAGAATGGTAATATCTTCAATACAGTGAATAACAATCACGGTGGAAAGAAACCGAAAAGCAAGAGCACCGACGACATGAGAATCGAGAATGCGCAAAACGGTGGGATCAGTTTGGATTCGAACACGTTGAAGAGAATGCTGAAACCGATCTCGAGTATCGATAGTCCCGTCACGTCGCCGGAGATGACCAGAAAACGGCACAGCCACCACAGTTACCATTATCATCCGAGCAATAACAACCAGAAGTACGTTATGCAAGAGACTGAGAACGAAAATTACGCGCATCCGTATCGTGCCCCGTACAGTAACAAATTCCAGGCTTCCAGAAGTGTCCACGACATGGGACGTCAGTATACTGGTATATACGACAAATTCTTATACAAGCTAAGATGTACGATATATTCATATTATATAATACACATTCCATACACGATTCGATTTCTTTAAAAAATTGCTTGCAACACTTCGATTTTCGTTCGACGATTTACCGAAAGTACAGGAGTCCTGGATAAGTGTTCGAAGGCCCTTCGACACTGAATATTCATTCCTTGTCAGTGCCGAGGATGCTTCGAACACTCATCGATGATTTCCTGTACTTTCAAAATGACATAATCACTCGATATCTAAATCAGCACTTGGGTCGTTTAATGTCGCTATAGATTTGAAAATAATACCTCGGGCGAGCGTGTGTAATGTTATAACGTGTCCGTAGCGTATATAAAGGGAAAGGTGTACAGGTGCTTTATAAATAAATAAGGGGGTGCATAGATCGGTTAGCAGAGGGGTGCATGGCGCATGCCAACAACACATCGGTGTACACCGACACTCGTACGGAAAAGTGTGTAACGGACTAGTTTCAGTCCGACAACCTGAACACGTTCGTCGCACTCGTACAAGTTTCCCGATTCCTCTGCATGAGAGCACCTGTGTGTTTTTTGTTGTTGTCGTATAGCCGACCGAGGCAGGACGTACTTGGACGCGGAGCGTAATCGTTGCACAGGTGACATGTCACCGCCGTCGGACAATGTGATCTTCGATAATCAGTGCTACGCTACTACGCCGAGCTCGTCGAACGGTAACTCGGACATGGAACAGCCGACCCATTGTAATTCGCGACATTGCAACCGGAGTCAGACATATCAACAGCAGCAAAACATGCAATCCGTTTCGACGCCCGGCAGTCCGACCAGCAGACTGCTGCTCGAGTACGAGATGCACTTGAGGAACACGTTGGAGAAGGGGATGGACGCGGAGAGTTATAGCCTGCGTACGTTCGAGGCGCTCCTCACCCAAAGTATGGAAAATTTAGGTGAGTCCCACCTTGGTTTACCATCCACGAGACCGCGATAGATTTCATTCCCAAATTGTTTAAAAATCACACAAAGAAATATTTTGTTGTATTTTTCCTGTATACTACATTACATATAAATGATTCAAAAGATCATTTTAATATTTGGAAACCATCTAATGCCATTCTTCGTTCGTACCTATTTGACAAGATTTTTACTTTAATAATTCTCATTTATAAGTATAGAAATATTCTCATTTATAATAATTCTGATTTATAAAGCCTCGTGAAATATACTTGAAAGAAATTCGAGTTTTGTAAGTTTCCGTTGTATTTGTAACAATGCTTTCAACATTTCAATTCTATCGCATGAAAGAGACAAAGGACTAATAATGTCTTATTTTACTGATAAGATTTCACGTGCACATTTACATTTTCTAATACGTAATTTAGAATACGTAGCCATATGGCAACAGTAGGAATGAAAGGGTTAACGAAATTGACAGTTTTCCAATTTGACTCGATTTCAACCGGTTCTCCCGAATCCCTAGCGAATAACGGATAAGTACCGATACGATACCGATTTTAATGTTACAGAATTTGCGGAGAATATACCACTGAATGTACAGCGCACACCTCACGTTTCACGAAGACGTAAGTTTAAACTTTTGATCGAACCACGATTTGTTTTGTACGCGTCAGTTTCACACACGCCTACGATACTATTCCAGGTCCCGGTGCCAACAACAAATCGTCGACCTTGCCGCTGTCGTATCGTTATTGCACCGAGAGACAGAACAGCAAAGATAGGGACGGTTACTATAGCGATCGCAATGAAATGATACGAGAGAAGAGAGAAAGGGATGCTGATCGAGATCGTGGATACCTTAGCGATTACAATTCTAGGTAATTCGACTTGTAACGCTGTTGAACCTCAAGTATTATTGAAATTGAACTGAATACGATATGTACGGTCGAATGAATGAAAATTCTACGATACCGATAATGTTAACACGTTGACTGCTACAGTGAAAAAAACCGTACATAGCCAGACGCACTTCATTTTTTTTTTTTGAAGTCATGAATCGTCGAAAATATATGCGTTTAGTTAATAGAGGCTATTGGCCTTGCTCTAAATTATACTGCGATTATTAATTATCGCAATGTACGTATCACCTATATTTGGGTGACGTAGCAGTTACAGTGTTAACAAATGTTTTCCATTTCGATAAAAGTTCTGCACGCGCATACTGTAGTATTTCTAGCGAGACAGCACACAGATAGATATGGATTCGATGCAATTTTAAGATGTGCCAGCTGCATCGGCGAATCAGCTCGCGCTCAGTGGTTTCGGCATATTCGATAAATCCAAGTTATCCTGGCCACAAACGAGAATCCCCGTGGGACTCGCTTCCATCCTTGAGACACGAGGGCAGCCTAAACGACAGCGGATACAAATCTAATCGAACCGATTCTCTTGAGCACAGGTGAGAAAAAATGTCTAATCACCGTGAAAACTTACTTGAAAACCTACCTTACCTGTTTACCTTTTACCTTTTACCTTTTTTTACCCTTTTTATCCTTTGAAAAAGTTGCAAAATTAATGTATCGTACATACATGCGAGCAGAAAAATTTGTAACGGTCATACTTAGTGTTCTAAAAAGAAAACGTGATCCAAGCTTTCGTGATATTCTAACGATGCACTTGTCATGTATTATACGTATGTATGTGGAAACTATAGTCGTGGGTGTTTTTCGTATTTTTCAGAGGCACTTTCGACAGGCAGGACAGCGTGAGATCGGACTACATGTCCGACAGGGACGGTAGATACGGAATCGTTCAGCAAGCTTCATTGGAGAGCACAGACTCGAGACTTTGTTATTTAACGTCCTCGGAGGTAAGTCGTTCGAATAGAGTGGTTGACTATAGTGTAATGCGACGTATATCGGGATGCTTACTTGTTTTCAAACGGTTCGTTGCTTCGACTAGCCCGAATTTCGTTAAGTGAAACCAAAAATTCTCAAATTCTCTATCCTACGAGAACATGTTCGCGTTCGCGTATACACGCATGCTCTCATACACACACCTACGAGACATACGATAATAACGATGATAACCAAAGAATTTACAAAGAAAGATTTTTTATTCTCGAAATATTTCATTGGGCATTTATTATTTAAGGGACTTATTTGAAGTAGGTATGTCAATTCTATTGAAACTTGAACGTAGTCTGAGACTCTTCTGAAAATAGATACCAACGTCTGTCGGTGATTCTACCCATATTTAGAGAAAATAAATGGATATTGATGAGAATCTCCATTTACAGTAAATAGATGAATACTGAAATTTTTACTTCTGTTCTTTTAATTGCATTATTCGTACGCGTGCGCGAAAACGTGTAATCTAGACAGGCGCAAGCGCGTGAATATAGGATTTTATTGCTCTCCATACGAATGTGTGTGCGTGCGTGTACATGCACGAACGTGTACATGCAATAGTTTTCATTGATGTTGCAAGTAAAAGTACACGTCTATTTGCTGAACGTCGATAACCTACTAACCCTTTCAACGTACTGCCGGTATACGGGATATTTTTCAATTTTTTGTAGAACGCATACTTTCCTCGTGTAGTTTCGCTTTTCTCTGTACAGACGGAAAATTGAAAAATGTACAGTCAAGTATCGAAATTTTATAAATTGATAGAAACAAAAAAAATAAAAATTGCACTTCCCGCGTGAAATTGAATGACAAGACAGAAAGAAAAAGAAATATGCGCGTCTGTATAAGTGGTGTAGTAAACGGGAAATCGAAGATAGATTTTCCTTGCCAACAGGTGCATGCGCAAACGTATACCTCGAGCCGCCAAGATTATGCCCCGTGTACCGTTTGTACTTTCTTTTCTTGTTGCGATTGTAACGATACATGGTACGTACAAGACTGTTGCCGATCTATGCCCGCGATGGATAATTATCTGTTCCTCTAGTCCTGCATCAAATCGAACATTAATGGTATACACGTATAACACACGACAAATTGTACAACTCGAGACATCGAGATATGTTTCAAACTCGATGGCCCGCCCACAGGATTAAAGAATTGGAACGATCAAGAATAATAAAAACAAGAAACTTCAAAGTAGCGATCCTGCGACTTTTTCCATTTTCTTTCACGAGCCCAGAAATATAAAATTATTATTTACACTTGGATCCACACAATTGAAACAATGACGATGACGACACGCGTTTTGAAGAAATAACGATGCGTCGTAAAGCTGCGTCTACACTATATGGCATAACACGTTATAAAACTTGTTAGAAAAAGAGAAAGAAAGTGTTATATAACATTTTTCGTGTTACATAGCAAGTTATATGTTATCCATTAAGTATGATCCATTATTAATAATTAGATGGGAAATATTCTACAAACTTGTGACAGACTTGTCTCATTATTAATAATAGCATCACACTTGATAGGTAACAGGTAACTTGTTATGTAACACGAAAAATGTTGTACAACATTTTTCTTTCTGTTTTTCTCAAGTTTTTTAACTTTGCTATATAACCTGTTATGCTAGATAGTATAGACGCAACACGATACAAGTGTTACCAAATAAACTTGGTATGTGTGTGTCTCTGTTGACTCTGGTACCGCGTCGCGTTTTCCTGCCATTAATCCCTTTCCCTAAAACGTGTCTAGCATCCCTCTTTGGCGAGAGCTGCGCCGCTTGGTGCATTCGAAACGTTTTCTTCGCCCCCCTCCTTCAGACCACCGGTGATAGCAGCGAGCAGGATAGATGTTCATCCACCCCTTCCATTTTCAAGCTGGTCTCTCCCACTATCCTGTCACCCCTTCTATGCCGTCCGTCACCCATTTTCCCCGTTCCAAGCCCGGTTCCGCGACCTCTTCTCGCGGATATACATATATATATATATATATATATATACTATATACATATATACCCTCTTGCTCCTCCTCCACCCCCTGCCTACCCTTTCGTTTCCCTACTACCGGCTGCTGCCACCCTCGTCCTCCCCCACCTCTCCGTTTGGTCTCCAGAAGGACCGAGGTATTGATTCCCCTCGCGGTAGCAGCTCTCCTCTCTCCTCTTGCCTGTTCTTCAGCGCAGTAGTCTGCTGGAGCAACGCGCGATCGCGGCTGCTGGGGATACGAACACACTCTACTAATTTTACCCGATCGTACGCGGAAAGTAGTCGCGGAAAGATAGACACAGGCCGGCGTATAATTGTCGTTAGCGTGTCCGCGGGACCATAATCCGGGGGAGAGGGTTGTAATCGAGAATCGATTGTCTGCTGCTGTTTGGTCACACGGGGGAGGCGGTTGGAATATCTGTTCGCTCCTCGAGCCACCAGACTGGCGGATCCTCCGGCTGGAAAGACACTGCGGACACATCACTCTGGACCCTGGTTATCCGTGGCCGCGACATCACGTACATTATTTCACGATGGACGGGGACACGACGAGTGACACTCTCGAGGATTACCACCGTGGACGGCGCGCGCCGAATCCGATCGTCATACGTTAAGAAAAGACGTCGGATGTGTGTACGATCGTGAACAACACGACTATACACCGTTTCTTGAAGGATACAGGGGAATATCGATCTTGAAAGGATATATCGAGAACGTGTGTCACACGAAATATTTCACAGTCGAGAGACTACTATTGATCATTTTCGGATCATCGTGTCTGAGAGTAATCGAAGGCGAGAGAAAAATAGAGCGTATTTTCGTCGGGTAAACAAGCCCCACGAAAAGCCCCCGTTCTTCCAGAAGCTAGGAGAATATTTGTATGTCCCTGTGGTTTGTTTTGTCACGTGCTGGTTCACGTGATGATCATACACACACACACACACACACACACACGGTGAACAACAATGTACCAACGCGTTTCAGATAGATGCTAGACGTATTTGTGCGTATATACGTACGAGTAATTAGGTACCTGGTATCATCGATAGATCCATTCGGCTCCCCCTCTGCTCTGTTTTGCTTTACCAACGAGTTTTCGAGATTTAGGCAAAGCGTCGAAAACGTTGCAAGGAATGATTGATTTCCCGCGAACGATTCAACGAAATTCTTTATTCGCTTTCGCAGTACAAAGAACACCGTAACGTAGTGTATAAAAAACAGTAGAGAAGTACGACGAACAAGAGAAACAGAGGAGATAGGTAGAAGAGTTCGGTGGAATTTTCAAAGGAACCAGACTACTCGATGAAAATTAAAGGGATACATACCTACCTAGATGTATACTTAAGGAAACAAGATGAAAAAGTGATATAAAAAAAACAAAAATGTAACATATTTTTATACGACCAGTTCGTTTCTACGCGTGTATTACAAAAAGAAAAACATATTCTATATATTTACTTTTAATCGCGGAACACAAGGTTGGCTCGTTACGAGTAGATTCGGAGAGAAGACGTGTCTGGCCAGCGCACGGTATCGAATTTTTTAAAACGACCGTTTCCATTCGTTGACCAACCCGACGTTTGTCCGTGAACGTTTGGTCTGTACATTAGTACTGGGATTAAAATACAACGTTCCTCACGAACGAAGATCAATGAAAGTATTATGGAAGAGAGTGAGAAGGAGAAAACAATTGTTTCTCTGCGTGTGCACACTTTGGAGAATGTCACGGAACGACGAACACGTGATCGACCGCTAAAATAATGAACAGAATTGCTTAATACGAAAACGTTTGTGATGCGAGCACCGACTGGAATCTCATGGAACAGGGAGCTAATGATATCGCGTGATACGTAAAGTGCAAAGAAGGTATATGCCTTAAGTAACAAGTTTTAATGGTGCACAAATAATCACAGACGTTCCATCTTGTATGCATACATATACATATACATGTATGTATCTACATGAATAATATATATACATATGTATGATATATATGTATAACAAGAGTTACTTTGCAGAAAGAATAAATACCAGGCGAGCAACGACGAATCGTAGATTACCTGAAATCGACGAGAGGGGATCTCTGTGCTCCTTCTTTTCTTGTTTACTTGCCCCCCCCCCTCCCCCCAACCCCTTTCGATTCCTTTCACCCTTATTCAACGTTTACCTGGTTGCGCGGCAATGATCGATAATGCTAAACGATCGAACAAACTCATCGCTTCTTTCCCTTCGTGAAATATGCTCAACGTGAAACGACTCTGTGTGTTCTACTTCGTATCTTCGTGTGTGTTCGGTCTATTATGTTTATTCACAGAGGAACTGGATCCACTGGTTGTAGCGTTTGTCAAGCACATTCTTCAAATTTATTATCGAAACAAATAATTTGAACAGTGTCCACGGAAACTTAGCATCGACGCGACGATTGTCTGGAGAATTGATTAATGATAGATCCTTAAAGGAAAGCTAGCTGATGGTATTCGAATAGCAGAACAGTTGAAGACTTTCTAGACAAATAGATGATAATCGAAAAAAATGTGAATATCGAACCAGTATAATGATTAGTGACCTTCGTAAAGATATGCATGGGGCAAGAAGGAATTAAAAGACAGAAAACGAGACAAACTGCGACGACGGCTCTATCGTCGCAACCGTGAAGTTTCCTAATCAGGAAGACTTTCACCGTAAAGTCTGTTCGTCCAATGATCCATAGCGATCTCCTTGGTCCGATACACCGATAGGATCGACGTAACCGCGAATAATGGTAGAGCCAAAATGGTCGATCAGATGTACGAATAGCACACTGAGTCTGTTGAATCCGAGCAGTAGCTACACGGACCTGAAGACGCTGCACAAGAAACGCTGCAAGAAGTATTTTTGCTTTTGCAAACGTCACACGATCAGCGTGATATGCATTAACGAGACGCGGAAGCTCTATTGGTTCAACTACAAGAACGTACGCGAGAAGGTGAACTTTGGTCTGGGCGACGGTTATTACTACAAGCTGTTAAGGATCGTCGACTGTGCCCTGAACACCTGGGTGCAACGTTATATCGACGGTCTCGGTGTGACGCGCAGAGAGATCATGTTCAAGATCAACGGGACCGCGAAGACGAACATGAAGCTGTTAAAGGAGGGTTGCTACTGTCACTACCATCCGCATTTGACGGCGGACGCATGCAACGCCGACTTTCTGAAAAAAGTTGTAAGTTTCTGGGCCGGCGAAGGCCTTAGAGGGATACGCGACAAGCTACGCGGTATGACGAATTATGCAAAAAAGGTAGACACGAGTACCTAATCCGCGTTGAACGTTTTTTTTCTTCTTTCTTCTTGTATATCACGGTGTTTCATTGTTTTACTTCTGGTCGTTGTCGTTGCCGTTGTCGTTGTGATTGCCGTTTAATCCTTTGTTCGTGTTTGTTTCGTTGCCACTATTTTCACCTTCACTGTTTTGTCTGTTACCTTCTTCACCGCCGCACAGCGTTGCGATTGCAGATGTTAGCTGGACAAAACTATTTTTTTATACATATACTTACGTCACCATATGGGTGACACGTATATTGCAAGGAGGCTTGATTATTTAAATATTTTAAAACAAGAGCAACAGCCTCTATTAACTAAATGCATATATTTTCCGATAATTTATGGTTTAAAGAATGAAATAAAGTATGTCTGGATATGTACGGCATTTTTCACTGTGGCACTCAACATGTTAGAAGGTATTGTTTAGGGTGTTAATTGATTCTCGTCGATAAAACAGAAATTTTAGATAATCCGACAGTAAGTTCAGTTCTAGATATTACAGGATATATCGAGTATCTTTTTTTATGAAATGTAATTATAAGTTCTGTCCGGCTAATTAGCATTAATCGAAACACTGAGCGTCACTTCGATCGTTGTCACCGCGTGTTCTGTCCTCCCATCTGATTTGTCGGTCTCACTGAACGAAGTGACTCGCATGCGAGAGATAATCGACTGTTACGACAAGCACCGACATATTAATCGTGTTAAAATCCATTGCAACGTACCTATATTATTGAAACAAGTATCCTCGGGGCGAGTAGGTAGGTAGGTAGATTAGACGCACCCAGATGGTGTGTACTATTTTTATAAAATATCGATATCTATTTACACACACATTCAAGGTTACTTATACACGGTAATTATTCATCAACCCTGTTACGCTAGATCACACTATCCTTTTGCACTTGCCACGATGCCGATGCGTGCCATCTCTCTCTTCGTCGTTCCGTCTGTCCCCTCATTTGGTTTGTTCGTTCCTTAACTCTGGTGTTACAATATTCGGTGCACGCGTGTTCACGGTATATTGTTTCCGGCGGATCTGCTCCAAGGTACAGAACACACAAGTAGTAGACACAACAAATACCTACACACACACAAATAATTTGATATACGTGTGGTGACCGGAACGAGAACTCTGTCACTCTCTCAATTGTAGATTGATCATTTTTCCAGCTTTGTCCATCCGTGTACACACCGTTCTAAGCGACACACGGACAACAGAACGAATAAAAACAATCTCGAAATGTTGTAGATGTCCGACGACGACAGAATGTCGTTAACCACCGCTGTGAGCGACGACGACGACGGCGAGAGTGTGATCAATTCGCCGTATCGGGGAAAACAGCCTGGCACAGCTGCGGCCTCCTTTAATTGCACCGGAGCGGTTCGAAAGGCTGGGTAAGTGACATTCGACGGATTGTGGATCGACAACAAAAAAACGAAAAAGAAATCAACGAATGATGTGTCAGTGTGTAAATACTGTGTGTTGTACGTGATTGTTTACAACCGTGGTGTCTGTTGGTTCGCAGATTTCTCAGCGTGAAAAAGTGGTTGCTACGGAAGAAACATCAGATCGAGCTCGCGAGGAAACGAGGATGGAAGGGTTACTGGGTCTGCCTGAAAGGAACAACGCTTCTTTTCTATCCGTGCGACTCGCAGGAGAGCAGAGCCATGGAAGCAGCACCGAAGCATCTGATAATTGTCGACGGTGCTATCATGCAACCGATCCCGGAACATCCGAAAAGGGATTATATATTTTGCCTGAGCACCGCGTTCGGCGACGCGTATCTGTTCCAAGTGAGTAGAGAATCGTGTGCTTTAATCGCATGCGTACGTTCACGACAAATGCATGCACGGTGAGAGTTGAAACTAAGTATACACCTTACAAAGGTGATGTGCGTGTAACACTTCTGTAACACTTTTGTATCTTACGATTGATCATGGCGGTAATACGGTTGGATATGATTTTATTAAAATTTTTAGAATGAATAGGCAGCCAACGAATTCGAAGAAAAGAAATTCAGAGCTATAATCAGAAAATTTTGTGAATATCGTTAAACATGGTGAATGTACTATTATGATTTGGGACAGTATGTTAGCCTCTAGTGTAGGACAGTTGGTTTTTATTCACAGTACTATGAACAGATTTTGATATTTAAATATTTTGAAATCAAATTCAGCTGTAAGTGCATTCATGGGTCTTTTAGTGAGATTATGAGCCAAAATATACAGTACACTCACCTTTGACTCTCATTGTACATGGGGAAAGGGATACATTGTGTGATCGTGTTTGGCGTGTTTAGGCACCGTGTCAGGTAGAACTCGAGAACTGGGTGAACAGCATCCATTCGGCCTGTGCCGCCGCGTTCGCGCGTCATCGTGGCAAAACGGGGACGCTTCATCTGCTGCAGGAGGAAATCTTTCGCTTAGAAAAGGCGATAGAATCGGTAAGCTTTTATTTCGACTTCAGCCAAAGTGCTGCCACTCGGCAGAAACCAGCGAAAGCGAAGTGACGTGGATTGTAAGGATGATCCTTTTTGATAGGATCATAAATTAAAGCACATGGCGGATCTTCAGCAGTCCGTTGTCTCTGACGTGGAAACGAAACAGCAGATCAACAATCAGATCGTTCAATGGGAAGAGAATCTGGAGCGACTCCATTGCGAGCAATTCCGTCTGAGGTGTTACATGGCCAGCCTACAGAGCGGCGAGTTACCTAATCCAAAAGTGAGTACGTGTATAATTCCGAAATTCGTGGACAAATTTCCAAATAATATGCCCCCCTGGCGTGGGTCGAACGAAGAACAATTCTACGCGTGCCCTGCGCGAATCCAATCTACACTTAAATCAAAATAGATTCTCTCGGAAAGAAAACTCCATGAAAAAATAATATATTCTGCATTTTCAATCTGTTGTTGTATGTAGAATTACGGTTTCCGCAATTGTACAGCTTATCAAGGGATATAATGTAGCACGAAACCTTTGTCAAAGTATTTCAAATATGAAATTCGCGGTATCAGCTCCTTCTCCATTATAATACATATTATCATTATAATGATGTTATACGGTACATTCTCGCGCATAAAGGGTTTGCAAGTTACCGTTTGTGCGCATTTCATCCGAGAGACTGGTATCGATCATTGTAACCCCGCAAATAGAGTTCCCGTGCAAGTTGGATGAGCGCCAGTGTTTCCGCCAGATTAGTAGGGGCAACCCGAGAATCCTGATCGGAACGCACCGTGTCACGATACGTGTCCTCTTATTTTCCTCCCTGCAGAGTTTATTGACGCACGTGTCGCGTGCCACGAAGCAAACGTTGAACAAATTGGGCGTGTTCACGGTGTCGTCGTTTCACGCGTTCATATGCGCGAGGAGTCCGTCGTTGTTGAACAATCTGTTGGCCGGACGGGGAGCCACCAAACGAAGACCACCGTTGCTCTCGAGGTCCAACAGCGAGTCCAGCCGGAGATCCCTTCAAATTTCCTCGAGGGACGATGAGAAGTCTGTGAAAGTATGCGTGCCAGAAAATACGGTGAGCAACTCATAATGATATTTCTGACATAATTAACGACGAATTGAATAAATCTAATTGATATTTCTGACAACGAGGGAAAATTAATGATCGTTCGTTTTTCGATTTCCAGTTAGTGTCCGTGCTTTTGCGCGACGCTATGACGGTCGAGGAGTTTCTAGCGAGCGCCTGCAACAGAAAGAATCTGAACCCAATGGAACATTTTGTTCGTGTCAAGAAACGACGCGATATGGAGGATCACAATTACTTTGTGCCGCACAGAACCGACTTGATAGAGACCTATGTAAGATAAATAAGAAATCTGAATACGATAGATATCGGCAAACAATGAAACACAAAATATTCCCGATGTGTGTGTGTGTGTGTGTGTGTTTCAGTTGCACACGCACGAGATCGTTGAAGTGTGCGCGAAAATCCTGTATCAAGTGGAATTACAGAGAAACACTCTCGAACAAATGTGGGGCTTTTCGGTGGAGGCGGAGCTGATTGAAAATTCCGACAGGCAGGACGAATTGTGCTGTTACGTTAGCCGAGTCGAGGACAAAAGTGTGGCAATGCAAAACGGTAAGTGGATGTTTTTGATACGAATGTAAAATTTTACGGTATTCCATCCTTCATTTTCGAATGTCGATGTGTATTAAGAAGACGAAAGAGAGATTGTATGATGCCCTGTGTGCAATATTCGTCCTATCATATCCGGATGTACACGTCATACACGTCCATATAGGTCAACGTGACCCCCCTTTAACCTTCTGCAATCTAATTTAAAAACGAAGGTTACGTACATGCATGTGAAAGTGCACCGGGTGACCTTATAACAACTCTTCTTTTGCTTTTCATCGGAATATTTCGATCCTAAACGACCCAGTAAAAAACTGATTTTTCTGTATACGCGTACTATTTATTTCCTACCGGTTAATCGAACCGTTTTCGTGAATAATTGTTTATGCTTTGACGCGAAATCACACGATCGATGTTTTAACATTTCAGGGATCATCAAGGGCGACGAGATCATGGTAATTAACGGTGCTATTGTAAGCGATTTGGATATGATGTATCTGGAAAGCGTGTTACAAGAAGAAGTTGGCTTGTGTATGATGATGAGGTCTTCGCGAACCGAACCGCCGGATCTCACGGGTATCATGAGGGTAACGGATGACATAATCGAGAGCTTGGTTTGTCCACCACCTCCCACCGATCCACCAGTTATAAGCGAACAAATGATTTCCGACTTGATCGTTCCAGCACCTGGATGGAGTAAGGCTTTTCTATTTTTCCCTCTAGCTTTTCGAATTTGTATTACGACCTACAATCTATATAATAGTACTGCTGAAATGACATTCCTTTCTTCGATTACTTCTGATTAACGAAGATACCTGATTCGGTGAACGTAGGTAAGGAGAGCATCGCGCAAGAGTGCGCGGCGGCTGCTCACGCGGAGAACGGAAAACAAACGTCACGCACAAATTCGTTCGAAATTGAAAATTTGTTAAAGACTGCTGAACAAGTGACGGGGATCTGTCGATCACCCGGCGAAACTAGGAAATCCAGTCCCACGGGTAGCGTCGTGAGCTCTCATTCGCAAGCTATGACTCCGAGTCGGCAGTTAAGCGACGCCGAGAAACTGAAAAAGGTTATTCTAGAATTGATCGAGACTGAACGGACTTACGTTAAGGTGAGTCTATCGTCCCAACTTCTAAATTCGAATTGCTATCAATAGTTTAACAAGGATCGTGGAACCATCTATGATTCTGGTCGATCGAAACTATAGATATTTGTTGGCTTTTGTACGGTGACACGTTTACACGATACTTTTAGCATTTAAACAATTTGCTGGAGAACTACCTGGAGCCCCTTAAACGCGAGACTTTCCTATCAAACGCAGAGATAAACGCGTTGTTCGGAAACATTCAGGAGATCGTTACGTTTCAACGACAGTTTCTGCAGAATCTGGATCACGCGATCGAGATGGAGGCTGATTTTAATCATTTCGACCATCCGAGTCAATTTAAGGTAACGTGATTATAGATAGTACATGATCAGCTGTGTCGCATACATCCAGTCAATCGTTTGTAAATAGGCCTTTTTCGTGTTTAAAGGGTGTCCTATTCTCCATTGGAAGTGCCTTCTTATATTACGTAAACCATTTCAAGCTGTACAGCTCGTTCTGCGCCAGCCATTCGAAGGCGCAAAAAGTTCTACATCCAAGTGAGTGGAATTGCCCCGTTCAATCGCTTTTGTTTTATTCCCGTCCTACTCAAAATACTACCATTTGTTGCAGACGAAGGGAACCAGGCTTTACAAGAATTCTTGCAGGCAAGAAACCCACGGCAACAACACTCGTCGACCTTAGAGTCGTATTTGATCAAGCCTATCCAAAGAATACTGAAATATCCGTTGCTTTTGCAACAGCTTCGAAATCTCACCGACGAACGAAGCGAGGAACACCAACATTTAATTGGTAAAAGAATCAGTTAATTCACTAGAACCCTGTTGCCTAATGCTTTTACACGCTATACTATTGAAATAGTAATCATATAGCGTGGTACCATAAAAAAGACTGTTTCGATCAATGAAATTGCTAATGGATGACCGTTTACTGGTTACAGAAGCGCTAAATGGCATGGAGAAAGTGGCGGAACACATAAATGAAATGCAAAGAATTCACGAGGAATACGGAGCCATCTTTGACCATTTGTTCAGGCAACACCAGAAATCTTGCAAGCAGGTATGTAAAAAGAGGGCCAATTCCTTCCCTCCATTCTTTCATTCGAAACGATCGCTAAAAGTGTGCTGATTCGACAGCCTATCGACCTGAGTCCAGGAGATCTTCTCTACTACGGAGGCGTCGAATGGCTGAACATTTCTGATTTCCTTGGAAAGATCAAGAAAGGCCTGGAGCTGCATGCGATGTGCTTCGTTTTCAAGTCTGCGGTCGTCTTTCTGTGCAAAGAAAGGTTAAGGCAAAAGAAGAAGCTCATGGTAAATCTTGTTTGTTTAGTGCGATCAGTTCACAACGGACAGAGACATAGACGTTTCGTGTATGTGCAGGGGGTCTCGACGAAAGCGAATTCCAGCGAGGTGGAGATAATACGTTACCAAGTGTTGATACCTGTGACAGAAGTTCAAGTACGGGCTAGTTCTGCGAAGGATATGGAGTCCCATTTCTTATGGGAGTTGATCCATTTAAGAAGTCAATTACAGAGAAGATCGGAAAAAGTATATGTGCTCTCTAACAGGTACCTAATACATCGTCTAACAGTCGACATGGTCTCTCTGACGGAATATTTTATTTCGTTTAACCCCTTCGAGGCCGGCGACTTTTCAAAAGTCGGTCCCCAGGAGCCAGTATTTTTATAACTCATATATGAATCCATGATCATTACACACACGGGTGTGTCATTGATCTTTTCGTCTAGGGGACGGCATCATATATCAGATGTATGTTTGGCCCCGAATGGGTTAATATGTGAAACACGAATTTTCCTTCCTCCGTTTCGCTAAGTTGCAATCGTACCGATTATTCTTGGTTGCAACTCACAAGCACGATAACATCTTATCCGTATTTCTGGTCCGCAGCACGACCGAATTTCGAAACGCCTTCCTGCGGACAATTCGACAAATCATTCGAGAATCGGTACGAAATATGAGTATACCGTCGACTAAACAGAATATGAGTCAACCACCGATGACGATCTCCCCGCGTATGTCGACCGGACACGTGGAGAAGTTCGAGAAACAATCGGCCGCGAGCCAAGGGCCGAACGGCAACAATAACGGAACGGCCGGCGCGACGCCGTTGCCGAAGAAGCCGGTGAAGCCGCAACCGTTGTCCACCGCGCATAACTTTAAACGACGGTACAGTCAGTCGAAGCAAAGCGTGGAACACGAGAGTTCCGAGGACAAGGACACAGAAGAACCCGCCGGCGGCGGCGGCGGCGGCGGCGGCGGTGGCGGCACGGTTAATCAACAACAGACCATCTTTCGTTTTCGCAGCAAAACGATTAGCGACACGTCCGGTAAGAGCGGTAATCGCGTCACAGCAAACCCATCATCATCTCGTACGAAAACGAAACGAATCTCGTTCTCTTTCGTTGAAAACACAGGAGAGGCGAAGGTCGAGATGGACTCGGGGACAAAGTCCGAGGGTGAGGAGGACTCGCAAGCTTTTTTAGGTGAGAAGACGGCAAATTTGGGCCGCACTCCGAATCATTTGACTTTGAGCACCACTTCAACCATTTCAGCGGGAAGTACCGGTAGTCAAGCGAGATTAATCCAGTCGTCACATCAGCCGGAGAACTATCAACCGATTACAGTTAAAGAACTCGGTAAGGGACGAATCGATGTCGCGGCGAATTGTTACGAGTAAATTGGAAAACACACGGTTTGCTATCCGCGCGTGGCTTTACTATTCACAACGTGACGGACGAGAAGAGAAAATTGAATAATTTGATTGTTCTATTTTGCAAATTTGTTGAAGGATCGCCGATCTGGAAACCGCGGGAGTTACCTTCGTTAGGAGAGGCCACCACTTTACCGCGCAAGGGTAAGTCGGCCAGCGAGTTTGGGGACATGAGCTCGTCTCACAGCGCTTCCCGAAAGTCTCTGATAGAAATCAATAACTGTGCTCAACAATCTAACTATAATAACCACGTTTAAGTTAAGTAGTTGTTAACTGGCTAAACAAAACAAAGATATAGGGATTAAATTTAAAAATCGTGAAATAAACCGATCAACTTATTCGATTATCGTGAAAAGACTAATAAGAGAGTGGCGTGTGTGCCGTTCACGCGGAAATATTTCAACGGGATGATCCAGTCGGGTTACTTTCTTCTCCAAAAGTCTCGTTTCTGTCTTCCAAATGCTATATCGCACGACACACGGTATTATATACTCGCGACATATCTTTTTTTTCTGCACAATCAACGCATTCGATCGTCCATTTGTTTCGTGTCGAACAGTAAAATAACTCTCACGTACAGATAAGGCGCTTCGTTTTTGCAACGAGAACTAATATACGAAGAACGTGTTAACTTTGAAATCGCCACGATCTATTAACGATTTGTTTGATTCCTTATAACTTCCTGCAGAGTGAACCGCCTTGTTCTTTCATTTCCAAGAGTATACGAGTGCGTCTGTTATTAAATGCACTCTTGTTAGCAATGGTAAACGTTCGGAATCGATTGCACGCCCCGCGCCCCAAAAAACCACTTTGCTCGAACTAAAATTATTCAGCTTGCGACAACAAGAAGGAATAACGAATCTGTTCGGATAACATCGGATGAGAGACGTTTTTTTGGTAGGAGTCGCGTTAGATTTCCATTCCGAGATTCTATTTTTCACGTTTACTAGTTGTTGTTGCTGTTATTGTTGATGTTGTTGTTGTTGTTGTTGTATCTATTGAACACATACCATACCAGTACCGAATTCAATCTGACTCGACGCGACGCGACGAAATTACCGGGAGACTCGCGCCTCCTTTTGTTTTTCCCTTCGCTTGCAGTAATTGCGATTATATTCGTTGTTTCGTTTCTCGAATTTCTATTGTTTTCTACACTGTTTCTTCCACGTGGACGGCAATGTGCAGTTATGGAGTGATACACTCTGTATATAATGTAAGAATGATATTATTATTATTATTATAACTATCGTCCTCGTCGTCGTCGTTGTCCTCATCACGATTCTAACTAAACACGTTATTACAGCTGACATCTGTTTCACGCTATTCCTTTTCATTTTTATTTTAATGAATCGTCGCTGGTATCATTATTTCGATCGTCTAAGTCTAATCGATAATCATCACTTCGAACACTATACACGCTCCTACGATCAGCAACACCAATAATACTATTATTACCATCGACACCACCACTATTACCGTATATCTACTATTAATCGCATTTTCCGTTGGTGTTGTTGCGCCCGATATTACTATTATTGTCTTTGCTGATACTATTATCTATACATATACATCGTTGCCCGTCACCTTTTGTCATCCATCATCCATCATTATCGATACATTGTCATATTCATCCATCTCATCGATCCTGATTTGCGATACTGCATCCAAGAAAAGAATATAATAATAACGTTATCTGGAGGTGTAAAACGACGACGTAAACGAGAAAACAGATTTAGCGATCAAACGACAAAGTTTAACGGAATAAATTATATACATATACATATGATACACATATGGAAGTTGCGAGACCGCGTATAAAATGACTGTATAACGTGTGCGTTAGATGTATGTATGTATGTGCGCACGTCTGTTTGTGTGTTTGTGTGTGTGTACGTGCATGTATGAGAGAAATAGATAGATAGATGTATAGATAGATAGATAAATAGATATATAGATAGATTGAGCGAGGAAGTGAAAGGGAGGGGGGTCTGTGTGAGTGGGAGGGAGAGAGAAATAGTGAGAAATATGGGAGGTGTACAGGTGCGCGACGTACACTAGCAGCGTATGCATGCGTGCATGTATGTGTGCACGCATGTGTACATATACGATATGTCTTTATGTAAACAAACAAAAAAAAAATGTAGGTAAAACTCGTACATACATTTCCGTATATGGATACGTACATGTACACAATTATTGTAATGTGACGGGATGGTTTTCCACATGTTTCCTGTTTCGAAATAGAAAACACTTTCTTTTCGTTCTCGAGTATTCTCATCGTCATAGGAAACTTTATTTTTAACGTTACTTAAAATACGATTAGTGATCAGGATGCTCGAGAATCGAAAATATAAATTGCCAAAAATAACAGAAAGGTAAATATTGATTTTGTGCCTGACCAGTTCGTAAGACCAGGTGATAACAGGTGCACGTGTATTTAAAAGAAAAAACAGAAATTCATCGAATTGATCGTCGCGAGATTCGTTCGCAGATTCGAGCACAACAGCAAAAGGGAAACATTCGTGTGGAGTGTCGTCCAGCAAAATCACCAATAAAAAAAATGTTTCACATAAAAGCTAACGATATTCGGGCCCGGTGACACGCGCGTTCTGAAATGGGTATTTACGACAAATTGACACGATATTAAATCATTAATGCTTGTAAATTAGGAAACAGAAAGTACATCTATACGTATAGATAAATATCTATCAAACAAACAATAAAATAATGTGTACGCATGTACGTATACAGTACATGCAGAACGGACGCCAGGCTGTTATCTGAAAATTTACGAGCTTTATACCATTCTGTTTCGACTTTTTTCCTCCGACATATGTAAAATGTACAATTCGAGTAGAAGACTTTTAGTTTCGCGTTACGTTTCTGTTTCACACTCAATATTCGCAAAAGTCGATTTAGTAACTATCAAGGTAACGCATTTTTCTCTGTGCACACACGAATGACATGTATCCTCAAAATTTTCAGATAAAAGATTGGAACCGCTATCGGTATATATACGTGTATAAAACTAACATAAGATACACATGAACATAGCATCGTGTATATACGTATACGTGTGCGTGCGGGCACGCGCGCGCAGACATCCGATTTGCGTGTGTTTATATGCATATGTGCGTTTTAGAAGTAATCATCAAACAAACGATCGAGTTCTTTTGGTAATTACACGAACCATAGTAACTCGTTTTATCGAACAACCTGGAAGAGATAAGGTTTACAAGAATCCCAATCTAAATTCGTGTTTCGCATACTTTGAAGTCGGTGCTAAGAGAATACCTGTGTATTAAAACTCAATCACTCTGTTTCACACTTTCAGCTGTGATATATCTTACGTTTCACGATTTCGTTCTACTATTTGATAGAAAAAATATCGGTTATTGGTTACGTACCAAAGGAAAAATAACACATGTTGAAATGTCGAATTTAATAACGAAGAAAAAAGAAAATAAAATACATATTCGAGACAGAACGAGCGTAGAATCATCCGTATTATCTGCATTGATGATCCTACACGAAAAAAATTTGTAAACCAAACGGTATAGGAAATAAAGTTTAAAAACATCTATTCTGTCACATGTGACACATATGCAGGCACGTGCATACACGGGCACACGGTAAGACGACGCAAACACGCGTGCGTATACGTATAAAAGCGAAGTATGTAATGTAATAGGATAATATCGGTTGACATTTAACAGCGAAAGACGACAAAAGAAAAAAAAATAATGAAATAACTTATGTACTAATTACTGTAGACGTCATGTGTGCAGATTTAAAGAAATTTACAGAGGTCTTTCTGTTGCTCGTATTATTGTATTCTCTGCTACATATATATATAAATTTTATTGGATAAATTCTGTTGAGACGCGCCTTCAAGCAGAGTTGGATATTGTTGTTTCTTTTGCGCCCCTTCGAACAGTTTTATTCGATTCCGATACACGGTGGGTCGTGCGAAAACGTTGAATGTGATTTCCTATAGATACGCTCCCTCCCTCCCCCCACCACGGTGGTATCGGCGCGCTTCGAGACCGTTTGCAAAACCTTATTCATTCACTAATTGCTCTGTCTACGTTCCCCTACACACGTTCTCGGAAGTCTTCGATACTCTACCACCGCGCGTACACTACGTTCAATTACGTAATTTGTATTCAGGACTCGTGACAATCAAAGGCAGCATTTTTTTATCGAAGGAGGAATGAGTGACCAACGACACTAACTAAAACGTAATAATAATAATAATGATAATAATAATAATAATAGAGGGACGATGATTACGAAGAACAGTCGATTATCTTAACAACAATGACAGCAATGTCATAAGATAATAATCATGATAATTGTTAAAGAGAGATGAACCGAACAGGCGACAGAGAAAGACGACACGAACTATCCAGATCACTCGAAGAAATATTCCGAAATGATTTTATTTACAATTAAGATTCTCGCATCCTGGTTCGATTTGTTTTTTAGACCCGCGTGTATATCTATTGTACATATTCGCAAGCTTCTCAAGAATTCTTCGTTGCGCGACGCGGCGTTCACTTTCTTTTACCCTTTCTTTCTATAACGACACTATTTGTAACCTGCGGTTGCTAGATAAGGCGAACATGTTCCTGAAGATTCGGTATATACATACATACATACACCCACACACACACACACACACACACACGAAACACGATCGGAGAATTTCGATTTCTTGAACCTGTCGAAAAAAACACTCTGGCTCGGAGACGCGTCTCTCGATAGTTGGCCTAGTGTCGAGTTTCATATTTTTGTCCCGATGACGGTGAATCGTCGAACGATTTATCATCTATTGTACGATTATTGACAGTCTCCACAAATTTTATTGATATAAACTTTATCGCTACCGTTGAACATAATATACTTAAATTATAATGACGATACCTTCGGTATAATTACGGGCACCAGATGAAACGAAGTAACGAGAGATAGAAAATATGAATGTGATATGTGAATGGGAAACGGGGTAGCAGATAGGGAGTGAACGAATGAGTGAGTTACACAATGACTGAGTGAGTGACTGACTGACTAAATAATTTACTGAATGACTTACCGAATGACTTACTGAATGACTTACTGAATTACTTACTTAATTACTTACTGACTGATTGACTGACTGACAGAATAGCTGACTGAATGTCTTACTGAATGACTTATTAAATGACTTACTAAATGACTGACTGAGTGAATTAGTGACTAAATTAGTGAGTGAGTCAGTGAATGACTGACTGAGAAAATTAATGAGTAAGTGAGTGAGTGAGTGAATGAGTGAATGTCTGATTGAGTGAATGACTAAGTGAATGAATGACAGAGAATGTGCCTGTGTGCGCGCTGTGCGCGAAAAAGAAACAGTACGAACGAAAATGAAAAGAAGGATGAAGTAATCTATTCGAGTGTCCCGTGAATACGAAGATTTTAGATGGTTGATAGAATTATTATAGATCATAAGGGAGAATAGCATCTAACTGTGGAGCAGGATACGATGAAAAAGATGGGGTCGCGTTATAACGAAACGAAGCTGGGGTAAAAATAAGAATGTAACGAGTCTTTCCGCATTCTTTTCCTTTTTTGATGTACAGAAAAACTTGCGAGACGAAAGTCGAAAATGAAAAAAATACTCTTCTACGTACGAATGCAAACGCTGCGATAACAAACTGCATAATTGTTTACGTTTTCATCGACTGTGTAATTATGAATTTAGAAAACGAACACTCCGATTGCAAACATTCCTGTATTTATTATGATTGTTCCTCGGTTACACGAAAACATTCAAGAGTGATCCATTTGTACAATCATTGAGTCATTAAAATATGATTACCCAGTAATTCGACTGCTGTTTAATCCATTGTCCCGTGTTGTACGCACGCCTGACAATAATTCTCAATCCTTCGTAGGTACACGTGCGTTTCCGTTTACAGCGAAAGATAATTTCCGTCTATCTCCCAGCGAAATATTAATTCTTTTCAGGCATGACTGGTAGAACACCAGGTGTCGATCAAATTTTACGTGTTATAATCTTCTCTTTTGTTATCGGGTAAACCGCAGGTGTGCACAATACACTTAATCCAATGATCACGAAGATAATTATTATCGAATTACATTATATCGATTCCGAAGATTCATTAGCCGATTAATTATCGATGTATCGTTCTGTTTCTCTCTTTCGTTTATTTAGCGTGGTTTGAGGATACACGATAACATGTCTAGCGATAAACTTGATTCCAAGTTGATGAAAATTAGTTAACAACCTTTCTACACAGTCACTCAAGAACGACTAACCGTCCGATCAACGAGACACGGACCTCGAGTGCTGTGTACTTTGTCAAAGGAAAGTTACGATTACGATCAGCACAGGAGAAAGGGTAAGTAAAGTGCACAGATTTGGCTATCGAGAATTTGTCCAAGTAATTAAAGAAATAAATAATCACTCTTCTTTTGGTTTCCGAATTACATGCCCGCGCGATCCCTGCCAATAAATAAACAGACATAAAAGTCTATGAAATCCAAAGATTATAAGAAACGACGGCATTGTAAATTTGTGCAGAAAAAGATACAGTATCCGGGCCTCAGCGCGGATTCGATGCAACAGGATGAAGCCCAATCGAATTCTGAACGTTCTGCTGACACTGTTCTGCGTTTTAACGGTATCGCACAGTATCGAGGAGGAGCCGCATTGCGTATGGTACGGAGACTGCACAGAAGAAGGAAGTACGAAGCATGTCACATGCGTTTCCAATGATCCACCACAACAGATCCAGGACAAGGAAATTGCGAAGAAGCTGCGCGAGAAATGTCCCCAATACTTCGAAGAGACCGGTACGTGTCCACACGAGTAGACAATCTAAACGAGCGAAGAATTTTAATTTCCAACGAGTTCAAATGAATTTTCAGACATGCCAAAATTATGTTGCGACAACGGCACCATCGGAACGCTGCTCGGTCAGATGGGCATGGTCGAGGGTGTTTTCGGCAGGTGTCCGACCTGTGTGAGAAATGCCTACAAATTAATATGCGACATGAGCTGCAGTCCAGTGCAAAGTCAGTTTATGGAGGTCATGGACACCGCTGTGAATTCCAGAGGCCAATCATACGTTACGGAGATCAAGGTAAATGCATTCGTATTGCTGAAATGTGGCTACACCGCTTAATATAGCGAGAATAACATGTATATGTATAGTGTTATGCAATGCTTTTTTTTCTTGTTAAACTTTTGTATAAAATGGGTCTTCCCGTGAATGACAATAAATTAAATGAAACTAAATTAAATAAAATATGTAGTAACGAAACATAAGAATTTTCGAACATGGATCGATTGTTTAACACTCGATTTCGATGCATGTTTAGGCTCTCGTTTCAGAAGAATACTTGAACGGTACGTTCGATTCTTGTAAAACCGTCGTTCATCCGGCCAGTGGAAATTTAGCCATGGATTTGGCGTGTGGGGTTCACGGCGCTAGCAGATGTTCCGCAAAGAAGTATGTTTGTAAAACGATCAAGCTATAATTACCCATTGCTAACTTTACTAATCTTCGTCTAATTTTCTGTCACAGATGGTACGAGTATCAGGGTGATCCGATTGCGAACAATTTTATACATTTCCGACTGCACTTTGTCCCGAACAACACATTTTGGGACAAACCGACGAAAACATGCGGCGAAAAGTATGACGTAAGTCCGATAAAGCAACGTGCTGAAGAATTAGACGAATTAAGTGTAATTACGTGTACTGTACGGTCCGAATACGAATCATATTTTAACGAGATGCCGTTCAACAGGGTTCATCGGCATGCAGCTGTACAGACTGTCCAAGAGCGTGTAATCATGGTATACAACATTTCGTTACGGACTTTCTCATTTTCGGGCACAGTGGTTACGGAGTGATAGCAAGCATTATTAGCGTCTTGTTCGTGTTGACCATATTAATCGTTTACGGAATTCTGAAGCGGAGATCTCCGAATCGAGGTACGACGACAGAATAATTCTCCCCTACGCGAAAAATCTACGTATATGTATACATATATGTGAACATTGATCGGCAATCTTTCCTAACAGCTCCAATATTAGAGAACGAAGACACGGATTCGGAAATCAGCGAGAAATCCAGAAGAAGGTGTCGCGGCAGTTCTCAGAAGGTGTTTCGCGATTTGTTCAGCGGTTGGGGAAAATGTACGTTAGTTTCGCCGTTTTTCTCTATCCTTCATATTTGTTGCGAATGTAGGCCCGTTACAATAAATTATTATTATTATTTTCAGATTTCGCGACGAATCCAAAAATCACACTTTTCATTTGCTCGTACATCGTACTGGGTCTGAGCTACGGGATCATGCAGCTTTCGGTGACGAGCGATCCGATCGAAATATGGGCCGCGCCAACCAGCAGAGCAAGAGTCGAGAAAGATTACTTCGACTCGCGTTTCGAACCCTTCTACAGAACCGAACAGGTTTACATCAAAGCCGTGGGACTCGGCAAGGTAACCGATCGCAATTCTATGTAAACCAAAGAAAAAGAACCATAGAAAAATAGAAACGTAGATAGAGATACCATAGAGAACACGTGTACTATCTTATCTACATGCATGCTTAATCTTGGAAAATCTCTCGAACACGATTCTAGGTGAAGCACAACACGTCGGATGGTCTTTTGGAATTTGGCCCCGTTTTCCATGAAAAATTTCTGCTCGCCGTATACGAGCTTCAAAGGAAAATATTACAAGTAAGCGTTCCTTTGCTTCGATAATAATGTTCAACAATTTTTAACTTTTTTCCTATCTCATTGGATGTTTCCGATAGATCTTTATGAGCTGAATACGAACCATTAACGGTTATGAGATATTTTATGTGTTGAACAATATTTATCGAATAAATCGGCAATGTAGCCTTAATAAAATGGACAAACGTTCGCAGCTCGGACAAGACGACGACGAAGGCTTGGAGCGGATTTGTCATGCACCGATTCGAAACGATTTCACCGGGCCCACCACTTTGGATCTCTGTACGGTGCAAAGCGTGTGGGGATACTTTCAGAACGATCTGAAAAAGTTCAATAAAACGGACATATCCGGTGGATACAAGATCAGTTATTTGGACCACTTGTACAAGTGCGCGCAGTAAGTAAAGTGTAATTACTGGCGTGAAACTTGTATAACCCCTACCGTAGTAATGGCCGAAACGAAAAAATTCGTACGGTACTTACCATTACGGACCCATTTCCTAATCACTTAAAAGTAACCATCGTGACTTTTTTAATGTATAATTAGAAAAATTAATCAAATTAACCAAAAAGATTTGTTGTTGTTCGAATAAATCTATATTTTACCTTTAATTTCTTATTAACAAAGGTGCAAAAGTAATAATAATTAAATTATAATTTCACTTTTAAAGTAAGAAACGCAAAGGGAGCAATTTCTGATCATCTAAATCATATGTTTGTATCTCACTCTGAGCTATTAAATTTTACATATAAATTTCAAAATAGTTACTAATTTTTTAGTAATTTTTTGGAATACATTTTTATCATAATGAACTTATTACATGGTATCTATACATAAATACTAAACTTATCAGGAACTGGGTCCGTAACGGTAAATTGGATTCGATCTGCAGTCAGACTATTTGTAATTTTTGTTTCATAGAAACCCGTTCAATCCCGACTGTATAGCCCCGTACAAAGGGCCAGTCTTCCCAGCCCTAGCCTACGGAGGATTTCTTCGCGAGAACGAATTCAACTACGATTCCACGGACTACATCAAAGCAAAGGGATTGGTTCTATCGTTTATGGTGAAGAACTCGTTGAACGCATCGAAACTCGCGCCAGCGTATAAATGGGAACAGCGGTAAGACTCGACGATTAACTCTCTAGATTAATAAGAAAGGAAGTGTAGTCGAGAAAGAAAGCCATAGATAAACCATGATTTAGGTTTATCGACTTTATGGGAGAATGGGATGCAAAGGAACGGCCGAGCTTCATGGATGTCGCGTATACGACCGAGAAATCGATACAAGATGAACTGGAACGATCGTCGCAGGCGGAAATATTAACGGTGATCTTCAGCTACATTTTGATGTTTCTTTACGTCGCCTTTGCTCTCGGGAAAATAACGTGTTCCTTCAAGGAATACCTTGTAAGCAAAAATACCTTTCTAATTCCTCCGAGATGGTTCTGTTTATAATTTCGTACAATCACCGATCGTCCTTTTCTACGATTTCAGGTGCACAGTAAAATCATGCTCAGTGTTGGCGGAATCGTAATAGTGATGGCATCCGTGGGCTGCTCTCTCGGTATGTTCGGTTACATCGGTGTGCCTACGACACTGCTTACGATCGAGGTGAGAGAAACCGTGTAAAACCGTCAACGATGATAAAGGCGATGTCTTTGTGGTCTATACCGTTCATTATTGGTGTAACTAGGTAATTCCATTCTTGGTATTGGCCGTGGGAGTGGACAATATTTTCATAATGGTGCAAACGTACGAGAGAAGTCCGAAACTCGTCGAGGACACGATACCCGATCGCATAGGGAAGATATTGGCCGAGGTGGGTCCGTCGATGCTGCTCACCACTACATCCGAGTGTCTTTGTTTTCTCATCGGTTAGTATGAAAAGTTCTGTGTTTGACTAAAGCTATTAACAATAGAATCACCAACAAACACATTTTACAGGAACATTGTCCGCGATGCCGGCCGTGAATACTTTCGCGATGTACGCCTCGCTCTCCATTCTGATCAATTTTCTCTTACAAATCACGGCTTTCGTTAGCCTCTTATCGTTGGACGCTCGAAGATTTCAGGTAGAAAAGTTTTCACCAACATCCAATCTCGTGACGATTAATGGGGCAATTATCTAACGACGATTTTCGATATTTCAGAACAATTACTTGGACGTGTTCTGTTGTGTGAAAACGAAAAAGGATACCTGTAATAAAGTCGACGAACATTCCAGTCTGGTAGAAATGATATTCAAACGCGTTTACACGCCGTTTATCATGAAGACACCGGTCCGGATAATCGTGATGATCCTATTCTTCGGACTGTTGGTTACACAAGCAGTGATGCTGCCAAAAATTGGTATCGGTTTGGAGCAGAAGCTTTCGATGCCCATGGATTCTTACGTTCTGAAATATTTTCAAGTAATCTATTCAAGTTACGAGCGACGACGGTCACGGTGCACAACGATAACGCGTAGCTCAATATTTTCAGTTCATGGAAGATCTTCTGTCGATGGGTCCACCGGTCTACTTTGTGCTGACTCCTGGTCTAAATTACAGCAAGGAAGATGTCCAGAACACGGTCTGCGGGGGCCAAGGATGCAATACCGATTCTCTGTACACGCAAATCTATTCGGCAGCCAAACGGCCCGAAGTGTTTGTATTCTTATGGTTATGATGTATTATACCGGGGATTTGCACGGTGCTTATCGTATCGTTTACATTCTAGATCCTATCTATCGAAGGCAGCCTCCTCTTGGATAGACGATTACATGGAGTGGTCGAGTAATCCAGAATGTTGCATGTACTTTCCAAATAATCAGTCCTTTTGTCCACATACAAATGGTAATTGTGACGTTACTCTTTCATGTATTTCCATTCACTAGACGAGCAACTTTGAAGGATGTGCTCGAGAGAACTGTAACCCCTAGTAACAGCACTTATTGTTAATGTTTCTTTTCTAGTTGGTGGCTTGTGTAAGCCTTGCAAAATTAATACAGAACACTCGCGGCCGGATGCAAAGAGCTTTCGAAAATATATACCCTACTTCCTGGAAGATATTCCGGATCCCATTTGCGCAAAAGCTGGTCGACCCGCCTATCTCGAAGTAAGATTATTCCTTTAAATATACATATAGTTGTGTGTTAACGTAGTTATGTTCTTCTTCTATCGCAACTCGTCTACAGATATAGTAATAATACTGTTGAAATTTTTCAGGGAATGAATTACCTGGTCGACAAACACGGGTTAACGGATATCAGCGACACTTATTTCATGGGTTATCACACCCCGTTAAAAAAATCATCCGATTGGTATGAATCACTGAAATTTTCTAGAAAGTTGGCTGAGGATATTTCGACGATGATCAATAAGAATGAATTCACGAAAGAGGGGATAACTGTATTTCCGTACAGGTTGGTATGCGCGTGGAACATCTCTGGATCGAACATCAAAAATTGACATTTCACCATTTCAGCATATTCTACGTCTATTACGAACAATACCTAACAATCTGGAAAGAAGCGATATCGTCCTTGGGTCTGTCTCTCTGCATCATCTTCTTAGTGACCCTGCTCCTAACCGGACTTTCACTGTTCTCGGCACTGACAGTAGTATTGACGGTACTCATGATCATCGTCAATATAGGTGGCCTCATGTACTGGTGGTATATCGAATTGAATGCTGTTTCCCTCGTCAATTTGATAATGGTACGTAAAACGGTGCTACTCACGTCGTGATACATTAAAGAACGTCGTTAATTCATTTCACGATAAATGTGAATTTTCCTGTGCAGGCGGTTGGTATCTCCGTAGAATTTTGTAGCCACATTATACACGCATATTTGCATTCTACGGCAACGACGAGTATCGATCGAGCCACAGAGACGTTGAACAGAGTGGGAAGTTCTGTAAGTACACTAGACGAAAAACCATTTTTACACAATATACAGCACATATGTATTGCCCTGTGAACAATTGATGAATCAATGACTTTCCTGTTCGCCCAGGTTTTCTCCGGTATTACTCTAACGAAGATTATAGGAATTATCGTATTGGCATTTTCGAAGACTCAAGTCTTTCAAGTGTTTTATTTCCGAATGTACTTCGGCATCGTACTGTTTGGCGCCGCACACGGTCTTATATTTTTGCCTGTGTTACTGAGTCTTGTCGGTAAGGAATAGAACGTACACACCTCCGATTACGTGTTTGCATCGCGTTACACTGTGGGTAATACTGACAAAAACGTTTATTCATCATTGCAGGACCTGCAGGACACGCGCGTAAACAACATTACACAACGGAACGATGATCAATTTCATAGGTACAATGTACAGTGTAATTTTAAGTATTAAGGAGTAAGCATTCAGACAACAGCGAACAAAGAAACGAGGTGTTTCCGTTTGGATGTAACGATCCTGGATCTAATGATCCTTGTTGCAACTGGCTGACACCAAACTATGCCTATACGGAAATTCCATACGAGTGATTTTTGTTCGACGATTCGAAACGACGCGTCCGATATTTGTTTAGAATCTTGCTTACGGATTTCGATAATGTCACTGTACGACAGATTGTAAAATCTTATCAGGTTTTCCGTAAAATTCTACTTAAACCAAGTACTAAGATCAATGTGCACCTGTCATTTGAATCTCAATCAAGCGTCTATTATTAAATGAGGGTACACGCTTAAAGACAGTGTGTTAAAATGACAGTAGCTGTATTATATCGACTAGATAACAAATGAAATTCATATAAACCGAATGAACGTTGCTCGAGATATTTAATAAAATTTCGTTTTAACAGTATACCTGTGCTACACCTGCGAGAGTAGATCCCATTCCCATTCCAATTTCAATTTTAACGAAATAGAATATTAACCTTTAAGTACCGAGATGCCGTTTTAATCTAAAATTTACGATCTATAACTCACCAAAAAATGCATACGTCGACACAACCGCACTTGCATCGTATATTAAATTCTTCCCGCCAATTTGATAAGGGTATCAAAGTTTATGAAATATCTGACAGATATATTATTGAAAGATATATTAAATTACGAGTAACTTACGCGTTCTACCATAAATAACACCACGAGTCTTTCGACAACTTTCATCATCATGTAGAAACCAATTTAATCATAAATTTGAGCACTCTTTCTATACACATGCATTTCAATATTTAAAACTCATGATTCACTGTCAGATGCTGTCAGATTTAGTTCAGTACGCGCCACTAGGGAACGCAGCAGGCAAACTGCAAGATTACAAACTGCGCAAGAAACTTCTATTATACATAGCAAATATAGACGCGCGTCTGACATTTGCAAGGTGTCTGTATTGTGTGTTGTGAATGATGAATTAATCTTTCGTCGCAATGTCAAAAGCAAAAATATCTGCGGAATGGAGGAAACGCGTAAAGTCCGAGTACATGCGTTTACGACAAATGAAACGCTACAAACGAGCGGACGAGGTGAAAATAGCTTGGAATCAAAATCGCAAGGTTATGTCTGGTGGGTATGCTCTTTCATAACAATATTTCATTTAAAACTTTATCCAAGGGATACGAAACAAAAGTCTTATTTCTAATAAAAAAACAGTACCTCTTCAGTGAATAATATTTAATATGAAAGAGAAAACGTTATGTTACACAGCCCATTAAAGCATTGTATACATATATACCTGAGGCACTGTTTATCAAGCTTTATAATACAAACTTACTGATTGCATATTTTACGTCTCAATCAAACCATTAGAACTGTTATCAGTTGAACAAAAAAGATGGACCGATGGAAAAGCAATGTGGTTAGCCATGCAGGACATTCCTCCACATGTTTCTTGTATGAAAAAGGCAGAAATTACCAGCTCTGATGGAGATGTGCAAACGTGTCCGGTTAAAATTATTAGTGCAGTTACTCCTATACCAACCATGTACACCTGGGCACCTATACAACAGAACTTTATGGTCGAAGATGAAACTGTGCTACATAACATACCATATATGGGAGATGAGATTTTAGATCAAGATGGCACATTTATTGAAGAATTAATAAAAAATTACGACGGAAAAGTATGTTACCAATATTTCTTGGATTTCTTTTAAGATGATCAAATAAAATTTTTGTTACTGTAGGTTCATGGAGACAGAGAATCTGGTTTCATGGATGATTCAATATTTGTGGACTTAGTAAATGCTTTGGCACAGTACGAAAAAGATGACAAGGAAAGAGAGCATACAAAGAAAGGAAAAGAGAAGGAAGAGGATAAAGACAAGAGAGATAGTAGTAGCATCAAAGCAGAAGTTAAATCTGAAAAATCGTCGGAAGATGTTAAAACAGAAGTGAATCCATTTCCAACTATGCATATATTTAATGTGAGTAAGATGAATGTTGTATAATTAGTCTGCGTTACAAACATTCTTCCTCTCGTATGAATTTTAGGCAATATCCAGTATGTTTCCCGACAAAGGAAGGCCAGAAGAATTGAAGGAAAAATATATAGAACTAACAGAAAGATCGGATCCAAACGTTTTGCCACCGGAGTGCACACCTAATATTGACGGTGTGAATGCAAAAAGCGTGCCACGGGAACAAACGATGCATTCCTTTCACACGCTTTTTTGTAGACGATGCTTCAAATACGACTGTTTTCTCCACCGTGAGTACCATAACTGAAACGAATCGTCTTTGCTCGATTCGAATTAGGTAGTTTAATTTGTTTGCAATAACCACTCCAAGATGCAGCGTAACGGCCGTGCATGTAGGATTCTGATATTAAACCGAGCAATTGTTAATTACAATAATTTATGATTCCTGATTTATCGTAGCAGCCAGGGGAACTTCGCCGCAAGGTAAAGAACAACAGTCCATACAAGCGATCATGTCTGAACGAATGCATTTTTTTTGTCGTTTAGCACGAAGACATCATCAAGGATTCATCCTCAATTGTACATTCGTCGTTCATTGTTGCCTCTATTAAATTTTTCTGCTTGTTAAATGTTCGTTTTGTAATGTCTTTTCACTGAATTCGCACAATTACTTTCAGGTCTTCAAGTCTGCCATCCGGGACCGAACTTGCAAAAACGAAAAGGACCCGACCTGAAACCGTTCTCTGAACCGTGTGGGACAGAATGTTACATGCACTTGGTAAAAAACGAAAAATAACTATACTCTATCACAACGCAGGACCAAACAGATTCCTACGTCCGTTTATGTGGGAGTAACTCGCCTTTCCTTACGTAGGAGGGGATGAAAGAAAAACTGGCGGCACAAGCGGCTGACATAAAAGATGAGGAAAGCGATGAGAAACGTGGAGCTCCTAGAAAAGTACGAAAACAAGCGAGTGTGGATTCAGGAAACGAAGCAAGTAGCGAAGACAGCAATGATAGCAACAAATACAGTCAAGGTGGTGGTTGTCAAGGTAATAATAATTATCGTTCGCTACTAAAGACTAGAGAGGAAAGCGAAACAGAAAGAAGGAACCTAATACGAGTAAATATTTGTTTTGTCGCATCAGATTTTAAACAGAACGTCAACAAAGAAACACGACCGGAAGAGACGATGGAAGACCAAACCCAACCGGAAAATCAGGTGCCATTTACACTACTGGGTCTCGACAAACGAATTAAAACGGAAAATGAACTTTCGTGGACCGGTTCAGAGCAAAGTTTGTTTCGAGCTCTACATAAAGCTTTTCCCGGTAATCCATGTGCATTGGCACAAATAATGTTGACGAAAACGTGTCAGGAAGTGTATCGATTCGCGCAGAAGGAAGCCTCGGATATTCCAGCGATTGAAAACTTGAAGGACTTTACACCCCCGCGAAAGAAGAAAAAGAAACACAGACTTTGGTCGATGCACTGCAGGAAGATACAGCTGAAAAAGGATTCTGGTAATATTAATACAGAAAATAAACAATATAACAATATTTTGCTCGTTTCTCTAGAGCCTTAATGTATAATGTACATATTTTCTCTGTTCAAAGGTGCTAATCATGTCCATAATTTTGCACCTTGCGACCATCCAGGAAGACAATGCGACAACTCGTGTCCCTGTATACAGGCACAGAATTTCTGCGAAAAGTTTTGTCAGTGCAGCAGCGAATGTCAAAACCGGTTCCCAGGTTGTAGATGCAAAGCTCAGTGCAATACAAAACAATGCCCTTGTTATCTAGCCGTAAGGGAATGTGATCCAGATCTCTGCCAGACTTGTGGCGCTGATCAGTTTCACATTACTAAGATATCTTGCAAGAATGTCAGTGTTCAACGCGGTCTTCGTGCGTAACCAATCGTTTCTACACTGTGATCGATCGTTTCTGCATTGTGAAAATTATCAACTGTTAACAGTGGATAAAATAATTTTCAGATAAACATCTTTTAATGGCACCGTCCGATGTTGCCGGTTGGGGAATATTTCTTAAGGAATCCGCGGCTAAGAACGAGTTCATTTCTGAATATTGTGGTGAAATTATAAGTCAGGATGAAGCTGACAGAAGGGGCAAAGTATACGACAAATATATGTGTAGTTTCCTGTTCAATCTCAATAACGGTAAGAAAGATCGCGGAACCATTGAAACGTTACACACTCGTAATAACCCTTGAATTTTTTACTTACAGACTTCGTGGTAGACGCTACGAGAAAGGGAAACAAAATAAGATTCGCCAATCATTCAATAAATCCTAACTGTTATGCGAAAGTGATGATGGTAAACGGTGACCATAGGATAGGTATTTTTGCTAAGCGAGCTATTCAACCCGGTGAAGAACTGTTTTTCGATTATAGGTAAAGCTAAAGATTAACGTTATCAAAAGTGGCCATCGTTCGAACAGAACAATATTATTCTGTGTTTTGTTACAGATACGGACCAACGGAACAATTGAAATTTGTCGGCATCGAACGTGAGATGGAATTTTTGTGAAAAAATTGTCATTAATTTGAAAACGCAAGGAGAAAAAAATATTGTAAAAACTAAATACTTTCCGTATCGGGTACCTGATGCCATGAACTCATTGGATGAAAGCCTTACGTTTTACGTTATTATGATTCAAGCGACACATAATAAGAAACTTCCACTAGTGTTACAAGATATCTCGTCTCTCCAGTCTAGTGGAATCGGCAAATAAAACGTATTTGAAAAAATAAAGTTCTATTGTTCTTTATATTCTAGAATAGAACGCCACCGAATGAATTTCATAATTGTGTTTGCATTAAATAAATTTCGATGACGAATAGAACGGCCCGTAGAAAATAAGACTGAATGATGCTACAAGTTTACTTTCGACTTAGAAATCACGATTAATAGAATTTTAATGCATGCACACTATAGCATAAGGAAATAAAGGAAAAAGAGAAGCTTGAACAATGTAATACTATCACAATAAATATAAAAAGTATTCCGTGTATACTTTATCTGAACACGTGGCGGAGCTGGCAGGGAAGTTACGCTGAACGAATTATAGGAAAGCTTTGTGATAAACTTGGCTCGTAATTCGGCCAGCAGTTGTAAGTTTCGCACTCGGGAAAACGGTTGGTCCAGTGCGAGATATGTACGGTTGCGTCGCGCGTCGTGTCAGCTAACTTTCTGTTAGTCGAATTAGTTATAGGAATCGAATCATAGATCGTAGTGGAGAAACATTAAAAAGACAAGCCGTAAAAATTCAAATAATCGACGAGCAACGAGACTGTTGCTTCGGTGTCTAATTTACTTTTTTTTTTTAGGAAGGATCTAAATAAGTTGACTTATGTAAAGGTGTTGTGTGAGTTTCGTGGGTGCACGCAGAATTTAGAACATTCCATTTTCTTTCAGTTCGCTCGCGTTTCGAAACGCAATGATCGACTGGTCGGTTGGATCAGCACGCGTAGAAACACAGTTTTAAACAAAACTTTACAGTGATAGAAAACTTTTAATTGGTGACAGAGAAAATAAACCGAAGAGATTTGACCAACGAAATGGAAAAAAGAATGGAGGGAAATTTTGACAACAGCATAGCAAACGAAGGTAACAATCTAGTTCAACGATCGTTCATTTATATTCAATTTCAATGGATTATGAAGGAAACCTTATCAATGGTTCGAAAATTTTTACGTTTTTTTTTGTTTGCACTTAGGAGAACAGAAATTGAGTACGGAGAAATTTAAATGCTTAGCAGATAAATTGTAGTGTTCATTTTTAACGAATCGGTGAATATAAAAACGCGGGAACGCAATTGACAAATTACTACAGCTTTATGCTGCCGACACAACAAAGAACTAATAATAATGCGGTTCAAGTTATTGGTCCTCGATCGATCGATCATTATTAAGGTGACAAAAATTGAACAGCTGCGATAGAATAAAAAGATTGAATTTCTATCTCATATCAACGATCGATACGGATAATAATAATTGTTGTCTCGAGTGGTCTCGCGCGTGAACTTGAACTGGAATTAGTAGCAATTAAGGATGAGACCCGTCTGCGAATACGATCTCCCTGTTGGCTGTTCCGTACGACCACTGCGAGATACAAATCACCAATTCGATTCTAAAGATACTAACACCTGTAACAATATTTAGGCGTACGCAATTACGACCATTTCATGCATTCTTTCCAGATGAAGTTCAAAAACAACCACATTCCTTGTTTCCATAAACACATCTATGAGGGTACATAAATCCTCGTCTCCGAGAAGACCAGAAAATTAAATGATCTACTACGTGTTTCTGCGATAGAAATTATCAAATGAAATTATTCACTCTGCCACGGTCTTATTCGTATCAATTTATTTTGGATACAACTCGCTATTAATAAAGAGGTAGGACGCGGCGGCGGTTGCTTCCGTTCCCGACTCCGCCTCTACCACCTCCGGACACCGTTGACGTCGTTCGACGCGAAATTCTAACGTGAATCGATCGACGATGTTCCGTGTATGTAATTATGCGCCGGTGGATGTACACGATACATATGTAGAGACGCAACCGCGATTCCTTTTGTACCGATCATTGACACCTGTTCTCCGATGAAACGTCTTTCTAGGGTATACGCAAGAACAATAGAATGTGTAGTGCGTCCCTAAGTCCCCTGTTAACGATACTTCGCGACGCACGATGGAAGAATCTCTCCTTGTTTGTTCTATGCTAATAACTTCTTCATTTACCAGTAATTACACTAAAATATAGTACAGTTTGATCGATGTTGCTTTCTAGAAAAAACGAAGGAATGCGCTGCGAATGAAATGAACGTGAAGGAATTGGAACAGCTTCGCGACAAGTACGAGGGAAAATTGACAGCGTCCCTGTACACCGGTACTCTGCTGGTCGCTCTGGTCGCCTCGATTTTAGCCATGGGAGTTCTTTGCGCCAGCAACTACCGGGTAAATTTACCTCGTTTCAATTGTCGTTTATATCGTATTTTTCATTGTTCTCAACGAATGTACCAGCATCACGTATGTATACCCAAATACGCGTCGAACGATAAAGAAAATGGAGTAGGAACAATATGTGTAAAATAGCAAGAAGATGACGAAAATCATCGAGTATCGCAAACGGAAGACGAAACGATGGACCTATATTCCTTTTTTCCTTCTTAAAACTTTAATATCGGATGACGTAGTAATATGTCTTTTTTAAATATGAACTAGAATACTTATTGTTAGCAGAAAATACGGAAAACTCAATTTTCGTATATGTAAAGTTTGACAAATGAAAGTTAAGTGGTAGTTTCTGAATATTTTTAAAACATCTGAAGTTGTATATTTGCAAACACGAAAACCCTCCCACTAGGTAAATATTAATAGTTCTTCTGTTTGCAGGATCTGTACAGAGTGGTCGTCCCTGCAACAAGCTTAACGATAATGATCTTCGCTTCGTTGAGTTTGTTGCTCTTGACACAGCTGCCAACCACCGTGACATCGGCCAGAGCCAGATTTCTCATAGGTTTCGCTTCTTCCGTGATCCTTGGATTCGGAATTCTGACCTTGGAAGGCTCGGTGCCCTTGTTCGTTGCGATCCTCGCGATAATCGCTGTTCTACCAAGAGGCACTCGACACACATCGACAATTCTCGCGGTTGTCTTTATCGTCGTGCATGTGGCCAGGAAATTCACATATATCACCTATTCGAATTATTATGAAATAGCCGAGGTATTCACAGTAAATCATTGATGAGTGTTCGAAGGCTCCCCAGCACTGATTACTGTAAATCTTCGATTAACGCTCGACACTCGGGACTGCTTTGGAGCATTTAACGGAAAGAGACACGACTTCTACACTTCATGAACTACATTTCGGGCCGAGCTTCCAATAGTGGATAGACAAAGGAAAAGTATTTAACGTAGAGATCCTTCCGAGCACTCATCGATAATTTACTGTATCTTCTAAATACAATTTTAGATTTGTGCTTGCTTCGTAATAATCTGGTTCGTTTCTCGTTTGTCTAGATATGCGGTGAAATTGTGTTCTTAATTGCGGCAGTTCTCGCGGGTTCGTACTACAGTATTTTAACCGCGATCGCTCACAGTCGAACGTTCTCCGGGACAAAAACGGTGATCGAGTCCAGAATAAAGTTAGAATGCGAGAGAGAGCAACAAGAACAATTACTGTTGAGCGTTATTCCGGCCTATATAGCAGCCGAGGTGAGTTTCACTCGACTATATTTATACGCGCACGCATAAGTACACAACATGTACTATGCATATATGTATGTACGTCAAAATGATTGAAACAGGTAAAGAGGAGCATTATGCTGAAAATGGCAGACGCGTGTCAAGAAGCTAGCAGACATCAGCAGACCAGATTTCACGAAATGTACGTGCAGAGACACAATAACGTTAGGTGAGTCAACGAAAGTTCAAAATCACAGCTACATGTAACGAGGAACGACACGGTTTCACGATAATACCCAGAAAATCATCTTCTATTTCCACTTACGCACGAATTAGCATTCTGTACGCGGACGTTGTGAATTTTACACCGCTCTCGGAACAATTGTCTGCCTCAGATCTGGTGAAAACTCTGAACGAACTGTTCGGAAGATTCGACCAAATTGCACAGGTAAAAAAAGAAAGCATTCGGTGTCGCGTATGTATCGTCCTTTGCACATTTTCCGCGAAGAATCGAACTGGAGGACCCGTAAAAAAAAATATTTTGCATGCATTTTGTAGGATAATCAATGCATGAGAATCAAGATCCTGGGTGACTGTTACTACTGCGTTTCAGGACTACCGATCTCACGGCCGAATCACGCGTACAACTGCGTGAACATGGGACTGGAAATGATCGATGCGATCAGGTGAGCAGATACAAAGTGTTTTCTTTGCGTTTCGTGATTCCTTGAAGTGTTGCAAACATTTGGCTGTTCACACGCCGTAGATTCGTACGCGAGGCAACGGGATTCAACGTTGACATGAGGATCGGGATACACACCGGAAACGTTTTGTGCGGTGTACTGGGTCTACGGAAATGGCAGTTCGACGTATGGAGCGACGACGTTACACTGGCAAATCACATGGAGAGCGGCGGTTTACCGGGGTAATATCTCAAAGAACAAATAAATAAATTATATACATTACGAAACACAATAATCTATCAGTTGCAGTTTTCTGATCATTTTGCTCGGATTCCTTTTTCCATAGGAAGGTACATATAACCAAAGCTACCCTACTGCAACTGGGCAATCGTTTCGAGGTAGAACCAGGCGACGGAGAATCCCGTGAGAGTTACCTCGCTCGTCACAATATTGAAACTTTCTTGATAGTGCCGCCGAAAGTGAGACTACAATGCAAAATATTAGGTGTACCGATTAATTCGTGGCCTTCTTTTGATAGATTTGATGTTCATTTAAAAATTTCTTGAAACTACTCCCTATGACGTTCTACGTATTTGCGCCATTTCTCGGGCAGTTTTGAGTAAATAGTTAAAGGTGGGGGCCACGAATTAATTTGTACACCTAATAAAACAAATAAAATAAGAATAAAACTCCGTAAATAATCAGACAGCTGAGTAGTTATGATCTTTTCGTGTTCCGTCAGAAAAGCAACCGAGAGAATTGCAACGATGATAACGGCAAGCAAGGATTAGGTCGCCCCACTTCGATACCAACGAGGTAAACCTGACATTCTCAAATTCTTTTCGTACACTTCAGAACGTGATATGTACTGAATCAGAAAATACGATAGATATTTAAATATTTTTCTCTTCTTCTAAAAAGATCGAGACCAAGTAGTAAAATGACCAAGTACGTCGAATGCTGGGGCGCGGACAAGCCGTTTGCTAATATCGCGGAAGCTACCCTCGCGAAGAATATCGGTCTGACGGTAAGTAAACAACTTATACTCTCCTTTTATTCTCCAAAAGAATGAAAAAGACATCGATTTTTCTGGATTACCGTCTGTTAATCGATTAAACAATTCGATGACCTTGGAGCTAGACTAGCAAGCAAACGATTTTGATAGAAAAAAACCTGAGGAAAAGATAGACGTGACAGATGAGATGGGAATACATGACAGAAGAAGACACAGAATCACGGCAAATTTCTCGTTTGATTTTTTCCAGAGTATCGCATTGATCGAATCGAATCTTTTAGCGAACAATAATTCCAGCTGTTCCGTCGACATAAAGTGAGTTGCCTTCCATTTTTTATTCTGTAACCTTTGGCGAAAGTAACGTATCGTGTTCTGATCGATGATACGTTTACGGGTTCGTGTGTGACAGACGCTGGTGCAGTGGAAACGGTACCGAGGGTATGTCTTCCTACACTTATCGATTCACTGATCAAGCTCAAGAACTTCGATTCCGTGAACAGGTCGATGAACAGTATCTTTGGTACCTGCTGGCCTCCGGCACAATTTACGCAATGATTTTCCCCATTCAGATTATTTATTCGCCAAGGTAACGTGAAATTTAACAAACGTGTATCTTATGCGTTCTCGAGCGTAAAATTGCAAGTACAACAAACACATATTACAGAAGTATTATAGCTTACGGCTGCTTCGTGATTGGTTCGTTGTCCTTGGTCATTTTCACGGCGATCTCGTGGTTGACTGGCAGAACCAGAACCAAGGACAACGATATTAGAAATCGATTGGCTACCAGCAGGGGTATTAAAATAACAGCATACTTGATTACGGTGCTCCTGTCGACTGTTTCGTCCATGCTTAGCCTGATCGATATAGATCAGACGAATGGGTATGATGTCTTGCCGGTGCGTGTTAGCTAGCTGAATCTTTCCTTTCTTCCTTAACGATCTTTAATTACTTAGAGACTAAGTACAGACAAAACGTATCGCATAAATGATGTTCTTCACCTTCAGTTGTACATCTATTCCACGGTAATGGCACTGATCGTTGGGTGGACCCACTTGCGTGTCGGTTTCTTGCTCAAATTCTGTGTAATGTGCGTCTCCGTGACAATGATTCTCGTAACGTTGTCACAGTTCTCGATCATACGGTTGTTCCAAGTGGTCGGAAACGATGGGTAAATATGAGAATCCTTTCTAGTTTTTTTCCCTGATCCTTGTGACTTCTGGTCAGAAGTAATAATGAAAGGTAGATGATAAACTCCGAGCAGTACATTTCAATTTGCTTTTATGTTACTTTGCAGATACTATCGCGTTCACCGTTTCCTTCAAGCTGGATATTTACTCACACTTGTCTGTCTCGTACTTCACGTTTTGGACAGACAAGTCGAGTACACGTCCAGGATTGATTTTCTGTGGCAGAGTAAACTGAAAATCGAACAGGATGAAGTAGAGACTATGAGAGGCATTAATAAGATACTCCTTGAGAACATATTGCCGGCTCACGTGGCGGAACATTTCTTGACAAATACTAGAGCCACACAGGTGGGACGCTACTTCAAACGTTAAGTAAGCAATTCCAGAAAATCTTGATTTGTCTTGTCTTTCTGGTTGCAATAGGATCTTTATCACGAAAGATACAGTAGTATAGCAGTAATGTTCGCGTCTATCCCTAATTACAAGGAGTTTTACGATGAAACAGACATAAATAAACAGGGACTGGAATGTCTACGGCTTCTGAACGAGATTATCTGTGACTTTGATAAGTTGCTGCTTAAACCGAAATTTTCGGGAATCGAGAAAATCAAAACTATCGGTAGTACTTACATGCTTGCCTCGGGTCTCAGTCCAGGGAAGGAAGACACCGATGGAAAGGTAAGGTTGCCATCTTGCTTCGTCGAACAACCAGAGATATTATTTTGATTTTTCTTTCCACATGTATACTACACATTTATAAGGCTGTATTTCAGCCTCTTTCGAGATACCGGCTTAACATTTAGGTATATCATTCGTCGACTTTTAGGACCCGTTGAATCAACAAGATCACAATGTGATCATCCTCGTCGAATTTGCTCTCGCTTTGATGACGATTTTAGATCAAATCAATAAAGAATCGTTTCAAAGATTTAAACTGAGAATGGGTGAGTTTCAGGTCAATTTATTACATGTACAATGATGTTTCTATATACCATTTCTCCACGTTTATCCTTCCTTTCTACGTGCAAAAGGCGTCTCTCCATTTTCTTTATCTCCATACGTATTTTTGTTTTTCTCGTTAAGGTTTGAATCACGGACCTGTGATAGCGGGCGTGATCGGTGCCCAAAAGCCTCAATACGATATTTGGGGGAACACCGTAAATGTAGCCTCGAGAATGGACAGCTGCGGAGAAATGGGAAAGCTCCAAGTCACCGAGGACACGGCCAAGATTCTGATGGCAGCTGGATACGAATTAACTTGTCGGGGACCGACTCACGTTAAAGGAAAAGGAACATTGACCACATATTTCCTGAAAACCTCCTTTGACAACAAAGAAGATGATTACTAGTTCACATAATAAAAATACAAAGAGAATGAACACTACAAAAATACAGGACGATGAAAGAAACGAAACGAGAATAGCCACGAATACGAGATCAAGCGAATGTACAACTTAGCCTAACTTAAAATAATGAGAAAAGAACGTTTTATTCGCTAATCGTGGTCTTGTTTTTAATTTCACGTTTAAATTTCAAAGAATCACTATTATTGATGCGACTACCAAATTACTAATCTGTTTTTATAATTGTTTCAGTACCGATCGAGAAACGACTGGTGGAACAAAATCGTCCGGGATTGCATTTGTGTTGCACGAATTGTGTGGTATTTACATTTTTTAAGCGTAACATGCGAGTAAAAGTCACTGGTCAAACACAATTACAATGATAACAATGTAGAGGAGGGGGTTTAAGACGGGTGGCAGCCGGATGCGCGTTTATTAGAAAGCCAGAATTTTAATCAGAATCCATATTTTGTTAGGAGTCCGAATGTGTAGAAGTTAGGCGTAACAGAAGCCTTGATTTTGCAAACACCACTCGGGTTGCAAGCTCTCAGCCGCGATTCCTCTTGTTACGTATCGTTCCCTCTGTCTAAGCATTCTCTGCTCAGCGTGAATCCAAGTCGAGTCTGGCTCTGCCCATAATCTCTCGGCAAGCGCTGCGGCTCTAGGCCAAATTTTCGAATCGGCCGATGCACTGTCGGCTTGCTCTGTCCACAGAGCCGCTTCTCCTCCTATTATAAAGCGTACGTATCTCCCCTTTAATTTACTCGCAGACTCCTTGGAAAAATGACAACGAAAACCTTTTCAAACTAAAAGGATACATTACCCAATATGAGATTTTTCTTGGTATAGAGATGCTGCGACCGAACTATCTTCATGGGAGAATTATCGTAAACCCTTTGCCAACCTTTGTATGGAGCGCACCAGTTATTGCCATCGCCCACCCAAGCCGCGAAACTGAAACAATGAAAGTACAGAAAGGAAGAAAAATATGAGGGAAGAGAAACGATTCGCCGAACGGTAAGAAAGTTTCAAAATATTTGCTCACCCACAGTCCAAGTAAAGCGCATCGTAATTCGAAAAGATTACCCTAAAATTGTTTCGCAACAATCTACCGATAGTGGGATCGTCTTCGCTCGTCCAGATCTGTATGATATACTTGCTGGGATCCAGATATTTAATATTTTCTGCGCTGGTCAAACCACTTGTCCATAATACCACGGGAATACTTTTCCCGTCATTAGCATTAATCACTTTCTCCAATGCTCTACTCTGAAAATAATCCCAAAGCTTGTAGAAACTCGATTCCGACAGATTCCAGCCTTTCACGGTTCGCATCCAACTTGTAACGGCGGCCGACGAATTCCAACAGTTCAAATTCACTTCGTCCCCGCCCATATGGAAAATGTCCGGTTTGAAATCCCGCATCATGTCTTTGTATATTCCTTCGAGAAGTTCGTACACTTTTTCACTGGTCGGATTAAGTTGACCGCATGGTGGTTCCACGCAATATTTTTTCCAGGGTTCTGCTTTGAAACAGACGAGAGCATCGTCGTCCACCTGAAAATCCATGTATGTATGACAGAACACTGTACTACCATTGACAGTACGCACTATTGCGTTAACGAGGCTTCACGAAAACGAAACATTTACCCATTGCCATCCCTCCCCCACGTGAGCGGGTGCATCGAATTCCGGTAACACTCGAACGCCTCGAACGAGTCCATATTCAACGATTTCCTTGACATCCTTCTCGTCGTAGATCTTCTCGGCCGTGTAAGAACCAAATCTCGAGAATTCCGGCCACGTACGGCTGACATAAGGGAAACTCTGGGAATCGATGATATGCCAGTGCAAAGTGTTCAGCTTCGTCATGGCCATTCCATCGATCGTTCGTAATATCGTTGATTTGTCGATGAAATTACGGCTGGTATCAAGCAGCACACCGCGGTAAGGATAGACAGGCCTGTCGGAAATCGAGACCTCGCTCGGAATTTGAATCTGATTCCTTAGATCGTCGAAAACAATCAGTTGGCTTAACGTTTCGACGCCGTGACGTGCGCCAAAGTATGATTTCGCTGTTATCGTTGCATTTAACACCTAAATATTACAAATAGAGAAAAGCATACAGCTGTTTCGGTGATCTCATATTTCGATGTCTAAATTATTTCAGAGACTCGAGTTAATCTCTTCCGGACAGAAAAATGAAGAATCATTAATTAATACGGAATTATACAACTACAAAACAACCGAATGTCGATTGCGTATAAATTACCGATGATCACATAATCGGTATCGACTGGACAATACTCCGTTTCTAAATAATCTTCTGTATTTCGATGATCTTCTCGTCAGTCGCTTGTCCACCCGTCCCAAATTCCAATCCCCTGTTTCTACCGATTATTATCAGTCGTTTAACTGGTCACGCGGTTCACCTTGGCTATACACCGGATATTTTTTGTCCCCAAATATTTTAGAATAGAAAGATCGAAACGAAGAAAAGGAGAATAAGTTTTTTTTTCTTCGAAAGAATTGGCAATCTCACCGCTTTATCCACCTGGGTAACTGCTAATGTATAACTTTCATCCGTGTCAATGGTAAGCTTAACGTTGCTGTTCTCGAGGAATCCTGCGAATCGAATAAACATGCCTGCACCACCACTTTCCGCCAATTCTCTGACAGATTTCTTCGCATTGTTTCGTAACAGAATTACATTGGCTTCCAGGAGGTATCTAATTTTCGTGTCAGTGTCTATGTCTGCCATTGAGATTCGATCGGGATCGAGTTGAACCATGCTTTTGCTTAAAGACAGGTGACCTGTTGGTGCGGGCCATAGCGAACTGGTTGCGCCGCAAAACAATTCGCATACTTCCACTGAAACCGGTACACTCGTATTCTGTGTTATCAGTTCTTTCTTGCAAAGGCCACCCTCGCATTTGTAATGCCATGGGGAACTACGGAGAAATTTAATACCGTTTTAAAATGCTATATCACAAAGAACCGTCTCGGTTTGCAACTCTACTACTAGTTACGGGAAATACTACTTATGTTGATGGAAAACATAATAAAATAACATGAAAAATTATGTAAAGTAACGTATTCAATTTTCCAATGATACACATTCATTTCGTTCAAGTCACCCACACAGTTGTACAACACCTGCTTATTGCTTTCACCGTGATAAGAACAGACCACGAGTCCTGATTTCTAATCAAACCGATTCGGCCTGTCAAAATACGATCGTTCTTCTAACAATTAACGCCGTCAATAGCCATGTGTGGTTGCATAAAACTGTCTTACTCGTATGATATTATGTCGTGTATGTATTTATCGATAATACATATTATTGTACGCAATTCGAATACGTCGTATATGCACGCAAACTTATTGTCTCATCTTGAATTTCAATCTAATTGTAAATTTAGCGTTAAAACAGTGTAATAGAAAGAAGGCAGGAGACTTACCGATACGAATCCACGGCGTCAACCTTGACCTTAACTTGAACAAGAAGTACAGCAATTAACAACGCAATCATACTTTCTAACCGACAGCTACGATCGAGATTGTTGCACCTCGTGTGACCACACGACTTTCTTCGAATGATTTTATCCTCCTCTTCGCGCAAATATGAGACCGTCATTGGAAGGGGAATTAAGGAGTGGCGTGTCGTCGACATAGCTTGTAATAAATTTGGAAATCTACGTGTATACAATTATAGAAAAAAGTAATACCATTAAAATAACTTCTTTAACATCTTCAGTTCATATGCATGTCTTCTATTTAAAAAGAGAAACTTCTAATTGTACAACTAAAATAAATAGAAACGATATATTGAAATTTACCAGCAGGAAATTCTATTTCTAAACAAAAGCATTGGAAATATAATAAACTATGTTCCATGTTCAATCATAGGCAAATCTGATGTGTTGTGCACTATTTGTAACTAGTGTCTTATGAACTATACTTGCTTATCTTGCAATGAATTCTTCTAAACATAACATCTTTGAAACTTAATCCTACAAAAGATATGGACTGATCATTATATGGTTTGTAGAAGCTTTTTCTAGACTCCAAATTCTAAAATATAAAATCTAGAGTATACTAAAGAGTTAGTGGAGAGGCACAGAAATAGACATAGGCATCATTTTATGTAATTACTTTTATTTGTTTATTCGTCACCACGTATTGCTCGATATTTAGCCAATTCATGTGGAAATACTCTGGTCAATTCTACGAGCATATTTGCTTTGAATTTCCTATAAGCATCAATTTTTCCTTTAACTTGCTCATTTTTGGTTAATGCTTTTTCTATGCAGTCTTTTGTATACAGCTGTGGATTTCTGCCCTGATCGATATAGCTGAAAGCATATACAAGAAATTAGAACTCTAACATTAGTTCTTGTTTATAGGCTCCAATGAAATTAATCTATTGTACATATACTCACTCGAAAACTTCTAAAGGTACATGAACATCTTGAACCTGAGACTTGAGCTTATCTATCTCTTGTAGACCATTTACTAACCCTTGACTGAAAAAAGTGAAACAACATGTTTATATAACACTAACACAGCATATAATACGTTCCGTTGACATATCTTTGAACAACAATAATTAACCTGTTTCTCGCACGAATGAAAATCTAACATGTTCTCTGTTTTTTCAAAAACAAGTTGTGTCAAATTAACATAAATTAAATTCACGTATTATAAATTAATTGATACTCGAATAACACAGGCAACCGTTAGTGTAAACAGAGCAAGTTGACACTACTCTTTAGTACATAGACGAATCAGCATCAATTTACTACAGACGTAATGGGTAAGAGGCAGTTACATATGATACTTACATTTTCTGATTTAATACATTTTGCCCTTGAGGCTGAAAATCGCTCACTATAATACGTATCTGCCTTACATTTTCAATAAAAAGTTCCAATTGTGTTTCTAAATTCTCCAATGCAGACGCCATGTTTTAGCCTTCATGCACCTTCATGATACGCATCGCCAATGGCACTGCACTTCGTGAATTAATATATGAGTGTTGCACATGTATTCTTTTATTATACAGACACATGTAGAAGTGAGTAGCACCATCTCGCGACAAGCATGTGGTAACTTGTGATAACTGATTAGTGCTCGTCGTCCTCGTCATGGTTGGTGATGGTGGTAGCTGGTTGTTCTTGTAGCTCGTAGCTCGTAGCTCGTAGTCACAATCAAATGTGATCAAATGTATATGAGTTGATAGGAGTGTAATCCAAAGTTTGTTGTCGAACCACAGTAATAACTTTTATAACTACTTATTAACGGATATATTATAACAATAAGTTTCTATATTTTATTAATAATATGGCTCTGAATCATGTAGTTGTAGGTAAGTTTGTATTCATTTCAAAAGTTCTATCCGATTATTAGATTATATCACAGATAAGATTATATAATTGTTCAGGTGGAGGTACAGGTTTTATCGGAACTCATATAATAAAATCACTGTCTCGTAAAGGTGTTTCGTGCACATGTATTTCACGAATGCCTGGACCTAATCGCATATCATGGGTAAGGTAAAGACCGGAAAATACAACAGCTGTGATTAATGTTGCTGGTCAAAATGTGCTTGATCCTAAGCAACGGTGGTCAGAAGGATTTAAACAAAATGTAGTAAATAGTCGGGTGAGAACAACAGAATCTTTAGCTAAAGCAATAGTGAATACAAAAGCAAATGTTTTTGTAACAATTTCTGGAGTAGCTTATTATAAACCCAATGCTAATATTGAATACACAGAAGAAAGCAAGTGTGAGAAATACGATTTTTTATCAGGTAAATTCTATATTTTATAATTAATTTCTTCCAAAAATTGTATCATTGCATCGATTTGATATAATCATTTTGTGTGACAGAACTTTGTCACAAATGGGAAGCAGCTGCGCAACTTCCAAAAGATAATCTCATTAGACAAGTTACAATCAGATCAGGTGTTGTGTTAGGAAAAAATGGTGGTATGATTAAACAGATATATTTGCCATTTTTGATGGGTTTGGGTGGCCCAATTGGTAAAGGAAATCAGTATATGCCTTGGATACACGTAACAGATTTAGTTGATATGTTTCTGTTCTCACTTAGAAATAATAATGTACATGGCATATTGAATGGGGTTGCTCCACAGGTGAATAATTTAAATCCAGATTAATGCACACTTGTATGAATCTACATACTTTATAGATTTCATCAATAGATTGTGACAAACAAGGAATTTACAAAGGTATTTGCATTGACAATGCGGAGACCTGCTTTTATTCCAGTTCCATCCATTGTTCTGAATATCTTGTTTAGCAAAGAACGTGCAAAAGTTAGTAAAAACCATATGTGTGATATTATTTGCTATTGTCTAGTGAAAATGACACCAGCTCTGTTTCAGATTATGCTGGAGGGACAAAAAGTTATACCTAAACGTGTCAGAGAATTAGGGTTTCAGTACCAATATCCCAATGTAAATTCCGCGTGCGCAGAAATACTTGGTAGAAGTGTGTAACATATTTTAAATTAGATACCACTCTATTTCATACTTAATATTGACGCGTAATTATATGTGTTTATTTACTGCAGTAACAACGCGTAAGTGGGTTTAGGTGTCCTTAAGTATATGCGCACGCGCGAACATGCATTAATAGAAAAACTAAGATGTATAATCTTAATTTATGTACAGAAACACATTGTTAAATGTATCTTTTTTATACACTTCTTGAATTACGTTATGTATAAGTTATTCTTTACAAGATTCAATAATCGGTAAACTTTGACTTAAACAATGGAATTTACACTCCTCTAAGTTATAACTACACGATGATAATTTTTCCGAAGTAGGTAACAGTATCAACTTAAGAGATAAATAGTACGAACACTTGAGTCTTCAATACGATTACTTTGGAGTAATTGTACCAGTTGAATCAGACAGTTTAATTTGATTTGCATGTAAAAAGAAATGTATTTCTTTTCTAAGTTCTTGCAGTTGTTCTCTAGTGAAACCTTGCATACTTAAAGAAATTGTTCTTCCATTTTTGCAAAGTATAAACAAACCCATCTCGATAGAAACTCCGACGTATCTGATGTCACTAAGTTTCATCATAGTACACATGTTCTGGCCTGATCTCAAACATAACTTGTCTATCCAGGTGTATTTTTTAATAATAGCGGTATCCTTGTCCGTATCTAATAGCAAATCTTGATATTCTCCAAGTGCATCCAAACCGAACATGATCCCTCCCAAGAATAAGATAATCCGGTGAAGTATACTTTTTGTGATAGGCCAACATATTTCAATGAAAATAATTACTGTCACTAAAACGACAAATGTAATGTTTAAAGTTTCAGCTATACTGATACGTAACCCAAACGTATACATGTACAAATAACATGTACATATGGTACAAGATTACAGAGTTTTCGAACGATTATATTGAAATGTAATTGTGTCTTACAATTGAGCAAAGATAATGCGATAATTCCTGGTTTTCGACAAACATGAATTTTTCGTTCATTCATAGTTATAATTTGAGGCTTCGTAGACAGAATCATGTTACGTGAAAATTTCTCACGCTTCTATGTACATGACTTACTTATACAGCTGCATATAATGGAAACGAAATGAATTTAAATTATGTCTAGTCGAGAGAAAATTTGAACCTGCTTTTCAGTTGTTAGTGTAGATATCGCTACCCCAAAATATAGATTCAAACCATCAATCACCGACTAGGTATAGGATAGACCTATCATCTTATGGGATTTCGTGTCTCATGTTCTGAAATACCGATAGTGTAAAAAATCAGGGATTTTCTGCTCTCGCTCGGTACCTAGTACCTATTGATACCTAGTCGGTGCATCAATACATACAATCCTTCGCTCTCCACAAGAATATAAAAAATTTAATTTTCGCGCCCTATGCGGAGTAGTGTGGCGCCATCGGTGGCTGAACGTTGAAACTACTAGCTAATTGGTAGGTCCGAAATTTCGAGTCAGTTAAAGACCATAGACATATACAATAGATTGTGCGGTCTTATGGTAGGGCTGAAGTCGACATAAGAGAGAAAGAGTAATAACTGGAGCATCTTCTTCTCTTTCTAATAGAGTTGTTGGTGGGGGTTTCTGCTAGGATGTGGTGGAGGCATACAGTCGCTTTCTCCCCACCCTTTGCAATGTGCGAGCAAGAGAGAGAATTACTTCGACTCGCCTTCAGCTCTACCATAAACGCGCAGTCTAATATATTTTATATATATATATCCAATGTGTGATTCTCGCCACAGATTATCGTTGTATAGACGGGAATGTTGTTTTTCCTAGTGTCTCTTAGGCGGCAAGAGTAGGAGGGTGAACAAGTATTTTGTCAACGATGTACACACACGTACACAATTGAAAAATCGAAGCAGTCAGACAGATTGTAAAATGGCGCGTGGTACAAGAACAGCTGTTATTGTTTACAGATAAACATTTTCTGTAGTTAATGTCGATGAAATATTTTCGTGGTACGAGTATCTTGCACATAGATGTTAACGGTTGTAACTGGCGATAAACTGAAGGATATCTTGTGTGAAATAAGAAAGCAAAAATTGTCACGATGACAGATCAGTTTGATGGGTAAAATAGCCTGTGCGTAGAGTGGTGGCAGTGGTAGCGACGTTGTAATAGTGGTGAAAATGATTGTGTACCTATCGAAGAAAAAGACTGCTCAAAGAAATTCTTCATGGAAAAGTTAATGAGATTCGACGATGTGCTGCTGGCGATAATGATCAAGCGACTGCGAACTGAACTTGTTTGGAGCATTTCTCACGGGAGGCGAGAAAATTAAAATATATCTGTTAAAACGAGAGAAACGAACAGAGAAGTAAGTTGCGCTAGAAAATCTGAGCAACGCTTATTTCTCAAAGGCTTAACAGTTTCTTAATTACGGTTACGTAAAAGTGTGAATAAAGTAATCGACGAAACAACACATCCTAATTAGAATTTTCATTTCATTTCGATGTAATTACATGCATACATGTCGGATATTTTGTTTCCGAAGTTTTTAAATAATCTAAGAAGTTACTTCTATAACGGTACTCATCGTTCATTTACTTATATTTTTGAAGTACTGGACTATTTTCTACAACTAAAAGATGACCAAATATCGTCCAGTATCGCAACGAGTCTCCAGTGATAATCATCATTTCTACTACTTGTACGAGGTTAGAATTGATCGACGTATTTAGTTACATTTTTCTTAGTTTTATTCGTATTTGTTGCTTATGTTTTACAGCTAAAGAGGCACACAATTTTGCCTGTAATTATGGCAATTAAAAGCTAATGCGATTCAAAATAGACCCATTACATACTTTATTATGTTTCATATTCCAGTTATATATGTCATTGTTGTTGTGATATTACTATATATTACGCAGACTACAATCATAATACTCATGTTTACAAGTTACTTTTGTCTATGTAGTTTTATATCTTCTTTCATATACCTATTTGTATTGCATAGATATTCTACATAATAGTAGGTTATCATTATTAATTTTATTACAATGAGCTGAAGAACAACAAAAGTTATTAATAACATGTATAATATTTTTCCTCTTGTGTATATTATGCATCTGCTCAAGATTATTTTCTTAATGTCAGTACATATTTCTTAGACATTAAACGGAGGCTGTATGGATTATTAACATAAGAATTTTGTCATATAGGTGTCACCATGAATGCCAGAACTCAATTGTTTGAATTAAGTATGGAAGGCAGACAAGTGGACGAAGCTGTAGCAAGTATCTTTCACAGTGTTCTTTTTCATCGAAGTCTTGGTAAATTTAAGTACAAACAAGAAGGCAGCTATTCAGTAGGTACCGTGGGATACCAAGACGTCGACTGTGACTTTATTGATTTTACTTATGTCTGTTGTTCCTCCATACATCTGGATCAAACTCTGAAACGTGAAATATCGGGTTTTTCCGAAGCTTTACGTTCCACCGATAGTCCAGGTTCTGGCCAAATATCCTTGGAATTCTTTCAGAAGAAGAAAAATCGTTGGCCCTTTCAACCGGAATGCATACCATGGGAGGTATGGACTGTACGTTTGGAACTTATAAAATTAGCGACAGAGCACGAACGACAGATATGCAGGGAAAAGGTTGGCGATCTATTAACAGATAAAATTCTGTACATAACAGAAGTAATGAATCGACACGATTATCTTCCTAAAATGCCGAACCAAGCTGAATTGGATCTGATCTTTGATACATCGTATCCGGATATACAACCTTATTTGTTTAAATTATCCTTTACAACGTCTAGTCCGTCGAGTACAACAATGGGTAACACGATGAAGAAATTGATCAAAGAGACATTATCTATTTAGTTGTAACAGTTTGCGATAGTTCGTTGTCGCGATGCATCTACGACTTAATTCCCTTTAAATTAAACTTACTTGCCGTATGGGAGTTGTTTCGCTCTGAGCTTTAAGTTTTTCGTTGCATAAAACCGATCCGTATTTGTTTCTATGATTCTGTTACGATTACTGGTCGAAGATTGGAGATTAGGGATTAAAGATTAGAGGCACAAACTATCACGTGTCTCTCGAGCACGTATTTCAGGGCACCATATTCGGCTCACGTCCATCTAAATAAGTTCTGTATCGACGATACTTGTCAGGAACTTTGAACAATTACTGTTGCTTGGACCTGAAAAATTGATAAAATTTCTATAGTACAAATGAGGAAATTGTGTATAGCAGTTACGTTTATCCATACCTATTATTCCGCATATCATCCGTTATACGAATTTTGTGTGTCACCTATTATACCGACTGTACCGATTAAATAGTAAATGACCCTTTGTTAGTTCGAATTTATTCATATTTTTAGCATTCTTAGTAACTCAAGAATTTATAATAAAAAAGAGTTCTCCCTGTTTCTCATTAGCATAATGTAATTTCAGAAATGTTCGTCTTTATTCCTCTGAAAGCTTCATTATAATAGTAGAAGCGTGTTATTGTAAATACATGTGGCAGTGTACGATGTCTGTTGTAGAAAAAGGAAATTCGACCACCAACAAATTTATTTTGACGAGTGAGGCTCTCTTAATATAAAAAATGTTATTCTCTATCGTATATTTTATTTATACGGCACTTCTATTGGGACAATTAGAGCATTAGGTTAATTATTATTGGTCCTCCAAAATGAAAGTAGAAACTATAAGTGGAAGAGGTATTATGTTTTAACAGGATGTTGACATATCGACCGAAAAAGAAACAATTCAAATGAGAATATTATCCGATACATAGAGATGGTCCAGTAATTGATTCTTGATTGATCGTTGATTCAAGTTTACAAAGTAGACCGTGCATATTATTTGCGATCCGAAAAAAAAAATGATTTTTCGTCACTAAATCGTATCACAGAGATTCTTAATGAACTTAATGTATTAAGTATTACATATTTTGCGCGTTAAACGGTGGCGTTAAATAAGCAATCAAATAATAATGTTAAGCGATGATGTATGGTATGATATGGTGTGGTATGGTGAGGTATGGTATGCGGGTACACATTGGAGAAAGTTCGAAGGTTGTTGCTTGAGCATGGCATTCTCTTGTAAAATAAGAAACAAAATGTTACGAATTTCTCGCAATGAAAGCATTGCAAATAGTGTTTCGATGGAATTTTCGAAAGTTTCATGCCTTCGCATAAAAAAAATTTTTACATTAGAGAGAATCGACAATTAGGAAATAATAACTATAATGTATGGATAGCGTGTGTCGAATGAAAGGGACAATGCTGTTGTTTATTAATTCGAAACGTACCTTTAACATTTCGTGTTTCTACCGCGAAATAAAATAAGAGTAAACGAATTGAGAGAAAATGTAACTCGAGGAAGAAAGATTTCTGTTTATGGGTCAAACATTTGAAACAAGTTTGATACATATAAATGTACATAGAAAATCATTTGGTAATTATGACTATCACGAGGCAAATATTTGTTCTTCGAGGATCGTTTTTTCCTTTTCGTGCGACCAATTGTCAAAAATATGCATAACGAAACGCTTATTTCGTTTTATGCGATGAAAATTTTCCCGAATGTTTTGTAACAATCGGACGCTATCTACATTATACACGGTTGTTCGTTTAAATACCTCGCAATTCGTCGTGTGGTTCGGTATTCTTCGAATTTTGAATAACCGTAACGTGTAATTATTAAAGGTAGAGGGTAATCTCGCGCAATTCACAGGTTTGTCGTAAAATGGCTGTGTGACGCGGTTGACGTTGATCGTGTATACGAGTGGGTGGTTGCATCGTAATGTAATAACGATGACAGACCGCAGACCAGATGATCGAGTTCCAAGAAACGAGTTTGGGTATCTTTATAAGGGGCATCAATTTTCCGAATGTTATACGATAGCGTTACACCGAATTCGAATATTTCCGGCGAATCGTTGCGCGATGATAAATAAACGTGAACGAACGTTAACGGTTAACGGGCAAGATTTAAGTAACGAGATGCGTGAATTTATTAAAACACATGGTACGTCGTACGTATACGTAAACATCTATATACGAAGGTGAGGTATTTAGCGAACGCGCGTAAATATTCGTGTACACAAAGGGATAGCGTGAAATGTATTACAAGTGCATAGAATGGAATTGGAATTATAGAATAACAAGAAAAAAAATGTGTGCGAAGACAGGGTGGAAGGGATACGTGCGATAAGAATGACTAGACGTACAGGTGGTGCAATTTAAAAATTTTACGGAATAGTTGTAGGATAAACGAAGAAATAATAACGGGCGGCATGATGATATATATGTATTTACGTTTTCATTCGAGCAACTGTACATACGTTCCGAACTACGCATATATGTATACATAAAAACCCAGGTACACACTGAGTACGAAATAGCGAGTAATGGAAACGCGTAGGATACAAGGTATTGCATGTACACTTAAATAGAGTAGCGACGAAAATGTTGCGTAGCTGTAAAAAAAAAAACTAAGGTACTGGAAATGCTTTACACTTGACTTATCATGAGAACCAGAGAGATAAACGATTTAATAAATTACTGTATTTTACAAGGAAATGTTTGCAACGATTGTACTACCACATGTGCAAGCACATTCTCTTTAAACGAAAACAAATTCGAAAAAGAAGGGTATGAATGGGAACGCCTGCGCGACAAAACGGCGGCTCGTCTGGTTAAGTTCACCAGCGATTTTCCATTCTCAGTCGTCGATAGAAAAGGCCGGCGTGCCGGATGTGTTTCGTTTAATGTTCAACGCCTCGCGTAATCCTGCTTTTCCGACGTGCACATATCATCGGGAACTTTGGTTTTCGCAACGAAAAATTCGACAACCCCCCGACTCTTCTCTTTACTTTTCATCGTTGACAAGAGTAAAGAAGACACGCGTGGAAAATATTTCGAAGTACAAGTTTCGAGCTTCTTGGAAATGGATGGAATGGAATTCGTTTCATTCGCGAACTACTGTTCAGGAAAAAAATTCCAACGGTGAATCGACTGGTATCGGATTCCAGTTTGATTTTTTCGCCAATTCTTGGATAGTGTGAAAAGAACTTGAGTTAGTGATCTTTCTCTTTCGTTGTTCTTCCGCGTTCTTCTTCATTTCCTTTCTTTTTCGGTGGAAAAAGGAAGAGGAACACTGGAAAGGGGGCGGTCGGCCACTACGGAGATTTCAACAGGTGGCCCCGAAAAACGAATTCAGTGCACGCGGCGCGTTATACAGTTTTCTCGACGATTGATTCTCAAGACCAGTTGCCGCTTGTGCACACCTAGTGGACGCGTATATGTACATATATCAACCACACGATCTGTGAGGTACCGAGAAACGTGGAAACGAAATACGTATCGAACAATCGAGAAAAAGAAAGAAAAGAAAGAAGATACTTCGACGAATTCATCGATGCCGTTTCCTAATGAAAAAGACCGATAAAGTCGATCGCGTGGCGGATAGAAGTCCACACGACCCACGTGTGTCCAGTTCTATTTTTGGAATATGTTTTTCACTGGTTAACCTCGAGAAACAGCCGATTTTCCTATTTTTAAGAGGGCTCTCGTTCGATTCGATGAAACCGCGGCAGAAGATGTTTTGCTGGTGAAAGGAAACGAACCGTACAGTCGATGGGGGGACAAGATTTATATTTCCTCCCGCCGTGGATTTTCGGGGTGTAATCATTTGTGGTCCTCGAATTGCATTACTCGAGAATGATAGTACCGCCCGTAACAGAATAAATATCATTGTGTAGTCTGTCACCGACGAACCATGCACACCTCGAAGAACGGACAGGGGATAATTTTAGATGGAGGAAACGCCGAAAGCGGATACCAAGATTGAAACAGACCGATCACCGGACGAAAAGTCGCGGAAAAAAGTATGAACACGACGGCACCGGGAAACTGGAACGATAATTCGAGTCGTTCGACAACGGATACAGACGTGATCACTAACGGTACGGTGCAGTTGATATTCTCTGTGCTGTACGTGAGCATCTTTGTGCTGGGTGTATTCGGTAACGCGCTGGTGTGTTTTGTCGTCGTGCGAAACCGTCAGATGCAGAACGTGACGAACCTGTTTATCACGAATCTGGCGATTAGCGACGTGTTGCTTTGCGTGTTGGCGGTCCCGTTCACGCCGCTCTACACGTTTCTCGGTGGTTGGATATTTGGGAAGACCCTCTGCCATTTGGTGCCGTACGCCCAAGGTGTCAGCGTGTACACGAGCACGTTGACGCTGATGAGCATCGCGATCGACCGATTCATGGTGATCATACACCCGTTCCGTCCACGTATGAAGATCGAGGTCTGCCTGACCGTGATCTTCGGTATATGGACAGTGGCATTGTTGGTCACTCTACCGTATGGGCTTTACATGCATCTGGAGGAACCGTACACCTATTGCGAGGAGCATTGGCCGAGCGAACAGTTTCGAAAGATCTTCAGTTCGGTCACGTCGATACTGCAATTCGCGTTGCCGTTCAACGTGATCGCGTTCTGTTACACACGCGTCTCGATCAAGCTGAGCGATCGGGCCAGATCGAAACCCGGCACCAAGTCGAACAAGAGGGAGGAAGCCGATCGAGAGAGAAAGAAACGAACGAATCGGATGTTGATAGCCATGGTCACGATATTCGGTGTATCCTGGCTGCCGCTGAACATCGTGAACGTCGTCGACGATTTTTACCCGCCTGCGAACGATTGGACCTACTACAGACTATGTTTCTTCATGACGCATTGTCTCGCCATGAGTAGCACCTGTTACAATCCGTTTCTTTACGCTTGGCTCAACGATAACTTTCGCAAAGAGTTCAAGCAAGTACGAACTTACCATTCTCGGACTACCGACTACACATATATACACGCTTTCGATAGAATCGTTTCTGCAACTTCCATTTTCACGAATTTCCTGTTCTGATTTCTTCCTGAAAACAAAGAACGATTAAGAAGATTTTGCTAACCCCCGAGAAACAAATAACCGCGAGCATGCATGTACATACACTACTGTCTATAGTCTATAAGTATCCGGACACTTAATATGACGGTGGAAATCTGTGAATAGTCTACGAATATACGTATCTCCTTTTATTAATTTTCGTTATTTTGTTATTAACACATTATTGGCGCGAAAAATAATAGCGTTCGTTTATAGACGGTAGTGTATGTACATGTATGCGTACAAGTGTTCCTCGAATACTGTCGTGAAATTCGTATCGTTGTGTGTTTCTTTCCATGATTTTTTTTATTGCTAAAGGACAATTCTCTTCGACGAAACGATTGAATTTCAACGAGAGAAAAAGAAAACGTACTTCGCATCGACTTCACCTTCTCTCAATTAATTTCAAGGTACTTCCATTTTTTCCGAGAACCGTCGACGACCACGGTCCAACGAGTACCGAAGGATTTCGAAACGATAAACCGTGCAGCAACGGTAACAACACCCTCCAAGACTCGTTGCTGCCGAGTCAAGCTCAGATTAGAGTTGCAAATCTCGAGAGCTGCGAATTGATCGTTCTCGAAACGACCGCTACCAACGCGTCTCGAGAACTCGAGGACTCTGTGACACGACGCTGAATCCCATTTAACGCTATCTCCTGGTGAGCGGAACTTTCTTTCTTTTGCCTCCTTAGTTTATACTTCTGATTCTATTCTTTCCGAACATCTCGTATACAGGGGCCTTCATTCGTTTTCCTTTTACGTAGGACGTATACGTAGATGCGAAATAACCGAGGTGAAACGTGTCGAGGAACAATGACGACGACGACGACTTCGACCACGGGCACGATCATAGGACCAGAAGATTAATGTAAATGCGGGCTACGTCGTATCTACGGTACATGTTCCCTGCTGAAATACCTTTTTCTCTTATCGATTCGCGTGTGAACCGCCGTAACGATGTCCGTTCTCGAGATCGATTACGTTATCTGGCTTAGTCGACGGGGTTTCGATGGAGGGTACACAGGAGAAACAGAGATTGCGCGGTCGCCAACAAATTGTGGATCTACTTTAGCTTCGAGCGTAATGCATCGGCACGCTAATGGATTTTCGTGTAAACACCATCCGAAACTATGCACGAATTAATACGTGTACCTATTTTGAATGACGAGAATTATGACCCCCGTGACACCGGAGAAACTGCAATTCGACTGCGTGCGTTCGAAACACGATATGATCGATTCCGAAACTCGATAGAATTGTCCTGATTCAACCGACACGAACGTTGATTGTCAAATGCGCGTTTCATTAACGATAATTTGTTTGGAATCGATCAGATACGCGAGGTGTAAATGGTAAAAGCGGTAAAACTCGAGATACCATTCAATTATTAAAAAAACAAAAATGCTTTTCTATTATACTCACGAACAGATAGAATTAGTTTGGAATGTAGAGCAAACGGTGGATCTCAACACGATTTCACGTTAGGTTTTTACTCTAAGCAAAGAAGGAAATTTCATGTAAAAAAAGACCAGCTCATTAGATGATAGCACTTACGTTAAGCGCTACTGTATGAGAAGAAAGTCTAACTTTAAGATAAAATGTTGTTGGTGTAGTTTGAATTGCGATCGACTGTTCGTAACGTGACGCATCCCCCTGCCCTGTAGCCCGGGGTGCTTCCATCGACACCGAGAACACATACACACACACACATAGTCCTCTGTCCATTATCGTCTGTTATCTTCCGCTATCGTCGTTTGCACTTTTGTGCTGTTGCTTCGCGACCCATCCTAAAACTGCTTCCTCTACCTTTCAACCGTTACGTCGCTGTTCCCCTCTTGTTCCAGCATGGCTAACAAATAGAACGCGTTGTATTATAGGCGCGCTGCTTATCAAGAGAACACGTTTACACGTTATGCGATAGTCAAATTGAATGGAGATAAAAGTTTGTAAAAGATAAAACGACAAGTGCGTGTATACATATAGTTTCCTCTCAACAACTACATATGTACTTTGGTGTCCGTCGTGTTACACCATGAAAAGGGCGAGTTGGTACTTCTGATCACGCAGATTTCGGCCACGTTTGTCTCCATAATCGTGCGGTGAACCCTTGAAATTGTTGATCGAACAAATCGAACTTACACAATATTGCAAACAGTTACATGAAAATCGGTTTATCGATATAAGCTAACAACAACGGCCCAATTCGAATCCTGAACCACTGTCGAGTACGACCGCGTCTCCCCTTTCGTTCAGCTCCGATTTCAATTCTACAATAACTCCTCATTATCCTGGCAAATGATTGCGGTAACCCGAGTCCACCTCCTCTTGTGAAACGACGCCTGTCGAGAGACAGATGGGCAAGCGGGACAAGGAATGGGATACTGATTGGAACAGAGGGAGAGGAGAAATGAACCGGAGATTTATCGATTTCATTAGAAAAAACAGACATTATCGAATTTATAAGGATTTCCTTTCTTCGTTCGATTTCCTACTCCCATGCGAGATTCCCTACGTAGAATAAAAGTAGTCCGCTCTAAAAACATTTCCGTACTTTTTATTAACATTTTTACACATTTTAATAGTTACATCGCGATTCGAGGCTCGTGTTTGTTTTTATACAAAGGTAAATACAATAAGTAAACAGCAATGAATACGATCGTGTGTCAATCGCACGCGATGTAGTCCCCTTGAAATATTTGAAATTTGGCAAACGATAACAATTCATCATCATGTTCCGTTCATCTGCATACATTTATACGCATTCGTGCGCCGCCCCTCCGTTTCTCGTGTACTCGTACGTGTATCCGTTATTACCGTACGACAGACTTGTGTAATGTCCGAAACAACCAATATCCAATGGCATTACTGTTCACGCGTAATACGTATACACGCAATTGATTGTGCATTTGTTGCCACGACGTGTCCAAAGTACTCGTTCAACAACCACTCTTCAGAGTGTCGATTTTCTACGCTGTCATCTCTTAGCTTCGAGCTATTAAGTTGCAAGCGGTAGGTTAATGCCAAAGGAAATATTCTTTAGTATGTACGCGACATCCAAAATAAAAAATCTTACATGGTGGCACAGCAGAAAACATTATTCGATGTAGACGGTACTGTCGAATAGAAATGCCTTGTGCGTAGACAACCGATAATCTCTCTTTCTTTCTTTCTCTCTCTCTCTCTCCTCCCCCCTCTTTCTCTATCTATTTATTTTTTTCTCTGGCATTAACATTGCGCATTCCTCGATATTTCGGAATACAGAAGATTCCCTGTTTCTCTTTTTCCCATTCTCTCTCTGTTTGTTGAACGTTCTAATGATTGAAATGTTTATTGACATAAATATGCAGACAAATTTCATCTGAGCCACAATTTTAATCGAAGTGCATCCACACCGTTCAAATAATACCGAAATAATCGTTTGTCGCGCACAAAGCCTAGATTCTCGTATAAACGTAGCGCCGGTCGATTAGTGATCTCTGTTTCCAAGACTACCTCGTCAGCGTTATCTTCCATCATAGCTTGTATCGCTCTCCTTACCAAATTCGATCCAACTTTCCGCTTACGATATTTCACGTCAACAGCTAACATAGCAATGTATCCACGTTTTATCACCTTTCTGTGGATATCCAACTTGCAAACAATGGCACCAATACATTTGTCTTCGTGCATCGCCTTGACGAACAGAAAGAGTTTTTTTTTGTAAATTCTATGCCTGCAAGATAAAGTAATCCAACGAAAGCTGCGTAAAACTTTTTACGTTTTCTCGTTGTATTTTTTTTATCGCTGAGTCGGAAATTCGGTTTCTTTCTGTTTCAAAATTTCTTATGTACAATCGCGAAGAAACAAGAATGCGAACGAATTACCTTAGGAAAATAAATGCGAGAAACACATTTTCATTCTAACATTCTTTGAACGTATTTAGTATTTGTTTAGGTATACATACCAGGAAACATAATTTCGGCCAATTATGAATGAAATATCTGTACGTGTAAATGGAGTAAGGTTCGCTCAGATCCTTTTGTATTAAGTGCATAATGTCAGGCATTTGTAATTCACTTGTGTAGCTAATGTACTGAATGTTGTCGTCGCTATTTTCCTGAGACAATGTTTTTGCTTCATCTAAATACACATGAACAGAATACTATCAGCATAAATTGGTAAGAATATTATTGGTATTGTATAAATGTGTAGATCACATAAATTTAATTGATATGATTATATGTTATGATTTTGCTAGTCTTTTTTTCCACAAGCTTTAGAATTAATTACCTCTAGTAAAGCAACAACATTTAAATATACATTTCTCATACCGTGCTGATTTAAATGACCTTGCCGAGGTATTCCATTTGTACGTGGTTCTTCGTAGACATCACTCGTTGTCAGACTAAGTCGAGATTTAATGTCTAAATTAGTGATATCTGTGACGGAACTTTCCGTTCCATCTACGGTATTACTTGACTCCACTTCCGATTGAGCTGTATCTGTCACATTTTCCATCTTAACGTTTTCCATTTTTCAGATTTTTCTTAGATTTTCAATGCCCGAACACCACTTCCTAAGCTAGTATGTACAGAGTGCCTCGATTGTATTGTATTCAACTTTTTACCAAACGTACTGATGTACCATCAAAGTTTTTCGATACGGTACAAAATTTTCAATCGAATTTCCATAATTACAGTAGATTAAATGATCCACTGATACTATTTCTACTTCAAAATCCGGATATCCGACGTAAACCGTGCAACAACGGCCACCATATTGAATTTTCTGTGATAACAGCTAGCAGCGAAGCATAAACAATGAATTTATAAGACGCAACAGTGCATTGTTTAGTTTGTCTACAAGAAACGAGAATCTGCTAAACGAATTGATAACAATTTAATGATACACACAGAGAGGAAATCTCTGATACACAATATGTATATATAGCCTGGTATGTATAGCCTTCAGTTTATCTTTAATGTCCAAATAAACTTATTTCTTACAAATTTGTAAGTCGCATACATTATATGCATGTTGAAATGAGAACTTTCTCTTATTCGTCTTATCGTCGTAATATTCAATGACAGGAAATGTATTCCGAAAATACAGTAAAAATGCTCAACTTCCAATTAAATATTTTCTTTGTAGTGTCAAATTGTCTATGGCATTGTCTTAAATCGATACTATAACATAGTTGTATAATGTGTACAGCAACAACTATTGATTGACAACAGTGCACTAATGTTGCACATCCAACAATTGTGAGGCATTTTCCATTACATAGCATTTAAACTTTTTATATGTACACAAGTATGAATGTGACCAAATAGACCTATAGTACCCTCTATGGAATCCACCTAAACTACAAGCCAATTAGTTCATCCTCTTTCTACCGTTAGATGGTAAACATGGTTGCTGTTCCTTGTTACAAGAGGGCGGTTGTGTTTCCTTGGAATACCGGAAGTAGAGAGAACTCGTACTAGTATTTCGTAGTTTGAAGTCTCTTTTGGACCTAGGCAAGATGGGTGAGACATTTAATTTCATACACTTAATGTTTTCATCGCTTTCAATCCATATTTTCCGTTTGAGAAATATTAATAAGTAACTATTGGTAGTTCATAAATATGTTTGCTTCTTTAATTGATGTATATATTACGTGGATAATGGTAACATAAGAACCTAAAAATGTATTTGTATCAGCTTCAACCAACGTCTCGTTATTTCTTTCTACAATGTCTTATGTGTTATTGTTTTCACTTTTGTTGTACATTTATTGTAATTTTATCAAACTTTCATGTACCATGTGTGTGTGAAACATTCTGTGAAAGGAGTTTTGTTGAAAACAATTAGAGATAGATCGTATTCAAACAAAATGTTAACCTTTTTCTTTACACGTAACATTTGTAAATTGTCTAATTTGATAAAAAACAGGTATTTCTCGCGATCATTGGCATAAAAGACGAGCAACTGGTGGTAAAAGGAAGCCCATCCGGAAGAAGAGGAAGTTTGAGTTAGGGCGTCCAGCTGCAAATACTAAACTTGGAGCTCAACGTATTCATACGGTATTATTGTAAAGTATTCTAACATATTCGAGACCAATGATCAAGCATATATAGATCGTGCAACATCTGCTCTGTAGGTCAAAATAGATCCAGGCATGTGTGGCTGAGGACTAAATACATACAAAATAGAGACCTTTGGTTTTCGGGGGTAGTTTTTTTATAATACATCGGTCTTGAATGTGTTAAACAAAAATTTCATTTCTTGAAGATAAAATGATGAATACCTTTACCTACTCAGATTTATGTGTTGACCTAAATCTCACAGCGTACTGAAGAAAACTCAAAATCACTTAATATTTATTGTTGAAAGCAATTGTATCATTTATAGATATTTCTTGTCCTTTTCTCAAACTAGGTGCGCACTCGAGGTGGTAACAAAAAATACAGAGCACTTCGTCTAGATACTGGAAACTTTTCATGGGGTTCCGAATGTGCTACAAAAAAAACACGTATTATCGATGTTGTTTACAATGCATCAAACAATGAGTTGGTGAGGACAAAGACTTTAGTGAAGAATGCAATTGTGACAATTGATGCAACACCTTTTAGGCAGTGGTATGAAAGCCATTATGTTTTACCACTGGGCCGAAAACGAGGCGCGAAATTAGTGAGTGTCTACTTTTCTTCCTTAGAATATTTATGCATAGAATATTTCAATGAAACAAATGTACACAGACTGAAGCAGAAGAAGAGGTTTTAAATAAAAAACGCTCTAAGAAAATTGAAGCTAAATATAAAGCAAGACAGCGATTTGCCAAAGTGGAACCTGCTTTAGAAGAACAGTTTGCAACAGGACGTGTACTTGGTAGGCAATGCTTTGTATTTACTAAACTATATATAATTTGTACAGGAATCTGCAGAACATGCAACATACTGTGTCATTCATTGCTATTTATTTAATGCTGAGAACCTTAAGTCCTCATTTAACTGTTTATTATGTGATATTTTCTTAAGGTTATACATATATAGTGCATACATTTATAACATCATTGTTGCAACATATTGCATGGATAAGGTGTAAAGAGTCAAAAACATTAATGTCAATATGAAATGATGAAAATTAAATTTTCAGCCTGTATAGCAAGTAGACCAGGACAGTGTGGTCGTGCGGACGGTTACATCCTCGAAGGAAAGGAACTTGAATTTTACATGAGAAAGATTAAGAGCAAAAAAGCTAAATAATCATGTACCTATGAGCTGCGAATAAAGTAATTTGTATGAAACAGAAGCTAACTGTAAGTTTATAACCGACAGTGGTACGTTGACTGACATTTCGTACATGTTTTAAAGTTCTTGTACGGGTAAACATGTTAAATACAAATTTACATCGTTCTTCGTTCAATGCGCATTTTGCACGCAACAAATAAATAGAAAAAAAATATTTGTTGAGTAAATTCCTACTGTATATTAATTAAGAATACTTTGTTTTGATACAATATGAATGTAACAACATCGAGTACGTATACAGAATAATACATGAAAATAGTTTTTCACTTTTCGCTATATATATATATATATATCAGTTCAGAAACGTTGTTCGTTTTAACGATCCTTTCAGTAGAACGGATGAGAAAAAAAAAGTATATATAATAATTTGTCTAAGGTAACTTCTAATTCTTTTCGAGTTTGGTGTAGGATAAGAACGGATTCTGATATTTATCTTATTCAGTTTGCTATACAATACGACACGTAGCCTGCCAGCAGGACTATTCACTATTGCATATTGACACTGTAATCGATATACAGACTCTGTGAATAAATATTCTTTATTTTTTTTTTGTCGATTGTGTTTTTACATTACAAAAACTGTTGTATAAAGTACTACTTTGCGGAACGTTATAATGACAACACTTACATGTAAACATAAGACGTAAGGGCAATGGAATAAAAGTTAGATATTAGGATATTAAGAAAAAAAGTTCATGGATGAAAGATGTGGCCACGTTTCCAAAGAGACTTACACGTATACGCTCTAGGCCTTCCATATGTTCGGCGGTACATGTTGAGTATTTATCATAAGCCGTGGCATTACTTGCTGCTGATTCGAATTTGCAGCAGAACTGGTAACAATAGTAGTAAACGAAGGTTTTTGAGCGCATGTTCTCATATGCATCGGCCAATGGGCCTGTTGACAGGGATAATCACAATACGCCGTATTCCAGCAACAATAAAACAATGCTTCTCGACCACATGTAGCGCACCACTGTTTGCGTTTAATTTCTTCGATGCATCGTAGTTTCTCTTCTTCGGCTTCTCTGCGAGTTTCTTCGATAGCCCGTAACCTTTCGGCTTCTAAACTTGCCTTCATTTCCCTTAAGATGCGATCTATAACAGTAAATATTCACAAATGTAACAAACGAAACAGTAATATAAGTAAATGAAGCGGAGCACAGCACAGGAAAGAATGCGGATGACATACCAGTGTTGTGTTTCAATTCGGCTAGTTGTTGTTGATGCTGCCATCTCATACGTTCTATTTGTAATCGTAGGAAATGAACTGTTGCCTGATGGTTCTCGGACGAAGCACTCTCGCAATTCTGATTCTCTCGAGCTGCTTCTTTATATGCCTCCTCCATTAACTGTGCCATTTTCCTGGCCAAATCTTGTGCACTGTTATAGAGACGAGCACTAACGGGTCCAGCTTCCGGAGGGAGCATTTGATACTCTGCACCATTTTCCGTCTGATGAACAGGAATATAAACCATGGAATCCATTGAATTTGACAATAAACTCGTCGTTGAATGTGGAATAAGCTGTGGACAAGCGCGATTCTTATTAGGAAACGATTTCCTGGCTTTGCTCTCTTTCTTCTGATGTGAGGTTTGTGCAGTATCTCTTTGACTCCCGTGATTCGTCACGACATCGTCGGTTTTCTCTTTCTCAGTCGTAGATAAATTACTAAGGGACTTTTTAGTGGTGGAATCGAGCGTACCATTGTTCATAACAAGGAGCAATGCAACAGATTGGTCAGTAGGACCCTGTTTAGATATTTCACCTGTCTCACTGACGTCAATTCGAGCCTTGTTGGTAACTGATGTTGCATCATTATTGCTAGATTGTTTCAAAGAATCTTTCGATGATGTTGCATCGATGTGTTTAACTAAAATCTGATTATGCTCGCTCGTAGAAGATTTCAAAGCTTTCTCAGCATTCACTTTATCGACCATTCTAGTTTTTGGCTTATACACTTTTGCTGTTACACTTTTTAAAGCTTTCAAATTATTTTTATGCAAAGAGTTTGACGGACCTTGATTCGCTTCCCCTTTATTAACGTTAACTTTTAGGAGAGAGGATTCCTTTTTCAACACTTGAACGTCATCCATCAGATGTTTACCCAAACCCGTAACACCTTGCTTCGGCAAGTTTTCCATTGATTTTTTATTATCGTTCAGCAGTTTTTGAGAATTATTGTTACGTTCCAGCATCAAAACGTTCGATTCCCTCGAATCGTTTCTCGGTGAGCTGATTTCGATTCTATCGTTTGTGTTTTGTACAACTTTACTTGTACTCGGTTGTGAATTTTCTTCGTTCTTCACTTTTGAACTGGATAAAGTATCCTTGTCAGTTTCCGTATTCTCCTCTTTTAACACTGACTCGCTTGAATCCATGAGAATGTTGGAACCATTGCTTGTATTTGAGATCAGTTCAACTTCGCTCGACTGATTGAGTTCCTGTACTTCAGGTAACTTGTCCTCGAGGTTTTTCTCTTCGGTACTCGTGTCTAAATCTGTCGATATCTTATTCTCGGTATCAGAGTTGTCAGTCTTCTCGGAATCACTTTGCGACTTTATTTTTCCAAGTGGTCGTTTCTTCAAAATCGGTTTCTTTTTAGGTGTCAAAAACTGTGATGATGTATAAATGTTGGAGTGTAGGGGGTCGTAATTTGGTAACATTAATTTAATTTGCATTGGATCATGTGGATTATATTGCACTTTAGGGGGTGCAAATTTAAACTGACCAAATACGAGTTCAAGTTTTCGGCAATGTCGAGTGATTTCTCGTACACACTCCTCCATGTCCAATTTCCTTTTGCGCGGTAATGGGACAGGCGGATCCTCGGAATATAAGTACAAATCTCGTGGCGGAACCCAAGCACGATCGTGTTCTCCGAAGAAACGTACGTCTACGAAACCTTGAGAATTTATCCGTGGCATAGCTTTTGCAGGCCAAAACGGGAATCCTTTTAATTTAGCCCATACTAGTGGATGCGGGCGACGACAAGGTTCGATAAACCATGACGGCTGTGGTCTTGGCAAGTTTCTTCCGTGGGCATAACAATCGGGGCAAGCTTCAATTTCAGACACTTCCTGACGTGCCAACTTAATCATCTGTTTCGCCGCGTTCGTTAATTTCGATGTATCGGTGTAAACGCCACCGCCTAAATAATTTCCATAATTAAGATCAGTTCTTAAAATGATGACTTTCTTGATTCAATTTAATTTACGATATACATTATGTAGTACGTACATGTATTAAACACAATACAATTATGTTGTATCCATTTAGCATCGGCCATGTATGCGTCCGTACTGCCGTACAACTTGGCACGCACGTTTGATTCCAAAAGGCTTAAATCCATTGGTTTCACCACGTAATCCAAATAATTTGGAGCTTCCGAAAGTTCGACCGGTTTCCAGAATGGTTCCGACTGTGACAAAGATGCTCAGCTATAATTGCACTGAACAAGAAAATATAAACGGAAATAAGAGGCTGATACGCACACCAGGGTACTCTTTCATTCTTTCAACCACGTGTTTCAATAATAAACATAACTGATCGACCGACAATTGTGCCATCGACGTGGAACGTGTTTCCGCATTTTCTGCTCGCAGAATAGCTGCGCATTCTCCGCATATCCAGTTCTGGATAGGCGTCGATTGTATCCCTATGCATTTACGATGCCATGATCGAGGACAAGCACTACAGTGGGCTTCTACGGATTCTTTGTGACAACGCCAACAGAACCTATCGTTTGTACTTTTTTTCTTTCGTTTACTCCTCACGCTGCTTTCCTCGGAGGACGAGTCAATTTCTTGAGCACTACAAAGTTAATTTCGTGATTTAACGCTTTACCTTAATGTACGACTGACTCAATACTGCATATGTTACTTTTATTCTCGATAAAAAAGTTTAATGAAGCAGCATCAATTTATCCAAAATACCTAGGGTTTACTTTCATTGAAATAAATGCAACAAATCATATTGAAAGAGACATATAATTCATTAGAGAGAAGTATTAAAACCGGTAATTGTTTACACTCACATCAAATTCCGTTTTCTTTTTAAATTATTTGCACTTCTGATTGCAGATGCTTCTTTCATATTGGTGTTCTTATTAATTCTAGGACCATTCCTCGATACAGAAATTGGTTCATCCAACTTCTCTGTATTGTGAATGTCTTCTACTTTAACAACATTATGTTTCACTTCTTCTTTATTGCTTTCCAGAATAATCACCTCCTCCTCATTTTCAATTTTCTTTGCATCACTGTCTATAGTTTCATTTTCATTTTTAATATTATCCATTGCATCTGTGCTTATAATTTCACTTTCTTCTTTGTTAAAGGCATCTGCAGAATTCTCCTGTTTGATCTGAGTGTTCAATGAATTGGAATTTTCTGTTTGCAACTGAGGTACAATTAGATTTTGTAGCTGCAATGAGTTTGTGAAAGTTCCTTCGACTTTTGAGAACATCATTTTCATTCATTGCACATGTCTACTTTCATATGTATTTAATTAGCATGTAAACAGAAAAAAAAAAGAAATTAGAAACAATATAAATGCAGGAAAATTTATGCATTACGGAGGGAAATATTTTGTATCATGATCAAATTTATAGTTAACCCTTGATTTTTATTGAATTACTTTAAAGAGGAATCAAATATAATGTTTAATAAGCAAATTATATAACAAAAGAGTCTGCATATATATTTTGTATAGAAGCGATAAAACTAAAAGAGGTAGAGTGTATCATTACAATGTACCAATGATTTTGAATTACAGAGTAACAGTACTGAAAAAATCTGTGCACACTAACTTTTCCTGAGTGGTATTCTTTTGTTGCATTGTGTGAAACATGACACTAAGTAATACGAACTATTTAAGAAGTTTTCAACGAATGAAACCAATGAATAATTTTACACAAAAATTGCTTTACTACTTTCTGATGGATGATAATATAGCATAGTATATGGTAACAGCAACTACACAACATTGTTTTGATCTGTATTCTGTAATTCAGTACTGTAATAAATACAGACAAAACAATTACCATCTATAGAGTTCATACATGAATCTGTGTTTTTAAACAGCAACAGTGATTTGAATGGTTTATAATTTCTAAAATTGTTCCTATAATTCGAATAAACCACTTTTGGTACAAATTCTAAACAACATGGATACATGGAAACATATCACTTACTAAGAGACAGCATTACATCAAAAAGCAAGAGCATTCCTTCCCCCTCTGACATGCCCGCCTTCCGACTGATGGTGCTTCCATCTCTTGATAATATTTCAAACTAATAAAACCACGTGGTACTTCGTATCCAAGCTATTGAAAACAGAAGTGGTTAATCTTTTTCGACAAGTTCTTGTATTTTTCTATTTTTATGCAAATACTTCTTTACGTACCCATTATATACCAACAATATTTAAACACAATTATCCTTCTATAATGATAACACTCTGATCTTCTTTCCATTTAAAAAGGTTAACTTTCAAACAAAAGATAAAGATATTTTTACTTCACATATCCTATGAAAAAACCTTTATAGCAATTCTGTTTAAGAATAATTTTATAAACAAAAAGTATCACAAAACAATACCTCTCACCATGACGTTCACTCCTTTTTGGTCTATGTATGTAGATTTAAACCGTTTTAAATATTTCCACCAATTTCCACTACTCTCATGTGTCTTTTCAATATAAACACAATAGAAATATGGATTAGTATCTTATGCTTGTATGACAACAAGTAGCGCATAGATGTTTAATAACAACACGGAATAAATAGAGAAAACCACAACAGAGAGTATTATTTTCGTATGTATGTAATATGTTAGGTTTAAAAGGTTATGCGAACGTTTGATAATGTGGTGACCTCTAGGCCTTTTAATATTAATTTAAAGAATGCGAAGTACTCACTAAACCTGTGCCCCGATAATATCGAATTATACACTTAAATGTCTTGTATTGATATTACATGATTATAACTGCTATATGTTCCGTTTTTAATTACAATTTAATCTTTTTAATGAAACAGGCGTGTAATAACACTGCGGCGTCATCTTACTGCAAGCATGTGGCATTAATTGATTAATAAGTTGAGCGTTTTACCGTAGATGACACTGTAAGGCATATTCATCTCACTTATCAGTAAATAGGGTCCCAATAGCAGTTCTGTCACAAACCGTTTGTGTATATTTATGTATTACATATGTCAACATATATGCAAGTAAACAAGAACGTGGCTGTAATCGACTCCTTAAGTTTATATACACTGGTTTACACAGAAATATTTCAACGGAATGGATATGTTGTAAAAAACTACTACACATCTGTATGGTTTACATGGAAGTTTCTGTTATTATACCCTTTGTTTATTTCTCTCAACTCATTAAGGAGGAGTTCTACAATGATTTAATAAAATACCATCGTTAGGTTATGCAAAACTGTCAAAACATTACTAACGAAATTACTAACGATTGAGACCTGAAGAATTTCCACAAAGCTCATAATGGAACTTAGTGATTTAATATTAATTCCAAATCTCGACAATGTTATGTTAATAGATAAAAGTGATGGCAATAATAAATGCATAGATGGAAGATTATGTATTAGTAGTCACCATCTTCTTTGGTCATCGCGACAAGACAGTCGGCAAGAGCTCTGGGTATAATTTACGAAGACAATGATTTTAGTTTTAATTACAATTATCTAACATGGAAGTTCTCTAATTTTAAATAAAACGTTTATTCGTTTTTGTAACGCTTCTCTCGATGTATTTTTTAGCTCTTGTATCGAAACATTGATCTTATAGAGAAGAAATTAAATACTCAAAGCCCAGGTGGTAGTGTAATATTAAAATGCAAAGATTTTCGAATTTTACAATTAGATATCAATTCAACGGACGACTTAGCTAGTGTTGTTTTATCTATAGAAAAATTAACATCCCAAGGTATAATATTTGCCTTCTACATAAGAAACAATAATAATTTCTTTTTACCACAAGCTTTTATTCTGTTTGTTCCAGAGCAAACTTTACAATATCCTTTCTTTCACAGACCACAGGCTATTGGTAATATTTCTGTACAAGCAGAAGATGGATGGACTGCGTTTGCTCCTGTTTCTGAGTGGTCGAGATTATTAACTGCTCATGCAGATGAGTGGCGTATCAGTTATTTAAATAAAGACTACAAAGTTTGCAATTCTTATCCTTCCGCTGTTATAGTACCTCGTCACGTAGAAGATAAAGTTATAATATCGTCTGCTAATTTTAGAGATGGTGGGAGATTTCCTGTTTTATGTTACAGACACAATGGAGGGGTATGATATACATTATTAAACAAAGTAATGAAGCAACAAGCAAAAGTAAATGCACATTGTAGACATTTATCAACGTATTAATAAATATTGCAGAGTGTCTTGTTAAGAAGTAGCCAACCCATGTGCAGTACTACCGGCAAGAGATGCAAAGAGGATGAAAGATTATTAAACGCGGTGTTAGGTCCGGGCAGACGCGGGTAAATACAATACTTCAAGCTTAGAAATTCCAAAGTAAAGCTACACAATGTTAACCATCGTGTCTATCCATAATAGTACAAGCATATTTAGCCGTTACTGCGCTACTAATATATACTTTTTCAATAGTTATATAGTAGATACGAGATCCGTTAGTCAAGCTCATAGCTCTAGAGCCAAAGGAGGTGGTACAGAAATGGATGCTGCTTATCCACAATGGCGGAAAGTACACAAGGCAGTCCCACGTCCACACGACTTAGCGGATAGTTTTTTTAAATTGATAGAAGCTTGTAACGATGTAACGTGTTCTACTTCTCAGTGGCTCTCGAGACTCGATAGCTGTGGGTGGTTATCCGCTGTACAAAGTGCTTTAAATGCTGCTTGTGTAACTGCTCAATGTCTTCACCAAGAAATTGCAGCTGTATTAGTTCATGGTATGTAATCTACAAAAGAATTAAATTACAAATATAATTAAATCGCTAGTAAGAATCGCAATGTTTTCTGTAATGGTATTTATTACATTTTTAACAGGAAGCGCCGGTAGAGATTCTACTTTAGTGGTAACTAGTTTAGCCCAAGCAATATTAAATCCTGACTGTAGAACAGTGCGCGGTCTTCAGGCTTTGATTGAACGCGAATGGATACAAGCAGGCCATCAGTTTTTTAATCGAACACGTCATGGACCTTTCCACCCGGCAAATTCACAAAGTTCAACACATGCTCCAACTTTTCTTCTTTTTCTAGATTGCCTTTACCAACTGCATTATCAGTTTCAATTTAGCTTCGAATATACGGTGGAATTATTATTTGAATTATATAATCACGCGTACTATTCCAATTATGGAACATTTTTAGGTACGTACGTATGTACGCATACACTAGAATCTGCGTGATTTTATTTTCATATCAAACTACAAAACTTTGTTCTTGGCGTTTTTAGGTAACTCAGAAGCAGAGAGAGTCAGTCTTAGATTATCGGAAAGAACATATAGCTTATGGTCATACATAAATCAACCGGAAATGCTAGAGAAATGGTTGAACCCATTGTACGAACCAAATCCAAGTGTTATTTGGCCCAGTGTCGCGCCAATTAGTATTCAATTGTGGAAAGATCTTTATCTCGCTCGCACAACCGTTGCTCCATGGAAAGGTTTATCGTCATGCGTAAAGCAAATAAAACAGAATTACATGGCAGTAAGAAAAGTTGCTAGTCAATTGCGAGTCCAACTCAAGAGATCTATAGAAGAAATACGGACGGACACGGATACAACTTGTGAAACAGAAACTCAAGATGAACACAACTGCATAGCACAGTTAAGTCTAGAATCTCAAAATACCTGATATATAGGTGGTACATGATAAAATATACATCTGTGTTATACACTGTATCGTCAATCTGCCTTTATTTCCAATACAAAATTAGTATATCAAAGTACATGTTTTCGAACAATTTGTTACAAATTTAAATAATCGTGATTATATTTTGCATTTTTTAAAATCCTGTACACTAAAAATCATTATTATTATGATAATATGTAAATACGAACCTACAAATGTAAATATATACATGTTTTACCTCATAATACATACACAATTAATATAACACAAAGAGAACAAAGTAATGATTGTTATCCTAGTTACTTCTATGTGCAATACATCATATTTGTGCATTCTTCGTAGTACATGATGTAGGATTTATCACAACACGTGAGATTCCATTGTTTTAGCTTTGAGAATATAATCTGTGAACATTCATTTATTTATATTGCTTCAATTACGTCGTAATATAGTTTAATGTAGTTTCCTTGATAAATCTGGCACAGCATGTTTAAAAGTAATTAGAGATACCAATGGGATATATTAGAATTGAATACTGATTTAGCAACAAAAGAAATAGTCGATTACTTATTAGTATGTATGTGCGCTTAAAAGATATTCAAGGTGAGTCATTTAAATCGATTCTCGCGAATATCGTCGAAACCGTTAATGTTACCGAAACATGATTCACATAAAAGTTGAATGATTTCGAGAGGGAAATAATTCGATGCGAGTGATTTTTTGTAGGTGGACTCATAAGGGGCATATGAAGGTCAAATTTATTTTCTTAGATGGAACCATATATTTTTTAATGCATTAGTCGATGCAACTCGTCATTCCCCGTAAAAAGCATAAATGTGTAGACTGCTTCTACCTTGAAAATAGACTAATCTCAGTTTTAAATTTTACGTGTAAAAATAAAAGCAACTTTAGAGGATATCAACAAGACTTAATCATCATTTGAGGAAGAACAGTAGGCATTTGGAAGAAGTCAAAACTATTTAGATTGTTGCTACCAACGAAAAAATGGGAGATCGTTGGTGGGGAAAGAAGGTAGGTGTTTCATCGGATACAAAAAAACTGAAAGGAATCCAACGACCATTCGCTTGGGTTTCCCAAGGTCTCCAGAATTTTACGATTATTTTTAAGAGTTAGTATAAAATACCATAAACTTACTGTTATCATTTGAATTTACGTGTACATTATCACGAACAAGCTATATAATAATAATAGCAAATAAGTGTAATGTAACCAGCACTGTCAAAATTTCGACGTATAATAAAACGTAAACCGAACTTTCATTATCCTGCACGCACTCACTTACCTAACTATTGAAGGTGAACACTGTAACTGATTTCTAATTGTTTCTTGTAATTTTAGTTACCTTCATTAATCTCGGTAAAATATTTATGGTGAAAGTGAGGCTTCTTGCGAACGATTTGAGCCTGTTTTCTTCATATCCAAAAAACGTTGCTCCTCTCTTTTCTGAAAATCGATTCTGAGGTTCGGTTTCCTTGGATGAGTATGGATCTAGTCACGAGTAAAAGTAAAATAACGTGGACTAAATTCAAACCCATCCAGGGCCACAGACCAAATTGATTTCTTATCCTATGATCGATGTTTGTTGAACTCGATGAAACGTAAATTGTAAATCATCGAGAATAGAATGTTCCAATAAAAGTTCAATGAGAAGATGGAGAAGATCGCGAACTTAATCGGTAACGGTCTCACAAGGCAAAATGTAGCGGAATGATGTGTTTGAAAACGGATCGCAAAAGTTGCAGGTAGGGGAATCGGGATAAGGGATTGGGATTGATATATGTCTGTATACTACTCCCTACCCTTACTTCACCTTACTTCTTGTAATGACTTTCTCAACGCCTTACACACAAAAAATCCCATATAAATTTGTACATGGTATCCTCGCGAGTGCTCGCGAGCAAACTCAGCTTCCGCTAGGGGAAAAAGTGGCGTAAGAATAAGAGCCTCCTACCACTTGGTAAACTTAATTCAAGTATTGTAATAAATGTTAAAATGAATGTTAATTTGGCATAAATTTCAGAAACTTTTGAAACCAAGTGATAGTAGGCCCTTTCAGGTCCTTTCGCTACGCGACTTTTTTCCCTAGCCGAAGCCGAGTTTGCTTGCTGAATACTTATATACTTTTAGGCAAGAGTAAGTGGAGTGAGTGTATCGCGAGATGATCGCGAGTTTCTAAAAGATGTGAGCATAAAGCTACCTGAAGCGCCTGTAGCTAACTACATAGTGATGATTAATGAACAAGGAAAATTTCTAAAAGATGTTTTTTGATCCGAGATAAATGGATCCCTTTCTTTCATTGGATATCTTAGCGTTTTGCCATGACCTTAGAAAAGTGATATAAATTTGTTTCGATTAAATACGTCTGTCTATTCCTGTTACATTCTACTAGGGTAAAATCCCTAACCGCTTACCTTTGGCGCCTTTGCTGCGCACAGCCGCGCAAACCTTGGGGAACGTGGTTCTAGTGACAATACGAATTATTCGGAAAGTACGTAAAACGGTGAGGACATTTATTTATCTGATTCTTATAAGTATATACATATGTACTGTACTGTGCTGTGCTGTGATGTACTTTCATACTGACCGCCATAAATTTCTGTACTTACGGGAAAGGTGCTCTTCTGGTTGTAAAATGTTTTTTACAAGGAACATCAATGAAACAGAAATATTTTAGAAATACCGTATAAGTTTGTTTAAGTGAATTGCTAATGGTCTTCTTGCAGTGTTACGTTCTTTTAAAGGTACGCATACTTCATCACTACACTCATAGTGCTGATTCCTGTCAATTTAAAATACATGGAACTACTGTGCTCTTACTCCTAAGAAATTTTCTTTACTTGTAATATCTCATAAACTCGGCATTGTCATCAGCTTTATCCTTGTAACATTTCTAATAAAATTATAATAAAATCGTCTAACCTCTAAATATTCTGTAGCGTTTTTATATCATGTATTATGGAAACATGGGAATGCTGTACTGTTAACAGCATCCTTCAAATACTGGGTGTCCCAAAGGTAACCATCTATTTTGAGAAATAATAGGAATTTTAGAACAACTGTAAAACATGGAAAGGTATGTGTACTGAAACAAAATATATGTCTTTTTTACATTTAAGTTGCTTAAAACCCATTTTGGTGAGTTTTTAAATTTCTAAATGTTTCCATTTTCTTTTCAGGTTTTATTAGTGATGATTGTATAGGAGTTACCATAGTTGCATATAAAATAAAAGGCACAAAGTGCAATGAAATTAAAGACAAATTTCAGAGGAAATGTTATAAAACAGGTCCTAGATATCAGGTTATACGCGACTTCATGAGGACTGAATTTGTACATGGCAGTCTGTTTTTTTATTTGTTTAAAATTGATGTCTGTAATTTTTAATGATGGTCGATAAGTAGAATCTACTGATTAAACTGTGGGTCATGTGTTTCCATGCATTTATTTAAATATACATGCATTTTATGTCAGTTTATATATATTCTTTTGTGTTGTGTAGTTATTTTTCTAAAATTCCTATTCTCAAAATAGGTGGTTATCTTTGGGACACCCTGTACTATATACAGCATTTTAACATGATAAAATAAAGATACAAAATAGTTAGGGTTTAGTATCCTGAGTTTTGTTAAAAAATTCATTTTCAGAATAACAGACATGAATACAACAATGAGTTCTGTAGAAAGTGGCGGTGAGAAACGTGTACCAGAAACGACTGTGCAAAATGTTGCGCAAAATTTAACTACAATACAATCCGTGCAAAGTGTACAAAGTGTCGTACAGAGTAATATACAGAATATTCAGTCAACACAAACCATTGTGGGTTCAATTGGAACACCTACTAATCACGTAGGTAAATCAATATCGATGGATACAAACCCAAAATTACCCCTAATGAAACCTGTAGTTCCATCTGGTACCACATCCACTTCGGAAACTAATAAAATAACAACGGTAATGGAACAGTAACACAAAAATCTGTATTATCATTTAATTTTAAGGAATTGACATTTCTCTGTTTGTAGCTTTGTTCCGTAGGTTCTACAGTAAGGATAATATCTCCAGGTATGTTGAGTACGGTCGAACGTCAAAATCAACCACAAACTCAACAACTGTTACAACAAACGCAACAGGTAACTAGTATGCCGGCAACGTATCATGTACCGAGAGGACCAGCTGCTGTTGCCAATATATCTGCTCCAAGATCGACAGTGGCTACTCCTATTGTTAGAGCAAATACTGGGCAGACTGTTCCTACAACAAGGTCCGGGTATGTATGTATTTATCTACGTAAAGGGAACTTTATAACACAAAATTTATTCTTAAGATTTAACCAGTTGCGCTACCTGGAGTAGCGTATAGGTCTACGGTTGCGTGCGTAGTGGATGTGCGTGACACATCTAAATACCGCAACTGGTTAATAAAAAAAAAACTGTGCCTACTATGAATGTATATTTTTACATTTTACATATTTCAGAATAAGTACACCTATTTCAAATCCCCAGTGGCAACCTAAAACGACGTCAGTTGTGTATGCTCAACCGCAGAGGCATCCTACGCCTCCGGTGGGTCGAGTTTCAAGACCATCGTCTACCGTGTATACCAGCCAACAGCCTCGTTTAATTACGCCGACAGGTCAAGGAAGATCGGTACAAGCCACGATGATCACTGGAGTTCCGGGCACTCCATCCAGATTAATAGCACCTGTTCTACAAACAAATAATAGTATTACAAGATTACCGGTCTCACAGAGTAGACTACCTACTCCTCAGGTGACAAATATATCGCAGACTCCACAATCTGGTAGAACCTCTGCTCAAACTATTCAGGTAAATTATTATACTTCTTAACGCGTCTATGAAAACTATGGAACAATATTACAGTAATGATCGGATATATTCTACATTAAAATTGTAGCCCAATCAATCAAACAGATCTCTAAGTACAACGGGTGCTGTTAGTCGCATAGCTGTATCAACACCTGTAGTTGGAACTGTAAATAGGATAAGTGGTACAGCTTCGGTAACTGTTCAACCAACAGTGGGGCGGCAATTGTCGATTAACACAGTGGCTGGTCCATCGGCCGGTACTGTTAGTCGAATCGTCATCCCATCTCAGCAAGTAGGAACTGGAAAACCAACTTTGCTATGTACATTTAATATAGTGTGTAATATTTATTGGATACTGAGTAAACCTGATTTTAGGTGCAGCAACAGCCACAGTCGCATCAGTCGCAATCGCAACAACAGGCGACCCCACGTGTTGTGCAAACAGTAACATCTTTGTCGAATCTCAATACAGTGTCGCGAGTAATTAATACAACAGCAAGTACGTCAAATGCAACAAGAATATCACAACCAGCACCAACTACAGTTGCTAGAATCACTGGAATGTCTTTACATCCCTTACCTTTAGCGCCCGCAAGGGCTACCTCCGCACCTGTTAAAACAGTGCAAGCTCAAAACATTGGACCGACTGTTCAGATTAAACCCTCTCAGCAATCTGGTTTGCGAGTTTCTTCGGCGAGTAGTGCAAACAATAATTCGAATACGATTCCTGCTCAGTCTGGTCAAGGGCAGTATTTACATCCACCACATACCGCCACCTACTATTCCTTTGAACCAACAGGTAATTTCATGATCGTCACTTCCGACTATACTTTTAAAACAAACTTACCTTGATGCTGTTACATAGGAACATATTCACAATATCGACAAACACCAGTAAGATTACTTGTTGAACCAGGGTACGATGAACCACATACCAAACCAAACGCATCTCCAAGACCAAGCATACTTAGAAAAAGAGATCACGACACTTCACCCGTGAAAGGTATAAGGAAAAGTAACAGAATGACATTCACGTTGTGCATACGATAGTTTCATATGATCGAATATTTTTATATATTCAGGTGTAGCAAAAAATTTAGTTCCTGTACTCGCGTCTTTACCTCCTGTCACGACATCCAGTCCTCCTTGTTCACCAAGAGGAGATCAAGACGGCGGAGGTTGTCAAAGTTCAGGATCCACTACAGTTTCGGCTACATCGTCACCAGGTTTGGATGAAGAACCAGAACAGTCTAGAATTACTATGAATACGACGGTGGAGATGTCCCCGAGAAAGAAACCTCGAAAACAACAACTTACCAGTGTAGAGTTAACAGAATCAAGATGCACGGAGGAAGAAATGCAATTTATTACGGAGGACAGAATGAAGAAAGAACTTAAAGAAGAACCTAAAGAAAAATCGGCTGATAAGAGACAAATTTCAAATGCGCAACGTGACATTATTAAGTCTCCTACGCAACAGTCAACTGTTGCTATACGAACGCGACCTATACCTAGTTTGTTAGGTTTGTAAGAAACAAGCAGTTGGAATTGTTGTCCATATACGTGGTAAAGTATCATTTTCCTTTCTACAGGGCCATCTTGGAAGAACCGATGGGGTAGCAGACTTCATCACTATAGAAGACCCAGCGAAGTTCGACCCCGTGAAGAAAGACGACCGACAGTTGCAGAAATAGCACAACAAAAACATGTATTACAAAAGCTAAATGGTTGGAAGGTATATCATCTCACGGCGCAAATGGAAGATATTGCTGATCTTGAGAAACAAGTACGCTCAAACATCGTACTTACAGCTAATATCAATAAAACTGTGAATTATTATATACTGTATTTATACAGGTACATGAGAAATTGAAAACAACACTAACGATGCTCGAATCGCAGCAGAACATCAGGACTAGACAGGACGATGGGCTTGAACGAGTAAATGAACTAATTAAAGGAAATATGCAACGTAGCAGCTTAATTAGCGAAGGAATGAATGAAGCACGAACGCAGCTTATTGCAATATTTCAACATAAAGGACCTATTACCGATATTTTACAACGATGTGGTAATAAACGGGCTCAAAAGAAACGAGACAAATGAGCTGGTGTTTACGTTAAACTCGAATTGAAATGAATGTTTTTAAAGGAAATCTTACAGAGGCAAGGTTCGAACGGAAATTATTTTTATCTGTGTTACAGAATCTATATTATAGGAGTAAAATAAATGATTTTATAAGTCTATGACACGACTGTCGCTAAACAAGTTTATACTTTTATTATAAAAATCTAATTTTTATTTTAATATAATACTTCTATTTGTTTAAATTTTTTACATATGTCGTGTTACATAACTGTATGTGCGGCTAATGTCCTATGTATATACATATATACATATAACTGTACTACATGTAATTAAATTAAAATACTTCAGAAAAAAATTATAAAACTCGACGCGAGGAAGTTTTAAGAGCGTAAGAATAAAATAAACGAAATTAATATTAATATTTGTACTATGAAACGCGAGATGTTCAATTTACATTGCATTATATTTATGTTCACTTACAGAGACTTGCAAGGTGTAGTTACAAGTTTGTTACCATGGTGACAACATGTTCTGAAATATTTAGTTAGCAACGACAACAGTGTCATTTAATATTTTACAATTCGGTATTTGTAACAACGCAGTACCAGTAATTTACTGATATATCATTACTAGTGTAACAATATGTGGTGGGGTTACAGTCCTGCATTAGACATACAACTTGAACTTAATAAAAGCGAGTGTAATTGTCTAGGTCTAGATGAACGTCTCGAAGTATTAATTGTAGGTGCTGGTGATGCGAGACACATTGTGAAGACATTGGCATCATCTTATTTGCACCATGATCGCATTATTACGTATAATGTGATTGAATCAACGTTGGAACAAGTTGCAAGATCCATTCTTTTATTGAGCACTTGTTTAGACAAAAACCTAGGTATGTATACACGAATTTCAAACATAACTTGTGATTGCTCTTGTTTAATATATTTCAATCAAGGGTTACAAGAAGCAACTCGATACTACCTGGAAATATTTGGAAACACTCTTGTACGTCCAGCAACAGCCAAGTATTTGATAAAGCATTCAAATCACTTGGCAAATATACCAACCTGTACAGTTGATTGTCCTTGGTTAAGTTTGGAAACATTCAAGCACAAGGATAAAGATCGATTAGAAGCAATTTTCAAGTAAGTTTCAGGCTTTGCTTTTGTCTATATTATTTTTCATAAGATTTTGGGAGCGTGCAGCGTGTGAAAACATTCCCATTGTGGAACATTGGAATCAAAGAGTTAGAAAATCACTGAAAACAAGATACGATTACCGTGATGGTGTTTTTGACTGGGATTATCATATGATTTTAAAGTCTCGGAATATCTTGAATTTAACTTTGCAAGAATACAGGTATATTTATTATAATATATTGTCGCATATACGTGTACCAACGATTATAATTTATTGATTCCAAAACTAGATTTTGGAGAAGCAACGGTGTCGCGTTCACTTGGTTAGAAGGCGAACCTGTTAGAAGCAACCCAACATTATTAAGTAATATAATACAATATGGTCCAGCATCTGTACACTGTGGTTACTTAGGAGATATTACAAATGGTCCCTTCTATGCATGGACCTTGGAGGAAGGGAAGCATAATGAGTAAGATGCAATCTCTTATTTAATGCCAAGCATTACCTTTTACATTGTAATAAAGTAATCACAATTTAGTAGGTATAGAGCAACCGACGCAGCTGAACAAGAAGTTATGCGGTCCATCCACGAAATCAAAACAAGAGAACCACTGTGTGATGATGTTATTGGGTCACATAGAGATTCTTCTATCCTAAATGGCACTTTAGTAACTGAAATGCCAAATAATCAAATAGAACAAGAAATTTGGAAAAGAGAAACAAATAAAAGTAAAAACGACAGTGTGTCTTGGATAAATATTGAAAATCATAAGGTACTATGTAACACCATACATTTAACAAATGTAGCACGCAGGTTGTTTTCTAAAAATAAGAAAAGTATTTTTAATTAAAGTATTTTTAGGTCATTTTTCATCCTATAAAATCTATACAGACACTAAAATACAAAGTCGGTTACATGAACAGATTTGATTATATCTGGATAGCGCACAATATGACGGAACATTTACCTAATTTTATACCACTATTAAAGAAAGGAGCAATTGTATTAATTGAGCTTAAGAAGAACCTAGTGGAATTACGCGAGGAAGATTTATTCAATTTTGTGAAGGAATTGAAAAGTTGTGCACAGAAAAACGGCTTGCGTGAAATCGGTGATATAAATGTCAAAAAGCATTGTATTGCCAAATTTTGTAAAACCTGAAATATCATAAATAAATAACTAAGCGTTACCCAACCTTTCTCCCTCTCTCCCTCCCTTCTTTCAATTTTTATCATAATTCGTAACTCAATAATAACAAGATATAAAAGATTATCAAAATGCAATTGTTAAGACATAAATTAATACGCAAGCGTGAGAATATGTATGTATATAGAGGCATATTCAGTTTCTTTTGTCGCATTAATGTATATATTATTCAACATAGGGAGATATTACAAATCCACGTTAACGATATATATATACATATATATGTTTGTAACACCGTGGAACATGTATATATTTAATAAAGCCATGCGAAATCCTCAATGAAATAGACAATGTAACATACCATTTTATAAGTTTTTAGTCGGATAGATAGGTATTTTGTATTAAAACCAATATGCATTATAAATATTCAGTTTGACCATTTGATTAATGTGTATTTAAATAGATATATATATATATTTATATATACGCACACACAGCATGCATGCACAATGGGATAATGTTATAACAAAATGACAAAAAATTTAATAATTAAATGAAATATAGAATAACACTGTACGTACAGTTGAGTATTGACAGAATTTATAGAATAAAAGTTACCAAACACTACTGTATGTACATAGTGAAAAATCAAACGCAGCGTGGTTACGAGAATTACCCAAAATCGCGGGAAACGCGTCCTGTTCTTGCTCAGAGGTTCGTGAGGTTCGGTTACGATTTTATAATATTAATACGGAAAAATGACTAATGCGAGAAAGTATATATTTTCATAAAAAGCTTATAGAAACTAGTATATCCTAGTATACCATTACTGTATGCTAGATAGCGATACCCGTAGTTTTTCTAAGACATAAAGTAACCCTGGAAAATCGGCCATCGCAGCTATTTTCAGCGATAATGAAAATTGTTTTCGACGAGTGAACCCTTTATACGTAAGTTCTGAGGTTTATATCGCACTAACCAACAAAGAAGTGCACAACGTTTCATAATACTGAACCATTGTTAGTTCTGGAGAACGAAAATGTTGAATTAGTACAGCAAGCTATGAGCTCTATCAACAGAGTATACAGTAAGGTGGGCATAAGCACTGAATCAAGATTCGACGATTGCGGCAGTAATTTGGATGCAACGAGAAGCAATTTCGAGTATGAGAAAAAGAACTTTAGTGCAGAATATAATAGAACTTCACCAAGTAGAAGTCGTTATGGTAGAACAATAAAACCCAAGTCTCCTAAAAATGAGGTTGTCAGTTCACCAAAGGCATGTTTCGTTTCTTAAAATGAATTGCGATTCTTCTGATTATTAATTAATATAATTTTTAATAAACTATCGTACTAAATACAGTAAAATTGCTTTATAATGCTTTCTCATATTATTTGTGTTTCGAGGAAGACCATTGCATTAGTTTTGTTTGATTGTGTTATTTTTTGTTGATAGGAATCTTTCATAATTTATTTCCCCTATTATAGAATTCTAAAATGTCGAAAGCACGGAAATATCAAAATTCATCTGACAGCAGTAATGAAAGCATGGATGAGAATAATGCAACAAATGATATGGATGATACAAGCGATTCTTCCACCAGTTTAAGTACCATGGAGGAATCTGCTCCAAAAATAATTGGTCCGTCGATACAATGCAGTTGGGTATTAGGTGAATTGGCATGGGCAAGAGTTGGTAATTTTCCTTTCTGGCCTTGTGTGATAACACTTGATCCAATTTTAATGATGTACCACAGGCTAAAAGGTAAATGTTTGTTTTTGTCTAAAAATATTTTGATATTCTAACCATTTCTTTGTTTCTTTCATGTTTTCTACCTTTCTATTTTAATAAAAATAATAAGTTCAAGAATAAATTAGTATTAAGTTCAAGATAGACATTGTAATGCACTTCTAATGAAATTAAATAATTTGTTTGACTAGCTACTGCCAGGTCACAGATATTAATGATACATGTACAGTATTTCGGCGATAAAGGACGTCACAGTTGGGTATCTTCAAATTCCATGATACCATTTACTAATCTCGATGACTTTAAAAAATTGTCAGAATCGGTAACTACAGAAGTCAAGAAGAGAGATCCAAAGTATGCTGCTGCATTTGTAGTAAAACCTGGAATAAAATCGAAGTGGGAAAGCGCGATAGAAGAAGCTATGGAGGTTCACTCAATGAGTAATGAGGACAGAGCAAATATTTTTAAACCAAAAGAAAAAAATATAAAGAACAGGTCACCAAAAACAGTAGTCGCATTAGATGAGAAAGATAAGACTAACAAAAGGAAGCAATTGCATGATTTGAGTGGACTTGACGTTAAGCGTGTTAAGCAGGAGAATGTAAATGTACGAACGATATTTGTAAGATAAAACGGTCTTACATAAATCTTTTTGTCATTGATTCTAATTTAATAATGTTGCAGGTATGCGAAACAGATGGTACATCGTCTAAAACGCAAAAATACATGGAAAATGGTAAAAGTCATTCCAAACTTAATTCTGACACTCCTCCGATGTCCCCTCTGAGTCAACGGGATTCTAACGATGATGGTTCCGTTATGCAGAAAGTAGAATTTAAGGCAGAAGAAGATGTAGATGGTGTTTTTGACGTTTTTTATGAACGAAATAGAGATATGATGGAAGATGAAAATCCTGATATATCAGAAAACGATATTAAAGAATACTTGAAGAAAACTTGGGATTCAATGAATTCTTCGTTTCGTAAGAAGTATCGATCGTGCGTAACATCGGATACTTGTAATACTCCTATGAAAGAAAATTTGTCGGATCAAGAAGATTTATCAACAGATGTGGAATCGAATACAAAGGACGTTAAAAAGTCGAGAATTAAAGTGGAAAAGGAAGAGATGACTGTTTCAGAAACGAAAAAAAGCAGACCGTACAATCTCTTTAAAGGAATGAAGCAAGAGAAGGTGTGTCAAATATGCGAACAAACTGGAAAATTGACTAGATGTAAAGGACCTTGCTATTCGTATTTCCATTTGTCTTGTGTCAAACCTGGTGAATCCAGTCCAGAACATTCCATTGACGAGAGCACAATGGACGATAAGATACTCGATGATATTAAGGAGATTAAACGAAATAATGTCGACGAGGATGACAGTAGCGGTATTTAAATCAAGCTGAAATTTGTTGCGCTCAATAAGAGTATTAATCGCTTTTAATCAGACGATTCATTATTTTTTCGTTAATTTCAGGTAAAACTGATGAACAAGAAGACGAATTATTCAAATGCATCGATTGTTTGTCAGGTGTAGCACCTGCATGCTTTATATGCAATGAAAGGGAAGGAGACAGAATAAGGTGTTCTGTATTAGCCTGTGGAAAACATTATCATTCGTCTTGCTTGAAGTCGTGGCCACAGGTAATAACAAGACTATCACTCGTCTCTCCTGATTCGATACTATAAAATTTATTATTATTTTCAATATTAGTCTCATTGGCAAGGAGGTCGATTGACTTGCTCGTATCACGTGTGTCACACGTGTAGTTCGGATAATCCTCAGGACAGTCATTCGAGAACTCCTAACGAAAAGTTGGCACGATGCGTTCGCTGTCCTTCGTCTTATCATACATCTACTTCTTGCTTGCCCGCTGGTTCGGTGATTCTGACTGGCAGCCAAATAGTTTGTCCAAAGCATTATCAAGCCCCCCATCCCCCAGTAAATGCGGCATGGTGCTTTTTATGCACAAGAGGAGGAAGTCTTATCTGTTGCGATACCTGTCCAACATCTTTTCATCTTGAGTGTTTAGGTGAATATTTTGAATTAGATAAAAATAACAACAGTGGTAATTCGGACGATAATAGTGATAGTAACGGTACAAATGGTGGTTGTAATACTAGTAACAGTAGTATTACTGTTGCTAGTAGTAGAAACATTCACGATATTTGAATGTTTCGCAATACAACGGGTACTATAAACAACAATAATTTCAGGGATTGACGCGCCGGACGGTGCGTTTATTTGCGAAGACTGTGAAACTGGCAGACTGCCTTTATACGGAGAAGTTGTTTGGGTTAAACTTGGTAACTATCGCTGGTGGCCATCTCGGATCTGTTATCCTCACGAAATTCCTGAAAATATAGAAGCTATACCCCATAGCTCTGGTAAATTTTGCGTAATGTTTTTAGGATCGAATAATTATTATTGGATTCACAGGTAAACAGTCTACTTTTCACGGAGATAATGAAAAATGTGTTACCTGTCAAATGTATTGGTTAATTCTTCGTATTATTGTTTCCTTGTTCTTTTTCAGGGGTCGCGCTTTTCTTTATCAAGACGGCGATGCAAATATAAAACCACCAATCGGTAAAAAAAATAACAGAGACGATACTTACCGGAAAGCGTTAGAAGAGGCCAATGACATTCACCAGCGTTTAAAAATTGAAAGAGCTGCTGCTAAAGACCATGGACCCCGAGGATTGAAGCCTCCACCTTATGTTAAATTGAAAGTAAAAGTCATTTTTTAAAATGTTTTTCTACGTGTACTTAGTAGCGTTGTCAGAGTAGTACTTCGTATATTTGAACTGACATTCTGTAACAAAAAATAATGTTCGTAGATGAATAAACCGGTTGGTAATGTAAAGCCGACGGAAGTTGAAAGTATCGTCGCTTGCGATTGCGATGCAGAGTGGGAAAATCCATGTGCACCAGGAACGGATTGCCTCAATAGAATATTGTTGGTTGAATGTAGCCCCGGTATCTGTCCGGCTGGTTCAAAATGCAATAATCAAGCATTCGCGAGAAGACAATATCCTGCTATGGAACCGTTTTACACTGTTGCCCGTGGTTGGGGCCTCAGAAGTTTAGAACACATTAATGCAGGACAATTTGTTATCGAATACGTAGGTGAAGTTATAGACGAGGCTGAGTACAAACGAAGACTACATAGGAAAAAGGAATTAAAAAACGAGAATTTTTATTTTTTAACCATAGATAATAATAGAATGATAGACGCCGAACCAAAGGGCAATCTAAGTCGATTTATGAGTGAGTACTATGCATCCTTATCAAATGCTGAAATATAAAGAACGAACTTACACTATTAAACTATTCTTTTCGGAATGCAGATCATTCGTGTTCACCAAACTGCGAGACTCAGAAATGGACGGTAAATGGAGATACGCGTATAGGTCTGTTTGCGTTATGCGATATAGAGCCTGGTGAAGAATTAACTTTTAATTATAATTTAGCTTGCGATGGAGAAACTCGAAAGCCCTGTCTGTGCGGTGCGTCAAATTGTAGCGGATTTATAGGTTTAAAGGTACAGAAACCGCAAGTAACGACTCCATCGATCCATCAAAAAAAATTTGAGAAGATTGACAAAATGAAACGTCAAAAGAGGTAAGCGAGTCGTACACGTTAGGTCACGGTAATCTTGATGTCTAATCGCTGGACGACTTCGTAGGTCGAGGAAACATTCGGCGTGTTGGAGTTGTGGACAAGAAATCGAAAAGTTAGACGACTTTGTGGTCTGTGATCAGAAGACATGCAATAAAAAATATCATAAAGCTTGCGTAGTCATCGACGACGAGGATTCTCGATTTAGTTGTCCGTGGCATCATTGTACAGAATGTGGACGTAGAACATCTGCGCATTGTTCTTTCTGCAGTGCTGCCTTTTGTCAAGGTAACAATATTGGAATGGGACAATACGCGTGTATGCTTGAGTCAAGGAAGTAAACGGATGTACTGTACTTTGTTGATAGTGCATTTGGAGGGAAACCTGTTTGAATATGGCGAAAAGGGTGGTTTCGTGTGTAAGCTACACGAAAATATGGAAATACAGAAATCATCTGTCGAAGACGAAAAAGATTATTCGGATAACGATACCGAAACAGACAGAGAATATTCTTCCACGGGGTCCAATAGCCCGCTCGTAGTAATGGAAAAAGCTGTACCACGCGAACCGTCACCGAGAGTTTCCATAGTGGAGGTGAGATGAAACTCTGCAATAAGAGTGTCGTCATTGCAAATTATAAGGAAGGACAAGCAATGCACGGCAATCATTTGAATGCTCATCCTAAGCTTTCATCTGAAATTATTTTATTTTGTTTATACCGTTTTAACTTAAAGCACGTTAGCGGATAAATTGCGTTGGTGGTGGTAAAGCATGAAAATATTTTACATAGAATATTATGTATTGGAAAATCGTAGAATGTTTGGCGGCTTTCTTCCAATCTCAACATTTTAAACGCGTATCGAGAAGTAATTTAATTTTTAAATACTCTTCGAATATGCGTTTGCATTTATTTTTCGATACTTTCGTTTCAAAAGATACACGTATTCTTCATATTATGATTTACAGAGTTTTTTTTTTTAAACGTCGATTAGAAGTAACGATCCATGTACATTTAAAAAATACATTCACTACTCTGTTCACTCTCATATGCAATCGAGTTCACTCTATTCTATATTTTTGTAGCTCTGAATTTTATGTTACGCTACGCTACGTTTGCCTTATGTATTGATACTGATTTGTAAGTTACAACACTTTGTTACAAAGAATATATACGATTGTAGATGCAGTTTTATACGAATAATAGCCGGCTGCTGATGTAATATTCGTTGACAGTGAATGTTTCCAAAAGAAAAACAAAAGAGAGATTAATGAAAAATTAACTTATTTCTTTTTTTTTTTTTTTTTTTTTTTTAATTATTTTTCATTGTTCCCAGCATCCCCTCCCTGACATTGGCAGTAGTGAGAAGTAGTAACAAACAAACAAACATGTTCTGTTTAACTTTATACGTTCAAGTGAGTGTACACTTTTGCTATTATCTATTTGGATTTTTTTGAAACCGTAACGTAATCTTAGTAATAGAACAACTCCTAATTTGCAGTTAATAAATAATTTATTTATAATTTATTCATTTGTGCAGTTTTACGAATGTATTTGTGAGTAAATAATTTTTATACAGAATAAATATTAAAATCGTACCATTGTATATACATATGTGTTATGGGGATTCGCGTAATTTATAGCACTTTAATGCACGCAATTTGGCTGTAAAACGGAGTTTACCTTTACATTCACATAGATTATTCTGCATCCGGATTAAGTATTTCGATAAAGTATTGTTCTGCTGCAGTATAGCTAAACGAGCATTCATGTGCATACATAATGTAAATAGTAATGTGATAATTTTTCTAAACGGCAATGTGACTCGTAGGTTCATCCAAGCAGCGAAGAAAGTGAAGAATCTCAAAAAGAGGATGACGAGGAAGCAATACAGTCTGCTGAGTTTATGCCGTGCGAGTACAGCTCAAAAAACACGAAGAGAAAAACATTGCACCGATTGTCTCTGAGACTGAGGGAAGAGGAAGATCAGGTAGCAGAGTTAAATAACCTTACGTCTAGTCAACTGGAGGCCATAATCGGTGGCAGTTTGTACGAGTGAACCTTTAGTTCTCGTCAAATAGGTTCGAATAGCCAAATATATTGCAGTTCGTGTATCACTTCCATGAAAAATCACAATGTAAAACATTGCAATTTAAATAGAATATTCAATGTTATTCATTCCATGTCAAATAGATCGGTTAAATAACACATTTTAATAAACCCACGATTATGCTTTTGATAAAATAAACTCCAATTTTCAAATAATACTTTTAGAACAGTTTTGTGGTGAACAACTCGACAATCTGTTCGCTGAATATATTCGTTTTTTTTCTTTTATTTGTGTACTCTCTTCTTGTCGGAAACAATATATTTACTTTTAAAATGATTGACAATTTCTAGTGTTGACAAATGTTTGCCACCGTGCACACATTTGTTTGTGTTTGCACAAAATTCTTTTGAATGTAAAGGAAGCATCTGTTTCCGTAAACGTTATTTGCTTCATCTGATTGACATGGAATGCTCCTGTTTATCTGCAAGTAAAACGTGACACACGCTTACTGGCTTGCAAATATCATACATTTCGGTTTTCTAAATGTGTAGTAGAATATTTGATTTTTAAAGTGTGGCATACTAATTCAGTGCCTTGTCTCAGTCAGGTTTAATTGGAACTCTAACACTGATATACTTTCAAGGGCCCAATGTTTAATTTTACAGTTATTCGGACGACAGTTCGACAGACATTTTTAAATCATTCGGTTTCTATTTGAGATATTCATTTCATACGTGAACAATTGCATCGGTCGCGAGTAACGTATTCTCCGCCGTTAAAGCAAATACTTATATATCTTTACACTGCCTTGTACATTTGAAACATTTGTATTACGCGAAATATGTTACTTTTAAGAGTACTTAGTCTTAAGGTGCCGAGTAAGCGAAATCATTATCTGATATTTCATAGTGATGACGAGCACTATTATCTCTTTTCTACGTGAATGATTAAACCACGTTCATAGATGCATTCAATGATACCCGTTTTTTTTTTAATGAATTAAAACTTGATACTGGTGTATAATAGATACAAGAACTGTCTCCAAGGAATATTATTTAAATGTGAATACCATAGAGCCAAGAAAATAATATAAATCTGTTAATAGCGTTTCTGTCTATGTATTTGAAATTGTATATACGAACAAAATGTGTCGTTGATGGAAATGTGAGATAAAAAATTCAATATAATTAAGCAAATTTTCTGTAATATAACCGAAAATTACTATTTATATTACTTTACAGTCAGTATACGTTTAGTATGATTTTATTTATCAATTTGAAACACAGTAAAAAATTCATTCCGAGAGATAGACACAAATGCAAGTAATGTTTTCATACGGTTTGTATTTCTTGTTATTTATACAAATGTGAATATTTTTTTTCTCACGTACCTCGTATATCGTGGCGTAATACTAATGGCTATGCAAAAAAAAACATTGTTGATTATTCGTTTATTCGAAACGTTTATACGTAAAATGAAGTGTGTAAAAAATTAATATATTTGAAAATAACATTCGATGGAGGCATGTGCAGTAAAGAAATGGGAAGCCCAGGTAAATAATAACGTCAACTGCTGTTGTTATTGTTGTTGCTGTTATTATTATTATGACTAATCTGATAATAAGTTACTTTTTACTAATAAGTAAGTACAAATGAAATATTATCAAATTACCTTCTCGACAATTTGTAATTAATCTCAACATTTTCATACATTTATAGGCGTAACGTGACATTACTTGTTTCGGTTGTATGTACATAATAGGTATGTATAACTTCAATGTTATGTGAGATATCGACACATTATACGTGAATTCGATTTCATTCGCGTACACGCTTTACATTATACACGATATATCAGAATACATGGAATTTCAATAATTGATCGCAGTATGTAAAATAGTTCACCATATGATATTATCGAATGATCTTGATACACCAATTGCACACTGCATGACGACGTGTTCAAACAAAAGAACAATCATGCTGTCGATTCTTTACCATAGTCTTGATAAAGTTTTGGACTCTCTTTTACCGAAGAGGTGTTGGTGCTGCTTAAGCTAGGCATATTTAAATCTGAATTCGTGTCGTTAGATACAGTCTCTTCCAAAGAAACTTGTTTCTTACGCAAGGCAGGTGCGATAAAATTTTGACCACCTGATAAATCTCTTTTCACTGCCTGTGTCTGGAAAATATTCACGACTAGCGATATCTTTTGGAGCGACATTCAGTGTGACGAATGAAAACGTAGATTATGACTGTACCTTAGATTTTGATGACGGCAAGGTAGCACCAGTAACAAGACCTAAAATACTTGCCGCAAGACCACTAAGTTGCACAGCGGCTAACGGCGATAAGCCTCTTCTTACTAAGCCCAAAGCCAGTAATGCAGCCTGAGCTAAAATCGGGGCAGCTCCAATAGCGTTTGCCGCTGCTCCTGCTAACTGACCTCCGCCAACACTCGGTCCGTACGCAAAGCATAGATTATGCCTGTCCACCTATCCAACATCAAATGCAATAATATATTTATTAATGTTGTATTTTTGTATCGGGAATTCACACAATTTCAATGCGAAACATTCAAACATACCAAATGTTTCACTAAAAGATATAGCAATCCAAAAGGTGTAATTAATGGACAGGCTAAACTGTAGACCGTTGTCATAGTAAAAACTAGGGCTAACCAGGCATAATGAGCACCCAGAGGAAATTCCCATAACACTGCCTTTCTAACGTGTACTCGTTCTGCTCTACTACGAGCTACGCATAGTCTGAAGGTGTACATTGCTAGTTCAGGGAATCTGACCAATTCCAATGCACTTCCCAGTAAAGCCGCAGTAATGACATAATTTACAAATAGAGCGCCCTGTAAAATCGCGCTGTAGTTGTGTATTTGCATGCAGATAGATTTCAGAACAATTTTAGCATGTGACAACTAGAGCAACATAATCTTACCTGATCCGGCAAAAATACACAATCCCATCTTTCCGTGCCATTCGTCGGATTCACAGTCCATTCTAAGAATGCCTGGGCACTGGTTAACCCTAAACTAGGCAATATGAGTACCATCAGTAACAAAAGGAGTAACGTTTTCGTCATTACTGCCCGATTTAGACTACTTCTAGTCCAATGTCTAACCAGTGATTCACTTCTTGCCACTAATACAGGCATTAAAGCAGCGACGCTGACTAGTAATAAGGTTGGAAGGAAAGATGAAACTATCGGACTAAGATTCATAATATCTCCTGTGATCGGTAATTTATTCAAAGCAGTTACTATTACCTGAAATGAAACGTTACGAATGCGCGAAACGTTTATACGTGGTAACAAAGGATAATGTGTGCTCTTCACATGTTATACTATACCAGAAGTGAAAGATTACTTACAGCTGGGGTCGTAAGAAAAAACAGTATGATACCTAGAGCAAAATTGATTAAAACAGCGTTCAAATACCAGCATGGTCTCGTTACACTCAAATTTTCCCAGAAGATGTCAGACGGCGTTGGCGCGTAATCTACAACCCACTTTAAACTAGGCGAAGAACGTAAATTTCTTCGCATAGTTTTAGCCGCGCCAGGTGTACCTATTCATCGTAATTACTAATGTTAACTTTTGTTGTGCTACTTTTTAAACAGTGTACAATATATTAATATAAATAATCATAAGTTATAACAAACCCAAAGTCACGAAAGCTACTCCTAGAGGTCTGCTCAATGCCACTCTTTTCTCTTCTTCGACTAACGCGGTTAATCGGACTTCTTCGTTCGCGTAAAATTCATGGGCATCAATTTGCTGTGAAATACATGAGATATTTATTTTCGAAATTCTGTTAGGATACTTTCGTCTGTGAATCACATACATGTTTGCAGCAACAACCTAACACTTGGCCACATGGGTACGGATACATTGTTAAAGGTTCTCTTCTCTTTGCATAGTTTTCACAGTATAAACGTGCTTGCTCGGCGCAATCTTTTTCTGCATCCAAAGCTGAAAGCCGTCTAATATCGTAAGCCAGTGTAACATCTTCAACCGTTAAAGTAGGGAATGCTTCTCTACAAAGAATAATTACCGTGAGAGAAACAAAATGAACTAAATGAAAATCACATAGTGAAGAGTCGAATTGGTAATACAAATTGTCGATTTGCATGAAAATATGAATTTACATACTTGAAGTAATTAGTAAGAGTCTCACTTTTGCACTGGTGCTTTGGTATTTCCGCGACTAATAATGTTCTAGCTGCAAGCTCACCCCCGTGTTTAGCGTCTCGCACCTATATAATGTAGAACTGTTATTTCACCGTTCACATTCTCGAATGTCAAGCTTGCATTATGTTATTAGTGCGTACAATATTGTACTGTACCTTTCTCAAAAAATGTTTCATAATGTAACTACCCACAGGCAAATAGGATAAAATGAGTATCGAGTGCACCCAAATCCATTTAGACGTTGGATCCAGGTTTGATAATGTTGTGTGGCCGAACGTTGCATCGTCCCCTTGCATATTTCCATGGAAATTAATCGGTAAAGCTATGCATAACGATACGACAACCATTAAGGAAGTTAAGACGATTAAATGACGCTCAAACGATATGTACAGTAAACCATCAGGTCCAGCCCGCTTTAACAGTTCGTCGTCCCTAAAATCATAATTACAATATATTGTTTTGAATTTTAGCGTAATACTCTATGATTTGTATCCCAATAATTCTTTGTTACTCTTACGTTACTCTAAACGCAGTAACGATCCACGTTAGGAAGCCTCTATCGACCTGCGAAAGTTGCGAATTAACGGATGTTTCTATCCATATCGCATCTGTGTCTCTACTCTCGTTGTCCCCGTAAAATAATTCCATCCATCTCTCATCCGTTTTGCTGAGTAATGCGAGACGTCCGTAATTCCATGCCTTTTTCCGTAATAAACCGAACAAGATAACAAGTAACTGTGAAAGAAATAGCAATGTTAGAAACATCTCCCATATATTCTTTATCTGAACAGATTATTTTACACATTATGTAGGACTTGAATTGTTCAACTATGTATGTTGTCGGACTTTTAGTTGAACACAAGAGCAAATATACTATGCTTGTAGGCATATTCATACCAAGAATCCCAAAAAATTTAGCAACAAGTTCTCAGGAATGCCTGCATAAACATCGGTTATTATTGTTGTATTATGCCTTGGTATTGGAATGCATGTGTCTGCAGATGGAGTTTCACGCAAATTTGAGCTGAAATTTAGAAAAGAACAACATAGGAAAAATTGCTTACTAAGTAATTAGTTTTGGAGAAAACCCAGCATTGAACATTGTATTCTGACACCTTTTTTTTAAAATAAATCAGTACACTAAAATAAAATTGAGCATGATACTCTACAAACAGTACATTAAGAGTACATTAAATTTGATTCATGAAACTTTAAACGTTTAAACTTTGCGTCAATGTAGAACATATAAGTAACAAAACAATTTGACAAAGTCAGAAGACGCATATTATGGATATCTATCGAGTATATTTATATGTGCTCACGAATATACGTTTTTTCTGGCAAAACAAATAAAGGGTGCGATAAGACAGTTGAGTAGCAATGGCATTCGATGCGTTCCGACAAAGAAACGAGTTTGTTAACTTTTAAAAGTCTATTCGCACGCAATAATAAAGTACCGACTCTAAATTTTAAGCAAAGATGCATAATTAGTTGGTTACTTACTCGAGGAGAACGTAACCCATACTTGTAAGATGTTTATATTACTTTACTGCTAGATAAATACAAAAGCGCATGTTAGCAGACGTGTCTATCTGACACATCGTATACGAATGCTGTTGGTGACTAGCAGCTGTAAAGTACGCGTCAACATAGCCTAACCTGAATACTTGATTATAATAAAAGATAATACGATCTGAAATCAACCAGGTTTCACTAACGCGAGTTTTCTTTTCACTTAGATTACTCGTATCTGTCACGATTAATTATCGATTAAATTCCGTGGGTAAATGCATAAATCATAATTTCACAGAAAAAAAACATTTATAAACATATAAATGAATTATTTAATCAGTGTGTGTATTTGTCCAGGAGTGTGTGTGCATGCGCACGCGCATGCACAATATTCTATACTCTATATCTATACAAACGAAACATATTTCTAAATACAAGCAACCAATTAATCATCTTGTTTGAACAATCATTCTATATTTTATTTGTTAAAAAATATTTATTACAGTATTTGAAACATGATTCAGTTCAGTGTTTCAAGGGAAGTTTAAGTGTTAGTTGCTTTTGTCTGCACAAAGTAACAACGGTAACTTTCAATAATGTACAATATTCAATTCAATATAAATATTCAATATAAATATAATTACGTATAATTACAAATACTAATTTAGAGTTTACTTCTATTAGATACAATTGAATTATATCTAGAAAGGAAGTAGAATATGTTCAAGTTTCCAAGTGAATATTTTATACACTGTCGATTGTCGTTAATTGAAAGTATTTTTATCTACGTTTAAGATTGTTGATAATGATCAAATGGTTGTAATTCCCCCGTTGTAATGCAATCTAATATCCAAGATTCTTTTAAACTTTTTGTATCAATTATAATTTTTGCAATTTCTCGATGGTCGGTAATGCGACCACCTGCAGTTTTTACGAGATCCTTCAGCACATTATACGGAGGCGTTGTGTTCTTTCCAATGTATATGTTTCCACAAGCAGCAAACAATTCAGGAACGTACGACATTCCAAACAACTGTCTGTCTTTACGGTTTTCCTGAAAATTGTAAATGAAATTATAATGCCCTTCCTATATGGTGTACATACTTTGCTTACCAGCGCCGCTTTTGAAAAATGTGTAATTTCGTATTCTTCTGGATTCAACCATGCATTGTTCTCTAATGACTTCAAAATCCATTCAGTACTGAGAAGCCAACAGCCACGTATGATTCCATGCAACAAATTTATTGTACGCACACCGGTAGTTATAACGTGTGTTGTTCGTTTCGTAACGTTTGATTCTATTTTTGCATGTCCTAGAGCTTTCACGATACTTTTGACCGTATGTTTATCGCTACAAAATGAGAATAACGTATTTATGAAACTGATGCAGAAAAAGAAACCAAAAAACGGTTCCAAGAAAGAGTATGGAATAAAAGTATTTCGTACTCGTTAGACAGGCCTGTCATTACAATATTTATTCTTTGTGCTTTTCTCCTCGATGAACGCATAGTGCATAGCTTCTTTAACGTTTGGAAATCACTCGAAGAATTTCTATTTGAAGTACAAGCTTTCGTTTGAATGTTTTCACCATTCTGCTCTAGTCTTCTTAAAATATCTTCATGAACAATTTTTTTAACAATAATTTTTTTGCTGACAACTTTTTTGGGTCTCTTTACTCGATTCATTTTACCGTCGAAGATAGAGCAATCGTTTTCTAATGCTAACTGATCGTTGTTTTTTCCATCTACGTGTTTCGTCGTAACACATGTATTATCTATTGCATTCATTTTATTATTCACATGTTGTTTCTTCTTCTTTTTCTTCCTATGTCTGTTTGCTGGCATCGATCGTCCAGGCGGTTCGTTTTCATTTTCCACCGGGGAGAATGATAATAATTGCGAAGATTCAAGTAATGGCAATAACTTCTTTTTACATTTTTTTCTAACAGGAGATATAGATTTTGCTGCACCTTGACTGTTTATTAATTCGTTTTCATTAAATAAATTCTGCGATTTAATATAAGACGCACTCTGCGAGAACGAACTATCTGAAACTATTGTATTAATTCCTGATTTCTCTTGTTCATAGGGCGAATTTTGAAATTCATTGAATACGCTTTTTCTGTAAAACAGAAAAGTATAGACAAGATAAATTTAATCGAAGTACAAATTAATTTTAGTTTAATGTTTCCACAATCAAAGAAACTATACTTACGAAAAACGTGATTTACTTTGCGAAGAGTTTATTTCGATCAAACTTCTGTTAGTGTTGTTACTAGGGCGTGAACGTACTACAGTGTTCGATCTTAATTTTGTTTTCAACAAAACAGAACGACATGTTGGATAGGGAGTAGCTTCGACGTAGCTTTGACCGTCATCAATTTTATCTATGTTCAGTTTATTTTTCATGGCAATCGAATTAGATCGATCTGTATGTACCATACTAATATTTTGTTTTAAATTTTCGGTTAAATCAGTACCGTCTGTTTCAGTCCTGTTAGTTCTATTGACAATCCGGTCTCCTATGTTATTTGATACCGACATTTGCCTGTTATTATTTTTTAGTGAACACAATCTGTTTGAGCTATCTAAAGATGTATTCATTTGTAAGGAAGTACAAACTGTATTTGTGCTTTCTCGCGTCCCTTCCGAAATTGCTGAATGCATACCTCTTTTCTGTCTATTACCAATATCTCTGTTATAATCTTTCTCTATAAAATCTGTATCTTTGAAGTCATTTTCATTTCTATTGTCTCTGCTTAACTCATCCACGGATGTGTTTACATTCAAAGAAGTTTGTAATGCTTCTGGACTTTGTTTTTCGTATGGCTGTTCATTTTCACTATCAGATTGTACATTTGTATTTTGTTTAGTGATATTATTAAACAAATTAAACTTTCCTAAGGTATTAGAACTTTTGTGTAATAGGCTGGTAATAGAAGAGCATTTACTTCTCAATATTTTCTTGTTCTGCATCTCTTCCATATGATTTTTACATACATTATCACTTATCAGATACTCCGAAGAGTTCTGCCTTCCACTTAATATAAATCCTCCTCTAATATCCGTCATTTCCATAGAAGTATCAGCTTTCTTTGTAACCAAACCTAAAGATGGATCTTGTATAATTTCAGAGTTTATGTCAAGATTTTGATCTGATGTTTCATTATTTATCATTGTGGAGCAGCCAATAGGCTCTGCTGTAAAAATACTTCCATCATCAGACACATTCAATAATGGAAAGCATTCATCTTTTGATGCAACGGAACAATTAATTCTGCTATTTTCTGCTTCAATAGGAAGAATCGATTTGTTGATTGTATTTAAGTTATACTGCTTTCTTTCTTCCCCATAGTTTTTATTTTTTCGTTTATTCCTTACAGTACTATCAATACCAGGGTTCACATTTCCATTAGAATTACTGTTTAGGAGTGTACGAGATTGGTTGTGTTTAGTAGTTAAAATTGCTTGTGTTTTAACGGGCAACTCATTTTGTACATCAAATATTTGTTTCGTCCTGGTCAGAATAACTTGTTTCAACTTTTCGCAACTTTTATTCAAAACCTCTGTATCGTTTTCTATTTTCTTCAGAACTACAGTCACATGTTTCAAAGAGATGTCACGATAAGATGTACTTCTATTGTCGATGAACGTCCGTTTGCTTCTCAAAATTCTATCGGAAGTAACCGCAGTCGGCGGTATATTATCATTATATTCGACATTTGTTTGCTTGAGTGATCCATTGCCAGAATCTGTCAAATTCGAGAAACAACTTAAATTGACAGCCAAGGAACTACGACGACGCTTAACGCTGTCATTTATATCAGATACGTGTTTCGCACTGATTTTACTTTTATCTAAATTCATTGTTCAAGTATTCTGTCGTCCGACCTTCTAAACTTTAAATTGAAAATACAATTACTGCGATCATTGACGTTACATTTTATAAGGACAATTTGTTAACGTTCAACCACGTTTAACATTAACTATAAATCCTAACACGATTCAACCGATTCAACGGTGGCTAGTTTATCCAGGTTTATCACGTGATCAACTTCTCACTTCTCATTGGTCTGCCTTGTGTATGTATACTAGAGATGGCGTGTAAAATCACTAACGGTGATTTATCATAGTGATCGCCGAATCACGATCACGGTCGTGATTTACTTCATTCACGACCGTGATTGCGATTTTTCTATCTTGGATGAATTTGCTCACTGCGATCGTAAGTCCTTGATCTTTAAACAGAAAAACGTATTCAATATGATTTTACGATAATTACATTACTATTCGTGTTTGTAAACATCAGTAGAAAAAACAAGAAATTCTAAAAAAATGATTTGCTAGGTAACATGTAGATTATAATTTATAATCATTAATTTATTCATTATTTTTCATTGTTTCTACTTATTCCTTCACTTTATACGATATAACCCTAATTTTTGTTTTGATGTCGTTAATGTGAAATATACAAATTATGTATCGCGTGTAAAGAACTGTTAGGTTTCTCCACGAATAAGAAACGATCACGGGAAATCACGAATCACTGTGAAAAATCATCGTGATTGGGAACGAACGTGATCGAATCACGAGTGATTCACAAGTAGCAGTTCACGCCATCTCTAAACGTGATTGAAAAAGGGATAGATTCCTACTATTATGCTAGAATTGGTCGCTTGGTGCAGCACAAATACTCGGGGATAAGGAATTCCCGGGCGTGAGCACACTCATTTCCTCTCTGTTAATGGTTGTCCAATACGGTTCGTAAAAAGGCAACGTGATTCGCTTCGTATCATGTGAGTTTCCTGTCTTTATAGTAGGTGAATTTCGATAAACGCCACGTCTGTATTATGTGCCGACTGCATACCACTCACCGGTTTGAACAATAATACAGAATCATAAGTTGAAAGAAACTTTTGTAGTAGAAATTATGATTCGGCGTAATCTGATTACATTAGTATGGATTATTGGATTGTTTCTCGATTCGCATATCCAATTTCTCGCTGCTACCGATGTCATCAACTCGGAGTTGATCCTTCTGAATGTGGAGAAACATATCGATTTGCAATCTCAACTAACAAAAGTTACAACTAGGCTCGTATTGGAAAATGGAAGTAAATCTCAAAGTATACATAATTTCCTCTTTGCACTGGAACCTGAACAAAAAAATAGTCTCAGCTATATAACCGCATACAGAGAACCCGTGCGGGTTGAATTGAAACTGGCAGAAACTGAGGTAAATGCGCATTCAGATAAAACCTTTTACAGAATAGAATTAAAGGAACCACTTAATCCTCGTAGAACTATGTCTGTTGAAATTGAAATGATATTGAGTCATGAGCTTCTACCTCATCCTAAAGAGATCACACAAAAAGAAAAACAGTTGGTAAAATATACAGGAAATATATATCTTTATACACCATACAACATAATAAAGCAAACAACAACAGTATCTCTACCATCACGTAATGTTGAAAGTTATACTAAATTCAAACCAGTTTCACAAAGTGATTCAATAATCACATATGGGCCATATGAAAAACTGTCTTCTTTCTCATATGAGGAATTGAATATACACTTCGAAAACAATAATAAATTTCTCACTGTTACCAGACTTGAGAGGAGCATTGAAATTTCTCATTGGGGAAATATTGCAGTGGAAGAACACATTGATTTACTGCATACTGGAGCACTATTGAAAGGTTCATTTTCCCGTTATGAATATGCTAGAGAGTCAAAGTCAGGGCAGGCCAGTATTCAGAGCTTTGATACTATATTACCTGCAGCTGCATCCGACATTTATTATAGAGATGAAATTGGAAATATTTCAACGTCGCATACTCGTATTAAGAAAGATTCTGTGGAGTTGAATCTTCGCCCACGATTTCCACTCTTTGGTGGTTGGAAAACCCGGTACATAATTGGTTATAATGTACCTAGTTATGAGTATTTGTTTCATTCTGGAGATCATTATACTTTGGAGATGAGACTCTTGGATCATGTTTTTGATGATATGGTAGTAGATGAATTAGTTTTGAAAATCATACTGCCAGAGGGTTCAAAGATTATTGAATTGAGTCTTCCATATCCAGCGACACCTTTACCACAGTCTCGTCATTACACATATTTGGATACTACTGGTCGTCCAGTAATTCCTGTTACTAAGAAAAATTTAGTTGAGAATCACATTCAAAATTTCAAATTAAAATATACATTTCCACGTATACGAATGTTACAAGAGCCATTGTTGGTGGCTGCAGCATTGTACTTACTCTTCTTATTAGTAATTACTTATGTAAGACTTGACTTCTCAATAGACAAAGATGAGATTTCAGAGAGTAAGTTAAGAATTGCTGGGCAATGTGAAAAGATTTTATCTGCCCAAGATCGACGAGTAACATCTTACAATGACTTAGACGATCAGTTGGCATATCTCAAAACGAACAAGGATGCTAATGCATTTTTGGTTGTTGTTAAAGGTATTAATCAAGAATACAAGAGCGCGACAAACGCTATTACAGAAATCGCGCAACGATTAAAAGGAGAATCTGGAGATGTTTATGATCGTGTTCAAGAATTACAGAAACATGACAGAACATTAAAAGAACTGTACAATCAACAGCAGGCACTTTATGTCGATAAATTAGTACCAGGGAAAATAGGACGTCAACAATTTGTAGAAGCAGAAGCAATTATTGCAAAGAAGAAAGAGGAATGCATCGAGAAAATAAATTCTATTGTGAAAACTTTACAGTAATACAATCTTTGTGAAGTCTGGTAACTTTATGAAAATAGTTTAAGCCATTAACTAAAGACTTTTCCACAATAAGTTAAAACAAAACCTTTTCTGTACAATAAGTTAAGATTTATAATAAAGAGATAAATTATACACTGACGTCTTTGATTTATTTAGAGACATCAAGAAATTCTTTTAAGTCACTGTGAATATTACGAATTATCAGTTAAATTACTATGGATTAAGAAACATATTTAGCATAAATGATATAAACAGCTATGAATATAAATTACTTATAAAATGTTACATGCAATGCGAAAGCGTAGTTTGGTTATCGTGCAACGTCAAATACTTAGTGAGTCCATGTGTCAGTGTACGACACCGGTTAAATAAGACACCTGCTAACCTTTTAAGACAGTGCTCGGAAAACTGTCACTCTGTCCGCACGTTGAATGATTAGAACTAAAATGAGTAGTTTACGGAAATTTATAGGTAATCGTATTCTTTCTTTAATAATAGTTTTATATGTTTATCGCTCGATTCTTCTGTAATAGATGCTGCATCCCCTGTTTTTTTGTTAATTTTAAATATTTGGCAGGAGGTTATTCATTTATGATTTATATGTACCATCGTTGTTCGTTTTAATGTAGATATCGGAGCAAATTTGACGGACCCTATGTTTCAAGGAATTTATCATGGTTCTCAAAAACATCAACCGGACTTGGATAAAGTTTTGGAACGAAGTTGGAATAATGATCTTTCAAAAATTATCATCACTGCCGGTAATATAGAAGAGAGTAAGAAAGCCCTTGAATTATCACGGACAGATGGTAAGATATTGCTATACAAATATTTTATAAATCGTCGTTTGATTGTATATAAATTAGTCGAAGAAACGAACCATTGTCACTGTCGCGTCTCTCTATCACGGGCAGTTGTAGTGTCTCATTTACAAATTCTTTTTTGTATAGAACTATTAGTGTATTGTAAATGTGTTGCAATTAATGTTTTATACACCTTGCAGGCTTTCAACTGTGAGGCTAAAGAATTAATTGTATTATGTACAACTATTGTTCGTTTATCTTGTATTATCATTGCATATGAAGAAACCGATGAAAGAGAGATGCAATGGTTGCTGTGATTCTGTTGTATAACGACAACAACAAACTGCATGTCAATGGAAATATCTAGGTATATATTGTATCATATTCTTTTAATTTCATGACATTTGATTCTGTATTTATTCCTGCACTTATTGCAGAACGATTATTTTCAACAGTTGGTTGTCATCCAACGCGTTGCAATGAATTTCAAGAAAGTGGCGATCCAGAAGCATACCTAGAGTTATTATCGGATTTAGCTGTAAATAACAAAGATAAGATTGTTGCTATTGGTGAAATGGGGCTGGATTATGATAGACTACAATTTTGTTCTAAAGATGTGCAAAAAAAGTATTTTGAAATGCAGCTATCTTTATGTTCTACTTTGAAGTTACCAATGTTTTTACACTGCCGTAATGCCAGTGAAGATTTCATAAAAATTTTAAGAAAACACAAAGATACATTAACAGCTATATGTCGAGCGAGGTATAGAAACATAATACTTGATGCTAACAGAGCTGATTTTTGTTCCACTTACAGCTCTCTTAAAACAGAGGAAAATCTTTTTGCCGTTACAACAATTCCTTCGGACAGACTGATGATAGAAACAGATTGCCCATGGTGTGAAATAAGACCAACTCATGCTTCCGCAAAAGATATTATTACAAATTTTCCATCTGTTAAAAAAGAAAAGTGGCAACCAGATCGTATGGTTAAAGGACGGAATGAACCATGCACTATAGTGTAAATATTAATCTATTGTTAAGTAAAGAAAAATTATTAATTCCTAATCTACTTGTTTTTTTGCAGTCAAATTTTGGAAGTACTTGCACGAATTAGAGATGAAGAAGAAGAGTATCTGTGTAATCAAATATATAAAAACACAATGAAGGTCTTTTTCCCTCACGAATTGTAACTGTAACCGAAACTCACAAGCACTGTGCGTTTTGTATTGCACGCTCATACATATAATCAGGGAGGAATGCTGTGAAATTATATAATGAAAAATAACGAATTTTTACCAAATTCAGTTCTTAGAAGGAAGGAAATGAAGATACTCATTTTTACATACATAGCTCTATGGATGTGGCTGGAGTCACGTTCCATCGATCTCTTTCCATATAAAACTTTAATATATTCTTGTTAAAATTACCATTACCACCATAATCATCTTCATTAGTTGCATTATTAGCACTGCTATATTTATAATTATAATAATAATTATTACTATTCCTATATTTATCAATATTCTTTAGTTATTCCTGTGAAGACCGCTATTGTTACTCTTATTGTTTTATCTTAACATTCTATATGTATTAAGAACTTAATCATACAGTCCACTCCTTCATTACTTTTCTAAGGAAAATACCAAAAAAAAAGTAACTTTATTTAATATACGTTCAATTCATATACTAGCTTGTTACATTATCCACATAACAGAAACATGAAACAAAAATATATTAGATGTATCAAGTTAACAGGTTTAAATTTGATCCTAAATCAGATAGTTTATATATTACTTTGATAGTTATTTTGCTTGATATAAATATCAACATAAAGAAAGGACTGACACTTTGATAGAATTTCCAACTTTTCAAACTGTCTTAATTCATTGGAATCATATGATACATTCTTCAAATATCACAGGTAAGATGGCCGCCGCAATACATATGGAAATATACTGTGTTTCGACATTGGAATCATAAAAGTAAATGCTGAGAGCAGGAGGAGATTTTTATCGCCGAAGAAATCGGTTAAAACGTCCAATGAATTTCATTCATGGTACTTTTGATAATGTTTGCACCTTTTCGTACACCCAATCATAAGTTTGACTCGCTAATGTTTGTGTGGTATCAATAGCCTTTGAAGCATAATTTTGTAAATTTTCTGGACTTAGCTTCCCACTAGAAAAATAGTACAGTCACAAACATACTGATTTACATATATGTATATGAAATATTAAATACTTACACAAACACATTGTGTTCTAGCCACTTTAGCATTGTACTAAAGTGTTCGATAAATTTCTCTGCACAAATGCTAGAATAAACTTTCACTAGTTCCAATCCCTGATTACTTCTTAAACGGATTTCATCCAACATCCCAGGAACATAATGCTCAATCTACAAAATATGTAAAATGTTCGCATTATGTAGAAACATCTCAGTTATCAAACTTCTGACACTTACTGTTTGTAATACCACAGGGCCATTCTTTCCAGCATATGCTACAGCATTATCATACATTTTAATAGAGATATTTCTCATTACAATATAAATATCTCTGGACAATTTAATATAAGGTTTACACGTTTCAACAGTTGCTTTATAGTATTCTGGAGAATTAGCTTCAATAAACTCAAGTGCTTTAGAAGAATAATCTTGCACTATGGTCCATGCCTTTTGTCCATACTCGCATAATCCACTTCTGTGCAAAAGCTTATTTGTATTAGAACCTAAATACATATTATATTAATAATTTACTATTAAGTTACAGTTTGATAAAAGAAATATATCTTTTTTTCTTTTTCGACTACCTTTAAAATGACCATGATCATAAACATCGTAACCTATAAAAGCACCAGTCAGAAGTAATAATAAAATAATTCCCTTCCTCCAGGGAAATTTCTTATTGGATGAAGCTGTCATTTTTAGCAACAAAACCTATAATAAAAGTTAGAGAATCAGTACGATACTGATGACTATAGCGATTACTCGTCTAAAATACCAATAATTCCATTTCACTAAGAAGTTTAAGGCTAAAGGTCAAGCATTATGGCGTTTTCTGCAAGTACAAACGAATTACAATTACTACAATTCGTATATACAGATTTCTCACCTCTGAAACTGCCGCAATAAGAAAATGTCTTCTAAACTATTGTATTTGAACTGTTTTGAATGTGTATTTATTTATAAGAAAACAAGGTTTGACGACGACGAAGGGTGAGCAATGAATATCGTCACTCGTGGCGTTGAGGGGACAATACGCGATCGATAGTTCACTTCCGAAAAAACAAGCTTACCTAACCTAATCTGCACCTAATCGTAAGATTTGAATTTATCAAGAACAATTAAACACAGCTTGTCGCAAGACGCGATCAAGACTCGAACAAATGTTTCGGCAAGAGTTATCAAACCGTGTGTCAAGTGTTTGTTATTAAATTATCTTTTTCACGTGTGAATTTGGGCAATCAGCCAATCCAGCCAAACGGCAATTCATGTTCCGCACATCGTTCAAACAGTATATATGAAGTCTATACATATATTTAGTGTTTGTGCGCCAACGTAACGTGTAGCAGTTTCCAAGTACGTATAACGCGGGTTATTTCAAAAGATTTTACATGTATGTAAAGAGTTCTTTATGAAAGTTATATACAGTGAAGTTATATATATTACGTATGATATTTACTTACTACAAATATATACTGACCTTGCATATTTTACTGCAACTATTAGCAAGACCTTCATCTTTACTCTTTCTCCATCTCTCATCTGTTGTTTGAAATACTGTGCATATTTCTTTCAAGCACTTTGTTTTCATAGTTTTATGTAAAATGTTCCATTTGATATCTGAACATAAAATAAAGTTACATTTGTAGCTTGATTAACAGGTCTTTGTTGTTTTTAATAATAAATCTTACCAATGCATGTCAATAGAAGCTGAGACTGGTATAAATTTTTTATGTAAAGTGATCTCCAAACAGAAAAACAAAGGGGATCTGTAACCAAGCAGGCTACAAGAGCTTTAATTAGTTCGTCTCTGTAATTTGCATGTACTTTCTGTGTAATTTGTCCTATTAACAATTCAAATAGCTTTGCATAATTTATATTTTTGTTTTGGAACAATATTAACTGAAAAATTTATGCAATGATAATTTACAATTGTAGAATAGTTGTAATACCGTGCATATATGTTAGATGATGCTTACTCTCAATCTTTCAATGCTATTATTGACTTCTCTGCCTACAATGGCAGGAATGTTAAGCTTTCCAGAACATGTATCATCAATAATATCAAGATAAAGTTCTGGTTTAAGATCACTAACGTTTTCATGCTCAAAAACAAGATCACTGAAAATTTGTGATACATAACTGGAGTAATTCTTTGCCTCCAACATGGGAGACATTACTTCGTGCCACATTTTTAGTCCTACACTTAAATTTTTTCTACCAGCTTGAGATAAAGCCCACAGTAAAGACAAGCCAATTGTTTTCCTATTTTGGTATGAATTTCTCACGGTAATCAGTTTACCAATATTAGCAATAGTCATTTCAGGATTAATACGTGCTAACAGTTGCAAAAGTACTTTGTGACCCACAACAGGTGATCCTTTCACCATGTCTGTAGCCATTGCAGTAAGAGTATTTTCATAAAACAGTTGTGATGTTTGTTCTCCAGCCATTTGAATGGCTTTTTCTAGAATAGAGGAAATTGGTTTAGGTACTATACTCAGTGGATAATCTTTAGGTTTCCCTGAGAAGATTGTATCTTCTTTGTCAAGGGGTATTTTTAAATTGAGATATGCAGCAAGATCTTTCAACCAAATCAGCGGAGCCTCTGGAAACCTGATTTGATCATTGGTCAAAACAGTTGAGAGCTCATTTGGATCTATCTGTGAAAAAGTTATTGTTAGTGACTAAAATTTCATGCACATTATTGCAAATAACAAATTAAAATCATATAATATTGTACCATATTTAATGCATCATTTATTGTTTTTGGAACTTTTTCTTTAGGTTCTTGTTTCTTTTTGTCTGCTTGCTGCTGCTTTTGTTGTTTCTTTTTTTCATCATACTCTTTTGTTTTGTTCTCTTTTTCCTTTGGTGGTTTCTTGTTTTCTTTATTATTATCCAAAGTATCATATAAAGTCTTCACTTGACTCAAGGGTACTGAAACAAGTCAACTGTTTTAGAAACATATTTGTAAAATTTTTTAATTAATAATATCTAATAGTAATAATGTGGCATAGTCGAGGTTAAAACCTGTAACTTACGAAAGTCTTCCACTTTTGGAGCATTTTCGATAAATTTCTTCTTTTCGGCCTTTGTAAGTTTATTGTTCTTCCCGTTGTTTTTATCCTTTTTGTTTCTTCCAACTAATTCCCAACCGCTGGACGACATAACGAAATAAATGCAGTAAACAAACGGACACTTAACAATACTATATAGTAAAAAGGCACTGAAGTGTTTGTTGGCAGTTGTGTTGTCCACCAAATATTGTACGTGGTCGCGCATGCGTATTTAGCAATTTGCCACGCGCTAATCTTGCCTGTATCAAAGAACTTTTTCAACTCTTGCATAGAAAGATACCTACAGAACTACCGAAATAATAATATAATGTCATTTAATTTGTACAGAGTAATATAAATATCCGTGGAATCTAACAACATACGCTATATTTCCGATTATTGACCAAAAATCACACATCATTTATTCAAAATATAATCCCCTGTTAGAACGAAACTTTCTACTTTCACTTAATGATATTGAACATGAAACACTAATGATAATGAACTCTGCCCTTTTCTTATTTTCCTTTGTCTTTTTTTTAGACGTACCAATTTGTAAATAAATGTATCATATCCATGTATAATTACACTCTGAATTTAACAATATCGGTCGCAAATGTTAGATTCACAAAAAGAAAGTAAACGTGCGCTATTTACATTTACCTTACTGCCTTTTTATAAGTGACATTGTCTGCGTAGTGAATAACGTACGTCGCGTTCGAGTTTTCTTTTGCTTCCGTTTTTTCTTTTATTCGACAAAATTGTATTTGGTATTAAATACCGAGTATAGAGGCATTAGGGTACGTTTATGTTGGAGATGCGATGAACGATCAGAGCGGTGATAAGAGCAAAGCTTAAAAATAAAATCTATTGTTTCATAATGGAAGTGTTTATATTGGAGCAGCGAGCAGAGCAACGCTTACATGTTATCACAGCTCCAACATAAACGTACCCTTATATCCGTTTCTCATAAATGTGTATCTTTGCATATTGTACTTGTATGTCCCATCTAGAATGATGTTATGAATCATCTTATACTCAAGCGCATAAAATTATCCCTCATTACACATCACACTCCACGGAAATGACCCATACTTAAATATATGTATACGTAACTTAAACACAGAGGCTGCCGTGCGGAATATACACTAAAAGTGGTTGAACACTCATGTTCATTTCGGCAGAGAGCTTCGCAAAGGTTTATTAGCAGCGTAGAAACCGATTGGACAACATGTATCGGACAATCGCTCTGTTTTTTCTTTTGTGTTCATTGAACGTCTTATTACTGTCACCGATATGCGGAGCCTTCCAAGTAAGCGATTGCGGTAAGTTCAAGCTGTAAGCTATTTTTCACTCGAGTACAATGTTTCATTTAGTTTTTTGTAAAATATTTTGTCAGGTGAACAATCTGCTTAAAGGGTGAAGTTAATAATGCCGTAAGACTCAGTCACGTGAAAATTAATTTGTTAAATTCAATGCTTTTCCTCGTGTTCTTCTGTTCTCATATAACTATATAACTGAAAATAATAAAGCACGCGAATATAAAAAATAAAACAATGAAGGTATCTGTGCCTTCTTTGTTCGGAAAAAGTTTTCTTTCAGATGCGAATACCATTCAGTATATTAGAATAATAGCTAACCGATAAGTAACAAACCACATACGTTACACATTGACGATAAGTAACAAACACATACGTTACACAGATGCGTTAATCATTGAAAATCGTCGGTTCAATGTTCGCAACCATTATAAAATAAAATTGTTGTGTACATTTTTAAAAATTTCTTGTGTTTTCGAAAATTAAAAGTTACTGCTTGAAAAACATAGGATATATAGAAACTGAGTTAAAACATTACCGAACTTGTTTTGTTTCGTCCTTCCATTTTATCGTTGTTTAATATTAAAAATTTCTCTGCTTATTGCCTTAATCTTGTTACAGTTCATTCTACGAACGTGAAATATGTATGTTACTGAATAAAATGATAGCCGGTTAAGTATCGGTTGAACAATGCGTCAGAACTACGCGAAGTAATGGTATATGGTTTCAGTAATAATAGATACAGATCCCATGTCTGGAAAAAAACTCAAAGTCAGGACAGTTTGCTAGTCATTCCATTTTGTGTTAATATGAAAATCCTTTTACGTAAGGGATTCAAATCCGAATAACTCCTGCGCTACATTGTCTACGTCACGTTCGAACTATTACTCGATCGTAATGTAAAGATCAAATAAATATCGTGTTTTAATATTTGGCAATTTCATCATGGCGCAATAATATACATATATTAAGTAAACATTATTTGAGCATATAAAAGTTGATAACTCAGCCGGCTGATAATATTAATTGGACAATCCTTAAGTATCATGACTGAATAGTAAATTGAGCACTGAGCTGTTTTATTTTTATACAGGCTCGAAAGTTGGAAAGTTTTCAACTGTAAGTTTGGCTGGATGTGATATGGATAAAGAGGTTTGTAACCTAATACGGGGTACAAATGCAACAATTGAAATAGACTTTACAGTTGGTTAGTATTCTGTTGTGATGTACATACATATTTTTTTTAAGTGGAAAACATTTGAAACATCAAATATGTTTTTTCTTTACAGAAAAAGAAATAAAAAGTGTAAATGCAGTTGTACATGGAATTATAATGGATGTTCCTATACCTTTTCCACTAACAAATGCAAATGCTTGTGAGACTTTTGATTCCGGAGTCTCATGTCCTCTAGCTAAGGATACAACATCTCACTACAGAAACACATTACCAGTGTTGCATTCTTATCCTAAGGTAGTTTAGTAGTTTCTATGGGATTTTTAATTTTTAATTAACAGTTTCGATTGTTCAATTGTAGCTCAGTCTTATTGTAAAATGGGAACTCAAAGATGAGAACAATGAGGATATTGTTTGCATGCTGATTCCTGCAAGACTTAAGTAGGTAATATTGATTCAATTTATTACAGTGTCATGTTTAAAGGAATTGGGTATTTTACAAAAGTTGTGTGAAATGAATATAAAACACGGCATTAAAATATGTTGTTTACCATGTTTCTTAAGCTGCATCGTTTTACTGTACAGGATATACAAAAATTTTGTACAATTTTTACTGTAGATTATGAAATAAATAATGAACAGCTTATAAGTATTATTTGTATATCTTTTGCAAACGAATAACAAGTTGAGCACAACTTGAATGCTGAATAAATAAAATATAGAACTATTATTTATAATATTATACGTTTTAAATATTATTCACTGTTTAGTGGTCATGATAAATGTGTGCTGTAGTCTAAAATTTAAGCAGAACGTTCAAAGTTAATAATATCTTGGTTATGTAAATAAATAATTGGTTTGCCTAATCCATATAAATTCATAATGTAATAAATTTTAAATTCTTACGTATTATATTAGCAATTAAATCTGGTTTTACAATACACCTGGAAGTTTAGGTACTCGTAGAACATGACGATATATAGCGTGCTACTTGTCGTCAAGTCTATCATTTTTTATATAATCTAAGATAAGTCTTTTCGTAATTTTAACGTTTTCACAAATAATATCAACTATCCATTTCGTCGCATCTTTCTTCGGTTCGTTCCGTATCCATTTGATGTATTGTTCTTTTACTTCGTTGCTTCACTGAACTTTGTTGTCCATTTCTTAACGTTTTTTGTGCTTGGTATATAGGTTCATATTCTTTTAATTGTACCATAAAACCTTCATTAGGGTTTATGCAAAACCTTCTTTGTTGCACCATTGCATATGCCCGTCTAAAAGAATATTCTGTCTTAGTACCTTCACACTGAAGAACAAAATATAGTTTCATATACAGCAGGCCTTTACGTTTGTGAGAGTCCATATGTCTCCATAACATATGCTAAAACTAATGCAGCAGATCTTGATATTCCTGCATTGCCGTGTACTAAGACTTGACCCCCAGAATTTAAACCATCGTCTATAAATGTTTTAACTTTTTGAAAATGTTGAATAATATTCTCTGTTGCTGTATCAGCAATATTCAGAACAAGATACCTGTAACACATCAATATCAATGTGGAATACGATGTGCGCATATAAAAATGTTGTGTATTTTATACTTGAATTTATCAGGAAAGTTGGGCTTTATAAAATTTGCTTCTATATCCTGCCTAACACACACTATATGAGTTATGCCATGTTCTAATAAAGATTGTAATTTTGATCGACTAGCAGCACTGTATGGGCCAAGATATAATCCAGGTATCACCTCCTAATATAAAATAATAATTAATTTAAAACATGTATCTTTTAAATATATTTTTGTTTCAAATACATCTCATTTGTCAAATACATGCAAGGTACCTGCATATGCCTCCTCATTGTGTAAGTCCATTCCTTTGGTTCATCCATGTGAATAGGTATTCTTGGATAATCATCCGATTCATTTTCACTAGTGGTTTCCTATAGAATAATACTGTAGTTTTAACGTTTTTAATTTAACTACACCAAACTAGTAAGTATAATAAATTTTACATTTCAAACTGAAGCTAAAACAAAGGGAAACTAGCATCTTGGTAATGTAATTGAAACGTAACACAATATTCTTGTTACAAAGACTATAAAAAAAAATGAAGAAATTGATACATTACTGTTTGTAAAAAACTATGATATGTAGAATTGTTAAAGCGTATTTCTTCGAAAATACAAAAGATACGTGCATAATATAACCTAAAACTCTGAGGGTACAGTGTATACGATAGTTTGAAATTGCTAATGTGTTTCGCATACCTCATCCTGATGAGTTTCATTACTGTCTAGTGACAGCATACCACTCATTTTCCGCGCCTCTTTGTACCGAACCGTTGAATTTACACAACCGAATAGGGAACACGATATTCTTTTTGCCGCGATCAGGATATTGTTTTCCGAGAAGGCGGCCATTTGCAAAATATAAAATTTTCTTTATGTACCTATTTCGTGGATCGTGCAACAGAGAGCGGTACAGTAGACGCTCGATAATTATCGGTTCGTTAATTAGACACTAGGAACGCCCCTCGTTCACACGTTCTCTCATCACGTGATACATACGGTACGGTGTCGTACTTAACTGGCCCTACCATAAGACCAATAAGATATGTTTAAATATTCCTATTCGTAAAAAATAAAAGACAACAGCTTTCAATCCATTTGTAACCGAACAATTGTGTATGACCGTGATATAGGTATATACGGTATATACCAAAGCAATGTCAATACATTGTAAAATATAGTATGAGTCCGACTTGGTCGAGACGTTCTATACGACACCGATTTCATGAAAAATAATGGCGTCCATTATCAAAGGTACGGCATGTGACCGTATGATTATAAATCCATAGCTTTGAACTATAACTCTTTATTATCACGATTAACTATTATGACATTCGCGATGTCACGTTTTCATAGACACTGGTGAAATTTGGAGTCGACTTTTCGATCATCGACCGTTCGTCCAGGGTGAAATCACGTTCTTCCTACGAGAGTTTCAGGTAACGAATTATTGAATCTGAGATAATAATCTTCTGTAAAAGTTGATAAAAACAAAGGTGTGGTATATAACAATTAGCATTGCATCGCAGTATCAATTGATGATTATGTACATGTACTTATATACAACAGACAATACACTCTTTTATCATGTATAACTTAACACATAAATAGTATTATTGCGAAAAGAGTGTAAAATAAAAATAGTTCAAAATTAAAACACATTTTTTTTGTTTCTCAAGAATTATATATTGCATATCCATAGGAAAAGAGAGGCGACAAGGAAGTGGAACATCTTTTCAAAATACTTGAATATTCAACTGATTTGAAGGAAAGTCAATTGGATCGCGCAGAACAACTAGGAGATTGCCATTTACCTAGCTTAAAAGCAAATGTGGATGTAGCACTGAGCATGTGCGAAAGAGTCCTCCAAAGGGAACAAAACTTTGATATTGTACTGATTTTTCTTAATAGTATTATGTTAAAAGCATTAGGAAAAGTTATATATTTGTCATTAACACATTCATATAATAATCTTTTTAGGACAAAACATTAGAAGAAAATAGAAAAATAAGAAAATTAGAATGGGAGAAGTTTGTCAATGACATTAGTGAAAAGTGTGAGAAAGTAAATCAAACATTTGATGAAAAGGAAAATGAAATAAAGGAGTTTTATACCGATCTGGAAAAAAAGCTACATATTGCATTATAAATTGTGTTCTTGCTGCACCATTATAGCAGACATATCATATCAATGTGTTATACATAAAAACTTACTGATAATGTTATTTTACTAACAATAGAACGTGTGTAATTGAAAAATATAAAAATGCCTATTGAATCGATTGAAGACCCTTCTATAAAAATAAAGCCAAATAAGAAATTAACAGAATTCGTTATAAAAAATGTTAAGAAAACAAGTGATGCTCCTTGTGGTATTGTTGCTTTAAAGAAAACAAGTAAAGACAAACAAAAAGATTTGAAATTGGAATTGGATGATATACGATGGCTAAATCAGTATTTGGAAGAACACAGGAAAGCAAAACAAGAGAATGTTTATTTGCATGACCTTCTGGAGGCAGCAGATATAGAATTACCAACACCGAAGGTTACACCAAGGAACCCTGAATTGGAAGCTAGAGTACAGAAATTGAAAGCGCAACAAGATGCCAGAGAATATCGAGCTATGACCAAAAGTGTTGACTCTATTAGACGAGAATTACCAGAAGATACTATTGCTTATCAAAGTAAGATTTTTAAATTATAACATAGATGTGTTTTCTAATCAACTTCATATTTATATACTTACGTTTTATTTTCAGTGAAACAAATAAATAAGCAACTTATAGCTGTTGCCCAATTTATATTTTCTGTATTGGCAGGCTTTGCATTTGGATTTATAGGTGTGGAGTTAATAGTTGGGAATTTAGATTTTGGATTTAGGCTGTTATTGGGAGTAATTTGTGCATTAATCATAGCTCTGGCAGAAATTTACTTCTTAGCTGTGAAATTGAATGAAGATGGATATGATTCTGTATCAGTGTCAGCGTCTAAAAAGTTGCACCAAGAATAAAATTTTACAGATTTTTGTTATAAGTCTTTTCTAAAATTTTTGAAATTTTTTATGTACAGTATTGAAGTGCAACAAAATAATTTGTTAATTGCCAATGTATATTATGTTGGTAAAATGTATTGTGGTACAGTTAAAGAGAAGCAGCTATCACAAGAGTTAATGCATTTATTTCATTTTAATGTTTGAGTAAAGTAACAAGGAGCTTCCTATGTTAATACAATATGAAAGATAAATAAATTGTTTCCTTTATACAAATCCTTCAAATTGATTTATAATAAACTGACTAAGTATGGAATCGTGGGACACAAATATTTCAATATGAAAGAAAATTCATTGTATGGTTTAGTTCTTCTGATGGTACATAAAAATAATAATTGGTTTCTAACATTATTGTCCTAAAATATCAAATGTTAAGACTTTGGATATTTATCTATGACCAAATGTTTACATTATCGCATGTTATAATATTTTGTATGAACTTCAAGTTATTCTCTAAGTGATCAGAGAGCCTGTCTTATGAGAATATCGGTAAAAACAAATGTTTCCCTATCTCTTAGTTTCATCTTCACTGTCACTTTTTCCACTGGCTTCACTTTTGTCACTGATTGAGTCACATTTACCATTCTCTTTTGTTTCACTTTGATCACTGTTTGATAGGTTGTCACCTGCTTTTTTGTCGTCGCTATCAGTACAAGAATCTGTGTCTGACTCACTGTCACTATCTGAATCTGAGCTGCTTTCTGAACTGCTATGTGAGTTCTTGGCAGCCATCATTTCTTTAAATTGTCTCACTGTTATTTTTCTGGGCATTATTTCTCTGAGAAATTCCAATATATCATTGGTTTGCACCACCTCTGCTAAATGTTTGTAATCCAGGGAATTGCCTTTATTATTTTGTAGATGTGCTTCTTCTGTTAGATAATGTATAAATAGTTCCTACATAACATATTTTTAGAAAACCGTTCACTTTTATTTCACAGGTAATAATATAAACTTAACCTAATTTTTCTAGTATCAACTTACCGTAGCTTTTGTGACCAAATACAATCCATCCTGTCCGATAGTATCAACGTAGGGTGAACTCTTCATAATTGTTTTCACCCTTGACATAGGTAGACGTAATTCTTTCATTTTAGCCGGTGATCCTTGTGCGTTCATTTTCTCATAAATGCTCACAAAATCACACAAAATTAATTCTGCCACCTGAATGTAAACTATGTAAACTACCTGAAACTACCTCTGCAAAAGTTGGCAAAAGCAACGGACAAAACAGATGTCCACTGTCCACATCACTACCTCACTTGACCTCACTCTATGTACAATTTAGCTTTCAGCGCCTATAATTCTGCTAGTCAATTAGTTTTTTTCTTTTGTGGCTAGATGGCAATAGCACAAGTTTTAATGTTTCATGGTGTCGACATCTATGACAGTATATTCAAGCTATTCCTAGATTAATCATGAGATTAATGCGATTAATGTACCGCAGAATGTACTCCAGTCGCTTTCTCATAAGACCGCGCATTAGTCTGTAGTCTATTATATATTGATTATATGTATATCATGTATATGTCAAATTATTGGATACTGTCAGGTACTGTTAGGTTTGCACTGGTATGTACGTCAGGTGCGTCCAGGCTGGGTGCGTCTCTTTTGTTTGGTGTTTGTAATTTGTAACACTTCGTAAGAAAATGATTGATGGCATACTTATTGCGTGTTTCGTGGTAAAACTTTGGGACTGATAACTGTGTTCCATTGTGTTTGATATCAATAACACATTTTTATCGAAATTTGAAGAAATATAATGAGAGTGACAAGGCGATATGTATTTTATAAAATAGTCGCTGCGAACGATTAAGGTATATCATCGACTCATCTATCAAGTATGTGTACATTTTAATAATTTTTATTGCACAAATTTTAATTTTCTCATTGAGCATACATCAATTTTTTGGTAATCATTCTGTTTTTAGATAAACTCATTGTGACAATCATTAAAAACATACAAGTAAAACGATGCTCTTCTCAACAAAAATGGATTTAATAAACACAGTGATAATTTGTTCATCAAGGTTCCATCATTGATGTGTTTCATATTCTACAACAGTAGCACTGATTCATATGTCAATTCTTATTATTTATTCATAGTACTTTTATGAACTTTCAATGGCAGCAAGTCATAGTCTGCTATGCATGTACAAAGCATGTATTGTGGCATTGATTGTCTGAGGCTACAGATTTTTTAAAAAGAAACTAGTCAACTGCAACTAAACAAAATAAAAATGAGAGAAAGAATCAGAATTTTCAACCTGTTGTTGTATAAAAATTTGTTGGTACGCGTCAGGCATTGGAAGACAGCTTTGTTCTTGCAATGTTTAGTACCTATTGCCTTGTTTGTATTGATACAAGCTGTAAGAGATTTTAGTGTTCAACCGCCTCGTGTAATTAATAACAGTACCTATTATTCACTGGAAACTAAAGAAGAATTGACAAAGGTAAACACAGATTTTACATTCCTATATTATGTACCACGAAATGAATATATAGCCCACATTGTGGAGGATATCAGAATGTGTTTAAGCTTGCCATCTGAAAGTAAGTATTGTATTTAACATATATTGTTTAAATGTTATTTTTCAAGATAAATCATGCTATTAATGTTATGGATGTGTCTTACAGAGGTGGCTGGATTTTTGTCTGAAGACGAAATGATAGAAACTTATACAGTCTTAGAAGCTACATTTCCAACTACGAATTTAGTAGCTCTTGTCTTTGAACAATATAATACAAGCAGTATAAGGTATAAAGTTAGACATGCCTTCAAAATACCAAATATATTATTCCAAAATGTTTTGGATCAATCATCATATAATACACACAGTTTATATTTTAATGCTATACCGTTTGTACAGTTACAAACATGTGTTGATGAATCTCTAATAAATCTTACAGCATTACATTCAACGCCAGGTGTAAAGGTATTGAAAAATATAAATCGCGTATAATATTAATGTATAACAGAATTTATTCAATTTATGTAATTATTACTGTGTGTTTCAGGTGTCAATACAAAGAATGCCATATCCACCATATGTTAAAATAGATGAATCTGATATAATATTAAGACTGGTGATATGTATGTTTGCAGTTATTGCTTTTCTAATCCCACTTTGTATAGAAACAAATCATGCAACGAAGGAAAAATATATTGGTGTGAATGTTTTAATGTCAATGAACGGAGTGAAACAGTATATGAATTTACTTAGTTGGTTAACCACAGGCATACTATTCAGTATTTTTTATATTGTACCAATCATAGTATTATTTAAAAATACATTTTCGGGAAATGTAGATCCGTATTTGTATTACAGTAATACTTTTATATTTTGGTTAATACTTACAGTCCATGTAGCTCATTTAATATCATTTGGTATGCACGTCTCCGCATATTTTTCAAAACGTAAGTTCTATATTCGTGTAAAATACGAAAAGTAATGGTCATCTATGATTCATAATGCGATTTTTTACAGCACGTTTCGTAATAATAACGCTATCAATCGTTTACACTGCTTCGTTTTCGCTTCATGGAAACTTAGTGAGAAACCAAGTGTTTTCTGTAATACCGTATTTGGGAATAGTGTTTCCAAATATTCTACTGTACAGATTTCTGGAGGAGGTGAACGCATATGAAGCACAGTGTATGCAAAATTTTTTGTAATAGTTTTGTTGATATTCTTCCATTGTTATGCGTAGACAAACTGAACATTAAATGTATCAAATTTTTAGTAACTGGCATTCAATGGTCAAACATGTTTTTTGTTGGAGATGCACAATATAATACTGTTGGATGCATTGGATTTATATTAATATTTTCACTATTGGGTCTCTTATTACATTTCACACTTGCAGTATATGTTAATGCACTACTTCCAGGAAAGTATGGAATACGCAAAGAACCACTCTATTTTTTTAAGGTAAATTTGTTATCATTGTGTATTCTCATAAATATTTGATAAAAACGCTGTAACAACAAACAACCAATTTTGCAGTATTTTAAGAAGAACAAAGTAAATCTCGATACGGTTATCGACGATTTCGATTATGATAAGATAGATAACGAAAATTTTGAACCAGTTAAAAGGGGTGTACTCATCCCTGGGGTACAGATCCGTAATCTAAAGAAAACCTATAGAACCGGTTTTCTACGTAAAACGGTATGTTTCAGTTGCACTATATATTTTTTCAGATGCATTATTCTTATTTGCTAATGATTGTATTATAATAGACAGTCCAAGCTGTGAAAGGAATTTCAATGGATTTATATAAAGGGCAAATAACAGCATTGTTAGGTCATAATGGTGCTGGAAAGACTACACTCATGTCTATCATAACAGGTAGAAATTTAGCTATTATACTACTTAGACAGTATGTATATGCGTTCGAATGTCTTATTTCTAACTTTTCATTAGGCGTAATAAGTTCAACAGAAGGAGATGTTTTTGTAAACGGTAAAAATATTAAGACCCACTTGGAATTTATTAGAAGCAATCTGGGATTGTGTCCTCAGGAAAACATGGTTTTCCCTGATCTGAATGTAATCGAACAATTAGAATTCTTTGGTTTAGTAAGTAGTTTCGTAATAAATACATGAATAATGTTGAAACAACAAAGCTACAAATGACTAAATAACTTTGTGACAATAAAAACTTAATTGTTTTAGTTGAAAGGTTCACATAAAACGCGTAAAGAAATCAAAGAGGATGTTATGATGTTACTTGATAAGTTGAATTTGATTGAAAAAAGAAATGCCCTGCCAAACACATTATCAGGTGGACAGAAGAGACGGCTGTGTCTTGGAATGGCTCTTGTTGGTGATGCTAATGTATGGATTTATTAATATTAATAGAAATTGACCATTTTTTTATTAAGAAAAAGAGGTTGGGAGTGTTTTATTTCAATGTATTTCTTTAGATTATAATCTTGGATGAACCAACTTCTGGAATGGATCCTGAAACCAGGAGAGATATATGGGACATTATATTGGTACATAAGAATCAGGCTATACTAGGAATAGTTAGTAATCAATATCTATGCGATGTTTAATATTGTGGTTCACTTTATGCAGAAAATAAGAGGAAAGAAAACAATTTTGATTAGTACACATAATATGGAGGAGGCTGATATCCTGGGGGACAGAATTGCAATTGTACATGGGGGAAAATTGAAATGTTACGGGACGTCACTATTTTTAAAGAAACAGTATGGTTAGTGGAATTTTTTTACGCAAGATATACCTGCTTTATGAGTTATTTTATGTTAGAATATTAATTGAAATATTGATTGGTTTTAGGGTACGGCCACATAGCAGTTACCTTGTCGACTAAATCATGGTGTAATCCCGATAAAGTTATAGGTAAATTTGATCGACGAACGCAACAAGTAAGTGTGGACAGCGAGAAGATTGTTCTTAGTGTTCCGAATACAACGAATTTGCCAGAATCTTTAGACAGTGTGGAAAATCAGAAGCAGGATCTAGGCGTTACGGGAATCAGTGTATCGCTTATCACCTTAGAAGAAGTATACTTAAAGTATGCCCCTCATAAAATACATTGTCATTATTTACTGTAACCAATAAAATCATTTAATTATTTTATTTTTTAGAGTTATTAAGAAGGAGGACAATGGAAAACATCTGAATGAAGTATTCTGTCCTCCATCACAACGGGTAGATGGTTGGACTCTATATACACAGACAATTTTAGCACTTTATCACAAGAAACTGACATACACTGTGAAAAATTTAAGCAATACACTATTTACAGTAAGGTGTACTCTTATAATGTTTTTAGGTTGAAAACTTTTTGGATTATACAACAATTGTAATTTTTCCAGTTGTTTTTCCCGATTCTGTCAGTTGTGTTAATGGGGCTAAGTTACGATTCACCAAGAGAAACAACAAATGTATTTCCAATAGAACTTGATATGTACAGAAGTCCTAAAGCTCTGTATTCATATCAGAGTAATACATTAGGTATACATTACAAAAACGTGGTAGAACATTTTGGAGGATCTTCGACGGAAGTGACAAGAAATCAAAGTGTTACACAAGGTAAATATTACGATTTCTATTACGAATTCTTGTATAGTTATCAGAAATAATATATTAAAACGAATTCTACTTCTAGCTTTATTGGATCACGCCGTAGAAAATATTGCCGAGTATCGTAATAGGTATATTGTCTCGGCAGAATTCAATATTTCCGATGAAGTATTGTATGCAAATGGTTTTTATTCTGGTATTGCGATTCATAGTATCCCAATAACCATGAATCTGCTATCAAATGTATTGATCAAAAGCTTTGCCGGCGAGGAGTACTCTATCCACGTATCAAGCCAGCAATTACCGAGTAGTCTTTCCTCGACGCAATTATACATGCCAGAAACGGAATCGTTAAGCCGTGTCATGGTGTTTTGTTGCATTTTCTTTCCCACCGTGGCACTTTTCGTTGTTCATCCCTTCCAAGAAACAGAAACCAAAATGAAACAGTTACAAAGAATGACAGGAGTTACATCCACGTCGTATTGGATTACCATGTTCACGTTTGACTTTATAGTTCTTACAGCATCCGTACTTATAATCACGTTGGGATTCTATGTCATGGATGTTATTCTAGATATCCGTTTGTATTACAAAACAGAGATATGTAAGAGCATAAAATGTCACATACAGCAGAGTTTATAATATGTATTGGACATTTGAGACATTCTCTGCTTTTGTTTTCAGTGGTCATGATACTGACGCTGCTGCTCTTTGGTGTCAACTCTTTGTTAATAACCTATATCTTCAGCTTCTCGAATAAATCAAGGAATGGTATAGTAACTATGTTGAGTCTTGCACCTATTGGACTTGGTGAGTTGTATAAAGGACCTACTACACTCGTTGATTCCAAACCCTTGAAGGGTCTAGAATTTGTCGATGTTTATCGCAGTTTCAATATGTTTTAATTTACGTAGCCTGCTAAGACTTCTTAGTAACCGGTGTGTTTTGTTGCATTTCAGTTCTGTTGCAGTACCTTTTTCACGAAGTGATTCACAGCTTTGACAGTTTGAAAGTATTACACATAATTCAGAAGAGACTATTCCGTTTGATACCTCATGTGAGTTTATTCCATGGCCATTTGTCTTTCTACAATGTGTCCATACAAAATGCGAGATGTCGTCGATTACCAAGTCGATTGCTGGACGTTGTATGCCTTGGCGTGAAGGACATTTGTTGCGGTACGAATACATTAACGATATATATTCTAATAATACATGTTGTTTTAATAACACACTTTTCATAGGTTTGGAATGTGATAATGGAAATTGCAAAAATCAACTCTCATATTTTTCCAATGGTGACACTGACATGAGTTTGACAGAATGCGTAGTGTATTTAGCAATCACGCCTTTAATATACTTTTCCCTGCTTATTATAATAGAGGAGGGGGTCTTCGACAAATTACGTGTTAAGATATTCGGTAAGCATTTAAGAAACCCCCTTGACGTAAATGACGGACAAGTGGAGAAAGAGAAGCACGCTGTTGCATCGGAGATTAGGAAACGGAGAAATTGTGGTACGATGTCATTGAAATTTAGATTTTCAATTACAGGTGAAATAAAAATAATATAATAATAAAAGTCTGTGCAGGTATAGCCACTGGGGAAGGAAATATCGAGCCAATTCCCACGATCGATATGAGTTACTTAGAAAGTTCAGAGACGCACAACGATAGTCTATTTTTGGTTTATGAACTGAGCAAATATTATGGAAAGTTAATGGCGGTGAGAGAAATCAATTTTCGAGTGAGGCAACGCGAATGCTTCGGATTGCTTGGCGTCAATGGCGCCGGAAAGAGTACCACGTTCAGAATGTTGACTGGTGAAGAAGTACCTAACAGCGGTACCATGTACTTAGGAAAGTCAGATATTAATACGGACAGAAAAAATGTAAATACAATCTTTTAATACTAATCGCATATCCTCTCTCTGTCTATTCACGAATGATTTTCTCTGTAGTATCTTGCTCAAATGGGATACTGCCCGCAAACCGACGCTTTGCTCGGGTCTTTAAACTCGTTCGATCACCTTCGCCTATTTGCGCTGCTCCGTGGTATACCCAAGTCAAAAGTGGACTTAGAAGTGAATAAATGGATCAATCGACTTAGTAAGCTTGATATGGCTGTTTTTATGTCGAAGAATCGCCGTACAGACACCAGGAATCCGTATATTCATCTTTTCAGACCTGAACGCATGCATGTCCCAACCGAGCAGTACTTACAGTGGAGGTAACAAGAGACGTTTGAACATCGCGATGGCACTAATAGGAAATCCAACTCTCGTTTTGTTGGATGAACCAACGACAGGCGTTGATCCTGCTGCCAGGCGGTCTTTGTGGAATATACTTCAGTCCTGCCAGGCAATGGGACAAGCTATTATACTTACTTCTCACAGGTATTCCAGTTGATTCGGTAATACGTATTATTAGAAAGCCATTGCATCTCGATTTACATAAAATAAAAATTACATAGCATGGAAGAATGCGAGGCTCTATGCAATAGACTAGTCATTATGGTGAAAGGTCAATTGGTTTGCATCGGTGCTAGCCAGGAATTGAAGCAACGTTTCGGCGCTGGTTACGATATTGATATTAAATTAAACCCAAGCAGATCGGACGACGATCTTTGCACTATAAAGAATACTATAGAGTCTTCTTTGGCATGTGAAATCAGGGACGAGAATTTGGTAATAAGTTTGGACAGCTATATGGTACTCTTGCATCTGTGAAATACAAACGTTGATATACATGATTTTGCTATTTTATAGGGTTTTATCGCTTATCATGTAAGTGATTCTGGGACGACGTGGGAAAAAATGTACAACACAATGAATAATCTGAGAACTCGATTCAGTTGTATCGAGGATTACGCTGTCTTATCGGCCACGTTGGAACAGCTTTTCATTCAATTCGCCAGAGGTTCCGAATCATCGAATCACGAGGAACTTGTAGCTACTACTCCTCAGTCAGTAGTTGTATAAATATTTTGGCAATGGACTTTCCTTTCAAGGTATTACGTTATAACTTTATCGGTGTGTTCCAAATTCTATGTTCACGTAAAAGCTTCAAAAAAATGTTCTGTCATACATATACATATAAGCATCGATGTGCACATTTCAGCGTAAAGCGCATTTACGCCATACTGTATTACGTTCGAGAATTCTACCGAGAACGATGTACATTCCCGACTGTGTAAAATGTGCGTATTATACAAAAGTATTTATTGTGAAATAATATACCGCGAAACAACTTGTAACTTGGTTTACAATCATTGTTCGTGAAAATGAAACGAATTCGTCTATTACGATTCCGTCTAGATGATTGGATGGGGGCCTGTTGGTAGGGCAACGATTCAGAATAAAACACTTGTGTTTTGTATAAATAAAAAAAAATTACATGAACGATATATTCTTATGTACATAAGTCCGTCTTTAAATATGATTATTGTAATGAGAACAGAATTGATTCGTGTATTACGCAATGACTTTCACGGTTGTCGTCGTCTAATAATGGTACCCGCCCGAGCTTGTTTGGTATGAATTTGGACCTTGGTAAGAGCCACCACTGCCGCCACCTCCTTGACCACCTCCTCGGCTACCACCGCCGCCGCCACTGTTACCGCCACCGTTTCCTGTTTTCACAAAACAGAAAGACATTGTTCAAACGCGTTGATAAACGTTTCAATTACCGGCCAATTATGATAACACCCAAGCCAAAAAACCGATCCTCTAAAGATCTGATCGATGAAACACACCGTAACCACCGCCTGGAGAGTATCCGCCGCCGCTACCACCACCGCGACCACCTCCTCCTCCTCCTCCTCCACCACCAGATGTATCTTGATTCTCGCCTCTGGCCTCGGCAGCGAGCGCCAACTCGACACCTCGTTGAATTTCTGGTGGGATCGGAGGCGGTGTCGGCAGATGAGCGCCCTGGGGATGGAAACCTTCCTCGTCCGCTGTATAAGTGACGCTGTACTGTACGCCATCCGGCCCAGTATAGGAGTACGATCCACTCACCGCCTCCCCATTACCTGCAAACCAGAACAACACGTGGACCTTTGACGCAACACAGGCGGCGCGAGAAGCAACCGATTGCGTCACCGGTATCGGGCATTTTTGCGGCTTCCCAGTTGCTTGTTACGGGGCAATCATTGTTTCGGTGATCACTCATCACGAACTGAATATGGGAATACGTTGGAAAGTTATGCCCGAGGGGTCTGTCGAAAGCGGGAAGATGGTAATGCTTTGGGTTAGATACCACCGTTCGTAATCGCCACTGACACGAATCAATGTTAATCTGCGAACGACAAGTGAGGAACGTTTGATGGAACTTAAATGAGTTCCGAACAACTTGTGTTGGCTAACTGCGCGTGACTACCGGAATCAGAGATTCGAGGCTTTCACTGGTCGACGTCATACAGTTATTGCTGTTTAGGCCTTTGTAGGCTAGTGCAAATCGTGTCTCCTTTGGAAAAATGATGATCCATGACCAATATACCACAGCACTGGATTATTCGACCCACGATTAAGCTGGCTGCAATGCTAATGGAACGTTGCAATAACTCTCGCAAAAGAACAGAGCTCACAGGTAAGAACCTTCGACAATGATTTTCCGAAATGTTTGACGGGTCAAGATACAAGAGAGTAATACATCGATACGTTCGTAAGTTTCAGCGATCCAGAGCACGGGATAACTCGTGTACGAATTTTTGAAGAAAATGGTAGTTGCAGACGTATTCCGTTCACCGGTCCCATTGTGAGAAGGATTCGAGGTTGAACGCGATGATGGATAGGAATTCATAACACCGAGACATGGCAGAGCGACGGACCGCGAAGAAAACCCGGGGATATATATCGTTGTTGGGAAACGCGAGTGGCCCTGATCTCACCTTGCAGATGGCCCGTTTCCTGCGCGCTGATACCATTTCCTGTTTCGTAGTTGAATTGGTAGTTGCCGTCCCCGCCGTTGTCGTTGTTGTACGAGACGATGGGAATCTGTTGGCCGCTACCTTGCTGTTCTCCTCTTGGTCCACCTCCACCACCACCACCGCCAGCTGAAACGTCGAATTCGAACAGATTTCAAACAATCGACGGAATTATCAGGTAAAAAAGATATTCATTCGACGCGAAAATGTTTAAAGATACAAATGTCAGACGGCATTTTTCGTTCGATCCGATCGATGGAGACTTTTTTTTTTTTTACTCGTTATCGATTTGTGTATCTGTGTAATCCAGGGTTGCGCCACGGCACGGTGAAATCCACGGATGATGTATATACTGCGTACCCGAGATTAATTCGTAATTGAATAGAGGCTAATTACTCGGTACAAAGGGAACGACACGAGATGTTCTCGATGCGTTCTTATTTTCGCAACAACGAGCGCGCATTCTCACCGACTTCGAATCGTAACTTAAGATACAACCGTCCTCGGATGCGTCTTCATTAGACGGTCGCCTCGAGGGGGCAGGAGGGAGGATCAAGTGATTAGGCATTTCGCGTTGGCGGTTTTCACTTTTCTTTCTGCCGTCGAGGCCCTAATTCCACGACATACTTTACATAATTGATGTAACTCTGGTAACGGAGTGTCTCTCGTTGCGAGATCGCTCCCTCTACATTCACAACTTTGTTCTGCAATTTTTTTGTTCCGAAGCTATATTAAAACTTCGATTTTGGAACCCGAAGAAATCTATAATATAGTAACAGAATTCCCGTTTGATTCTAAATATCATAGAGTTTATGACTGAGATAATTAGGGTCTGACTTTCCTATTGTCTTGTACAGTGATTTGTTGTGTGAAGAATCAATATTACAGTACTGTCAGTCGGGGATGTTAGAGAACGTTGCATAACGAAGATTATATAACGTCTGAGAAGCTTGAGAAACAGTGGAGAATTTTTCGAAATATTAATGCAACTTTGTTTCGAACAAGCACACGAAATGTCAACTGTTTGTACCGAGCGCACCAATACAAATAATATGCCAATACTCACGTCCACCGAATCCACCTCCTCCACCACCTCCTCCGAATCCACTACCGCCTCCTCCAAATCCACTACCGCCACTGCCTCCACTGCCTCCATATCCGCTACCACCTCCTCCTCCCCTTCCTTCTCCTCCTCCCCCTCCTCCTCCTCCTCCTCCTCCTCCTCCTCTTCCTCCTCCTCCATTATAACCACTCGAACCGCCTGATCCACCGCGTCCACCTGCTCCTCCACGTCCTCCAGGACCACCAGGACCACCAGGACCTCCGTGACCTCGGTTCGGTGCTTGTATTAAGCCAGCACCGCCCGCAGTACCCGCATTACCAGGTGGAAGGTAGGTGTTGTCCAGCCGAGCCGCATAACACGTGGCAACCACGGCCAATAACGCCACAGCGAGCTGTCAAAATCACGTATCTAGTCAGACTTCTCCGATAGACGTAACCTATATCCGCCTTTACTTAGAGCGCAAATACATAAATAATGTTAGTCACAAATCATTTGATAAAACAACACAGCCCTAACTTCCCACCCTCTATTGTACAGACATAGTGTTTTTCGGACGGACTGGGTTACCGTAACCATCTATGCTTTCTGAGGGTTAACACGATTTTACTAGAGGATTTCCCCACTGACAAATTTCCCGCGCGCACACCGTCTTCTAATTCACTGTGACTCTGACAACCGAAATGGAGGATACTCTAGAATGTGGCGAATGTTTCGATAACATTCGGATTACCGGAATCAAAAGGGACTGGAATCGAACGCGTTGCTCGAATGATTCGCGGACTCGGACGTCACACTGACTCTCGCGACCCTGGGTACCAACGTAATCGGAAGTAATGGACTGGTCGTCGAACGGCTCGACGTGACACCGTACCGATCTCATCTCGCCGATGGGATTCGATTTTCCTGAGAACGTGCCTCCTCGATGCTACACACGTCGCACAGCCGGTGTACCGTCTCGAACAGGCGAAACGATGGCAATAATTGGTCTGTGCAGATTCAGGTCTAAGCAACCGTGCTTATATACCGCGATCCCGTGGTGCTTGTGCGGTGATCGTCTTCCTCCCACCCTGGCGAAAAAACGAAAGAAGAGTCCTCCTCTCGTCATTGCCCTGGTGAACATCACCACCACCCCGGTGGTGTTGCCGTGTGTCCCTGCGGCGAAGTTCGCGAACTCCCCGTGGTGGGAGAGCAGAGGAAAGTGATCGAGTAGAGCAGTGTTTCTCAACGTGGGGCGTACGCCCCACCGAGGGGAAATTTCAATATTTTCGGGGGTAATTAGCAAATCATTAATATTTCTAACAGTTTTACCTATATGCCATTTTTTATTTGAAGCAACTATTAATGTTAACATTTTTCAGAACTTGGCCTACCGTCCTGATAGATGGGCTTCAGGATCGTTGAGGCGGAGCATGAATCAAAAAACGGTTGGAAAACACTGGAGTAGAGGAAACCAAAGAAGAGGAAGGAGAGGGCGGCTGGCCCCGAAGATGAGCGCGCGTTCTCCAGCGCGATGCGGTGACCGTAGGGGCACGAACGGGGGGGATGATTGCGCAAGCCCCCCGCGGTTGATACAGATCGGCGGGCATCTCTGTGCTCGTCGCGGCGGATCCTGAAGGTCGACCGAATACGGGTCGACATGAAAGTGAACCGCGGATCGGCACGCCGGGGCAGAGCGTAGAAACACCGGGAAAGGACGGATAGATTCATGCGGTAGGGATGCAAAAAGAGGTAGAGAGAGATAGAACGAACGAGAGTAGTAGAGTTCGACGGGTTTCGAGCGCGGCGGCGCGTCTCTCTGTGATATCCCGTCGATTGCGTAGGATCGTACATACACGCATACACATAATAGCGAAGAAGAAGCCGCTGCGTTCCTCCTTGTAATTATATCGGTCGCTCGGTGTCCGACATCGCCGGGGTCATCATCATCCACAGTGGATGGGATGATGGCTTATAGAGAGCAACGGACGCTCCGCAACCGCTTGCGATCATTGCGCAACCAGGTGCGTTGCCGCGGATCGATCGTGTGTATATGTGTACGTACGTACATCTTTTCAAGCCTGATTCACACTAACGGTCACCGTACGGTCAGATCAAGTCGAGCCAAACTACTGGACTAATGAGTCCAATCAGAGACCATTAATCAATTAATCCAATGAGAGGATTCACACAGTACGCGGTACGGTCGAGTAAATTGAAAATCTGTTGACACGTGGAGTCGGTTCGCCAGCAGTCAAGATCGTACCAGTCCCGACAGTTTTTCGTGTCTATATAGTATAACAAAATTTAAAAAAAAACATGGGCCAACATTGAAATGCGCCAAGAAGTAGAAAATCATTTCCATTCTTTTTATTATTTAGACAGGAATGCAACAACGTTTAAGAGAACTTCTACTTTTCAGCGCGTTTCGAAGTCGGTCTAGATGTTTTGATACAAATTGTTTTATTTCGTACTTTTTAGTGGGCCAACGTACGATTGTTTTCATTATCTTCGGTTAGGCAGTAACTGTAATGAAAAAATCCAAAGGAACTAGTTTGGACTATTTGCAATGACATGCTTCGTGACTGAAAACAATAGTTTATAATGAACAAAAAAAAATCGGAAATTTTTGTGCATACGGGACCACCGTGGGAACATCCTCTACAAGATGCAAAAGGTTTCATCTCGATTGCTCTATTCGTTGCAGAGTAATCCGTGGACATACATACGTACAAACGAGAAACATACACATCGAATTGTGTCTCTTCCTTTTCGAAGTCGGTCAAAAATGAAACAGACTACGACGGAACTTGATTGTCTCGAATCGTTTCAGTGTGAATACCTTGGTAAGATCCTAGATCGCGACTGATCGCGAGATCTGACCGTATCATTGCCTACTAGTTGTGAATTCAGCTTCAGGTACATAGGCGCTCGTGTGCGAATCGCGAATCGTGTGTACGTACACAGTAGACAAGGGCCACTTTAAATCGTCTTCTCGATGTTACCGATCGGCACGTAACTCGTCGCTCAACGTTCCCCCTCGGGTTACCGTACTCACGCTCCTAGGCAGACGCGTCAGATCGCTTCGGACGGTGATCGGAGCTTCCCAATACCCGTCTGGCTCTCTACCCGGCCTCTCCTATACGCGTTCGAAGCATTGATTCTGTCCCCCCAGGGCAAATCTCGGTTCCTTATTCAGACCGCTTGTTTACTTTTACCGAGGATCCACTCGATTCGGTCGGTCAGTCGGTTATACTCTCGTCGACTTCGACCATGGTTGCACCGACTAACCCCTCCGTTACCCATTGTCCTGTCCGTTGAACGATTTCATTTCGGACCGTTGATTTTGAGTTTCCTAAATCTCTACACGGAGATTTATTACAAGCTTTTACGAACACTCTCTATTTCAAGCCCGGCATTAAGACCTTTAAAGGCCCCAAGCACTTAAACAATTTTGGTGCCCCCTCCCATATACATACATATAGTAGCTGTCATAAGTTTCCGATCAAATACTACTAATTTCATCTCATACCTTTGACATAACTTTTGTCATGTTCGTATTTGTTAGAAACAAGAGAACAGATTATTTTGTATGCAAGAGAATTTTTAATAGCACCAATATTTGAAAAAGCAATGCATTCTCGATGTGGATATATCAAGGGTTTATTCGTATTATATATTTTTAAAAAGATACATTGAAATTGGTCCATGGGGAATCTAGCAATGGAAAGTTTCTGTGGTGCCTCCCGCGTTCCTGTGATGCCCTAAGCACGTGCTTATTTTACTCAATGGTTAAGCCAGCCTTGCTGTATGTTCTTTGGACATATAAGCTATATGATATGAAGAATGGAACGATCGAAATTTCTTACGTCCACTATTAAAGCATGGATAATAGACGACACAACGAGACACGTCTGGTGATTCCCATGGCATCGCCTTAAGGGCGAGTGAAATGTCGTTACGTAATCGGTCATATGCTTTCTTTCGGTGAGAATTCATAATAAGCGTTCCGTGAAAGAAAGTTCCTGAACCGATGAGGTAATCTTCCATCGCGCGCTACTCCCCCAACGGGTGATCCCGGTGCGATGATGTGCTCTTCACGGGGTTATGTAAAACCCCGTTAATCTCTAAAATCAATTCACGCGAGCCCGTCGAAGGATTTCTCATTGTGACAAAGACCAGGCGAAACTACCGTTCTCTAAAAAAGACCAAATAGAGTCGCACCCCCTTCACCCCCGCCCGGTGACACCAAACTTTTTTATTTTCACTCTTTCGAAACTCTAGCAGCGTGGCACAGTAACTTTCTCGTCGAAACTTCCCTGACTTGTTGTTCTCGTTTTAATCAAGTACTAAATTTCTTCTTCACATTTTCAACAGATCTGGTAGATCGCCGTCACCTGCTGACACTTGAAAGGGATCTGACACCCTTATCCGAACGATCGCTGGGTAATAGATTCTGTTGGATTTCTCCGGGCGATCGTATAAGCAGCGGGAAATCATGGAATCGCGGGCGCAAAAGAGACAGGGAACCGACGGACAGGTAAATACAGAAAGCGGCGTGATCCCGATGATCGATAGGATCGGGTTCGCCCGCGAGCTATTCGAATTAGCCCCGACGCCAAAGGGGTGCGGCTCCCTCCCCCCCTCACAAAAAACAGGGCGATCGTGAGGCCAGAGCCTCGATAATAGGATACCACGACCGGTACCGATACACAATGTAGGTACCCCCCCCCCCCAAGCGATCATCGCGCTGAGCTGAGAGATGCAATGCTTTCTAAACGGATCGCGAGTCACCGGAACGCGCCGCCGATAGATACGCTTTGAGAAGACCCAGCCCTTTGCCCGTGCTATCCGGGCTGTTCATCTATCTTGTTGCTCGTGTTATGCCAGAGGTGAGGTTCATCGCAAGAAATGCTTTTTCATGAAGTGTACTCTAGGCAAGGGGAGGGGAGGGGGTGGGGATACACGATTTCGAAGCACAGTCGAGAGCTCACGGTTGGGCGCTGTCGCCAAAAAAGGATCGTGGAAGACGAGAAGAATCCTAGCCAGGTAATAAGTGATCCCGTGTTCCGTTTGCACCGTTCCTACAACCGAGACACCCGAGCCCCGCGGTAAAGGCCGAATATGGTAGTCGCGATATTTTGCGGAATTAAGTCGGCGGTCTCCGTTCGTGTGGACTCGTTTATAGTATCGCGGGTCAGTGTTTTTTTTTAACCTCGTTTCATTGTTTCGCTGGCAGCTCGAGCAGGATCTGGTGATCCATTGCGCTCACGCTCTAGCATTCTATGTTTTTATTTGTACGTCAGAAGTACTCCTAGCTATAGTGACTTCATAAAAACAGCAGGGTTTAGGGGGTTACAAATATGTATATGTATAATTAGTATAAGTATACATATACATATAAGGTGTATCACTCTATGAGTTCGGGTTTTTCACGCCTTTAAGTTTTTTGGTGGCAAGTTCAGGGATGGCCAAACGTTCTTGCGGGTAGTGAATAGTTATGAATCTAAAATAGTTTTATCTTAAATAGTCTTATCATCCTATAAAGGAAAAAGAAAAAGTATTTCAAATTTGAAGAAGAGCATAAAAAGTATTTCAGACGTGTAGTGAAAAAAAGTAAATGGAACCAAATAAGTACAGCCTTGAAGAAGTAGCAAAGGACACATTCAACGGTTTGTATACATACGTATAGTCCTAAGGGTATCGTATAGCACACCACCTGAGAGGGTCACACCTGAAGTCGCCATAGCTCGAGAAAGCAATATGTAATCGTTCGCGTAATTTAGGGCTATAAGTGACCTCACTGTCCGAAGAGCTATGACGGGGAATCTATTTCTACACCGGACTCATCCAGAGAAGGTTCAGCGTTAATGGATTAAGAAATGCTGCGAGTTTAAATACAGCTGATGGCCTGGCTAATTGCTGTTATGCGGGCACGTCGCGCGTTACGTGTGTACTTGTAAAGAGAAATGATTTCGTGCCCCCCCTCCTTCCCCTTTTTCTGTTGCCTCTTCGACGCATTCCCGTAATCAGAATAATCAGAGGACAATTCCAATCAACTTTCTCCGTGGTACGGATTCTTCGGGAATAAGACAAGCGTGTTAGCGAGGCGAGAACACACACGGAGGCGGACTTCACACGTTATTATTGAATAACGATGCACCAACTACACGGGCGGTACCAAGCACCCGATTCCGTAATCATCAGCGATCGACGTATATCTGTCTCTTTGCTTTCTTTGTTTTACGGCCTCGATGCCGCTATGGATGATCCTACGACGTTTCAAAAGAGCGAGTCCAGGCTCTTTGGAGGTCGACATAAAGCGTGAATAGGAGAGTGAGAGAAGAAGAAAAAAAGAAAAGAATTTGCGGTCTCGGTTGTTCTTGCGACGTCCTGACGCAACGACGCCAATCTGGGGATGGACGACGTTCGCCGATGATAACAGAAGAGGACCGCGACCGTGTGGACGAGGGGATATAGCATATTCGTCATCGAAGAAGAAAAAGAATACGAAGAACCATATCTTCGCGGAGCAGTTCTATGCAACAGAACTGACGCAACATCCAGGCTAAGACGTTTCGTTCATGCATCGGAATTCCTAAATACACGACACGGTACTTTCATCCCGGATACCGACCCGCGCACATGCCATTCTCGCGGGGATAATCGTCTCGCGGCGGTGTTCACGGTAAACGGTGTAAAATTTAAACATTCCGTTCCGATTCCCGCAGGGTACGACTGTCAATGGGGAGTTTAATCGAGTCATCGTTGGATGAGATCGGCGAGAAATGGCGAGACGAGAGTCGTGTCATGAGACAAAGGAGCCTGCGTGAAAGGTCCTCGAACATTAACTAGCTGCTGTTTTGGAAAATGTATCGCGATACTTCTGTCCAGGATTCGATGGATCGATACGATCAGGGACTCGTGCGCAACGTTCCGCGGTTCAAGAAGATCGTCCCGCCGTGGTGGAACGATCGAGTGAATGGGTGCCCCTCGACGGTAGCGTCGATGCCTTCTCGCGAGCCCGGCTGACTCCGAGGAAAGAAAATATAGTTCAGAACCGATTGCATAACATGGAAACGGAGGCGCATCATCGCGTCGAGACGCGAGCCACTTCGAGAGAATCTACACAGAGAACAGTCTCTTTTCGCCGTCGAGTCAACGGTGACCTTTGGAGCTAGAGGCGGTTGTCTACGGGGTAGGGGGTGTGCCGTGAGTGTAACCGGTACACTTAGGGGCCCTAGCCCTATGGAGGTGGATCGATGATACAATTTCTATATGTTAGTCTAGATTGTACACCCGGCATCCGGACTCGACCTGTTCGCCTTGGACGCCAGCCTAGCCGAGGGGATATAAGGGCAAAGCATCCGAGAATCACCGGGCATAGAGACGTCCGATATCTCGTTAGTTTGAATGGATTCGTTGAACGATACGTTCACCGGAAAGGATGGAGTCTTCACTTGATATGTGCAAACAAATGCGAGACAGGCTCGACACCGTGACATGAGGAATTAATTACGGGCGCTGAGAGATCGAGTCCCGTGTAGAACGTATTTAGCCCGATTCGCGAGAGCGACGCAGGGTGCTTTTACGTTTGACACAATCTATGGATATCAATTTCAGGTTTTCGATGTTTCGCACACTTGACAGATTTCACTCGAAGAGACATTCTAATTAGCATCGACAAGTGAATGCCTCTAATTAATGGGGACGCGGATGATTAGGGTACAGAGGAGTTCATATATAATTTGGGAAGAATGTTAATTAGACAGAATCAAGGTATTGCACGATTCTGCTGCCTTTTTTTGCTACGAGTCGCAACATCTTGAACACTGTTTTTTTTATTGTCGGGTAATTACCGTCTACGTGCGAAATCAGTTTCATTATTAGTCTAGTAATTTATTGTTCGTTTCTCGTTAACGGTACGATTAAGTATTTGAAAAGTCGATGCTTCTTTAAATGACAAATCTCATCCTTAAACAAAAATGGTACATATATGAAATTACTCAAGAAAAGTACTACGGTCCCTAAAAAATCCAAAAAATCTGTCGAAGGAGTTAATGATATCCATTCTTTTGTTTACAATTTTCATTCTTTCATATTTATTTGATATTTTTACGTTAGAACTTTATAAACTACCGTTGCTGTTTCGAATTTAAAAATATCAGGCTGTCAAATGTGTACCGTGTTGTTTCATGCGGGAACAGATTGGCGCCATTTCAACAAATTTCGCTGCCGCGCTGCCATCTGGAGACGGCGTTCCTAACCCACTCGAAACTACCGACTACCGACGCATTTTCAAACGATTCGAATTGTTCCGGACAGTTCCGAGACGCAAAAGTGGAAGTCGAGTTCTATAGAATGTAAAGAACCGTTACGGCCAGCTTTCGTTGAAGTATTCGGTTACCGAAATTTGAGGATTCAGTAATTACACGCAGCGCAGTCGGGAATGGAGGAGGATCAGGAGCACAGACCGCCAAACAATGTTCTTCTATTTCGCCTTGCCATTTCCAATAGTTTCAAACATATCGCGGAATCGATTAGGTGAGTAATGTTGTATTAAACATATCGAGTATAATTTTGTCGAGTCTTAACACTTGATTGGATTTAGTAGTATTGACGACGATTCATGTGAAATGCATTATGATTGATGTTACACGAGGTCAATACTCTGTAAAGTAACAATTTTTGAAGGTTATGATGTGTTGTCCTAAAGCTCGCGGTTCTTTTAGACGTGACAAACGCATGCGCACTAATTAATCTAATAAATTGAAATTTTGAAACCGAAACTTTTTAACTTGTGATGTACCTGTATGCCGTTAGAAAATATAATTGCTGAATGTATATTTGCTGTAATAAGTCAGGATATTCTCTGTATCTAGAATGAGGTTACATTTGAATATCAAATAACTTAGACAAAAGCGTGGACATAAGACACTATGGAGATAGTTTCATAACACAGAGTTCCAATACATAAGCTTCAAACTATAAAACAACAATTCCTGCGATTAGGTCAGGTTGCAGTCACGATTCAGGTTATGTTTTCGCGTACATGATCGCATGATAACAGTACTGCCAACGTAAAGTGTGTCAAGTACGGGCCGCGGTCAAGAATGCCGTTTTAATTAAGAATGAAAGCCCAAGGGAGCATGGACACAAAGCAACCAGCGGGAGCCGATTCGAACGTTGTGTTTGTAGTACGGTTTTTTTAGAGAGCCCTGGTGGTTCGTTTATCTCAGTCGCGAAGCGGCAAGAGAGGGAGATGAGCTCAGCAGGTCACCAATGACCCAAACGGCCGATGGTGTTACTCGATGTCATTGGCCTCTGTGACTCGAATGTTAAATTGTCGACGTTCACATGGCCGGGGCAATTGTTGAAGAATTGTTGGGGCCCGTAGTTGAGGGACAAAACGTTTCAGGTCGATCCTCAAAATCGGTTTCCTTCAGTTTCTACTTCCCAGAAACTGCCGGTCTTTGAAACCCAACACACCAGTTGACCTTCAAGGAATTCCACGAAGTGTTCGAGGAAACAAAGGGCCCCTGGTGCGGTCACCATCGTTCGGTTGGCTCCATCATTCGTGCAGTGCGTGTCGCAGGGATCGCGCGTGCTTCTGCTCTCCGTTATTCGAACGTTAGAATAATTCGGTGACGAACGGAGATCCATACTTGAACGCCACTCGAAGCAGCTCGTACAGCTGGTCCTGCTTTTGTCAACATAAACATTTCCCTCTGGTTTTCGTTTTGTTATCAATATCGTTGAGTTTTAGTAGCAGCCCTCCGTGATAATTTCATGTAACCGATATTAACGTTAAGTGTCAATTGTCGCATGGCTGGCTTCCGCTTGTACAGAAACTCTCAACTGGATCAAGACGCATCGAAAAAGGAATTGAACAGAAACACTGGCACGCTCGATTAGGTCTGGACTAATGCAAATATGTAGCATTAATCTCAAATTGCACCCGTCCCGGCCTGATTGAGTGCGCGTGAAACAGCGGAAGAAAAAACAAAGGTGTGGCATTTATCCCCGTAATTCCATGTGCTTCTCATGAGATTCATGATACATATAAGTAAGCTTGCGCCGTACATGAAAGCCTAATGTGTGTATAATACTCGCAACAATGTGTAATATGCTATTATAATAAGAGACCGTATTGTATCGTTAATAAAGTAAAATTGATTAGATTCTGCAACTTTCACGATTACGAAAAGAAAACTGTCTGCGTTTATTAATCACTGCTGACGCGCGTAAAAAAATTCCGGAAATTGTGCAACGCGATTACGTCTTGTTATTGTATGCGTACCTATTATAATACTACAAAACTGGATTGGGTTGCCCAGGATACTGGTTCTCCCCATTCAGCGACGCCGCGTGGTCCTTTGTGAGCGGCAAACAAAGAAAAATTCGATTCCGGCAATAGCAAAGCTACGCGTGCATACAAATCATCACATGTCTATATCATTCACGGAAATACTCGTTTATCTGATCAGTTATTGGTATAAAAGGTAGGTTTTTCGGTGGAAGTACTGTGCTCCCTACACTTGCCTGTGTATTCACGCAAATAAACTTCTTCAGAAAACTAAAGAAACAAATAATTTGATCCACATATTGTTCTATTTATTGGATTGTCCACTACCTTTCCGACTTCCGTTGGAAAATTACACTTTCAGTGCTCTTTTTCGATTTGAATTGTGTTACGTACACGGTTTTTCTTCAAAGAGCTCGTATTTTACGATTATTTTAGCTTACGTATTTAGCTAGTATGTTTCGAAGAATTTCTTCAACGATACACATCGTAAACAGTAGTATCATGAAGGTCTTTTTGTCCTGTATTACCGGTTCTATCGTGTGAGAAGATGGTAACTTAATATATTAGTAACGGAAACTCTGCTTGCGTCACGGGCCATTATGTCGTAAGAGAGGTTAATATACTCTAAATAATAGTACTTACTCACTCGTTTTACCTAATTGACACTACTTGTAATTTTATGGACATTTGAATAGTTGTGTATATTTTCGTTGCAGTAAAGATGACTTCTCCAACATTCTTACAATACTGAAATCCAAACCAAATGTTGCGCATAAATTACACGCAGCTATGATCAAGGAACTTCAAGATGGTATGAATGACGACTTGGAGGATCTATTGAACGAAGGTAGTTTACAAGAATCGTTGGAGAAGGTTTCAAAATTGGCGGATGCAGATTCTTCCGTACAAGAAGATGCTTGGTGAGTTGTAATAGTGATTAATAATTCGATATTTTGTATTTTTTATACTCATTACATCTCATTTCAGGAGGCCTCCCGGGAATGTAGCTCTGCATTTACGTTCAGTGGACGCACAAAGGATTAAGGAAGAAAGCGAAAAGTTAGAGAAACAAGTGAATGAACTAGAAGAAGAAAATACAATATTAATGACAAAAATTTCGGACAAAAGGTCAAATATATTAGTCCTACATGACACTATAACACGATCATTAAGTAAAACACCAAATGCTGTAGAGTTGTTAGTCAAAAGACTAGAGCAGTTAGAAAAATGTTTAAAGGTACTAGACCACGAATAAGCAATAAGGTAGTGCAATTATGATTGCTAGAGAAAAACGTCTGTAAATATGTACATAGAGTGGGATATGTTGGTGTAGGAGTGACTCGTACATTTAATTAACATTTTATTAAATAGTTATGATAGATTATATTTTCGAATTAATACAACATAAATAAGTGTTATTGTTGTTACTGTATCTTAGATGATATTTTGATTAGGAACGTTAATTTTAGTGATTCTAGAATCACACAGAACTGTATTTATTCTTCCCTTCAAGTCCTGTGAAACATTTGTCCTGTTCTTCATTTTTTTCAATTTTCTGAGCAACGCCATGTTCTTTTGCTGTAAAATATATTCTATGAAAATTTAATGAAACCGTCAAGTATCAGCTGCGACATATGTAGACGTACTTCTTGACATGTGATAAGTGTTCTGATCTCTACCAACTTTTTGTCATTTTTGTTTGCACTTTTCTGTAACTGCTCCAATTCTTTCTTCAACTTATCTCTTTGCAGTGTCAAACATTCAATTTTTCGATAAACAGTTTTCTCATAAGAATTTACCTCGCGAACGTGTTCTGTATATTGACAATGGACATCGTTCAACTCTCTTTCAAGTTGTTTATATTTTCTTTCGATGTCCTTTAATACGAACAATCCTTTGTCTTTCAGCTGACTCACATCGCAAATTTCTATTTCCACGTTCTCACATTCTTTACGAGATTCTAGCAATTTCGATTTGAAGTCTCTTATTTCCTCATCTACTTGATGGAAATTGCAAGAATTTAAGATGTCTCGTACTGCATTGTTTAAACACACATTCAGTATAGTAGACTTGAAAAAATAAGTGCTATGAACGGTACAAAGTTGAAAATGAAAAGAATTTTCAGTTTATATTACCAATTCACAATTCATTACCATTTTCGATATCGTAGTCCATTTTTTGTTGTAGCTTTCATCGAATTCGAACGACCATCCAAGATGGCTGATATCGCGCGAAACCTTTCCCGCCTAAACGGATGCTGCTTTCTTACTGGTCGAGTCGAGCCAATCGGATAAGCTCTTTTTGCCGGTAATTCGGCGTAACGGTCGCTAGATGGCAAGAGCGTTAGCTTAGTCCCTGCTACGCACTCGCTGTTCGCCATTGTACCGTGATTGCTGTAAAGTTTCGTGTTTATGAGTGGGAATTGATCCGGTTTACCGAGTTCTGGAATTCTTCCACGCATTGGGTAAGTCGCAAAATCACATTACATATTAACTCACCTCGTATACGAACCGTGAATGTCGAATGCGACGTGGAATTAGGCTTGTAAATTGTTTCGTCCCGGTGGAAGGACGTGTACATTTTTTGGGGGTTAGTTTCCGACCCCCGCGCGTCGAGTCAGCCCTCTTCCGTGCGCGTGGTCAAGCCGTGCGCGAATCGTCGAGACCTTTTTTCATCAAATTCTCCACTACGTGTACTCTCCTCGTAATTTGTTTTTGTGAACGTAATTAGTTCGAAAGTTTCCGCGAGCATCGTTGAGGTTATACTCGTAACACGATACACAAAATCGTTAGTTCTCCAGTGGCGGTTCTACGCCGTGAATTTTTCGTCTGAACCCGGCAGCTAAGTCAATAATTTCGGCCATGCGACCACTCGGAACGTGTCCCGTACAAATTTGCGTGTTTCATTCGTCGCGTCGTGCACACACCGCATCCGTGTACCGGCATTTGGACAATTTAATTTTCTTATTCCGTTGGGCATTGTGCAAACAATAAAACGGACTGCACGGACGGGATAAAATCACCGATATTTTTATATGCGTTATCTTGCCCAGATAAGAACTGGAGTTTACATGCCTCGTTGCCGGCTGCTTTGCGCTATTTCGTATATACAACGCCACTTAGTCGCTCGTTTCGTTGCCAGGGCCGAGGTGGACGCGATTGATCAAACGTGAATTAATATTCGTGAATGATTCTTTAGACCCCGAATCTTTATGCGTTTGTATAATTTCTTTACCTGGAATATACAATAAATTGAGGAGTAGGGGAGATTGTTAATATTTACGCGTTATTATCGGTATAATAAACCATCTATGTAGTAAGAACGTGAAATTAATTTCTGTGAATTTGCATAAACATTCATGGGCTAGTAATGAAATTTAATAACACTGTTAATTTATTCAAAAAAAGGACGCAATTTAATGTACGTTACTTGATCAAATTTCCTTGTGTACGAAATATGGAATATTTCATTCAGAATTCGTTTAATTTTCTTTCAGTTTAATATTTGATTTGCTACTTGCATCTTTTTTAATCTGGTAACCGACGAAGAAGAGTTAATTAAATACTCTTATATTTTATCCTCGACTAGGTTTACAACGATTTTTCCCAATCGTTTTCCATTATGTAATATGACGTATAAATGCGGGGAAAAATGGTTCCGTAATAAGCGACAAATTGGTCGCGTTTATCGTCTGCTTGGATAATGTTTCTTCATCGTGTTACTCGCGATCCAGTATCTCGCGTCGTCGTTGGATAGAGAATCAACGTTTCAATACCGAGTTGCGGAAACTTTACGAAGATTTGAATTCGACACTCGGACCGATCGATTTGTCGCGGGAGACTATGATTACGCAATGTGAATAGCTTTCGCGATGGAATATGGTCCCTATTAAACGAGCGTGACCTTGAGTTATGGAGACTCGATTTATGTTATGATACGAACGAAGAAATCCGTAGGACTGAAAAGGTTGGCAATTACGTCGTAAATTACGTCGTAGCGAAAATATACGATAAATTCGGATGATTTTTCGTGGTCCGAGAATATTGTTGGAAATACGTATCAAGTATTCGTGTATCCTGTATGCTTGTAGGATAGATGGTTAGTACTACAACGACAACAAATGTACAGGGAACAAAAGTTAATTACAGCACCGAGGTCTACGTATAATATACGAAACGTGCGAAGGCTATTGTCCCTCCGTTGTACGTGATTCGACTGAAAGTTTCGCCGCCAGTTTATCGTCGAGAGGCACTGGTAAGTAGGTATACGCCAATCCAGAAGATCGAACGGTTCGTGCCACAAGGTAGACGCGTCCCATTTCGAGAATCGATGTAGACGTAGCCATCCATAACAACGAGGCTCTTCCTTATCGATCTAGATTGCGACGTTATTTCAGAATTACCTTGAGTGATTATTCCCGACGCCACAGCGATGAGTCATACCTACGTGAATTTTACTCGAAATGCTTTTCCCGGTACACAGTTCATAATGCTTACTGCGATACATAGGTACATACTTACCGCGATGACAATATTATTTCGTGGTTGTTAATATTTTCGGAAGGTAAGAAAACATCGAGGGAATGACCTTAACCCTGGGAAATACTGGGTCATTCGGACTCGAGTTTTCTACTCTATTTCTAGAGATAACTAATTTCCGTTAGTAATTGTCTATATTAATTAAAATAAAAAGAAAACTAACTCACGTAGAAAATTTCGAAGAAATGATGCACGGGGTTTCAAACGGACCCACGCCATTAAAACATCGTCCGCTTTCTGAGTGTTCACGCCATTGTAAAAAATTGATTTAATACATTAATAAAGATCATTGATTCCGCGATATCGGTTAAAGACGAATGATGTTTTTAATAAATCACAAAGTATATGTTAACCATGGCGTGTGATCACGATGACTTATGATTGCCTATATCCGAGCAATATGATTTCCATCTGCTAATTGATTCAGGCTTCGGCGTGCAATAACCCTGATTATGTAGTAGCCATTAGCAAGTCCACCCGACGAGATCGCTAATTTCTATAGTTCTGTCGGATCATTATCGGGGTTATCCCACGCGTGTTCGCGATTTTCCTTGTCCTTCGTCCCGTCGGTGTGGTGTTGTTGTCCGTATCCTCTGATTACCCCACCGTGAATTTTCCGGCTCGAACGCTGTACATTATTTTGCTCCTAAACGGGTAACCGTTCTCGACAGTATTCCGGTCTGCGTGTTACAATTAAATCACTGATTGCGTCGTTGGCCCCCGACCCACTCCATCGTTCAATTCGATTCGTGTGCGCGTGTGCGCGGTTCAGAGACAATTAACCGTTTAGGTCTTGTTCATTCTTACCTACTTTGGAAATTCATGCGAATGAGAAACAGATGCCAAGCCTGTCAACTAGGTAATTAGAGAAGCTAGCTAGAAATCTGTTGACTAACGACATGATTTTGCATTTAATACAGTCATAGATCTCTGCTCATCTCAGTTCACAGAATCGTTTGACCGACTACCTCCGCATATATTTTTACCTCCCACGGTTCTCCATTGCATCGAATTCCTGTTCGGTGGTAAACACTTGAACTTTTTCAAATACTTCACAATTTAGACATTCCCTATCGTCCCCTTCCTCTGTTTCTGTGTAGCTTCAAGCTGGTCCACTCGATCCTCCCCCGATCCTCCCCTTGATTCTTTTCTTATGCGGCCAGCGGACCCTGATTGTATCCTCCTCCGCGTTGATCCTGATTATTCATAATTCGGAACCGGAGCAATCGAACATCCTCCGGAAGATCGGATCGGATAGTTTCAAGAGAAATGCAACCCCGATGTCAGTTCTCTAGACGGTGGTCGGGGGAGGGGGATGGTCGGCAGTTTAGGCTAGGTCAAGCCGGGTTAGGTCGAGTTCAGGAAGGAAGACCGTCGACACCGAAAGGAGGTGGAGGAGGAGTAGGAGATGGCGGTGGTGCTGGTGGGAGAGGGTGGATCTCTCCCTACCTCTGGCTTGACACAATGGCACAACAAAGCGTTACCAGGGTAACTGGTCGTTCAGGGTTGCCATCACAAAACTTTCCAACTTGTGACTGCAAACATTACCCACTGGCGGCACACGCGCTATCGAGAGGAGTGAGCCGTTGTTGAGGGGAGGTTAAGGGGGTGGGTCGGTGCGTGAGTTCACACGCACGGCCAGCGTCACGCGAGCACGCGTGCTTTTGACACGCACCACCATGTCCCCGTGCGGAAAACAATGGAAAAGGGGAAGGATGCGTGGTCCCTTATTCCTGGTCTGATTATTTTCAAACCCGGTTCAGGTCTTAATGTCTCATCATTTAGATTTTAGGCCATGGCCCTATCTATTGCTCGTCTTGGCTCGATGCCACTGGTTTCTTCTTTGTCACAGTTTTCATTCAGGGGGGTTGACTTTCGCTAGAGGTACAGGAAAAGGGGTTGTGCGTCTATGCTTTCCTCTTGCGGCGTTAATGAAACTAGAGGTGTTTTACGAGAAGGTCAATGCTTAACCCCCTGGTTCTTTACATTTGGCAGGTATATGTACGCGGACCAATGAAAATTCATCGGAACTTTTGCTTTCAGCCAAATAATTATTAGCCTGTGTGTTATATCGTAGTTGTTTCTTGTATCCGTAAATTAGTACGATCGATCCTCGAGAATTATACGCATGGAGCCCAACAATAAAAAAAGATACGGGTGCGTACCGACGCGGTTCGATTCAGCGCACAATCCACAAAAAGCAACCCCCCCCCCCCGTGGAGTGTCTGTAATTACATCGGCGCGTCGGATGGCGTAATGGGTGAGCATTGTCCAAGGTCAGTAACGAGAGCGGTTTTGCGGAAAACAGAATGCAACGTGAGACCGAGATGCGGAGAACGGAGAGAACGTTCCTTTTCGCGTCTGGAGCTAGAGAGGTTCGGAAATGTGGAAGGGTAACTTCGAGACTCGATGGAAAACTTCGTGAGTGGTATACGGGAAATCAATAGATTCTCAATAATACGTAACAAGTTCAAAAAATACAACAATAACGCCGAAAAGGCATTTATCGAATCAGATCAACGCGTGTAAATTATACCTGCGGATATAAAATGCATGTATACTACATTCGGACGTTTTTGGACGGGAAAAAAGAATAAAATAAATTACTCGGTTCGGTAGGAGAGAAAAAAGGTTGTATACAATATATAATTTTTTTTTCACCTTGTCTGGGAGCGATGGTATTCGCGGTCGCGAATAAATCTTAGTTTCGAATAATTGCCGGTTGAATTATATGCGGCGTGTATTCGGCCTGGATGAAATTTATGCTTTAATTATGCGAATGATCGGTCCACCGTATTATACACGGACGTTGCGAACACTCGTAAATAACATTATTAATATAGGAGTTAATTGATTTTTGCGTAGAACTTTCGTGTTCTTATCACGGATGCGATTCATGCTCGAGCTGGATGCCCCCCCCTACTCT